CCGATCGAAGCGGTCTATTGAGGTGGGTCTGGGAACGGTCCGGCTTGTTATAGCCCGTTTTCCTTTTTCTTTTTTTTTCCGTCTTTAAATTGCGCCTTCCCCCGTTATGGGGAATCGCCCTAACCGTCTCACGCACCCAATGTATCGGACACCATAGCGTCACCCCATGACTCGAGTAAGCTCACCAGTTGATCGGACAGGCTTGCTTTCTTTGGCAGATGGCCGAACCAGACCAACGGACCGGAAAATAGGCTAAAGAGGGATTTCCCTCTTTTTAGGCCTTGACCTTTCCCGTGTGTGCTAAGCTGCTAGGTGATGGTGCTAGGACTTCAGATTGGAACGTGCAGAAACTGCCGTTGAATCACAATTAGTGCCTTTGTGGCTCGCCCCCTCCCCTCCACTTGAAAATCCTGCTCTGTGTCCACCTGCTTTTTTGCAGCCCTGTAGTGACTGATTGATGAATGAGGCTCACGGGAGGCTAGATGGGATGGCGGTGACGGGTAGAGAGCACTTTGCAAGTGCCTCACGCCTCACGATGGGGAGGCAAGCCGTTGGCAATTAGCTCGGAGCTAGTAACAAGGCATGTTACCAGTGTACCAATGTATACCAATGTATACAGTACATGCCAGATCTAACCCACGGCCTAGTTGGTCCCGATGAGCAGTTCGGGGTCATTCATCCTGGTCCTAGTCGGTAATATCGAGATTGAATTTCCAATAGCGCTCCCGGGGCGGTAGGGATATTAAAATCGTAACATTAGAGGATCGTACAACCATGACCCACGATGTGTATTGTTAACCCGTTCTGGCCTGCTGCAGGGCTTCTCTCTTTGTCCCCTTGGTCCTTGTACGCCCCCAGTCTGTCAACCTTAGAGACCTGCAGATGTGCCTTCAACTTGCCAAACGCCCACGGCTGTCAATTTTCCTGTTCGAGTTTAGAGATAGGGCGGATTACTGGATGAGTCCCCACCACCCGGAGAATTCCAGCAGCCCCCTTTCCCCTTGGGTCTTGGGTGAATGATCGATTCTTGGCTACGTTTCTGGTTGGCACACACGCGGGAATCGAGATCCCTGATGCTTCGTGGCGTCAATCCGGACATTTGACTCTGTCGAGCTTGTTGTGCTGGTGGAGACTTTTTTTTCCTTCTTGCAGCTGCGCGACGGCTGAAACCGCCATCCCAAGGCGGGTCGACCATGCATTGATGGATACTTGATTCAGGTGGGTGTCTACGGAGTCTAGTGTGTTGTGCCACCCCTTTTTCTTCTTCTAATTCTGAGTTCTTTCTTCCCGGGTCGGTTGTCCATTTTTTGCGCCTGCCAATTGGTACGATCCTCGGTGAGGCCAACATACTGGCAGGTTGGAATGTGGGATTCCGCAATGATCGACTATCGGAGGATTTCCGTTTCTCGAGTCGAGCGATTTCCCATCCGTTTAAGTAGAGTTAAGTTGAAAAGTAAAAACAGAAAAAACAGAAAGCAAAAAAAGGACTCAAATTGGGATCGGATCTTAATCTCTTGCCTGAAGAAGCAAAGGCGTTGTCGCTCCCATTCCCATGCGGTTAGGATTATCTGATCGGCCTGCTAGCCATAGACTCCACGGCCTCCCTGGCCCCACTCTCTTGACTTTTGCCTCGTCTCATAGGCGGACGTCGCGGACTTCCCAGCCTCCTTTGTCAGCTCGAGTCATCCGTCCAACGGTCCTAACGGTGCCCCCATCGTCGATCATCCCGGGAACTTTTGTAAGTCGTCTATTACGGAGTAGCTATGATGATATATGGTACCCAGACCATTACTAGCTTCGTTTCTCCGGTGAATCCTGTGAATACTCGTAAATAACTCAGTAGTTGGAAGGAATTGACGTTTATCGCTCTTGTTATGTTATTTTCATTGTTGTTTTGTTTACAGCGCGTTTACGGTGGCTAGACCAAGCGTGGTCCGTACCAAGCACCAATTCCCGTCCACCCCCACAGCTACGCTGCGCCCAGCTCGTAGTTTGCTAGCGTGCGACACTATCCAGCTTCTCGATGCGTTGCGTTGGTGGGCGGATGCACGGTTGCCTCTAAAACAACAAGGCAACCAAGACCTTGGAGCCGGCGGCTCCGGCGTGCATTTCCGTGTCGAAACCGCCACCGGTCTACCAATCGCATGATCGGATCCCTCAGCACAGCGTACTTCATCTGCGACCGGCCACGATTTCGATAGTTCAGATCGAAAGGATCCCTCCCCCGGCGCCTGCGGACCTGCGGGGGAAGCCGGGCCAACATGCAGAGAGAATTTCGAAATGGTTCGGACTCCGTGCACATGCAGTGGAGCAGAGTTCAGAGTTCAGCGAGGTGACCTACCGTGCATGCACCGGGCCCGAATCTCAAATCTCAGGCGCACAGAACGCATCGCCCGGTGGCTGAAACGCTGCGATCTGGGTGGTGCGCTGGCTCGGCTGCGATGCAGTTCATGTAGATCGATTCCTCGCGTTGGATCGAGGCCCGTGTTTTGACGATCCGGGTCCGAATAGTTGGAGACCACGTTCATATACCGACTGCAGATAGCATACGTGCCACGAGCAGTTTGGATGGGTTTGTAGAACTGAGATCAAAGTTAGAGAGCAGATTTCTAGGGTCGAACCAAGATCCAGGAAGATCTTGACAGAAAGTTTGTAACGTTCAGGCCCTTTGACTAGTCAGTTAAGGGCCGACCGTTAGGAGCCATGCACCCGCTATGGGTCCCGTCTGTGCGCAGGCGCCCCCCCTAACGTGTGATGAGATTCCCATGCGAGACTGGCGGAGGTACCGTAGACCCGGTACCATCCCAGATCATTAAGACTGGGATCAAGGGTGAAAAGGGGAAAGGCGGGAACCTCGCGGAGAAAATAGCACGAATCCCATGGGAAGTGGCATAACGGTCGGAAAGCCTGAGAGGGCCAAAGCGAAAAGAAAAAGAAAAATAGGCAATGAATTGTCCGGTAAGCTTAGAGGAAAATGCATATTCCCATTTTCCCCCATGTTGTCATGTTGCTATGTTCTAGAGACGGCACAGAAGATGCGCGAGACCGGAACCGGTAAGGACAACGGACTTATGGCCTTTTATTATGCTACGTCACCGGGCTTTTCCCCATTACTCTCTCAAGAGCCGAGATGGCGTTGCGATCAGGCCAATAGCCTTTCGCGTGGTCCGATCTCGATCCAAAGCTTAAGCCATGCGAGGTGGGCTGAAATCCGGAGTCTCTGCTGGAGGGGGGAAATAGTGCGCCGTCCTCTCGATTCCCGAATGTTTGGTGACGTCGGGGCCTCGGTGGCTAATCGAGGGGGGATCGCGAGACCGTGGAAAGCATGTCCAGGAACGAGAGATCGGAAGCTGCACAATGTCTCTTATTGGAGCCCTCAGCCTCGATGCAGTTGCGATTTCAACATGGGCGGGTTGTGTGACGATGGCTTCCCCCTCATTCCTCAGATCTGAGGGCATGCCGTGGCTAGATCGGCAATTCAGGCACTCGGTATGGAGTACACCAACGGTAGTACTATACTCCCGGCAGCCCTGAGCCCTCGAGCAGCACTCTCAACACCGATCCTTGGCGCAACGAGATCTGAACACGCTTGGCGCCCGAGGCCGGAATCGAGATCTCCATGTGACAGCTATAGAGCGAGTGAGCTATAAGTATAGCGCGCCGTAGCGTGAGAGAATCGCGATCCGACCTTCGAGTCCAGAAGTAGTCGGACCTAGGTCCCTGTACGCCGGTGTTCCTGCGCAGGGTCGAACCAAGGTAAAGAGAGACCTACATCAGTAGGATGGGAGCAAGCTAGGCTGCCGACACCTAGGCTTCTAGGTAGCCTGAAGTAAGGCACATATTGCACAGAGTACGAGTAAACACGATAGGTACGATAGGTACAATTCCCATCTCCACCGATCCGCAGTTCGCTCACTGAAGTAGTGTAATTTGCCTGTCAGTAAAACGGGGTCATGACCGATCTCTCAAATTCTGGTATCTGACCTCCGAGTCACCTTGACTTCCTTAGTTACCTATACCGATGTTACTAAGTTACCTTAGTTCCCTGACCTTTCCCACTTTGGACTTCCACTGCACTTCTGTACTCTGGGTACCCGCTTCTCATCGATCCACTTGATTCCTCCCGGATTTTTTTTTTTCTTTTTTTTTTAGTTTTTTTTTTTAATCCTTATTTTTTACTTTTTTAGATAATTCTTTTTTTTTTTTTTTGGTTTTCCCTTTTTTTTAATTTTATAATATTTTATAATTATAATTATTTTAAACTTCCCTTTACTGTATGATACCTTACCCACTCGTTCATTCCAATCTAAGGCCCGAAATGAAGTAGCCTCGATCCCCTGTCCTTTTGGCTTTGCTTTCCCCCCTCTTTCTGTCTCGCTCATATATCGATCGCTGGATCGAAATCTGACTTTATTTAACTCTCCATTCCACCTCGTGCATCTCTTTTGGCGCCTCATATTTGGATTTGCATTCCCTGGACATTCCCCCCTCCACGTTACAATTCGACCCATCCAACATCCCTTGCATCGCTTGCCCATCACGATCTATCTAGGATCCTTTTTACTTATTTTCTTTTTTTATTTTATTTTATCTGTCATCATCGCCTTCTCCCTGACACTTCGGAGCCGACTCAGAAGCCTCGCTACCTCGCGATAGAAAAGAGTGGTAGAGGAAAGGAGTATACTTTTTTTTCTCTCGCCCGATCGCAGACCCGCGCCACACTCAACTTTGGTTCACTGGGATCTCGGTTCCTTCCTACGTGAACTTCGCATCTCTCCGATCTTTCCGCCACTCGCACGAACTGGGGAAATCTCGCTGCTTGGCTGTTCCATCGGAGATCGAATCGCTGCCAACGCGACTTCGACTATTTCTACGATCGCCTTCCCCTCCACCCCCCATCTCCTACCTCCCAAAGTTCCAAAGTTTCAAGGCACAACATACTCGGTTGATGAGGACTATCCTTTCGTGACACTCAACCCAATATTCTAACAAAGTACGTGATGGGGTCTTTGGAAGCCGCACCAAGGCACAGGTTGGTTTGGCTTGCTCGTCGGCCCGGACTACAATGCTGACTTTCGCAATAGAGACCCTTTGCCCGCCATCGGTGGTTTCATAGGCAAGGACTCGGGGTTCAAACACCCTGTCTCATCACCCATCCCCCTTCACTCCTCCAGCATGTATTCCGGTCAACAATTACCCTACTCCTACGCGTCCACGACCAACGCCCCCTCCCAACCCGGTTACATCTCACCGCCAGAGTCGCGCCGGACCATCGAGGATGAAAAAGACAAGGCCACACCCCGCCAGTCCCTCCCATCCATTCACGAGGCTCTCGACCTTCCTTATCCCGCTCCCACCTCCGCTCCTCAATCACAATCCGGTCTCACCGCACCACCATCACATCTGGTCGGGCGCTCCGGGGAGGGTCCGTCAGGGCCTCCGAACCCCTTCTCCAATGGCCCGGCTTCGGGCTCCCTTATGCGGGAATCAGGCTACCCCCACCAGAACCAACTCCAAGCCGAGGCCTCGCGCAACAGTCTGGCCTCGATTAACACGGCCGATTCACGCAACCCGTCGCTCCACACCCTCAGCACCGGCAAGTCACCGACCCAGAGCGCCAAAACCGGCATCACCTCGGTGACGGGCTCGCAGAATTCCTCCGGTTACGAGTACAGTGCGCCGCCCTCTGCCGGCAGTGTCGCTTCCCCCAATGGCTACACTCACTTCCCTCCCAACTACTCTTACCCTCAGCCGCCGAACGGCCCGTCATACCCTCCGGCGCCCTACGATAATCGATATATGAGTGCGCCGCGCGTGGACGAGGTCAAGGGTGGATTTGTGGGCCGTCCGATTCCTGGTCAGCCCCATAGCGATTCGGTGAAACGGCATTTGGACGTCTACGATGTGGAGACGTCTTTGAATGAGGTATGAAATTTCTTTGGTTGCTTCTTATTTTTATTTTTTTTTTCACGTCAGCCAGCGGGCGACGAGCATGGGAGATTGCTTCCTGTCGATCGGCTGGGTGTGATTGGGTGCCAGAAACCTGAATTTTGAGAACGGGTGGGCTGACAGCTTTTTTTTGCATCATTGGTACAGATCTCGGAGATGAGCACACGAACACTTGACTTTTCACGGCACTACGCTGCCCGTGCACACCAAACACAACGGTCTGGCCCGATCTTAGGGTCTCTACCCTCCCTCGGAGAAGTGGAAGACATGCTCCATATGCAGCGTCGGAACCAAGATGCGCTCATCCGGATACGGACGGCGGTCGTCAACCAGGAACAAGCGCTAGCGGAGCAGCTGGCGCAGCGCAAGGCCTACAAGCCCGGGGAAGACGAGCACATGGCCATGTACCAGGAAGAGTTCAAGGGCGCGGGTGGATTCGCCGGAGCGGACTCGAAAAAACGGCGTGGAGTGAGTGACCATTCACCTTGTTCTGATTTTGATTTTTCCTTTCTTTTTTTCCCGCTTGTTCCCCAAGCTTGTCACTTGTCACCATGGTTGATACGAGTGTCATGCTCCACTTCCTGTCACTATTCGAGCTGTCAGTGGCTAACCACATCTTCTTGCTTGCAGAAGGCGGCCCCTCCTGGTCGTTGCCACAGCTGTAACCGAGCCGAAACGCCGGAATGGCGTCGGGGTCCAGATGGTGCCCGAACGTTGTGTAACGCGTGCGGGCTTCACTATGCCAAGCTCACACGAAAGATGGGCGCGAACAAAGCGGCGACCCTGGGTTCGAATCTGAAGCCGAAGACCCTCGACTCCGCATCACCAACCAGTCATTGAAGCTGGTTTTCTCTGCTACTTCTTTTTCTCATGTGGCGTTGGCAAAGGACGGGAAATAGAACCAGGAGGCAAAAAGGAGTTTCGTGGCCTTTTTTTTTTTTTTTTTTTTGGATCATTTCCGGATAACGAGTGTTTTTTTCTTTTTCATTTGCTCTTTGGCCCCGGCATCCCTGTCTCGTCTTTTTTTTCTTTCTTACTTGTTGATTTTGTGTCTCTTCTTTGGACCTTCCTAATCGGTGCCCTTATATAATACCCTCGCAGCGTTGGGAGCCAAGCTTCAAAGCATAGATTTTACTCTCTTTTTTGTGCCTTGGATCGGATGAGCTTTGTTTTGCTTTCAAGACTGTTTTTTTTTATACCCTGCATGTGTCCCCGAGCCTCTCTCTGCGCGTGTTCGAGTATGTTGCGTTGTGATGTGTGTACGATCTTGGTTCTCCTTAGCATACGACCTATATTGGATGAATGTTGCTCTTTCCCACTGCACCCGAAAAAAAAAAAAACAACCTAAATCCCGATCTGAGATCTAAAATCTAGAATCTTTATGCGGGTGGCAATGTGAAGTGAAGCTGCATTGGATGTTACCGATCTAACAAGAATCAAAACCGAAATAAGGTATGACCTCTACCCAAAGTAGAAAGTATGGTTGCCACGAGGTTTTTGAGTTGGTTCGATTCGGTGTAGCTTTCGGCCGGTAATGAAGTCATCCGGCAAAGGCCGAGCTTGGTTGTTTGGTTCAACCAAACTATGAGCGAGGCACTGCAACTATATCGTCAAAATACGGATGCTCGGATGTTCGCTTGCGCTTGACTATCATAGTAACTGCCAAGCTATGACAGCATGGAAGAAAACCCTTCAGGTGGCGATCATCTGCTCCCGTGGTTATGTGCTAGACTGTACGGAGTACAGAGTACGGGGTATGGGCTGAGGGCATTGGGGAGCGGGCCCTACTCCAAAATCAGAGACCAGAAATTGGAGATACAGGAACTCAAAACTTCCAATTTCGGTAGTAAAGGCCTCCTCACCCAGCCGATAGCCGCAAAATAGACTCGGCGCAAATGTTTAAAGTAAAGATCTACTCCGTGGAAGATCGCAGGGAGGCCCCGGCCACCCGCGATCGATCTACGGACGGATTCTCAAATACTTCAAACGCCTCCACCAAACCCAAAAAGGAAAAAAAAAAAAAATTTCAACAAAAAATGAAAAAGGTAAAAATGAAAGTTTCAGACCGCCAGAGGAACGGGAGCCACCCGATAATCAATATCATGGGCGTGTGGCGCGTCTCAAGATTTGTCATGGGGTGACAGCGAACCTAGTCCCCGGAAAGGAACCCCTGTCCGGAGAGATCGTGGTTCGTTCGTTGGGTAATCGGCCCGGTTTTTTTTTTATTACCTCAAGTGGAAAGAACGGTGAACAACGAACGGAGTACGGAGTACAGGGGCCTGAAGGATCGCCAAGTGCCGCTAGCAGGGGTATGTCGCGATCGCGATGCGTTGCAGTATTTGAAATCCCGGGTTCGTTTTTGAGGTGATTTTTTAGCCTTCACGACAGCGTAGATACCCCGGGTTCGAGCGTCTGTATTTTGCGTTTCCTTCTACCCTGACTCGGGACCTCCCAGATCGAGTACCTACTACAGAGGTAACATCCTGAGGTGCCTAAAGGGTCGGGTACATATCGTATTCTATACGTACACCATCGCGATCGACTCCAATAGTCCGATCATACGACTCGTGCAGCCGACAAGGCTGCCAGATCAGATCTAGCAACCCAATCAGCTCGGGCAGTCGCATGGCACGACATCCCTGTGGAGATCCTAAACTCGCCGTGTCACGGGGTTAACCGTACATCGTATAAACACCGACTTTCTGTATTGTGAGCCTCCAATAAGGTATACGGATATGAACCCAACCGTCATGTCATAGCCTTATTCCCTATTACAAATTACCCACTCACCTTAAGGACTAGTTTGGCGGCAAAATAATAATAAATATAAACCAATAAAAAATTATTTAGATAAGAATCTGTTTTCACAGTCAGCGCTAGCCAGAAGTCTTAACACCCGGTTCAATATGGCCATGTGATTCTAACTCTTGAATTTGGCTCATAGTCGGGGTTGGATAGTCCTTTCTAGTAAGATCTCGCATCGCGTTCCAACATTCAGGCGGCCGAGATCGCGATCCGAACTCCACCTAACCCGATTCCCACCCCCAGAACAATAGTCACTACAAAAGAACGGAGATGACGGCGAACTCCGGCTGTGCCTCGTTGGGACCGTCATTGTTCTCATGGGTGGGTAAAAGTGGAATGTGGCCGGTGGCCGGTGGCGTAATGCCCCGGCACTATTTTCCTAGACGCGGGCGCAAATCAAGTGCAGGGGGCTAACGAAACCTCGTTATCGTTCACTGCCGGGTGTCAGTGGCTCGTTGGATTGCCGAAGTGCATGCGCTGCTGCATCTCCACAGGCGTTGTTTGCAAGTCAGATCGGCCCCTGTGCCGCCCGATGGGTCTTCCAAAATACTGTAGCATCTAGGTACATGGAACCCGAGGGGTCACTGTATAGTTCAGAACTATAGATTGTCTCAGATCGGGTATCGGGGGAACCCCTCCTGGTTCGGGATCTAGGGGTCTTCCGTCTTCACATGTGGGAAACTGGTAAATTGGTAAAGTTACAGAACACCAAGTTAGTCTACCTATGAAATTGCAAGGGCAACGATCGGTAGATCAGTATTTTACCGGGCTCTCGGGCCTTCCGCACTATTCCGTCTTGGACCACGACGGGATGTGTGGATCTTCTCTACTTGTTCTTTGGCCTTCTCTGCGTAATCTGTGTGATCTTGTGTTCCAAGGGTTCTTAGATTCGTCTCACTACCTTGGGGGTTCTGCCCCAGATCTACCCGGACTATATGCTCGACCTCCCCTACCTTCAAGGGAATCGCAACTGCAACCAATTCGGGCTGGGTAACCCCACCCCACCCCTATTCCTGATCAAAAGGACCAGTCGCTTTTCATTCATCCCTAGCATTCCCGATTATTTTCGCTAGCGGCGGCTGAGGACCGTGGGTCGACATTAACAAAGACCTGAAAACTGGGCCCGATGTCTGCGGGAGAATCGGAGTGGAGATGAATCTTGATGCTGAGCCGCGGTGCTGGGACAACTATTGATTTGAGTTTCTCGGGGACTGTACGAGCCAAGGAGCCCTTGGAAGCATTTGTAAAGGTGTTCGCCGGACTGTCAGATCTGTAAGATCGCACAGTGCCAAATGTAACATCGAGCAACAGAGTATGTAGAATACTCCGTACGCCGTACTCTATACAGTGTACTCTATACTCCGTACTCCCTTGTATACCGTCAATACTCACCGTCTATCTAGACGTCCCATGGTACAACCTGCCACTAGACCTGCGCGATCGCACAAAATGCACCGGGATCTCCCCATCGTGCATGACCCCCTGTACCACTCCGATCGTCGATGCTAATGTTACACGGCGTCTCCTCGGGATCTGATCTTCCCTCTGCATGATTTCGAGATGATCCTTACTCCATCCAGGTTCCACTAGCTGACGTGGGATCTCAGGTGCACTGTTTTGCCTTTTGCAGCCCACACGCACCGGTTGCCTATTCTAGCGGTGAGTTCCTCAAGGCCTCTGGAGACAACATTCCAATCCAAAGGCCACGTCACCCTGAATTCCGATTGCTGCGAGTCAGCCGCTCGGTGGCTGCATAGCATCGTGTCTCCGCGGAGAAAACAACCGGAAGCAGTTCGTGACTTCGATGCCCCACTCAATAAGCGCCTGCTTTTTTGACGCGGAGTTCCGACCCGGCCATTCATCGCTTACATCAAGGGGCCCACCTGCTGTGATTTGCATTTCGAGGGTGTACACTACAGGTGGGGATCCAGGCCGCTGGATTTATGATGCCGAGGTTACAGTACTGTAGAATGGGCGGGTAGGTTTCAATGGTCGATGGAGTGGGACAGTCTGGGAAGCATTATTGATTATTGGCATCGGCACCGGGCTCTAACGGGAGCAACTCGTGCACGAGCGCCCCACGCGCGATCTCGATCGGCGGATTTCCGATCGTGTTTCTGCAAGAGCCCAACCCGGTAAGTCAGCAGGTTTCGTCATAGTTTGGTCCAGATATCCAACCCGTGGTTCAGGAGAACTTTGTGTCTATTTCCAAAATCCTTCGACGGGCCTGACTCAGCCGACGGCGTCCTCTCGGAGCCGTCGGACCCGGATCGGGGGTTGTGGCGCTATCTACTTCGGGCTTCATACAGGAGTAGCCTCATTTTGATATTGGGGGGTTTGATTATCTTTATATTGATGTCTCGGGCTGCCGCGGCTGCCTGGTGGAAATGAGATGCTGTGGGTCAACTAGCGAACTTTGGGATCCTTCGATACCTTTAGCGGGATCGAGAGTCCCAAGATTGCATGAGATGATTAGGCATCGCTTATCGAGCACATTGGTCTCCGCTTTCAAAATTATCATCGAACCGGAAAAATTACTCCCTTACATCATAGGTTGTTGCCACATGTGCAGACGGCGGGTAAACATACATAGGCATATATGGTACGGGAATGAGCATCGTGTACAACAGTATCCTCGGATATTGTGAAAGTCTATTTATCTCCAGAAGGCCTTCGCGTTCGACATGATGTAATCAATGCCTTCTTTGCGCCACGTATCCGCCTCCATGTGGCTAGTCGTATTGGCATTCAGCAACAGGTCGACGGGCTTGTTTGTCCCGTATGCCTCCCAATGCACCGACTTGTTCACCACTCCCGAGTTCGGGTCAAGGTCGTGGATGAAGGATGCCCACATGCTAGTCATCATAGTGCTGAGATCAATGTATGACTGTGGTACGCCGGCGAATGGCTTTCCGTAGTGGTAACCCATCCCGGCAATGTTGTGGAACACAAAGGAAACTTCCTCGAAGTGGGTTACGCCCACAATGAGTGGTACGTCGGCTGAGTGTACGTTGAAGCGGTAGCAATATGCCGGTGTAGATGTTTCCGACCATACTTCACACTGGCGGCGGCGGTTCGCGTGCATGGTAAAGTCACCCGCGAACGCGGATGTTCGTCGCCATTCGTAGCCCATTGATGGGACACGCTTGTCGCCGAGGAATTCCGGGATTCCCAGAGATGGATCATCGGGATACAGCTTGAGGATCTCCTTTGCAACAGACGGGGGCGTCTGGAAGTCAAATTCACCATCTACGAAACACTCGAGTGATTAGCTATTCAAGTGGTTTGTTTGTTGCAGTGAGCTTACCAGTCAGATATTCATACCACTGCTCCGTAGTGTTGATTCCTGTTGGACCAAATGCAGTTCCTTCATCTGTGTTAGTGCCAGCGAGAATAGGAACCTTGATGAACTCGTGCTCATCCAGTTGGATACTGCCCCAGTTCTGAACCAAGTCACCGTCTACCACTGGCCAAAAATTATAGTCAGAGGAGCCATCGGTACCATTCAGAACCGAATTGAGGATCTCGAAAGACACTTCGCGCAGGCATTGCAGCGTATCCGCTTCGTCACCACAATTCACTTTAGATACCAGTTCGTCGTAGGTGGCCTGGAATGTAGTGTAGTTGGACGGTTTAGCAGCAATAGACCCGCCCGATTCCATGATTGCTGCTCGGAACAGCTTGTCGTCTCGGCCTCCATATGCTGTCAGATGATAACCTACTGACATGGCACCGGCAGATTCACCCCAGATGGTAACCTTGCTAGGATCACCACCAAAGGCAGCGATGTTCTCCTGGACCCATTCAAGTGCCAGCCTCTGATCTCTCAGTCCAAGATTGGTATTTCCACTGCCCCAGACTTGACTTGAGCTGATGAAGCCCCAGGCTGAGAGTCTGTAGTTGAGACTGACGGCGATGAACGGTTTACCTGGATGCCTCAGAATCAGTATACACAAGAGTTGCACCCACACGAGTACATACCAATCTTCTCGGCATTCGCAACAATCGCCGACATGTTGTATCGGTCGTCCGATCCTGAGCCTTCGAAGAATCCACCGCCGTGGATCCAGACTCCTACGGGGAGCTTTGAGTTTTTGGTGACAGACGAGCTGCGGATGACGTTGATGGTCAAGCAAGCCTCAGATTGGGGATACCAGATAGAATCCGTCTATTCCAGTTAGATGGACCAGAGAAAGATGGAAACGAAGTACTCACCCCATACCCCACGCAGATATCAGAATATTCTTTCGCATTACGCGCCTCGCTCCAGCTCTCGTTCAATGACTGTGGCACTGTAAAGCGCAGGTTTCCGACAGGCTGCTGGGCGTAGGGCATACCAAGGAAGAAATCTTGATCGTACCCAGCGCTGTATACACCAGTGTAGGTTCCATTGCGGACTGCGGCGGTGGGAGATGATTGCCTAGGAGCGGCATATGCCACCCCCCATATAGCGAGGAATCCGACAACATATGCGAGCATTGTGTTCTCGGGAGATGTAGTCAATGGAATTGATACCTGGGTCAGTTCCACTCCGGGATATCCCAAGTATATATACATGTTTTTGCGATGAATCCGGGGATAATACACATGCGGGGAAGGACAAGGCCCCACGCGGGGACGGTGGGACGATCAGGCCTCTTTTTGGGGGGGAATTGTTGTGTCTCAGAGACAAATCGCCCCGGATGAGCATCATAGGATTCAAGATATGCCGTTGAGGATTGCCGCTCGCGTACTAAACTTTCGGGAAGTGTGAATGTCCGATGAGATAATGTCAAATCCGGATACAAACACTGAATATTGCGGGGAAACGGGGAGAAGAGCCAATCGGTTCTACTCTGGGGCTTCTTATTCTGCGCTGACGGCCTGAAGTGTGGAGAAGGGATATCACAGCCCGTGGTTTTTCGCGGATGAATGCCCGGATCGGTGGAAGTGGCCGTTATCTTCACCGAGGTTTATCCGATCGTGGGGCGCTAAGGCACTCGGGGTACGATGGACTAGCTCTGATCTTCAAAGGAAGTCTTTGCTTTGAGCTGCGAGAGTCCGCCCAGGCGCAAAGTTGGAAGAGAAGTGGCTGATTGAAAGCGACTTTGGAGCTTGTTGACTTAAATGTTATACTTCGAAACGCAGCCTGGAAGAACAAGCAGCCAAGAGCCCGCAAAATTGGTTGATTCGGATGGACACTGCGATAATATATATTGAAAAGAGAAAAGAACCAAGTGCGTAGATCGATGCGAAGTTCAGAACGGATGAAAAAATAAAGGGTAAAAAAAGATATCTTCCCTCGAACCGGAATCGAGCCGGTGACCTTTCGGTTATATGTATCCATTACAGCCGAACGTGATATCCAACTACACCATCGAGGGTTTAGATATGGAATCGGGCCTCACACTGAGACATGACTTCCACCCCCAGCCACACATTTTATTTCGAGACTGGTCACCAAAGTCACCTCCAGTCCTCCGAGGTTTTGACATCCCCATGAACTTCATCGGTTTGGTTTTTGTTACGGGGATGATAACAGGTATCCTGGTTACTAATAATCCACCTAGCAGTCCCCAGCCAATCAAAACGTGTGGGCTCTCGTTGGATATTCTTTCCGCCAGAAATTAGTTAGCTCGTGAGTTGTATTCAACTGGGCACCTTCGAAAAACATGTATGAAAACTCCCAATTTCTCCATACCAAGAAAACATGTGCTGCGGTTGCCGTATCCTTCTATTCATTTGGCCCCGTATGATCTTATCCCATCTCGATCTCGGCCCTTAATATACGGAACGCATTGGTTAGTGATATACTAGAATTTTCAAAGAAGACCTGGGCCACCCGAATATAATCAATGAAACGAGAAATCTGGATCTAGGATGAACACATGTAAGGGTGTATATGCAGGACAACAAACTCCAGAGGGCAGCAAAATATGGCCTAGGGAACTGCCCACGCCATAACTATGTGCAGATTCACTCATGGTCTCTAAAATAACCTTCAACCACCCGGGTTATCTTCAAGAGCGGATGCGATACCGATTTTGACTAGTTCTTTTTGCCCCGGAGGAGCTCCCACCCGACACTACCATTCCGACCTTCCTTGGCGGTCAACTCTTCAACGGCTTTGACGAGGTCGTAAGTGATCTCCTCGGACACCACGCTGTCATGCTTGTAGCTTGGGTGCTTGGCGACGAACTCGCGGATCCAGCGTGCGCCGGTCCAGAGTGTGCCGTCGGCGCGCTTGCGGATGAGATCGAGGTAGCTGGCGAGGAAGCACCGTGTCTCGACGTCCACGTTGACGCTGTTAAGGTATGATTCCACAAGTGGGATGAGGCCCGGGAATAACCCGTCTGGACCACCGTTGATAATATCCGAGATGCTCATTAGTTCGTACTCGGTATCTACAGGGCCGAGAGGAGGAGAAGGTGGCGGGGTATTGACGGCTGAGGAGGTAGCTGATGAGAATGTGCTGCCGTTGGTCGATTGCTGGGGAGTCCTGGGCACTCGTCGCGGGAACGGATCCTTACGGAAGTAGAACTTCTTGTCGAGAACCGCGTTGCGAGCGTGGGCCGTCTCCATGTTCTCGGTGGTTAAGGGGATAGGAATGTAAAAGTTGAGGTCGAAACTGAGGATTGCTCGGGTGATGAGGACAATGAAGATGCTGAACGCTGCGTTTTCAAAGTCTGTGATTTGGATCTCCATGGGCCGGAACTCGACACGCCAGCCAATGTCGCTCCCAGAAGGCGGGGGCTTGAATCGCATATGCTGCCAATTGGTGGACTGGAGGTTCTCGAAATGATTGTCTTTGTCAAGGTCGAGTTCCTCTAAGTCTTCAGAGAAGATGACCAGCGGGTCGCGGATGAAGAGGTGTGCAAAGTGTGTGGCAAGTAGGTCATCCATGCCTCCCTCAATCAATCGTTTCTTAATGTCTTCATCGACGACCAGATCCGGGTCGAGGTACTCCTTCCGCAGCCGAGGATCTTGAGAGATATAAGTTGAGTTTGAAGCATACCGAGACTTGGGAATCCTCCATCGATCGTTTTTGAGGGGCTGCCAAAAGGTAAGTAAGCATGCAGAATAATCGAGTCGACAAAACTTACAGCTTCACCAAGTTCCTCCGGGGTTCTGTCATCCACAGCTCCGCTGATCTGATTCCATCGCACGTCGGTATCCACAAGGAATCCCTTATAGATTGGCGTGGCGGCAGTGAGAGCAAGAAGAACCGGCCCCAAAGGACTCAATTGGTCATAAAGCCTCCTGCCTTCGGTCATATTCTTTGCCTGGAAGGTGATCTGCAAGCAACAACTGCCCATTCCAAAGGCCATGGCATCCATGTAAACGTGATCGTCCTTGGCGGCACCGTTGCGGACATCGTCATCCTCGGGCCATATGTGAAGGTCGTAATCCACAGAAGGGTCCTTGAATGGCGAGGGAGTATTCAGATCCTTAAACACGGGCACATTCAATTCTACCTTGCGACCTCTCCGAGATCGGATGTTGGCTGCCAATGTAGGGAATCGAATATGAGGATTGGCGATCTCATCGGGGACAAATTGCGAACGGAGCGCTGGTCCCGAGGGAGGATAGTATGGCTGAATATAATCGTCCTTTGTTCCCAATCGCGGGAATGTCGTCAGGGTCAAGGGGGACTCGTTCGGCGCCATGTGTGCCTTGGCGATCTCTCGTCTAAGAAAGTATGAGTATTGTGCAGCAACCAAGACGAATCAAAAGAGCGATTGACCTCCACTTCATGTTGGATTCTACCTTCAATAAATCCTTGAATCCGATACCCCAAGGGCTCCCCGGTGTGGCCTCGAGCATGAAACGCCCGAATTCGGGGTGGAAATGCGGGGGTTCCTCCCCATCGCTGATAGAAGTCAGACATTGCCGTGCATACTCGTTACATATACCATGCCAACTTACTGCTCCCCGTTGTCTCCGTTCCTGCTGCCTCCCGACTTCCACAGGGCTTCGTCCCGCGCAAGGGACTTGAGGATATCAGCCTGGGCCAGAGATAACCGTGATTTCTTGGCTGTGTCGTCGAATGCTACCACAAGATATTCGACCTATACGTAAAAGGAATTGTAAGCTTGGGGTATCACTGGCGGCGAGTTGTTCCACATACCTCATCACCCCACAGTAGAACGTCTCTTTCTTTGCCTCTGGCTCGTCGCCAATTTGCCAGTAGTTGCTGCACCAGCTGTCAGTTGTATGCCCCACCAATGTGCTCTTCAAGCGATCCGCAACGGTGCCCCTCCATGCACAAACCTCAATGCCCCACTGGCGAACCTGACCGGCCTTCTTCTTGGCCTCGGGCCATTCCAAAGCAGTTCCAAGGGCCCTGAATAGCAGGATTAGTGACCCGAATAGGCTATCCCGTGAAAAGAATGAAGCGCATACAGAAGACCCATTGTGCTTGTGCCTAAGCCGTGCCGACCAACTCCGCAGTGTGCTCCAAGCCAGAGATCGAGAGAGGTAGATGGGGCGGGGTTCTCGAGGAGACCAAATGCAAAGCGCGGGGCAGAGAGATTACTGAAACCAAGGGACCAAAGTTTTAGACAGAAAGAAGTCCGCACCCAAACATCTCGTTCCGCGCGGTTCTTTTCAATTCTCGTCCGAAGTTTTCGGAGGCCGTAACACTGCGGGGCAGGCGATAGGGAAAAGTAACGGTTCCGACTCGATTTCTAAGCAAATCCCCAATCCCGTCCAAGGATCCGCCGCTTACTTTCTTGGTATAGCAACACGTCGAGGCACCTTTATTATTATGTACTTTCCAACGTGCCATACAACCGGGCTTCTTACGATGATATTCAACATCTCTGTAGAGTGACGGGCGCATCTCGCGCTCCAAACCCCGGTCCCTCCGTTGAATACGCCCAAGCGATGCGATAATCATTCCCTGCAGGGCATAGTACGATCTGCATGCCACCCAATCTACCGATACGAGAAAACTACAGTATTCCACAATAGAGATCATGCTAGAATTGAATGCTGACAAATCTATTGGTCCCTGGTCATTGGAGCAGATCAGTTCTGAAGCTCCTGTGTATAACCTGTGGTACCTCTTACTCTCAAGTTACGAGTGATGAGCAAGATGATGCGCCATCTGCAGGGTCAGATCGATAGGCAGGGATCATCTGTCACGAGGCAAGGCATCCAATATCCTAGTACCACGTCGGCGAAAAAAGAGGTCCCAACGCCAAAAGGCAGTCCATGAGCAGTCTCGGTATATCGACTATGTACATAACCTGCTGCTGTTTCAGCAGTTCTGACTGCGCAAACACAAACGCAAAGATCAGCTTCAGTTGCTACGGGCGCCGTCCTTGGCAGCCCGAAGCTCGTCCATCTTAGCCACGCGCTTCTTGAACTCGTCGTACTGGCACTTCTCGTAAGAGTGTCTCTCATCCTAGTAGAAATTGGATTAGCTGTTGTCGGCCAACGGGCACACCGATCGAGTAGTCGGAGACGTATCAAGTAGTCGGGTGGTCGGGATATCCAAGTGCGTACCTCGCACTTCCAGGGAAGGTAATACTCTGCTTGTCGGCATCGGTTCAACGGGATCAAAAGGTGCGCGCACGAGTCTCTGTATTGCATAGGGAGGCGGGCCTCGGACATTTCCTGGCGGGTTGCTAGATCCTGGAGTTAGCTTAATGTCACGGGCGTCGGAGGGTCTCCAATGGCTAGGAATCTTACCAGTGGTCTCTCCGAGACCCACGGCATTCTTGACCGACTCGACAACAGTCATTTTGGCGGGAATTGAGGGTGTAATGGCGCGGGGAGGAGAGGAGCGACGAGCAGGAATTCGAGGTTGGCGGTTGCACCGTTTCGCTATGTTCCTTTCTTCCCGACATCACGTGATTATAATAACACGTGACAAAAATCCACTTTACGCGGGCTCATCGCGTCTGCGCGTCCCTGCGATGCCACCCTAGCTCCACCTGGCAAATCGTGTCCCTACTCTCAGTCTGACTCTATGTGCGTGAAATGTGTCAGGCATTGAAGCAATCTTCAATCAATTGACTTGTGGACCCAAGAGGGGTTTACGGGCGCCAAAGGCGTGCCACATCGCTGCTTCAAATCGCCTTTGCCGTGACATCGGCCCCCGGCGATATTCATCATGGCGGGAATGGAGTCAATCTACTCGGCTACATACAGCAGTGTATGTATCTTACCTGGTTATTTCATCATCCGGTATCATCTGGTGATCTGGTGTTCATCAGTGTCCGATTTTCCATCGTTGTTTCGAATTTGTGACGTTCTAATAGTGCTTTTCTAGGTTCCGGTGTACGAATTTAAAATTGATGGTGATAGTGTGATGCGACGGAGAGGCGATGACTGGGTCAATGCAACACACATCCTGAAGGCAGCCGGTTTTGATAAGCCTGCCAGAACACGCATTCTCGAACGAGAGGTACAGAAGGGAGTGCATGAAAAAGTGCAAGGAGGTTACGGCAAATATCAGGGTATGGACCTCGAGGATGACGGTGGATGAAGTGAACATTTGCTCACATCCATAATTCTACAGGAACATGGATTCCTCTCCCAGAGGGCCGGATGCTTGCGGAGCGCAACAGCATATTTCACAAGCTAGCCCCCATCTTCGATTACGTTGCTGGAGATCGCAGTCCCCCACCAGCTCCGAAACACACGTCGGCTGCTTCGAAGCCGAGGGCTCCACGAAAATCTACCAATCGTTCTGCTGCGACCGAGATATTCAATGTGGTTCAACCGCAGCGAAGCATGGGCCCCCGGCCACTATCCCGCACGAACAATACGAAATGAATGCTGGATTTGATGATAACGAATCCCTTGAACAAGCGACCATTGAGTCGTCATCCATGGTTGCAGATGAAGATATGCTGCAGATGTCTCAGCACGGAGGACGCAAGCGCAAGCGTGGTATGAATGAGGCGAATGTCATGTCTATCAGTGAGCAGGAGCATATCATTTATGGTGATCAGCTCCTGGACTATTTCATGACTGTGGGTGATGCTCCACAAGCTACCCGCATTCAACCTCCAGAGCCCCCGGCTCATTTCCAAATCGACCGACCCATCGATGATTCTGGGAACACGGCCTTGCACTGGGCCTGTGCGATGGGTGACTTGGATATTGTGCAGAACCTCCTTCGTAGGGGTGCCAATGTAAAAGCATTATCAGTTCACGAAGAGACACCGCTTGTTCGAGCTGTTTTGTTCACCAACAACTACGAGAAGCGAGCCTTCCCTGCTCTGTTGGATGTTCTGCTGGACACCATCTCTTTCCGAGATTGGTTTGGGGCTACGCTTTTCCATCATATCGCCGAAACCACTCGCAGCAAAGGAAAGTGGAAGAGTTCCAAGTACTACTGCGAGGTTCTTCTGGACAAACTGTGCAAGACATGTTCTCAGGAGGAGATAGATCTATTGCTTTCATGTCAAGATGACAATGGCGACACTGCCGCTCTGGTGGCTTCTCGCAACGGTGCATTCCGCCTGGTGAACATGCTGCTCAACCACTGCCCTCGGGCTGGCGATTTGATGAACAAGAAAGGAGAGACAGCCAACAGCATGCTTCAACGTTCTCACAATGTCGACCAAGATATCCCGCCCGCCCCGTCGTCTGCTACCATGGCCAACGACCATCTGGATGGTGCAGGCGGCGATCTCATGTCGGGTCGTCAATCTATGGCCCCGCCAGTAGATTCCGCTGCCACCTCCGACCTGCTGTCAAAGATTGGCACAATCATGGCTGAGGCCAACAAGAAGCTCGCAGGAACCTATGGTAACTTCAAGGTAGAACAGCAAGATTCCCACGATGTTGCCAATCCCGAAGCACTGTTCGAACAGCTTGAAACGGATCGTCAGAAGATCCAGAAGCAAGTCTCAGCCCTCGCCGCCAAAGAGGCAGAGTACGAGCCCAGTGATAGCCAGATGGGGCGATATGAGAAGCTGCGGGCCAGCTACGAGTCTCTACTCGAGCAGACACACCACGCTGCTCTTTCCCCCCAACTGGCTGATGCAGGTCCACTTTCATCCGCTACGGATGCGTCCTCACTTGGACCCGAAGAGCTCCTGCACCGCTACCAACTCGCACGCGAGCTGTGTACCGCCCAGAAGACGCGCCGCGACACAGTGAGAGCTCTGGCGCAGCAAACAGCCGACGCAGGTGTGAGTACCAAGTTCGACGTGCACCGCAAACTCGTGGCTCTAGCTACGGGGTTGAAGGAAGAAGAGCTTGACCCAATGGCGGCCGAGCTGGCAGAGACACTGGAGTTCGACCGAATGAACGGCAAGGGTGCATCTCCGGACCCAGAGCGACGGATACGGAATGAAGCATCTACTCTCCCCTCGGGTCCCGTTGTGCCCGTGGATGCCTAAGTTGCATTCGCTCTCACCCGATTCTGGATCTGTAACGACTTTCATTCTGCTCTGCTTCTCCATCTGGCACGCCTCTTTCTGCAGTGGTTGACCAGCAGATACCCCTATTGCTTACATTGATTTTCGTGCTTTCCGTCTTGTTTTTTTTTTTTTTTTTTCTTCTCGCATTCCGACCGGGGGACTTTGTATGAGTTTCGGGTTGGCTGTACAGGTTCAGCAGGCCGTCTTCACCCATGGGGGACCTGTAACAGCATGTACATAGGGCAATGAATCCACGCTTTCAGAGTTCACGGCAGTCCGGAGGGTCTAGTCTGGTCATTGACGCCTAAAATCTATTCTGAACCCTAAGAAATCAACAAGACGCGATGATTGTGTAAGCCTCGGGGCAACGCGCAACACAATTTGACTGACACGCAGGATCGGCTGCGCCCATCGTAGATCCCAATCACGCTAACCTCCAATAGATGTGCTCTCCCACGAACACTGATCTGACCGATGGTCACGCTCCCTCATTGATGACATGTGGATTCCCGGTGCACTTCTGAGTGTGCCTTATAGAGCCTCAGCGAGAGTGAGATAATTGGCTGCACATGCGCTCTTGGCAGCGGCTCCAGGGAGGACGTGAGACGCCGATGGGACGACGATGGCGACGATGGCGGCCACGTCGGGGCGGCGCTAGCGGCCCCCAACCAATCGAATGGACGGAGATGTGATGAGCACAGAACCCTGGTCACATAGGGCGCTTGATTGGATGGGGCCAGGCATTCAGCTCACTCGAAGTCGCTTGTTTTTCATCAATTCGTCGTTGGGTCTTGCCACAGTCCGAGCTCCATTAGCTTTGGAAAGAAGCGGAAAGAATACTAGGAATCGATGAGAAGACCAAGAGGGGGTAAACAATTGTCCAAACTCATGATCTGAACTAGTCTCGTTACGGACTAGCGTTGTTCCTGGATGCCTAGCTGGCAAGGCACCGAATTGATTCCCCACACCCTTCTCTCATCCCAAACTCTCGCTCTCTTTCACACCTTCATCCTTTCCCCCCCTCCTCTAATCTTCGCTTCTTTCTTTTTTTCCTTCCCGTCTGCATTCTTTCATTCGCAGCTCGCATCGTTTGGGAAAAGATTAAACTTCAAAAAAATCACCCTTGCAAATAGTTATCCGATTCGTTCCGCCCCTGAAGACCTCGCGTCTGGCCCCGAGTCTCCAACCTTCGATTCCTCGTGCCTCAGGTACGACATATTCACGCTCGCGACTGGACCTGACTTCGTCTTTCCAACGCTTCGTTCTGTTCTGGCTCGTTTGTGACGTGCCCTTTGTTGTGTTGCTGCTCTTGCCGAGTCTTCACCATCGCGTCAACTCTTTCTTTCTCTCTCTTTTCTTCATCTGGGACTTGCAGAGCATCTCCCACGATCGCCCGCCTTTGTCTCGTTTTCTCGAGACCCCACTTCTATATTCGCATAATTTCCATTCGGGGGTGCCTTTCACCTTCATATCGCCGGTTTTCACATCAACCGCACCTTCGGCTACTGTTACCGAACCCTTCCCGAAAAATCAACTCTGCTGTACAGCTTGATAATATTGGCATCCTGCATCAGCATTCTTCATCATTAAGCCAGTCATTCGCTATCACTGCATATCTTCACTTGTGGTAAGCGATCCCGTCTGCCTAATCACGAGATTTTATTCACTGACGGGTGCCTCAGAATTCGCAATTTTCCGTCTTCACAATCCATCCTCTCCAATATCATTCCTGACGTTCGACTGTTCGACCGTTCTCGTCATAGACCTCATAATCACCTAATCATTCGGGAATAAAAAGCTCGAAGCTTCGTGGTTGATCCCGAGCGCTTGCCGATCCCGTAACGGAAACTGAATACGTGACCCCGTCCGCTACAGCCTTTGCACATACCCACTCTCCGCCTATTCCTTCGACGAATATGAGTATCGACGCTGGCGGTCTTGCTCAAATGACTTACAACAACAACTTCAATAATGGCACTTCCCTCGGTGTGCCGGGCTCCGGCTTCGCCTCGAGAGGGAAGGGCTCTCACATCAAACGCCTGAGTATGCCTCCTCAGGTGGCCAACATGGACGAATCGCAGCAGTCTTCTGTTTCGACTCCACGCACCAGCCGCTCGCATCTCCTGGCTGGCCTGCGAACCGCCCCTAGATCCGCCACCATTCCCTCACACCACCACCAGCAACCTGGTATGGACAGTGGACGCTTCCCTGGATCCAACCGAGGAATGGATCGGGTTCCTCAGACTGCTACGGGAGCTGGTTTCCCGCAGCATAGATACCCTTCGAACCAGCGGATGAACGCGCAGCAGCAGCAGAACCAGAACCGCCCAATGTACACTATGCCGGAGCAGGTGCTCGCTCCTCCTACCTTTGATGACTCGGGTATCGATGAGAGTATGTACGCGGAATTGATGTCGACCAACCTCTTCCTGGCCGCACAGCAGCAGCGTCTGCAACAGCAGCTGATCAGTGTAACCGCTGCCGCCCAACAATTCCAGGGTCTCACCCTTGGAGGCATGGGAGGCATGTCGCTTCATCAGCAGCAGGCCATGCAACAGGCCATGCCCTCGCTGAATACAAACCTCCCTGGCATGGGGTTATACCAGCAACAGCTCCAGCAGGGTGTGCAACCGATCGTGCAGCCAGTTCCTGGCCAACCCGGCCTGTACTGCGTCTACAACCCTCTTACAGGCCAGCAGAGCTACATCATGGACAATAGCACCCAGGAGGATTATTCACCTCAGCCGTATGAACATCAATCGTCAAACCAGCAGGTGCCTCAATTCCGAGCCGAGATCTCCCCTCCGGCGGAGTCGCATCCATCTCAGATGTACTTTTCGCAGCCGATCTCTCCTCCCAGTGGAACTCCTTCGCCGCCGGTCGAGTCTGCAAACGGGCTCCGCCGGAATCACAGGAAGAATCCTTCGTTCAACCCTACGCTGAAGACAACCATCGACACCACCAAGGCCAATGTCGGTAACGGTCCTCGTTCAGCTGCTCTGCCGCCTACGCCTGCTACTGGAACCTTTGCCCCCGGTCATTCCCGTGCTGGTGAGCACCCGATCCGTCAGCCTCGTGGACCTCCATCCCTCGAGGATCTCGTGGCCAAGCCTACTTCCAAGCATGAGGGCAGCAAGAACTTCGCTACCCGCCAGCGGCGCCGCGCCGTCCACAACTTGGTGCGTGCTGGAATCGAGCGTCGTGGCGATGCTCGTAGCTATGGATATAACAGCAGTGGCGGTACCAACACACCGGCCAGCGAGAAGGAATTCACCTTCTCCGATGGTGATGATGCGACTGTCCGCAGTGATAGCCTCTCCAGCAAGCCCAGTCTGGGCAGCCTCCGCGCTGCGGCTAATGGTGCTATTGGATCTGAGCGCAAGGAGAAGACCGGCCGTGACCGCAACTCCCTTGACAGCCCTTACTCCAGTGCCACCCCGACCAGCGAGGATGGCTACTTTGGATCGAAGTTCACCGATGCTCACGCGGACCATGTTCCTTCGCCGACAGGCACCTCGTCACCCTCTGTGGCGTCTGTCGTCGCAAGCCAGGGGCAACAGCAGGCTCAAGCACCAGAGCGCCGCAAGACACCTATGCTTGTGTTGTCCAGCGCTGAAAAGCGCAAGACCCCTATCATGTAATGCCGAACATCATGTGACAGCGACGTATGACTTTTTGTTTTTCCCTCTTTTTTTTTTTTTTTCCTTCCCCAGGCGGACTTTTGTGGCTTTTCCTCGTTTTCTTCTTTCTGTTACCTAGCCTAACTTTCTTACATAGGGTGCCGAATTGGCTCCTTCCACTCCTTTCTTTATCCTCCTATCCTGACAATCCGTCAGTGATACGCGTGTGTGTGACGACCTGCATCAGTCTGCAATGACTTCTGATTCTTGATTGAACCTTTTTTCTTAACTCTTCTCTTCCCTGACGTCGTATCAACACCCTCAAAGGGCATTGCTACGGTCGACTTTTTACTGTTCTTTCCATGTCGAGCATCGATAGGTTTACTTCTGGAATGGCTGCTTCTGGCACGGCCGTCGTCTCTCATTTCGTGGTTTTCGGGTTTCTCGTGCATCCGGTCATGTACCAGCTTACCCTCTAGCCTCTGCTCTTCTAGGGCCTTTGAGCGCAATAAATAGCTTTGCAGCTGATTTCTGATTATGTGTAGTCTGTAATGAGTCCTATTTTGTAAATCGTAGGTCCTATCCGAACTTTGAAGTGGGTGGTTGCCCAAAGTCTGAAGTCCACATGAGATGACCTGACAACGTCATGTTTGAACTGCTAAGTCCTAGTGCATCTCTTCTAAAATGTTAATTTACAAGTGAACAAATTCTATGGAGAGGATAATACTGTGCATCAAATAAAACCTCAAGTCCCAAGCAAGCTACTATAGACTAAATTAACTCGTAGAGGACAAAGCGTGTATACAGCAAAAGACCTAAAAATCAAAGATCAAAACGAGCAATGTAATTAAATCGAATCAAACAAATTGTTACTCAAATGCAAGATCCGCTGAGACACCCCTCCAAAAAAAAAAAAAAAAAAAAAAAAAAACACACACCGCAAAACCGGACTCACGCCAGGAAAAATATCAAAAGGAAACTTCGCAGAACGGGGGCCTTCAAGATTTCATGGACTCGTGCATTCGTGGCTTCTATGTATGTCCGGACGAGCGCCCGGGTGTGCATGAGTCGGTACAGACTTTGTCGGCGAGAGATGAAAGAAGGGAAATAGACGATTTTCTGGACTCCTAGCACGGTATAACTTCAATTTAACGATGGGAAATGAAACAAGGGTGTCCCTGTTGAGGTCGAGGGTATAAAGGTAGGCGAGCCGGTGGCGGCTTGGGGTCTTGCCCGGGATGCGAAATGTTCAATAGACTCGGTAGGGTAGAGACACAGGAAAGGGGTATAGATGGAAAGCGTGGATGCGAGTATAGAGGTTGGTAGTCGAGTCTGAGGGATGGGAAACCGGAGGTTAGAAGCTGAACAGGCCACTCCGCTTCTTGCCCAATGGGTAGACGACTAGGGCCGCTAGGAAAAGACCAACGGTAGTCCCAATGGCGACTTGGACCATGCCGTATCCAATGTCGAAGACGACCCCGTAGCTCTGGTTGCGTGCTTCATCGGCTGAGAGATTCTTCGCTGCGTCGACAAAGCCCTGTGTCCCGTTGGCTACAACTGCGTATGGGTTACGGGTCATCTCTTCTGCTGAAGTGATGCCTGAAATAAGCGAACCGCTAGCAGCGAGACCGGAGGGAACCAGGACAAATATTGCGGGAAGCATGGCTGCTGCTGCGAGTCCATGGCGAAGACGGCTGTAGCAGTTGCCCATGACTCCAATGACAAAGGCGCCGAGGGCGTTCGAGACTTGTGTGTTAGAGTAAAATCGCTTAGAGCTGAAATAAGTGACGGCATAGCCGGCCAGAGAGATGACCAGCATGATCGGGATTTGTTTCCACTTGGCGTGGTTGACGATGGCGAGACACGCTGTGAAGATCAGGACAAATGGGAATCGCCGAAGATATTCATTTGTGATCGGGCTTGCGGGGCACGTATACGCTGTAGACGCTTGGGGGTCCAACAGGCCGTACACAGCAGTGCCAATTGTGATGCCGAATCCAAGGAAGAGGGAGTAGATAATGGCGTACACCATGCGTACTGAGCCTGCCACGATACTTCGTGACTGCAGCTCCAGACTAGCACAGAGAACGGTATACCCTGGGAGAATGAGAGCAATGGAAGATTGTGCCAGAGCAGAGAAGCAAAACAAAGACTCCCCTTGGTATCGAATACTTCCAAAGGCTCGAGCCAAGAAGGAGGTCAGCACTGCAGCTGAAATCTCAAAGACGTTCGAGTACAAGCTCGACTTGGGAGAGAGAATCAGCTGCAGCACACCGAGTAAGCAGCCCAGCAGAAACGCGACGGGCATGTCAACTGGCCGAGCATTGAAAGCGAACGGTCCCACTGTCGCGCTTGCACATCCGTGGGCGAAGATGAGAAACAGAATATGATACTTGCTCCGCCTCTTCATCGTCTCATCCAACCGCTGGATGGCTTCTTCGACACCGATCACGTCGTGAATCACCTCCTTGTAGACTTCGTGGACGTCGGCCAGCTTGCCCAAGTCGATCCCCTGGCTGGACCGGACGACTTTGACTTCGGTCGTGTGCGTGGTGGCGTCGTCGAAGGAGATAATCATACAGCCCGGGATGTATAGGAATTGGCCATCAATCTCTAGGACTCGTGCAGTCATCCGCATGTATTCTTCCAGGCGATGAGTCGGAGCGCCATACTTCATCAGGGCTCGGCAGAGCCTGATCAGATACCGCTGACGTTGAAGGAGCTCAGCGATGTGAATGGTGATTCGAATTTCATCTTCAAGCTGGGGTTTCGGGAAACGACGCGCTCCACCCTCAACGGCATTGCTACTGCGAGATCGCTTGAGCATACCAACAGGAGAGGTGTTTTTGATTGAAGAGCCAGCAAGGGAAGTGCTGGACCGGCTGGACGATTTCTCATACCACTTTTTGGGGCGATTTGCCTTCCAGACAGAGTCGTCATCGGGGGAAGAACCACGTCCGCTGTAGTCAGTAGAGGCACTCCCCCGTCTAGACTCGCCATACTGCCCCTGGCCCGGGTAATATGCTTGATTGGACTGGTCGTATAGCTTGAGTATAGAAGAAAGGATTCCTCCGCGGCTATGTCTCGGCCGTTCGACGGAGTCCCGATCCTCAGACGGGGTACCCCGGCCGGACAGTGAACCGGGAGAGGGAGGGCGAAAGCGAGTCAAAAAGTGGAGGTCTGGACGTGACATTTGGCGCAGAGAACTTTTGGCTTCGTAGTTGCGCAGTGTAGATCTCCCGTCTATGAACCCGGCTTCATCGTCGATTAGGGTAAGCTCGTCAAAAAACTGATGCTTCTCTGAGTAACTGATCAGAGGAAGCTCATCCCCATCCTCAGAAATAAATAGTGCCTCAAAAGGAGTGGAGGCAGTCGATGATGCAAGGCTGGAGCGGGGACTTTGCTTCGGAGATTTTCGAGAGAGAAGGGATGCAAGCCGTTGGGCCCGTTCCTGTGCAGAGGATATAGCGCGCCCCTTGTCATAGGGACAAGGACTGATTTCATAGTCCCCTGTCACCGTAGAGGTGGTCCTGTTGTCGATCGCTAAGCCAGAGACATCGGGTGACGCGGTAGAGCTCCGTTGCTCTGCTGATCTCCCTCTTTGCGGATCTACACTACCCCAATCCTGGACATGAGGAATGTTGGCGGTAGGCAGAGGCCTCTGAGGGAGCAAAGAGAAGCCCCTACGGTCCGGTCGGGATTCGTCCGAGTGGCCGCTTGGGGGCTCCTTGAGCTCGAGCTCGTTCACTGTGAATTTGACGCGATTGGTGCTTTTGAGAATGCTTGCATTCCGATGCGTGCCCTGGGCTCCGCCACCCAGCGTGAGCTCCTGATAAGCTTGCTGGGCCTGCGAGACATCTCCCGACACGCCCGAAGGTGAGTTTTGGGACAATGAGGATGGTTTGTTGGATCTTAGGCTATCAGTCGCCGGGCGGCGGGATATTGGAAGGTGGAAGTAACCCCCCGCCATAAATTCTTCTTCTTCTTTCTTTCTTTCTTTCTTTCCTAACTTTCTTTTGCTTCGATCCTTTCCTGACCACCTCTTGGCTTTTTCTCCTTTTAGAATCTGATCCAACACACTCTGATTTATTGAATGTTAATCAATCCGGAGACCAATAGCAGAATAAATCGTGTAGCTCGAGCTCGAGCTCGAGTGGTCGACTGTAGCCTGGCAACAAGGTCAGCTATGTGAGGCAGCATCGCCAGCTCTCCTATCCAGAAGCTCGTGTGGAGCTTTATAGGCAAGGGCAAACCCTGCAGGACTCACCTTAATAAGGCCGACAGCAAATGGGAGTCTTTTGGTCACTAGGGTTGATGCGAACCCGCACCTTAGAGAGAGCTTGTCACGGCAGGGAGAGGTGTGAAATGAGTCCTGCTGCCAGGAATGACGATTGTGTCATCAATATTTAATAAGAGATTTTGCATAGAGGTAAATCAAATTAGGGAGACTGGAGTAGAAGGGATGCGAGATGTGGAACAGTGGATTGATATAAAAGATCATGGGTACCAAGATTGTGGGTGTATCTTCTATTCACGCGGCTAGAGACAGACTAAAAACAGCTGCCGTTTAGCTGGAGAACACACGGACCATATGAGCTAGAATCCCAAAGGACTGTCTGGTTTGAGGGCATGTAGCCGTTAGGGGGGGGCGGGGGCAGGCTTCGGAAGGCTTTCCGGGCCGGTTTCTGGGAAGTTTTTATTTCGCCACGATGATAAATCACCGGGGATTCGGTGCTTGGTATGGGCTCAGTACCCAGTCATAAAACTTCAAACGCAAAGAATTCAGTTCCCTAGTCCCCATTTGGAGAGGGCATCGCGCCGAAGCTAAGACCCGAGACCCGTAGGTCCTGGAAGGCACAGGATCGACAGGCCTGTAGCTCATCGAGGTAGTGATCGAAGCTTTCCGGATCAGCAGCATGGCCGGATGGGACAGAAGTAAAAAATAAATAAAAATAAAAATCAAATACAATACACCCCTAGTAGGTCAGGAGGAAAGCCAAGGGGGGTGAGTCCGAGCTTCATTGTCAAAGGAACCAGCAGGCAGTTCCGGTTTCACGAAGGCCATGAGGTACCACTGGTCACCGTGAAGTAAACTACCCAGGTCAAATCTGGTATCCTGTGAAGAAGGGTTTATGAATGGATCGGAGCTCTGAAAGGCGAGTGGAGTCCGGGATGATCCTTGACCTGAGACAAGATATAATGCTATTGGAAGTTCGGTATGCTGGATGTACTGGCTCTTCCAAATATCAATTATGCTAGCTAGACAGCTGGAGCTATGTGACTTGTTTGATGGACAGATAAGAAGACATATCAATTGGCAACCTGTCCAGATCACCCCCCCCTTTGGTCATCAGGGTTATGCAAGATGCCTCGGTTCCCGGACATATCTACGGAGTGGACCTGTTCGTGGATTAGTGGATAGTATACGTAACCCAGGAGTTGTCCGAATCGAGACACCATCGGAAGGAATCTTGCTCGGAGGCAAGTACCCTTTACAAACACAAACTCTAAGAATCAACCCAAACTTCTTCGCGGTACAACGCAGCAATTCTGGACAATTCGTTTGCCCTTTTCATTTCCCTTCATTTAGCTCGGCGAGACAAAAACATGGACTGATGCACATGTCCTAGACTATGTTCTTATGATGTCAACTGGTGTCTCAAAAGCCATTGCGCGTCATTGTACCACTCAACTTGCCACTCGGCAAGGGCAAAGGGCAAAGGGCAAAGCCCAGAACTTGATCTGCTTGAGATAAAGTTAAGCTTCCCGTAGCCCTAGACCCTTCCGGCACCAAACGGTCTGACCCGGTGCATAACCCTGGATCCTGCTGGGCTCCTAATGCTTATGCCTATCGTCTTATGTCCGAGCCGTCTGTACCACTGAAGATTCGACACCATTCGCAACCAATCTCAGATTAGTAGAATTGTGCGAGAACTAAAATACAGTTCCCCACCTCTGCGTCCTCGCTGCAGCGATGCGACCGCAACGTCCTCCGTACCACCGTTCGCCCCTCCTTCGAGGTCGCACAGCCCCTCCTTCCAAGGTTCATTTGGATTTACCGAGGATAGTAGTCCTACCTGGAGGCAGGGGCCAACACCTAACTTTCGTGCTAGCATTGTCTATTCGTCACAATGACACGCATGTCCTACGTGTAAGCCCGTATAGGAATGAGTATCAAGGCCAAGTGTTTGGATGCATGGAAGAAATCAGGCATGCAATAGCGATTACTTTGCATTGGCTGCTGATGGCTACGAACTGAGAGCCTTGTTGGGTTGCAGTCAACGGTGCACGGTTGATAGACCTTTCATCCGACTTGGCCAAAGTTTACGGGAACTTTACATGTCTCGGTCCCGACGATCCATGAATCGATCTCAAGTGAATGCTAATCTCGGACTCTGCCTTCGGTGAGCCCTTCTAGGTACGGTATGTCCCACTCGGCGGAGCATACACGACTATCTGACATGCCTGAGATAGGACACGTTTTGACCAGCAGTTTATGCATGGGACTTTGATCTAGTGCCCAGGCTGGCTGATCTTCTCACTTCTCTGGACCCACCGACGCATCAGCTCACTTGCATTCCGATGAGTTGATCTACTGAGACACCTTATTGTTTAACTTTGACTCACAAACTTCACATATCTTCCGACTCCTGGGATCTTTCTGTTAGAAGAAGTCATGTGGAAAAGTCAAGCACCTAACGAAATGACGAGGCAAATTTGGGCCGCAAAATGCAGCCGAGTTTTCTTATCAGTGTCTATTTCTTAGCCTCCATTCTCGGGCTGCGGGTTTACCCACGTCCAAGAGATATCGGGACCCCGTGCTAATTTCTAGCCTTTAGTTCGCCGACCAAGTAGCTAGCGCGGGAGCCTTCCAGCAGTGCTGCATAGCATGCAAACCATCCTGCATAGATGTCAAGCTCGTGAGGCAACAACATGAGAAGACTATTAACAATTTATTCTACGGATTCCCGAAGTAAAACTAAATACATAATCCATTCATTATCATTCCCTCGGTAAGGTGTCCAGCTAGTTACCGACCAGGATAAGTACCGGGAAAGAGTCCTTCCTAACACGGAAACGAAGGGTGGAGGACCAGCGGAGCCATGACCAACCAATTTCCGTTCCATGATCTCGCGTGGTGCATCTGTCGTTCAACCGACTTCCATCCGTAACCTCTGCGGACCGTCCTCACGGGTCAATCGACCTAGCCACGCTGCTGCAGACAATCGCATCCCGAGGGAGAGGGTGCATGAGCCTAGTTATTTTTTTCCCACGTGGATGACTGTAGGACGGCGATGCCGTTATATGCGTCTATTTGACATATTTTCCGATATACTTGATTTAACCATCTAGGTAGTAGATATGTCATCTTGCGTATTCGATTTGCTCTTATCGTGCTTTGTCAAATATGCATGCTTTCATGCAGATGCAGCCGCAAGGGATATCTATCCATGGATGAGACATTTGGACAATAGAGCCTGTTTGAAACCCGGTCTGGCGCCTGGTACTGGCCGCAAGGTCCCGTCCATAACTTTGGAAGGCTTGAAAACCTGGTTAGGTGCAAAATTTGGAAAAGCATCTAGAGCTGGTTGAGGCCAAGAACCATGAAAGTTTATACTTGGTGACGATGTTCTAGGGCGAGATGGAAAAACGCCCTCATTTGTGAATTCAGTGAAACTCTTATTATAATACCTTTGTACCCGGACGCGTATGCTAACTTCTCTTCATAATGGATGATTTTTGGTGAATGGCTAAGTGTCATGGAGAAAAGTCATCTTGGCATCGAAGTGTCACTTCGTCCGCTATTCCCGAGGTCCAAGCATGCACTAACCTTGCAAATGTACGCGTCAACGCTGCGTCGATAAGACTAAGGTAACTCCCAAGGCTGAATTTGAATATACAACAGGGTAATAGGGTAGCAGGGCTTGAAACCTTGGAAACCGTTTCATATTTCGTACCTACACATGTAGGTTCTGTCTATTTGTAGATACAAAGGGATATCAGTATCCTAGTAGTTCTTTATCGGCCCTAGAACGGCGGTGTATCTTCAAGTATCAATTCAATGCTAGTAGAATTGCTGATGGCCCGCTATCCCGAGCAATGCCGACTTCAAAAAAAACAAAAACAAATCCAGATCCAGTCCCCCGCGCGGTATATTAGACATCACACAACACCTGAAACTCCAATGCTTGCGAAACGATTGCACTGCATCCCATCACAACCCTCGTTGCGCCGTACCGCCCACCCAGACAGGTGAGTTCGTCAATATCGTCGTCAAAAAGTCAATCCATGGCGGACCCTTGCGCTAATCCCAGAAGAAATAGGTAAACGGGAGAATAAAAGACTCGCTGAATAAGGTAAGAGAATTGGAATATTCGCAGATCACCGCCTTTCGACTCGACTGAGTGCCCCCAGGATAAGGCCGATATCTTCCCGGGGCCGTTCGTCTCGTTGAGACGATGGCCGCTGCTCGTCATCACCGCCTTCAATTGCGAGGCGTTGCTGGGTGTTGAACGCGTCACGCTCTTCGAGACGCTGTGCACATGTGCGCAGGATACGAGACGAGACTGCGTCTGCGGTCGTCCTATACATCTCGATATCATGAATACCGGCCGCAAAGTTATCCAGTGTTGGCGCAAGACCAGTGGTAATGCGGGAAAGACGGGAAGAGACGGCCGATGGAGACATTGGTGTTCGGATTGTAGATGAAGATGCCTCTTCTGGTTGAGATCGGGGGTTTTGTGGAGGTTTCAATGATGCGAGTATAGATTGTTGTGAGGGGTCGAGAAGAGAGGGGTCGATCTGATAAGAGTTATGATAGGGATGTTGTTCTGATGTTGGTTGATCAGAGGGATCAGGGATCTTTAAACCGATGCGGCGCATAGGGGGTTTTAGAGAAAGTGCATTGAGAGCATGTCCCTCCTTTCGAAGCCTGTTGAATCATTTAGCCCTGATATCCCCTGTACAGAACAAGGAACTCCCTACCTTTGTATTTGCTCTTCTAGGTCCTTGATTTTTTCCGCATTTTGCACGTTCCTCGGATTCGGCTTCTTAACAACAACTGTTGGGGGGTTCACGTCTTCACGGCCAAACCAATTTGAAAGCTCCGAGTTCGTCGAGAAGTCTTTGAGTAACTCGTCTTGGATCCAACGGGCTATTTCCATGTCAGTTTTACTTTCTGCGCGGACGAATCTCGGGAGAAGTTACCTGCTAATCGCGCACTCTGATCGTCAGAGTGAGAGCCGGAGCGCTTATCTCCTAGCGCACGTGTTGCACACCAGACTAAAAGCTGTCGCATCCTGCGCGGCTCAGGAAGACCCCCGTCTGCGATGTGTTTATAGAAATCAGCCGTGCTGACCTCTCGATGAGGTAATGCTGTTCCAATTTATTAGCTTTGATTCCATGCATTCGCGAGAAAGCTCCTACCGTTAGAAGCACCCGAGTCAATCAAGTCACTGGCTCTCCGGCCCCGCAGATCCAAGCTGCTTCGCCGCCGGCCCTTGCCCGATTTATCCCCTCTCAGCTCCTTATTCCGCTGAATGACTGGAGTGTCGGCCAATGGTAGAGCAATTTTGGTACCAGCAGGTGGTGGGTCAGGAGACTTGAAACCGTTCTGTTCAGCAGGTTTAGGTTTTGAGGGTCGCCCCCTCTTGCGCTGTTTCTTAGGTTGATCTTCGAGTGGTTCACGTGTCCGTGATGAGCGTGTCGCATTCTCTTGTTGAGGTTCTTGCTCGGCGTCTGCCGCGTTCACTGCCCCCCTGGTGGTTTTCCTTGTCGGGAGTTCGGTGGATTGTCCCTTCACCGGCACCACGCCTGCACCTGCATTCTCCACGGTTCGCTTCTTCGGAGGTCGTCCTCTGCGCGGTGTTGACTTTGGAGGCGCATTTTCCACATCTGAATGAGAAACTTCGGGAACGGCTTCGAGCGATGGCCGAGACTTTTTGGTTGGTACAATAGAAAACTGAAATCCGTCTGCGTCCTCCACATAATCTGTCACAATAGAAAGGGGGGTCAATACTCGGTTCATAATACTCAAACTCCCATTGTCCGTATTGTAACACATACCAGCTTTGCGTTTACCCTCGTTCGTGAACTCCTCTAGCCCCTGTTTACTCGCGCTATTGCGTGTAGTCCGTCGTTCCCCTTTGCCTCCGCCGGCTCCACCAGACGCGGGCGCGGGACGCGATTGCGCCTGAGAAGCCGCCATTCCTATCGTCCCCAGCGGTTCGCGGCGCTTTGTTTTGGTCAAGGTAGGCGCCAGGACCGCGATGCTCATGTCAAGAGCGGTTCACGCCGGGTCGTTGGTTGGGGGTGACGTTGGGTTGAAGGATACCTCAAGAGTGTGATCCCCAGAGGCTTGAATTGCGCGTCTTTCAGACGAGTACCAATGGCCAGAATTCCTCCTGTTAAAAGCTGTCGCGACGTAGTACAGCTTGTCGCGTTGGCGCAGGTCTGAAATTGACATCCGTTGCCGGTTCAAGGAGATGCGTCTTCGGTCGGAGTTGAGCGGGACGCGTGAGATGAACCGAGTGTGAGCCGATTTGAGATCGCGCAATCTTCAGCAGCACAATGCCCGCAATGCGCAAGAAGGGTAGCTGCGGGCGGCAAGGGTAGAGAGGTTAAGGTGGGTTGGAGGGATTCGGGCACGCGGTTGTTTTGGTCGGCGTGGGGCGCTAGTCCGTTTTGGGCAGCCCCTCTTATAGTTGCATTTCACATCTACAAAGTACCAAATATTAAGTACCAAGTACCGGATTTGAGGTAATATCTACATCTATCTACTCGACTCAATTGATCTGAAAAGAGGCATTTCTTTTTTGACTTGTTTCCAATAAAATGATCGTGATGTATCATGGCAGATATGTGCGGATGCTGCTAGATGATCGCTGTGTCCAAATCTACAAACGCCAGTTCTGCAAAACATTCAATATGTCCAAAGAAGGAATGAAGAGGATGCGGACGGGAGTTGAGCCCAGCCCAGTTGATGATAAATGTAGATTAAGGTACGGCGCCGAAGGTGGCCAGACCGCTCGGAGGCGCCACGCTACCTTCAATGCGCCGCTTGGCCTCTTGCATTTCTTCCTCAGTGACGTTTTCTGCCTTCTTCGGCATATCCGGCTCATGCGGAGGCATGTTGGGGCCGTGGCCAATAGACATGCCGACTCGGATCTGTGGTCATGAGTGGTTAGCACATGGAAATGCGGAAAGGCGTAGGTTATTCTTTCTTACCAGTGTCTCTAGAGCACCTTTGGAGTTATCCACAAGGTCTCTATCAAAGTTGACCACTCCCTCCTCAAACAAGACTAGTAGCGTACTACCACCAAACTTGAAGTACCCAAGCTCTTCCGCTCGGCTGACCTTTTCGCCTGTCTTGCGAGTGATCACCGTGCTGCCAACCATCATGGCTCCCACACAGACGACCATAACGCGGCCATGTGCAACCGAGTCAATAGGAACCAGTACTCGTACATTTTCACCATAAACGTCCAGTGCAGAGCGGATAGCCATTGGGTTCACTGTATAATACTCGCCCTCAATGGTCTTAGGCTCTCCCATGACTCCGTCCACGGGAACGTGGAATCGGTGGTAATCCTGAGGCGCTAGGCGGAACACACCCAGTGCGCCATTGCGGTACCGATCCGCGTCCTCGGGGTAGGCATCGCCTAGCAATCTCTCGACAGAAAATTCTCGGCCCTTCACCCAGATGCTGGTGGCTTCATCCATTCTGTCGAAGACGACGGAGCGACAGTCGGCAGGAGACACAACAATTCTAGGTTCGTTAGGAGCAGAGCATGGGCGAGCGTCGGGCTTCAATGCACGATAAAAGAACTCGTTGAAGCTACGGAACTTCTCTATAGGCATGAGGACCTCTGACATGTCCAACTGGTGGAAATTAATAAAGTCCCGGATCTGACTGGTCGATGCCGGATCGTCGTATTTCCGTCCTTGTTTGATACTAAGGGAACGCAGAACACGGCGAACTGAGATGTGTTGCGTTAGATCACAACCTTTCTTCGGCAACATCTCAAGATAACTTACTTCTCTTCGTTTCCATGTCCTTACTCTTGAGACCCTTGTAGAGCAAGCGGATTCCGAGACGGACATAGACACTCATGCGCTCCTCATTGATTTGGCCTGTGATCCGGTCCTGGACAAGAATATTGGCGGAATTGGCCCCGAGCTTATATCCGCCGTAGGAGATTTTGGTAATGACCTTGGAGTACCATTTGCGCTGGGCCTGACTGGATGTCACAAAGCCACCCATGACGAGATTGTCGACCTGGCGCCAGTCACGGCTGGCACACGTGGCAATATGAGTGATGATATCTGCATCCGATCGTTTTCCGAGGCGAGGCTGGTGACACAGGGGGCATTCCCGGATTTCTACAACGTGTTCTTCTCCCCTTTCATCTCCAAGGTCATCGGGTCGTAGTTCGTCATCGTTCGAACTGGGCTGTTCGTCGCTAGAGATTGTTGGAACAGCTGTGTCGCGCGGGTCAGTATTGGATGGTAAGACGGTGCTGGATTCTAAAGCGAGCTCATCGCTGCTGCTGGATGGCTCCTCACTTTCTTGGCTTCCAACTGACGATGTAAGTCCAGGTCTTCCGGGAAGGGGTGGTAAAACGGAATTCCGCTTTTGCAAGATTCGTAGGGTGTCTTCCAGACAGATCACAGCCTGGTCAAAAGTCAAGTCGGCAGTGTCGCTGGGCTCGTTTTCGGCCCCGAATCGGTGGAAAAAGCTATCGATGGTCGATTCCTTCAGAGTGGATCCAAGGGTGTCGAGCATCGTAGTCATCTCAACCTTGTCGATGCGGCCGCTGTCATCCGCGTCATATTGTTTCAGCATGAGTCTCCAGAACTGCTGTCGGAGTGCGCTGTATGGTAGATACTTTGCTCTGATATGCAGCTCGGGGGTATGCTTGTCTTCCCATCTATCTCGGTTCTTGAGGGTCAGAGGGATCAGATATGGCCGGAATCCTTCCTCGTCTGTCGGGGGAGGGGGATCGCTAGAGTCAATGGGGAGCGTTGCAGGAATCTGAATGGTGGAGCTGCTATCCAGATTCAAGCTCGGTTCTTCCGGAACAGATGTGGGAGGAGCCTTGGAAGGTATCGATAACATGGACTGGCTGGAGACCGAATTCCCTGAGTTACGCGTCTTCAATGCAGGCCGGCCCATCTTGGAAAGACTCTTAGAGGATGGTGACGGGCTAACGGCAAATCCAGATGAAGTTTTAGGAATGGGGCTCGGTTCATCAGACTCAACAAAGTGATACAAACCAGACTCAGGATCTGCCTCTGGGGCCGTCTGGATGAGTTTCTGCAGAAGGAAATTGGCAGAGGCGACAAAATCATTGCCCGAGAACTTGTCTCGATCCATCACGGTGAAACTGATGGTGTAGGTCTGTTCATGTTTCATGACTTGGAAAACCATCTTCTCGTGGTAGACTGGGTTCAGGTTGTGGCGCACAACGGGTGTTCTGAGCGTCTTTCTCCCAAGAGATGTAACGACGAAGGGGTCCATGTCGAACGACGTTCGTGTCACTGAGTATTCAGGTCAATCGCCTGTGCTCAATATGGATGGAGATCCACTTACCATTCCTTTCCGGAGGAAGATCAGTCACCCGGATGATTTCTATGAATACAATACCTTGGACACCACTTCCCGAGCCTGAGAATTGATACGCCCTGGCAGCCAAGGACTTGCGTCTCAAACGAGCCAGCCGGAGGCGCCTTCGGCGCTTTTCAACGATCTCCGGTTTCGACAGATCATCCGTCTCATCGGAAGTCTCCTGATCGTCCAGATCGTCAAGGTCATCGGCAGTGGGAATCTGGTCAAGCTGATCATCCTCCTCACTGGTGCTCACCAGGCCTCTAAATTTGCGATATGTGTCCGAAGGTGTTGCGGCAATATTTGCGGAGTCGACGAGCGAGAATTGCAAGAGGATTTCTCCTGAGACGTTGCCGTCCTTCTTCTTCTTCTTCTTCCGGCTCGAACGTTGCGATATTCGTTTTGATTTGAGGGTGTACCATTTGGGCTTTATCCGGTTAGCCATGTTTGAGGCCATTTGCTTCCCAACCGGGGTTTAATTCTTCACTGACCTCTTGGCTGATTTGCCCCTCTTCAAAGATGTCTTCTAGTGCAATGTCGAACTCGCCCAGATAGTCCTTGCCGAACCGATCATGATCCCAGCAAATACATTCTAAAAGCGGTACGCCCACCACGGGCATCTCGAACGACACGTTCCATTCCGGGTTCAGGGTCTTCGTTATCGTCGGCGTTGATTGCCTTGCGTCTCCTAATGTCACCACTAGATACTGTATGCACGCATTAGCACGTTGAACGTCCCGTGGAAGCCCTTGTTGGTGGCTGCTTACCGGATCACTTGTCCCACCTCGATCCTTGGCCGCAAGATTTCGTCCCTACGCGAACCGTGAGCTCAAATTAGCCGGTGAGTTCGGAGGGTGGGGGCGGAGCGTAGGCTCGCTTACCTTGATCACGGACACTTTGATTAGGAGAGGCCTGGTTTCCACGGAGCGCATCGGACTAGTACTCCTGCTCTGTCCGGGGGTAGAGCTCGAGCTTCGGACCGACAAGTGTGAGCTGAGCCTCTGTGGGAGCGGTAGGCGGACCATGGCGGATAAGTAGGCAGCAGCGGAAGTGCCGAAGAGACGCGGGAGACGCAGAAGAGAAGAAACTGAGAGGGAGACAGGATCAATCGGGCGTTCTGGCCCCGTTCGGACAGTCCCTGAAAGGTGTGGCTCGAGTCGAGTCCCCAAGTTGCGCGATCTGCGATCTGCTCGGGTCGATCCCAGCACGAACCCAAGACCAGTGCCAACCACAGGTACCAAACGAAGCTGAGCACTTGGGATTAGGTCGAATTGCAAGGCAATTGAGATGGATTAGGATAATCGGGGATGGAAGAAGCCAGATATACAAGGAGAGGCTCGAGAGCGACTGAGAGAAGGGGAAAGAAGTGGGTGCGAGAAACAATAGCAATTGATGTTCTCCCACACGACGTCAAATTGAGGGTTGATCCACTTCTCCACCTGCCTTGTTGTGCACCGCCATTTCATGGGATCTGAGGTATTTACTTCTGACCGGGTTTGCCTGGATTCTCCATGTCTAGAACAATTCCTAGGGGATATTCTATGTTATTCGATCACGTCAAGCGTACTCAAAATGCAAGGGATCCACTCGCCACGGAATGCACTGCAATAACTACCCCGCATCCTCAACGCTTTCATAGTCTACGGTTGGAATCGGAATGGAGTAATTGCTGATATGTGATCTACGAAGACTTGGAATAGCCTTAACTAGTCACTCTAGTCCTGGCGTCGATCCACGCGGCCCCAGACCTCGTCGGCATTGGCCTTGCCCTTGGTTTCCGGCACCCACCAGTAGATGAAGCAGCCTAGAAGCCCCGCCATGATCGCAAAAATCCAGTAGACCTTTCCATGACCACCGAGAGAGTCATTAAGCACGGGGAAGAACTGGGCCACGATAAATGTCGCCGTCCAGTTGGCCGCCAGTGCACAGCTTTGCGCTGCCCCAACCGCCTCGGGTCCCACAAGCTCGGACGCCAGGATAAAGGGAACGGGGCCCAGTCCCACAGCAAAACAAGCGACGAACAGTAGTGCAGCGATTGCGGATGCGATCTTCAGATCAAACTGCATCCCTAAGGCCAGAAGTATGGAGCTGCAGCCCATGCCTCCGATACTAAGCAGTAGGCAGGTCTTCCGGCCGATACGATCGGGCAAAGGCGAACATGCCAGAGTAATGACAAGATTGATTGCCGAGATGCCCACGGTGAGAAGTGAGGCAGTGGTTGGTAGAATGCTCTGCAGCAGGGAAACACTGTACATAATGATGCTGTTGACTCCAGTAAATTGCTGGGCAATCATCACACCCACAACAGCGATGATGGCGGGCAGGTAGTACGGATCCCGAATAGCCTGCGTGATTGTGACGGACTGTTTGGGAATCTGGTTGCCTGTCGGAGCAAGAAGAGACTCTTCTTCTCCTGATGCAGGACCTGCGCCCGAGTTTCTCCAGATTTCGATCTCCGGGCCGATGTCTGCATCTCGGCCACGGATTCGCTGGAGAACCTTGCGAGCCTGGCTCACTTGATGATTATCAATGAGCCATGCTGGGCTCTCAGGCACCATGAGCAGCCCCAGGAGCTCCAGTGCTCCAATAATGCCAGCCACGGCAAGAATAATCCGCCATAGACTGTCACGACTCCAGAAGTACCCCAGTGTCTGAGACAACAATATACCCACATTGGTCATGACCTGTGTAAAGGCACCGAAAAAGCCGCGCGACTCCGGAGGCGAGATTTCCGAGACATAGATAGGACCAACTACAATAGCTGCGCCTGATCCCACTCCCGAGAGGAATCTGCCTAGGGCCAGGAGCGGAATGGCCGGTGCCAGGGTCTCAGCCACGGGTCCTAGGATGAAAAAGATTGTTGTTGCTCGTAGCGCAAGGCGGCGTCCATATTTGGTTGACACGGGCCCTGCCAGCAAAGCCCCAACTAGTCCACCAAGTGTATAGATCGAGGAGACCAGACCGAATTGTGAAGGTGTCATAGGGAGACATTGCGGCAAGCCATAGGGAGAAGCCGAATGTATGGATTTCTTTTCACATGTCACGACCGCCTGGGGGGCATTGAGCTCAGCCTATTCATGAGAGTCAGTGGGAGTTGGACCTTGGGGACTCATTGCTTACCAGATGGTAACCAAATTGCAGAGGGCCTAGGGTCGTGACAAACACGAGATAGATCAGGTATGGCGTGACCCTGGATTGAGTTGTATCACCCGCCATGATGCTAATCAAAGGGTCATTTAAAATGAGTTGGAGGTTGGAGATTAAAGGGAGAGTAAAGAAGATGACGTTGAGCTCCCAAATGTCACGGTGATAATAGCGATAAGCGCCCGAACTTGGCGGAACTGCGACAAAACACCCGTGAACTGCTTCATCTCTAGCCGATCCCCCCTCACTATCTCCAATCCCTCCATTCCTCTCATTCGCCTCGAAACAACCGGGCCGCTTTCTCCGCCATCCACTGACAAGCCACCGAGACTCCGCATTTTCCTTCTCCGAACCACTCCAAACGGGTGGAGAGCCCCCTTCCTCCCCACGAGACCGAGATCCCGATGGACCGAACGATCCAATGAGCCTGACAAACCCGCCTTCCTCCGGTTCGATCTCTGCTCGAGCCAGAACCAGTCTGAAGCGGAACCTGCAGTCCTTCGATGGTAAATACTTAATTCTTGGTTACTGTGTTGCTTGCTCTCTTTGCTAGCGTGAGCTTGTCTTCTCTTTTCACTATGTTTGGGAAAGGTTTCCCTCTTCTAAATACTGCTGGAGGCTTCTATCCTCGGGGTAATTTGTCCCCTTGACTCTACGGTGGCTGGCCTGCATCTCTGGTTTTGCGATCTTCATCTGCGTGGTTCTTATGATTCTCCTCAAAGACGCTTGTATCCTTGAATTGATGTTTCCTGGCAACACCGCTATTTGTCGCAAGTGCTGACGCTTCATACTGTTAAAGAGACGATTGACTCCCGAAGGACCACCGGGTATACCAGCAAAGTCCGAGTCCGAGACCGATATCACATTGTGGGGTTCATTAGCAGCGGTACCTACGGACGAGTATACAAAGCGATTGGCAAAAATGGCCATAAAGGCGAGTTTGCGATCAAGAAGTACAATTTCCAATCGTCCTACCGAGTGATGCCAGCTCTGACTAGTCACCAGGTTCAAGCCGGACAAGGAAGGCGAGTCCATCCAGTATACCGGCCTATCGCAATCGGCGATCCGAGAGATGGCTCTCTGTACCGAGCTGTCGCATGCCAACGTCGTCCAGCTTGAGGAGATTATCCTAGAAGACAAATGTATCTTCATGGTGTTCGAATACACGGAACACGACCTACTCCAAATTATTCACCACCACACACAGCCCCAAAGACACGCCATACCCGCTAAGATGGTCCGGTCAATCTTATTCCAATTACTGAACGGGTTACTCTATTTACACACAAATTGGGTCTTACATCGTGATCTCAAGCCAGCCAACATCCTGGTCACCTCAAGCGGTGCTATTCGAATCGGTGACTTAGGTCTGGCGCGTCTCTTCTACAAACCACTCAACTCCTTGTTCACTGGAGACAAAGTTGTTGTTACCATATGGTATCGAGCCCCGGAGCTTCTTCTGGGCAGCCGTCACTATACCCCCGCTGTTGATATGTGGGCAGTAGGATGCATCTTCGCGGAGCTTCTCTCTCTCCGACCCATTTTTAAAGGCGAGGAAGCTAAAATGGACAGCAAAAAGACAGTCCCTTTCCAACGCAATCAAATGATGAAGATCGTCGAGATTCTCGGGCTTCCCCGCAAGGAAACCTGGCCAGGTCTCGCCTCTATGCCGGAATACACACAGTTGCAGTCTCTGGTCCTCCACAGGCAGCCTGCTCACTTCCACCGAGGCCCAAATCTCGAAGGGTGGTATCAAAGCTGTTTGAAGAATGGCGGCTACTCGGCTACTTCAAGTGCCGGTACACCCGGTGCCGACGGGTTTGATCTGATTTCCCGTATGCTGGAATATGATCCGACGAAGCGAATAACTGCTGAAGAAGCTTTGGAGCACCCCTACTTTACGAACGGAGGATCCGTCAGCGCAAACTGCTTTGAAGGCATCGAAAGCAAATACCCGCATCGCCGGGTAACACAGGATGACAATGATATGCGCACGGGTAGTCTGCCCGGCACCAAGCGCAGTGGCCTGCCAGATGACTCTTTATTGAGAACGGCGAAGCGACTCAAAGAATGATCTTTATTTTGCTGTATAGACATGATTCATCTTTTCTTGTAATTGGAAGTGCATAGACCAGGCTTGGGGTTATCTACATAGCATTTTTGTTTTATTTGGCTTCGGCGTTGACCAAGGGTCTCGGTTCCTACAGATACCTCAATGAATGTACACTTGGTTTCATTCCGTGAATTCATTTCCTGCAGTACCATAATGCGCCTAATCCTGAAGCCAATCCGTTAGATTTCGTCCCTCCGATCCCTTCCCATGAGCACCTTTATTCCCTTTTGCTGCGCTGGCACATTGAAAAATACAAATCTCCTGCAATCTTCGCGTTTAGAAACCTAGAAGCCTCGAGTGAGTCAATAGAATTAGTTGCCATGGGAGAACTTTTCACATACCGCTCTGCTCGCGTCGGCCGTCACCGGTATCGCCGTCACCATCGGTGCCTCGTCCTCCCACCGCCTCTGCTTGACCAGCGGCGTCTTTGATACCCTGCTCATCACCGCGCAGCTTCTCAAAGTAGCCCTTGATATCATCTGCGCTAACAGCCTGGCCACTTTCAGCAAACGGCTTGAGAAAGTCTTTAACCTTATCGCGGAGATGGTTGTAAATCATGGCACCCTCGATGGCACGCACGCGATCGACATTGCTTAGGGCTGCTTCACCGCGCTCCAAGAGACTGCCTGTGCCGGTGCTTGCAGCGGCATTGTCCTCGCCATCGTCAGATAGAGGAGGTTCATATGTATCCTCTTCTTCACGAAGTTGCGGATACGGCGCTAGCTTAGGGAAGCACTCTGCACATCGGCAGAGATGGTCGTAAAAATCATGTTCCACGAACAGTGAAAATGACCCTACCGGACCGGGGGTGGGAAGAGAGGTATGTTTGGGTTGGGCGGTGTCGGTCTTCCGTGTATCAGCCTTGAGAGCTTCTGTCGTGTCTTCGGGTTTCGTTGATGGTTCCTCTTTGATAGGAGCTGACGTCGATGTTTGCGACTCATCCCTGGTGCGCTTTGCAGTGGTCTCATGGGATACTACGTCATCCTCTGCCTTCCGTTTCTTCGAGCGATCGGTCTGTTCATCAGACGTCTTCACGGCAGAAGGCTCCCTCATTACACCATGCTGATACACCGGGGGAAGGAATCCGGGAGTACCCGCATACGGCTTCAGCCACGGATTGGAGTCCAAGCACTTGAAGCAGATAAGCTGCCAGAAATCATCCTCAGCGGGGAATCCAGGAGGCAGTGGAGTTTCATCATCATCGTCTACCGGCTGGGCGTGAGCGTTTACCGGCGCGACAATGTCGTCGGAAGGCGCTTGCTTCTCGCTCACTTCGCTCTTATGCCAGTCTCGGGGAAGACCGATAAGGCATTCAGGGTGCCACCAGTCCTCACCACAACCACCAGTCTCGACCGTGCCGAGGCCGAGGCATTGGAACATTGTTCCTTTCTCTTCGTGCGCATCATACTGTTCACCGCAACCGCAGAACTGATTGCGGAAGTTGTGGTTGTACTTGTTTCCAGGAGCGGCCTCTTGTGACCGGACAATCTTTCGACCAGTCTTCGGATCCTCGCGCAAAGTGCATGGCGATGGCAAGCGAGTAGTACCGCAGTCACAAACAAAATTCCGTTTATTGAACAGCTCTACTAGTTCGTGCTCGCTGTGGCAGGAAATTTGACAGGAATAACAAACGGCAGCGGGAGTGTAGGGGTCGTTAGGCTTCGAAGGAGGAGGGTTGCACGTTAGGCAGGCGAATAGATTCTGTCGTAATGGACCTAGAGCATACGTGCATGAATCGAAGGACTAAGGAAGCGTTAGTGTCGCGTGCGATTTCTTTGCGTTCAGAATACGCTCACGTATGGAAGGGCTTCGCGTGCATCAGCTTCAAGTCGAATCTGCGACTCAATAAATCTTTTTTGTGTTAGATTGGATATGCGCGTGTCTTTGTCGCAAGCATAGGAGAACAAGCATAGAAGGGAGCGCGTACTCTTTTGCTGTCTGAGAGTTTTGAGATCCGAGACTTTCGCGTCGTACGAGGTTGGCAGTGTCGTGGCCATCAGTTTCATGTAGTGTATCCATTGTAGATATCTTTACAATGTAGCTGTATGTGGAAGTGTGTCGATATCGTGACGACAGTCTGGAGGATGAGCGGGTCGTTGCTGCAATATGCGGCGAGTCCAGTGTTTGGGCTGTTTGCAACGGCGCTTATTTGCTGCCAGAACGATGCGAAATTAATCGCGGCGACTTTCACGACATAGTCCGCGTCGAACAATGTAGCTATCGCAAATTTCGATAATTTGCTCTCGCATCTAACAAGCCAAAGTGTAAAGCATCGTTAGAGCGCGAAAGTCACATGACTTCCCAACCGGAGTTAATTGAAACGAGACGCGTATCAGCGGACCCCTCGTCGTGAATAAAGTGTTATTTCCTATACGCTATTAGGACCTCTCTAGTTTCATTACTGTAGACAGCCAAGAGCCCACAGAGTCTTACAGGGAGATCATGAGGAATTTGATGTTGGCCGAGGGAGAATGTGGTCATGTACACTGATAGATCACAGAATGCGTTAGTGATACCAAGCTGATAGCTACATGTAGGTATACAAGAGTCAATATTTACCTTAGTTGATCACCAACAGTAGCGTGACGAAGGACCACGCCGAAGAGAGCAGTGCTTTGGATTATGAGAGACGCAGACGGTGTCACACTACTTTCCAGATAATAACCTATGTAACCCACATCTGAGGCCATTGAGATCCTTAGTGACTGACTTGCTAGACGTAATATTTACATCATCTTCCAACGAGTCATTTAAATGTCTCATGTGCTTTCTAAAGCGGGTCGACCGCGTGAAGGACGACACTACTGAGATAACACAAGTCAATAAGTATTCATATACGACTTACGAAGCTAGCGGCGAACATTGGGATAGATAAGAACTAAATTGATGACTACTACTAAAAAACTTTGCGTCGGTGTAGTAGTAGTAGTAGTAGTAGTAGTAGTAGTAGTAGTAGTAGTAGTAGTAGTAGTAGTAGTAGTAGTAGTAGTAGTAGTAGTAGTAGTAGTAGTAGTAGTAGTAGTAGTAGTATAGATTTCTTTAACCCGGTAAAGCTCGCTTTAATTCCACGCAAAAATTTGCATGTCTTTACGATAGTATTGCCCTGAATGACACTTGCGTCTTCCCTTTAAAACTTAATTGCGCCTAGGACTTAGCGATAACATTAGACTGGGCAAACAATTTTTGCCTAAATTACAATCTCAGCAAGGCGGATTGGGCTCTCTTTAGATATCTTAATATCAAAGGCCTAAAATACTTACTGCGCAGAAGAAAGTATTAATCGGACTCAGTAGTCGGTCTGTATCAAATCAGGTGCTATTGATGTGGCTTTTGGCCTAGGCATGGTTTGGTATCATCGCTTAGCGATAATCGAGACTAAGTAGGGCTTGCGTAACGCCGAGAGGCTCTCACTAGTCCCTCTTATTCGAAAATGACAAAGTTCACTTCACAAACTAAATTTATCACATGACTTGGCTGACTCAATTAGCTAAATTGAAACGCGTCACGCGTCACGCGACGCGTCCGTGTCCAGTTTTAACTCCTTCACTCCTTAAACACGCCTTTGGCGCATTCGACGAAAGTAGGCAATTCCCCATACCATTATTGTTTTTCCTCATTCCAAATTTCTCAATCAGTCCCATTTTTGAAGATTGAGCCACAAACACATACGCACGCACACACACACACATAGCATGGAGTGAGTATTAAAAGGGTCAACAGCAGTTTTTTCAGCACGGCTAATGCAATGCAGTCCCCTCCGACCGAGCGACTCGGCCGCAAATCGCGGCCCGAGAGGCAACACTCGAAAGCGCGAAAGAGAGGAGGATATGTCTTCACCAGCGCCGTTGCCTCCTTCCAGTCGTATGTGGAGCCCCTCCCCCTGGCAGAATCTGCATGGGCACAGACTGACAAAATGAACAGCGATGGCCCTGGCCTCATCCCCGCCTGCGCTGCCATTCGACGATGATGAAGATGATGACGAAGAGGCCGAGCTTGTTCCTGATATTGACGACGTGGATGAATTGGCCGAGGATGAGGATGGGATCGATCTGTTCGGCGATAACTTCGAGCGAGATTATCATGATGCCGCACAGGATCAGTACCAGAATGAAGCGTATATTGACGATGACGGCGATCATGATGAACTCGATGCCGCTTCCCGTCGGCAACTAGATTCTCGTCTGAACAAGAGAGATCGGGAACTTCAGCGCCGGCGCCGCATGCCCGCCGCTTTCCTGCAGGATGACGATGATGTTGAGATGGATCTGTCGCGCCAACCCCGACGCCGTCGTCACCACTACGATGAAGACCGTGAGGATATCGACATGGCAGATGAGGGTATGGAAGAATTGTCCCTTGAGGAATTGGCAGATGTGAAGGCTGCCAACATCACCGATTGGGTCACTCAGCCTCAGGTTCTCCGCTCCATTTACCGTGAATTCAAGGCCTTCCTCACAGAGTTCATTGACCCCAGTGGCCAGTCCGTGTATGGAAACCGCATCAAGACCCTTGGTGAGGTCAACTCTGCTTCGCTGGAAGTGTCTTATGCCCATTTGAGTGAGACCAAGGCCGCTCTCTCTTACTTCCTCGCCAACGAGCCTACCGAAGTTTTGAAGGTCTTCGATCAAGTCGCCCTCGATGTCACTCTCTTCCACTACCCGCAGTACCATGATATTCACAACGAGATCCACGTGCGCATCACAGATGTGCCTATCATCTACACCCTCCGCCAGCTGCGTCAGTCTCACTTGAACTGTTTGGTACGTGTCAGCGGTGTCGTCACTCGCCGCAGCGGTGTCTTCCCGCAACTGAAGTATGTGATGTTCCTCTGCCAGAAGTGTGGAATCACTCTGGGTCCCTTCCAGCAAGAAGCTAGCCAGGAGGTGAAGATCTCGTTCTGCCAGAACTGCCAGTCCCGTGGTCCCTTCACCGTCAATTCGGAGAAAACTGTCTACCGCAACTACCAGAAGCTGACTCTGCAAGAGTCTCCTGGATCCGTTCCAGCCGGTCGTCTGCCTCGTCAGCGTGAGGTCGTCCTTCTGGCCGACCTGATTGACCTGGCCAAGCCGGGCGATGAAATCGAAATTACTGGTATTTACCGCAACAGCTACGACGCGCAGCTGAACAACAAGAACGGATTCCCCGTATTTGCTACCATCATCGAGGCCAACCATGTCGTGAAGTCTCACGATCAGCTTGCCGGTTTCAACTTGACTGAAGAGGATGAGCGTGAGATCCGGGCTCTGTCTCGTGAGCCCGATATTGTGGATAGAATTGTCCGCTCCATGGCACCCAGTATCTATGGCCACTACGACGTCAAGACTGCCGTCGCGCTTTCGCTCTTCGGCGGTGTCAGCAAGCAGGCGCAGGGCAAGATGTCGATCCGTGGTGACATTAATGTCCTTCTTCTGGGTGACCCTGGTACTGCCAAGTCGCAGATTCTCAAGTACGTTGAGAAGACTGCTCACCGTGCCGTCTTCGCCACCGGTCAGGGTGCTAGTGCCGTCGGTTTGACGGCCAGTGTTCGCCGTGATCCACTGACCAGCGAATGGACGTTGGAAGGTGGTGCGCTGGTGTTGGCTGATCGTGGTACTTGTCTCATTGATGAGTTCGATAAGATGAACGACCAGGACCGTACATCCATTCACGAAGCCATGGAACAACAAACCATTTCTATTTCCAAGGCTGGTATCGTGACTACCCTTCAGGCTCGCTGTGCTGTCGTCGCCGCCGCCAACCCTACAGGTGGTCGCTACAACAGTACCAAGCCCTTCTCCGAGAACGTCGAACTGACCGAGCCTATCCTGTCTCGTTTCGACATTCTCTGCGTGGTGCGTGATCTGGTTGAGCCCACCGAGGATGAGCGTCTGGCCAACTTCGTGATCGAGTCCCACCACCGTGCCAACCCGCTCCGCCCTCTGCGAAATGAGAACGGTGATATGGTCGATAATGACGGCCAACTCATTGATGCAGACGGTTACCGCATCGACAAGGAGGGTCGCCGGATGCCCCCATCTCAGGAGGAAATCGCTCGACGTGCGGCTGAGCAGAAGCAGGCCGAGGAGGAGAAGGAGGGTGAGATCCCTCAGGAGCTGCTACGGAAGTACATTCTCTACGCCCGCGAGCACTGCCACCCGAAGCTCTACCAGATCGACCAGGACAAGGTCGCCCGTCTCTTCGCAGACATGCGCCGCGAGTCCCTGGCCACTGGTGCCTACCCCATAACGGTATGTCTTTCTTTGTTTGATTATGTTTGTCGCCTTACTCATATTACAATAGGTCCGTCACTTGGAGGCCATCATGCGTATTGCTGAATCTTTCTGCAAGATGCGTCTGTCCGAGTACTGCTCTGCTCAGGACATCGACCGCGCCATCGCCGTGACAGTGGAGTCCTTCATCGGCAGCCAGAAGGTCAGCGCCAAGAAGGCGCTTTCCCGTGCATTTGCCAAGTATGTTATACTTTTCATCTCGAGAGAGACGTCCGTGCTAATATCCCCGTCAAGGTACACACTCTCCAGGCCCAAGCCGCAGTCCAAGCGCCGTGCTGGCGTTGCCCAACCCAACCTGCGGGTACCCCGGAATGTATCCGCGGTACGGTAGACATTTTCAAGCCAAGGTAACGGTTTCTTTTGAGTAAAATACCTTTTTTTTTTTTTTGCATCCGGGGTGATGGCGTTATTTTAGATGCTACTGCGAGGGCTTCGCTGGTTGGTCCATGATTTAATGAATGAACATGATATTTCTTAATCCTATCAACACCTTAGAAATCCCCTTAGTCCATGCATCGTAACTCCATTACAGATTGTCCAAGTCACCGATCAAGCGAAAAAGTTCTGCCGTCAACGCCGGCATCGCCTGGTCCATCGTCCACTTGAGTCGCCCCAACAATCAACAACTGATCTCCAACCCACACATAACCATCTATAGGTGCAGGCGTTCGCTGCGTAGCTGGACAGGTACGAGAAGCACAAATCAAACCATTGGTCGAACTTCATGACTCGGCACTGGCAAAGACGCTGCCCATATGGTGATACCTCAAAGATGATAGGAAGCCGCTGGCGTGATATCAATCTTCTTGCAAGGGTCGAAGAATTCAGCTCTTCTGGTCGTTTGCGGAAGTTTCTGTTCTACTGGAGCCCGCTGTAAGGGCCAGGATACGTGCTGCCTAGTGCTCGATGGATATAACCGGGGCCGTCATTTGGATTGGGTTGCGAGAAAAGAGGTATTTTATATCATTGGTATAGACTGTCGGGATATGAGTTTACTAGTATGAATTTGACGGTGGTCGTCGAACTTATCTATCTAGTTGCTTGGTGTTTGGCGCTAGAACTGCGCGTTGTAGTAAGGTCGGTACCGCTTTAGGTAGCACCTAGAACTTTCGAGCGAATATGATGAACCAAGGTCCATTTCAATAGGTTAAAATATGGCGAGCTCTGCTTTCTAAATAATCCTCTTCCTAGAGTTGTCGCATCGGGTATCTCCTTGAAATTACATAAAGGCGCTAGATCCGACCATCCTACGATCATAGGCCTGTGTGGTGACACCTAGGGTTATAAAGGTGCTCAGCTGATGTTTGAAATGGACCTAATTAAGGCTTCATGGTTGGTCATTCCGTGGACAGTAATCGACTTATTGGGCTAGATTAATATCTCGCAACTTATCCATAGAGCATATGTAGAAAGAGGATAAACAGCAGGAAATATCTGTATTGAACCTTTCAGTTCATATTATGCATTGTAACATTACTACGTAATGTTTTGTTCCCCCCTCAATATCTGCCTAAATGCCTCTTTACTTGTTTCATGCCGAGAAGGGGAGGAGGCTTGAAGGATAGAACACTAATACTGAAGATTAAAACACCTTGACAGCGAAGCTTATTAGCGTCCACAGCACTTGCAATGTGACAGCCTCAGAGTGCACCAAATGATATTTTCTCTAAGATTTTGCTGTCCGTTGATCCTTTATTTTACAAATTCTCAAAGTAACCCGATATAACCCTGGAATTAAGCAGTTCATTCGTTGCTTTTTGCTCTCCAAACCTTTAGGCAGATGAGCCAAAGACCAGCTCCAATATACATAAATCCAGTAAATAGTTGAACTCTCAAATAAGGATACGAATTGGCAGTGCTGTCCCGTAGCTGCACCGCAATAGGTTCAGCAACAGCCGTAGGCGGTGCCAGAACAAGCCAGAAGAATCCTAATGCACCTGATAAATCGGCAAGCCCAACGATTTCAGCAGCAATTGGAGCTGCTGCTGCCCACAACGTCCCAGATTCTAGACCAACGATAATCGAGAAAAAGTATAGCACACCAGTAGAGTCGGAGAATGGCCAAATCACGAGGCAAAAGAGTCCAGCGAGCATGGATGCATATAGAGGAACCTCTATCCGGCCGAAATGGTCACTGAGAATGCCCACCAAAGGACGACCGAGGGCCTGGCCTAGACTCAATAGAGCACTGGCGATACTTCCTGTTTGTTGTGTCATGCCAACTGCTACCGCATAGCTGGACAGACTAAACAGCAAGGCAATGTAGCCCAGGCCACTAAATAGACCCCACGCGAGATAGAATATGTATTCGGGCTTCTTGAAAAGGCCAATTTTCATCAGCGATTGGTTAACTTTTGGATGATAGTTCGGCGGCAGTCGAAGAAGATTGCCACAGACGAGATTGACAACAAAGCATATGATACCGAGGATGCGCATAGCCCATGGATAACCGAGGCGCGTAATCATGGCATTGACAGCGAGTGAGTATGTCAATCCTCCGATGCCAGAACCACCGGCGACAATGCCATTGACAAGACTTCGGCGTTTGTGAAACCAATGTGAAACAACCCCGACAGAGCCGACAAAGGCAAAGCCCATTCCTAGCCCGAAGCATACGCCCTGAGAAAGGAAGAGTTGCCATGTTTTCTGCGCGAAGGAAGTTGTTATCAGAGAAACTGCGACGAGCACGCTGCCGATGCTGAGAGCAGGGCGCATTCCGTAATGATGGACAATGTATGTTGAGAGGGGAGATACGACAAAGGCCATTGCAATACTCAGTCCGCCAACAAATGCATATTCGAGGGCACTTGTGTTTGGAAAAGTATGGTCGGAGAGATAGTAGGAGAGAAGAACTCCATAAGCCTGTTAACGGTTAACTTTGATAAATTAAGGATTAAGTTCACAATGCATACGCTGTTCACACCCCATGTATGTGCATTGATGAGAAATACGGATGCCACACAGACCCATCCATAGCCGCCTTCAGGAAGTGGTTTCATTGATTCCTCGGCCGGCGATCTGATATTTCCGGTGTCCAGCTCGACGGCTGTATCTGAGGACTCGTCCCGCGAGCGTCCACACGAGGCAGTAGATGATATCATTCTTGATTCAATTGTTACCATTTCTGCTGATCTCGGCTTCAGGAGAAGTGAAAGCTTTATAAAAGATAATTATTAGCCTCTCTCCTCGTGGGTTCGGGCCTCTCGGCCCCGTTGCCCCGACACTATTCTTCCTACACATGGCTCTCTTGAAGTTCCAATATTGTATGTGTATGTGTCGGTTATTAGCTAGCAATCTGTATCACAGTATAGAATCTCCAATATATTATACCGAATTGATGAATCATGTCCACCAGTATCTCCGAAAAGCTCATACTACCCCGAATTAATCGAGGTGTGGATCCCAGACAACGCTTATTCCATCATCGGCGCTGCGGGGCCGAAAAGGCCGACGCTCTACCTGAACTACTCACACCACAACGTCTTGATGTTTCGAAAGGAAGCATCATCATGACCACATAATGGACGAGCAAGGAAATCATTATCAGTGGTCTCAGCAAGACCACCCCGGAACTAGCCGCTCGTGCGTGAGATGCTATCGGCGAAAGACACGATGCGATCGCAAAGCCCCCTGCTCACAATGCTCTCGTATGAGAATGATATGCACGTATCCGAGTGACAGGCGCGAGGCTAAGAAGACGCCCAGTTTGCAGGACATCTCTGATCGTCTGCAACGACTCGAGTCTCTCCTACTCGAGCAGAGAAACAGAGAACCATCAACGTCAGAAAGCTTACAGGCGAAGGTGCCTGACACGGAGACCCCTGGCATGTCAAATCTTCCTAAATCACTCTCTACCATTAAAGCACCGTCAAGGCCATGGGAAATTCTATTGAAAGACGGAGAGAGAGTTCATTATGTTGATAATGCCAATTTATTGGATCTTTTCCAAGATGTGAGCTCACTCTCTGTGCTTGAAAAGTGTCGGTATGTGCTAACAACCTCATAGGAAGAGCGCTTGAGACCTCCTGATCGCCAATCCTCTTGCGTAAAAGCCAGCGCATCCAGAACCAGAGACCTCAACTTATCAACTGGGATATCCCAAGTGCATGGCCAACACGAGAATCCAAATCACCTGTACCCAGACCCTCAGCTAGCACTGCGCTTATGGAAGACATACATCGAGAATGTAGACCCCGTGGTCAAAGTTCTGCACATTCCGACGACTCAGTCTTCCATGATAGCTTTGATAGCCGATCCGTCTCAAACCGTGTCGTCATTTTCTGCATTGGCATTTGCGGTCTACTTTGCTGCGACGACAAGCCTGACCGAAGATGAAATATCGAGTATATCTCCAGAAAATCGGTCGACGCTGTTGGAGAGGTTCAAAAATGGACTGAATCAGATAATCATTGAACTAAACCTGTTCAATGAACCCGATGTTACGACCATCGAGGCCATTGCCATATTTGCAGTGAGTTCAATTTCTCATGATTCTATGTTATTATGAAATCTGACCAGTTCTAGACATGCCTACGAGTCCACGACCCCAGCCGTGGTGTTTGGATCCTCATTGGCACTGCAATACGATTAGCACAATCCATCGGAATCCACCGCTACGGAGCCGCACTGGCATTAAGTCCATTCGAGACCGAGCGACGCCTCAGACTCTGGTGGCACCTTAACATGCTCGATTCAAGAGCACCTGAAGACCACGGATTCGCCTATAGCTTCGATTCAGTCAACCAGGGCCTTCGTCTCCCTCTCAATGTCAATGATAACTATCTCTTTCCGGAGATGGAAACGCTCCCGTTGGAGTTGGAGACCTGGACTCAGGCGTCTTTTGCTATAGTTTCTATTGAAACAACCACCCTCTTACAGAGAATGCTTGGCCCGACGGCGGTGGGACGGCATGATGACCTGACGGGTGATCTTATAGAGAAGAGGAAGGTCATGAGAGAACACAACGCTTGGTTGGGCAGGAAATTCTTTTCTGGAAAATCGCCTTCCAGGGTACAAACTGCTGCAGCGGCGCATCACCGCACGGCGTACATCAAGATGGAGTTTATGCTGCAGGCACGAGAGCATCTCACCTTCCCCGATGGTCATAAGCACTGCTCGACTCCTTTCCCTGCCAAGGGACTCTGTGAAATGGCTTTCCGAACGGCCTGTCGCGCGGTTGAGAGTAGTTACACTCTTCTCAGCGGTACGTCGTCTGCTAGATTTGCCTGGCTTTTTCAGTCGTATCCACAATGGTATGCTCTTGCGTACGTTTTGCGCTTCCTCTGTGCTGTGCCACTATCACCAGAGACTGAAGATGCCTGGGTTCTGGTAAATAAGACCTTCGACGCGTTGTCATACTCTCAAGATCTATCTGCGATGGATGCTGGACGGGGGAGTATTTGGAGATGCCTGGCTCGCATTCGACATCAAGTTGCGATTGCACGAGGCGAGGTCCGTCGAACTATAGCAGGTCAGAGGGGCGATGCTGGTGAGCCATGTGTAAATCATGCCGAGTCAGGCGCTGGCAATCTGAGTGACCAGGCTGTTTCTGGGGTTGAATGGCCTAGTCCGAAGATGCCTTCGTTGGATCCGAATTGGAATGTGGAGATGGATATGTTTGGCGACGCGTTGATGCCGGACATGCTTTGCTTGCCTGAATGGAGTGATATTGTGAATGGAAGGCTCGGCCTGTAGTACCTCACCATACCCAGCTTAGTTTAGTCACAGGGGGGCTATACTTGATATTACAAAGAAGCAGTTCACACAGTCAAGGCGAATAAAATGGAATTTGTTCCGTAACGCCATTAAACCAAAATAATGCTATGAGACACAAGATTGCGCTCAGATAATACGTCCCTGAAAGCAAAGCGGCTAAGAAGTACACGAAGGAGGTTCGATTCAAACACGGGGTCACACCAGGGCGATGTGTTTCTTGCCTCGAAAAGCAAAAGGAGAATAAAAAACTAAGAAAGCGAAAAATTTGGATCAATCAGACCGACTCCAGGGAATATCAACGCCATCTCGGGTCGCCAGAATGCTGGCGGCGCACATGTTGGGTATTACACAAAGAAAAATCATCAGTCTCCCAAGGGGAGATGGGGACGGAGCAAGGTTTTGACGTTTGCTGGTGTTGACCGGCTCGGAAATGCAGTTTTGATGCTATACTCAGCAACACCTTAGTCGCTAGTACGGCGTGCTGGGCGCTCTGGGCGCGGCTTGCGCAGACTCTTCATCCGGTTCAAGAAACCGCCACCGGGAGAACTAAGCTTGGAATCGTCGTAACGATCGTTGGTCGTTTTCCGCTCCAGGCCAGTGGGCTGCTTGGGGCTACTGGATGAGCGCACCCGACCACCTTCAGATTCCAGACGCGACTCTTGGATACGGGATCCCTTCTTGTCCCACTCCTCATCATAATCCGGGAAGAATGGGTTTCTCTCATTGCCGCGCGAGGAGGCGGAGTGGCTTGAGCCCAACACAGGGGCCGCCGGGGAGGAATAGCCACCTCCCTCACGAGCACTACTCTTGCCTCGTAGTCGCTGCGCCAAACTCTTCTTGCGCTGAAGACCTCCGGCCGGTGCAAGCTGTTGTTCGTTCTCACTCTGGCGACGCGCCATGGCTGCACGACTGGCGGGTGCACCATCTAAGAATGTGCTGGTACCTAGTCCGTGGCTCTCGGCTCCATGAACGGGCTCCACGCGCTGAAGGGGATCGAAGCTGACTGTGCCACTTCGTTGCACCCCAGAACTGGCGAAGTCGTTGTAGCCCTCCTCCATTCTGCCGTGGAACAAATTCAGGTCAATGTTAGAGTTGTTCGGACCAGCGCCACCCAATGCCATGTTAGTGGAATTCTTGGGGAATGCCTGCATGGGTGCGATTTTTGAGCCTTTGCGGTTACGGTGAGGGTTGCAAGCATCGAAGGGACCATCGTGGTGGAACACTGTAATAGCGGTCAATATATAGATGACATCGCATTAGAATATTAGAAAAACTCACTGCCAGTGCCATAGATGCTTGTCACATCCAACTTGTCAATGATATCCAGTCGGCGGTCCTTGCGAGAGGAACGGGACTTGCCATCACGGTGACGGGCCTCGCGCTCGCGGCGCCGCTCTCGTCGACGCTTGTCGTCATCATCATCAAACAGCTTTGAAGACCGGTCCATTACCGATGACTCGGAATTCCGGCGCGGTCGGCGAGACGTAGCCTCGCGGGAACCCGACTTGGGAGGGTCTGCGAAAATATCGAAAGGATCCTTTGATTTGGACTCCGCAGGGCGCCCAGATGGCCGCTCTCTTGAAGTGCGATTACGGTCGGAGCGGTCAGGACGACCGAGGCGGTCCGGTCGTGCGGGGTGCATTTTTGAGGCATCTGGGGCTGGTCGGGCGCTATTCATAGTCTGAGCGGGAACGGGAGCGGGGGCGGGCTTCATTGAGAGATTCTCCTGCGACAAGTCAGTGGCCGTGAAACCCCCAATTCTATTCAAAGGACATACGAAGAGTGCTCGGGTGTTGCTGGTCATATCCTGTTGCTCGACTGGGGAGAACATGGCGGCACTTGTAGACATTCCAGGGGCTGATTGCGGTGAGAGCGCGTCGGTGTCGTCCAGGAAAGGATTTGTCGATCGTGGACGTTCTGGACGAGCACTGGTCGTCGATGCGTTGGCCGGAGAGAGAGTACGGTTTCTGAAAGGGTTGTTTGAGCCAAAATTGGCTGCTGTGGGCGAAACTTGACTGCCTGTGATGGGAAATCTAGTCAATTTCGAAGTCCAAATATCTTGCAACGAGGCATTAGGGGGGATTTAAAAGCAAATAGAGCAAATAACAGGGGGTTGTGCAGCACAGGACAACAAGTAATGGGGTTATCAGAGCAATCGCAGCAATCAGAGGCCATTCTGGCGAGCATTACGCACCTGTCGGCGCCAGCGACACGCCGGGCGGGTACCCGAGCGCTGGAGGGGCATTCATTGTGAGATGAAACGGAGGCAAGTGGAGGAGGTTGATGTGTCGGAAGAAGCGTTAGGGTGTCGCACGAGGAGAGTTGAAACAGGAGGGAGTCAGGAGAGTAAAGAGAGAAGAGGAAGATGAATGGGGGCAAAAAGGGACACGGGATCAACGGGGGGGGGGGAAGTTGAGTACGTAAAGACGATCTCCCACTTTATTCTTCTTTCTTCACTCTTCCCTTTTCCCTTTTCCTTCCCCTATTTTCAACATCCCTGTGGAAACCTTACTCACTTTTAATTCCTGATCCAAGGCTTTTTGTTACTATCTTGACTACCCGGGTCGCTGACCTGCAGAACACGTCCCCCAGACTCACAAATCCAGGGGCGTCCACCCTCGCGATCGACACGACTCCACACTGTGGCGTGGACTTCCGAATTTCCCCTGTCACCCTCATCCAGCGCTGCACTGAGATGGGCAATGGTCCTAATTTTTATTCTTTTGGGGAGGATTCCTTTATCCAGCCGTTCGGAATGACGTTTGCATTCCTCATGCCTGGTTGTGTCTTCTCTGATGTCATCTATTGGCAAGAATGTGGTTTGTCTCATGTAAGGTACCGGTACCCGGTACCTCTCACCTCTCATTGCGCGATCTCGCACGGTCCTAGAGATCCAGTGGTGACAGGACGATCAGACGCTCACGCCCTGACCCGCGGTTATGCCCGATAACTATTTACTAGCCATAGTAGAAGACCCCCCTTCGTAGCATTTGACATGTACAGACGTCTGGGTTCAATAGCGCCGACTGTTGGCATCGAGATTGCTGACCGCATTACTCTGAAATTCCTTTTCGCTTCGTTTATCATCTTCACATGGTTCTACCTTGTCCGGAGTTCATGGAGGAGATCAGTCTGGTTGCTGGACACCGCTTTAGATGGCCGCAGTGCCAATGTCGGCTGCCGACAAGGCCCAAGGCACTGACCACGAATTGCAGTTCATGCCGCTTCAATGCCAATAGCTGTTCCGTGAGCAGCCAGGAAACCTGGTGCTGGTTGCCGTGTCCTGACCACGTCCATCCCGGTCATGCAGACACGCTGAACTCAACTAGACACAAACATGCAAGGGCCTCGGCTTGGGGAGTACGTGGCTCCTGGACAGCTCTCGGCTAGATCTTGCAAATGCACAATCAGACATCGGGAACCTTGAAACCTGGCAAAGATAAGAATAACTAGCGTGCTAGACCAACGTAAGCCGAGATCCATAGAAGTATGGAACCTATTTTTAGAACCCGAGTCATCCATGGATCCAACTTTTCAGCCCTAGAATGTTTACATCTGAATCATACCCCTGATCCATGGAAACTGTGAAGATGGGAGCCCAGCTGAGACTGGTATCGGCGCTTAAAATCACATTGCCAGATATCGATCGACGGTCGTCATCGCGTAGAAGAGGTAGTGGTGACACTGTCACCCGCCTCATGGAAGGAGCAATATCGGGCCAGTGATTGCAAGGACTGACCGGTATTCCTGCATCTTCTCCATCTCACAAGAATGGAACAGCATCCAAGGGGTTTAGTGATGATCGTCACATGATAGGACTCGGTAGACATACTTTGTCTATCTCCAACGAGAGAAAAAGCAAGCTCGTTCATCCTTTAGTCAATGATTTGCCGAGCTTCACGATGGCCACGTCGGGGCCTACCTGGCTGTGGCATGAGCAGCAGTGGACCACGTGCCCTACACCCATCCCGAGAGAGTACCCGTGGTGGATATTTCTGGACTATGCGCTGGGAAATAGGGCGGAGCGCCCCCTTGGAACAGGTTGACAGATGGGACGCCCGCGAGCATAGTAAACAGGAGATGTTTCAGTGGGAGCCGAGCATCCATCTGGATTGCAACCTGGTATGTGAAAAGAGCGGTGTGCCAGTGTTGGATACTTAATCAGTCTTTGATGTCGATTCAACGGGGACATGTGAACTGTTCTTTAGGTTCAAGGAGGCACGGATGGTACAGCCTGTATTTAAATGACGATTTATCTGAAGACACGTATTTGAAGTGCGCGGTAGCACCACCTTGAGGTGTTCATTAGATGACTCTCATACTTGAGCTAAATTTGAAGAACTCTAAATAATGTGTTGAAGCTGTAATGCACGTATTAAAGATTGCCTATATATCATCATCTTACACGTTAACAATTGCCGTGGTGAACGATCTATGATTGTAAAAGAGCCAGATAACTCCATACAGAACAACTAAAGAGGAATGAGCTAAAGGATGCAAGATTGGTGGATCGAATAAACCATTTACGAAGGAATAAATCTCAGTATTTACTCCACCCCTACCCAGGATTTGCTAAGTGTCCACAGTTCTATTTCCTTTGCCTCATCAAATGCCCAACTGCCAAATCCATATTCGAGTACATCCCCGTCCGAGACTGGACAAATATGCCAGTGCGCGCTTGTCCTGCACCACCGCCTTCATTTCTTCCTGGGGGTATTTCTGGAGGTTGGAGCTCACAAAGGCCCCAGGATGTACGCTAAAGCCATGAAGACCCTGCGCTCCGTATAAGCGCTCAATTTGGGTGGTCATATAGATATTAGCCGTCTGCTAGATCCATAAGCAAGCCATCCGTTGTAGTTTCCTTCAAAGTTGATATTGTTAAGAGGAAAAGGGCTATAGCGATGAACCGCTGAGGAAAGGCTGACGACACGGGAATGGAAGTCTGGCGTGGAACGTGCGGTTTCCAGAAGGGTTTCTTTTAGTAGATAGAAGAGCAGAAAATGCGACACGTGATTCGTTCCAAACTGAAGCTCAAAGCCATCCTTGGTCCGACTTTCTGGAGTATTTATCACCTGTATCGAAGAGTGAGCTGTTGCCATCGCGAGAAATCCGTTTTGAATACACTCACAGCCGCGTTGTTAATAAGAATGTTAAGCTTGGAACTTTGTTTGAGAAACTCCTTAACGCACGCCCGAACACTCGAAAGGTCCGTCTAGTCCATGAAAAGAAGCTTCACACGCCCAGTATCGAGCAAGGAACCCAAAGCTTCCTTCGCCTTTTCGAGGTTCCGGGCTGTACCAAAGACAGTCGCTCCAGTAGATGCCAAGACACGCACAGTCTCAACACCGATTCCAGAGGAAACGCCGGTAATCAGCACAACCTTATCGCCCCATCGGTTGACTAGGCTTTCATCTTCAATGATTTGACTTCCCTGTACACGCGAGTCCCCCGGGCCATTGAGAAGTTCCCACCGATTGTGCTCGGCATACCGACCGTAGAGCTGAAAAAGAGCTCGAGAAATCATCGACATATCTGACAGTAGTAGCGACGAGGTTCCAAATGAACCAGTGAAGCTCAAATGTAAATGTAGTAAGGTTGGACAGAGTGGATTGAGCTGCCAAATGCAACTTTTTCTGTTATCTTTGTGCGGTGGGAGACGTTTCTATGCTTTCAGCATAATAAGAACAGAGAAACGTTAGGTGGATGGTTGGGGGTTGGGCGTCGCCTAAGCGGATTGGATTCGGTATTACCTAGTGTTTTACATGCACTGTACCTTAAGCTGCAACAGAGAGCGCGACAGATTAGCAGACATGCACCAGTATTGAGCGAGAAGCGACGTGCACATGCCTATATTGATCGACGCATGTCACACGCAAAACGCTGCTGGCTTGGATTTAAGGGGCCTCGTATGTCGTCGTTGTCTTTCTATTTCTCCACGTCGCTGCCTTTGACTTGGCAAACAACCCACTTCTCCATTGTTACCCGACTCATTAACTAGTCGTGAGATTCCAGCATTGTGAATGTTTTCTTATATACACAGGTCATTTGTCGTTGGCCAACTCGTTGCTGGAACCCGAAGTTGATGTCTTGGGTGAGGGGTAAATAGATGTACATATGGCTTGCCAGGTGACTGAATCCATCACATCATCCCTAATTTCTGAAAATGAATGTGTCACATTTCCGAGTTATTGGAATGCTCAATTCAAGACTAAATCACGGATTTAGACACCATGTTCAGTGGGAAGATAGCAATCAAGCATCAAGCTCAAGGATGCCAGCATGGGGCTTGGGAGGGTACATGAGGACCGAGGCCCATGAAGTACCCACCTAGACGTAACACGTTCGCCGGAACAATTATCCCTGCATAAACTACCTACTCTACCAGAATGAAAAGAGGGAATGCTACGTAGACCATGATTTCAAAAAAGGAGGGCGATATTTAATGTTTCTCGAGTATATCGGTGGTATAAGGTCTGTTAGGCAGGAATGAGGAAATGCAAGCCAACCGAACGCCTGATCTTGTAAACGCCAAAACCCAAGGGAATTGTTCTCCCGGATAGCAGGACTGAGAACCCGTCCAAGATGGCTGTATCCGCGGAGGCCCGGAAACCAAACCCGAAAGGCGCTCCGGAATGGACGCCGAAGCAAACATACAAAAAGCAAAGTTTATAAAACATGAATCCTGTCCATGCTCACTGGATTGTAGGTGTGACTGTAACACCTTCTTCTAGGGGCCTGCCCTCGCCTTGGTCTCTGGACTACAAGGTCACGCTCTCGAGGTCACGCATGACGATACCCATCTGTGCTCGCTTGGCAGCTTCGGCCACGAGGCTAAAGTCTTGTAGGAATGGTGCAGTGGCTGTTGGACCCCCAAGGCCCTCGACTTGGTGTGAGTAGCAAGCGGTGGCGGCCTGATTGGCGGATACTGCCTCCGATAGAGGAACAGCTCCGGGATTTTCGTTCTGGATAGTGACTGGAAGGCCGACACAGTGGGACGAGTCATTCAGTGCCTGGGAGAGAGGCTGCGCCTGGGACATGGCGGCCTGCGGAATCCCGGCCGAGGTAGGTTGCAGAGGGGCAGTGAAGGCCCGGGTAGTCGGTTTGGAGGAGAGATCGAAAGGGTTCGACGACTGTGTTAGGGTGTTGGTGAGGGGGGAGGGCGCGAGGGTCGAGGTGGCGGAGAAGGGCTGAGCGGGGTTTTGAGGAGCATGGGCTGATCGTAAAGTAGAGTCCATGGTGCCGCAGAGACTAGTTTATGCGGAGTGGCGCTGGTAAGTGTGATGCAAGTGATATTTGTATGGATCTGGGGACCCGCAGAGATCGAAGTGAAGCCACAGTGAAAGAATGTAGCGTTGCGGCACCCCGGATGACGGCAGGAACGTCGGCAAGGGACCAGAAATCTGGGGCAAGATTTAAGGTCTCGAAGAAGTGGAAGAAGGGGGAGATCCCAGATCGCTTAGGGAATGACGTCTGGGAAGGGGAAGTAGGAAGTGGGCAGTGGAAAGTGGCAAGTGGAAAGTGGAAGTTGAGGGGGTGCATGGAAGGAAAAGAGAAAGGAAGTTTTAGGCTGGAGTGATTGCCCCCCCCCCGAGTGGAAAATCATCAGATTCCCATCGCGGCGTCAATCCGAATATTACCCAGTACAATACATGTATCTCCACGCCTCTCCACATGCCCGAAACTACCGTTCATGGCAAATTACCGTATGTAATTACAGATGCCTCGGCCAGAGTCACATGATGGGCACATGTAGCGTTCATGATTCTTATCGCAGCCTTTGCCTAGGCTGTTCGACTCGATCCTAGCATGGTTCGCATGGGCGATACAAAGTACGCCCATCGACTTATCGGCATTTGGGTAGGGATCCCCGTGTACCCTAATTGGTTGCCGCGGGACTACATTCCAGGATCGACCCCGAGATACCTGATCCCTGATCTACAAAAGGTCAATGAGATTCGCGCTTTGATGCCGATCACTGGAATATATCCTGTTATGCGATGAACAGGTCCGAAGCAAACCTAGATCACACCTAGATCGCACCCACCCTGGAAGATCCCACCTAGATGCTACTCTGCTCAATCAACGTCACGATGCTTTCGGAGAAACCCCATTCCTGCCTTAGGCACCATTTGCCCCGCCTCCGATAAGAAAATTGATAAACGATATTTTTCTTCTTTCGGGCAACAACGAGAATATAGCACCATGGCCGAGGAAGAATATAGCACGGGGGATTTGTTCCAGGACCCCGAGGGATTTTATCCCGAGGAGGCCCAGCCTACATTCGCGGAGCACAAGATGTTGTCTGGTGAGACCGTGCGCGTGCGTCTTGTGGGCAGCCACCCACTCTATGTACGGCTTCACCACAAGGAAACTTGCCTACCACCCTCAATGGCAAAGCTTGCGAATCTGGAACGATAAATCTAACTTCCTAACAGGGCAATCTTCTCTGGAATGCCGGCCGGACCAGCTCACACTACATTGAGGAGCATACCGACCAGTTGATCCGGGACAAGGACGTTCTCGAGATCGGCGCGGCTGCCGGTGTTCCGAGTATCGTGAGCGCCATTCAAGGCGCTCGTACCGTGGTCATGACTGACTATTATGATCCGGACTTGGTGCAAAATATGCAGTACAATGCCGATTTGTCCGCCCACCTGATTCCCGAGGCCCCGGAGTCTCGAAAGCGGCTCTATGTCGAAGGCTACAAATGGGGCAACCCGGTGGAACCCCTTCTTGCCTATCTGCCCCCTACCACAGATGGTATGGAAGCTAAATTTGACGTTCTGATCATGGCCGATGTAATTTATGCTCACCGTGAGCACGGGAACCTCGTCAAGATCATGCAGCAGACCTTGAAGAAAAACTCGACCTCTGTTGCCCTTGTCATTTTCACAGCCTATCAGCCTTGGCTGTTGCCCCAGACGGAGCGCTTCTTCCCGTTAGCTGAAGCTGGCGGGTTTACTGTGACCAAAATCTTTGAAAAGCTTATGGGTGAAGTCCTCTTCGAGAACGACCCCGGTGTAAGTATATCTCATACTAAGGCTGCAGTAACCTGACTAACAATCTATAGGATGAGAAAATCCGGCGCACCGTGTTTGGGTACGAGCTTCGATGGGCACCAGATCAATTGGAGGGCACTGCTGGCAAGACCGCTTAAAAGTTGAAATGATACCCTTGCATCTACAAAAAGTTGTATAGAAAGGAGTTGTGGATTATTCCCACTTGAGATTGATGATAATGCAGTATTGCAATTCTTTGAAAATGACTAATGGTATCTCCCAAACCAGCGGTAGCGGATAAGCATGTACAAAGACGTGCAGAAAGATGCTCGGGAAAACCAACGCGCGTGGACATGGAAACCTTCAAGCTACGATCAGGCCTGCTTTAGTGTCCCACCATCGCCTGGTGAGCTTCAGAGTATCTGTTGCCGTGGGGCTTGGCAGAATCGACAATCCTCCTCATTTCCTGCTTCTCCTCATCGGTCAATTCAATATCTCGAGATGCCCAGTTGTCTTCCAAGCGCTTCGCCTTAGTGGTACCGGGAATGGCAATCATCCCCTGAGCAGCAACCCAGGCAAGAGCAACTTGACTAACTGGGCAGCCTCTTCGGGAAGAGATCTTCTTGATCTCTTCAACGATTGCCTTGTTCTTGTAAAAGTTGTCGCCTTGGAACTTGGGAGCTAAAGATGTCTGTCAGTCTCCAGCTTAGTAACCATATCAGGGAATTGACTGACAGTTTCGACGGAAATCGTCCGGTGCAAAGTCATCAGGGGTCTTGTAGTCAAAGTTGTCAACGAGCCAGCCGTGTCCGAGCGGGCTGTAGGCGACATAGGCCACTCCGAGTTCCGTGCAAGCTTCAATGAGGCCGTCCGTCTCGTGTACTGTTTCGAAGGCGGAGTACTCGGCCTGGACGGCATCGATCTTGGCGACTGTGGATGTCAGTAGAAGACGATCAAATATTTCCAAAAAAGCAACCTACTCGAATTGGCTTTGCGCAGTGTCTTGGCAGAGCATTCTGAAAGGCCAATGTACTTGGTCTTTCCGGCCTTGCGAATTTTATCAAGTGCGGGGATAGATTCCTCGAGAGGCGTGTCTAAAATGGTCAATAAAATACCAGCCATAGTAATCAGTGCAGCATACTGGGATCGATGCGATGCAAATAGTAGAGATCCGGAGCAAAGCCCAGTCTTTCGATAGTACCATCGATGTACTCCTTGATATGAGAGGCGGAATTGGTGATCGAGCGGTCTCCAAAGACGTCAAAGCCACACTTTGAGGCAACTATTGAAATGTCAGTCCCAAACTACTATCGAAAAGATTGTCGCCTCACTGAAAATCTTATCCCGAACGTTGTGCTTTCTGATGAACTCTCCCAGTAGCTTCTCGTTCACACCGGCTTGATAGACAACCTAAGTGGATGTTAGAATCGATCCTTTTCTTCAACATTCATCAAGTGACTTGCGGCGGTGTCCCAGAAGGTGCATCCCAGTTCGATTGCCTTCAACAGCACGGGTTCGGCTTCCTCGAGGCTCAGGTTGCTACCCAAGCCAAAGCTGAGGCCCATGGCGCCGAAGCCCGGCGAGGGGACCTGGATGCTACCAAAGGGGAGTGTCTTGACCATTTTGTCTCTTGAGAATTTGTTTCGATTGATGATTGATGCGTTGAGGGTAGATGTATAATGGCGGAAGGCAGCTTAAATAGGATCCAGGTTTGAAAACGACGTCGGCGTTAACCTCCAGACCCGAGAATTCGCATAAACATCTCCATGACGTTATGCCCCGCCTAAGCGACTATATCCGTAGCTACCTCTCTTCATTCTACTATTTTCCTATGACCAAGATTGGATTCTCTAGGGATTATGCCTCCTTTTGGTGACCCTGAACTTGTTGCTGTCATGTTGCCACCTGTTACTTGTTCAGAGCAACATGATAATCTTCTCACAGAGCAAGCACCTGGAAAGAGAGATTGGAGGACCGTCTGCAGAGCATCGGGTTCCTTTGCAGCTAAGAGGCTGGACTACGGATGACACTTTCCGCGGTTAAACCCCGGCCTATCTCCGATCGGGTGCATCGTGCTGACTGCCTTCGCATTGCCGAATGAGCAATTCTTGGATGCAATATTGTGGAGCCGAGATGACCATGATGACATCCTCTCTGCCATTGGGTCAGATCTTTGAAGTTTCTCCGCATTCTCGGCATTCTCAGCATCTGAAGCATCTTGATGCCCCTTCGCAGCCATTAGTCATGGCAAAACAGCTATGTGAAATGAAGAATCTTTTAGCTTCGTACGAAGAAGTAATCCGCAAAGCCGCGAAAACTCATTATGGACAAACACGATGTGATGCACTGGCCGTATTAGACTGCCGTGATACGGTGCGAATGTGCAAAGTAATTGGTTGAATTCCGATTCTCACTAGCGGCACTGCACATTCAAGTCCGAACTTCAACCATTATTTGAGGGCCACGGATCCTTCCATAGACATCTCACTGATGGACGACCAAAGCGACGAAGCGATTCTTATCTGGGCCGAGCTCCAGGTCCCTGAAGATCCAGAGCTAGAACCCTATTTTCAGCCACTCCTCCAGGTTCCGGGACACGAGGGGTCGGGATGGGGAAGAGTTCAGGAGCGCCCGGGCACAATTATTTTGTTAACAGCTAAGTTGTGCTTCGACTCGGCACCATGTCCGTCCACCAACGTCTTATCGTAAAGCATAGGAGAGAACCTCAAGCATGAGGGAATTCACAGCCTCGCCTTCCGCACAGCTCTATCGGGAGAATCTTGAGAGTGGAGGAATAACACACATATACTCTCGCGAGACACGCTCTCGTAGATATTACTGGATCCGCGCCTTCCTAGAATCATATGTTCAATTGTTCTGGGTCTACTATCCGACACCTATAACTAAAGCTCAGGAGGCCCAAATTTCGCAGCTCAAAGGCATTCGTGAACCCGCCCGCTCGATTAACGGCCAAGACTATCGCGACGAAAAACGTCAACTCCATTATCCTCTAAAGCTATGGGCCTACGATTTTGAATTCGTGCATGGCCAAGAAGCTCAGTTGATGCTATGGCCACATTTCTGGCGGGATGCAGACGCGGCTGAGTACAGGCACGTAGGGAAATACACCACGACTGGTCACTCCGCAGTCGGGGGCAGAACACTACTGGAGAGGCTCGGTGACAATTTGGAGAAAGTGGGATCTATTGAATGGAAAGAAGAGTTCATTGATTTTAAGCCAATTACTTTTACCTAGGTAGCCATAAGAGAATGAATAAAACCATCTATAGTTTATAGGGAACAACCCAAGCTTGGGGCCAAACGAGTCGAGATCGAAAAGCGGAGTCACATGTCTTCACCCCGCCAAAAAAAAAGTTCGCCCACTTTCAACACAGCAACAGCCCACGATGCCGGTACGTCGAGCTACAGTTGTCTATACGAAGCCCTTACTGACGAGCAATTAGCTTGTGATACTCACCGGATACCCCTGCTCCGGTCTCACATACCGTGCAAACCAGCTCGCGTCCCTTATCGAGAAAACGCAGGATGCGATCTTCGCGTCCTCCGAGTCCGCATCGCCGGTCACATTAAAGGCTCGGTATAAAGTCCACGTTGTCCCTTCACATGACGCATCGCATCCGAGAACTGTGTACGACCATGCACGGACGGAGAAGGAGGCGCGTGGTGTTGCGTATGCGCGCGCGAAGCGGGCTTTGACGAAGGACAGCATTGTCCTCCTCGATGGGATGAATTATATCAAGGGATGGAGGTATCAGCTCTGGTGTGAAACCAAGGCTGCTGGGACAACATGCTGCGTGGTATGGCTTGAAACCTTGTCCATTAAACAAGGGCGATGGAGGGCTAATGGGGGAATGCTTAGGTTCATGTTGGAACACCAATTGACCAGTGCGTCGCCAACAATGACGCTCGGTTGAAGCGACAGGCTCAGAAAGACGACTCACAGACTCCCGAGAAAACGACAGTGTCCGGCGAAGCTCAGTCTACCGACAACGAGGAGCCTTACCCCTCAGACCTGCTTAACAACCTCATCTTCCGTTACGAAGAACCCAGCACCCACAGCCGCTGGGACAAACCTTTATTCACCGTCCCCTGGGAAGATAAGGAGCCTCCCGTTGCGGATATCTTCCAAGCTCTCACAGGAGTTGTCCTGCCATCCACAGAGACACCTACAGATACCCCGGTATCAGCTCTCACTGAATCACTTGCATCATCCACTATTTCCGAAGTCGCCAGCACAACTACCACGGGCAGAGCCTTTGGTCGCGGGCAGTCACTACGACCCAGGATTATCCCTCACCAGGCCACTGTCCAAGCCGCCGCAACGGACTCGGGCGCTCTGTACGCCATGGAAAAGCGCACGTCAGCTATTGTAACAGCCGTCCGCACCTTCACGCAATCGTCTCCGTCCGCCGAGGCTGCCCTTGCGCAGAGTAAAGACTTCAACGGTATCACTATTGACGTGCCCGATGCATCTATCCCCATTATTGTCCCGGCCCATATTGCTACCACCGGTACAACCGACGAGCTAGCCGGCGCAGGTGGCATTCTGGCCCAGCCGAAGCTTCAAAGACTGCGTAGGCAGTGGATCACTCTGAACCGACAGTATATTGGGCATGGCCATGGAGCGGGAACTGGGGGATTGTCAGATGCCCAGATCCCAGACGCATTTGTGCGGTTTTTGAACTCAAATATCAGTGGCGACGACGCGGACGCGTAGTTCGTTTAGACCAGTGCATAGATGACGGGGAGATAGGGGTCATTTCTATTTGGAAAAAACTGCATAGACTAGCCATGATTTAACGAGGTTATGATTCAAAATTCTCTTACTCTTATTAACTTTTGCTACGAAGAGCCCTGGGTTTGTTACATTCAACTGGTCAAGTTGTGTGCAATGATCAATAATCAATTGAACTAAATAATCAACTCAAGAAGGAACAAAACAAAACAAAACAAAAATGATCTATCAAGCAAAACATCAATGCTGAAACAAAAGTCTATTGTCGTTCGCGCCGATCCTCCTCTTTTCTTTCCCCTCTGATTCGAGGTGCGTGGCTGTTAGGCCACCGTTGTTCACTTTATCCTTCCCATCCCATTTGGGTGATGCCTTATTCCAGGTTTAGTCAGAGAGTCTCGTCTATACATGGAGTTGAGATCAAGGACTCCGTGGTGCTTCGGAGTGCCCGGCTCCAGAACCCTTGGATCTCCAGATAGGTCCGTTCGTGACGACCGTGGTGGGCGCCTTGTGGCATCGGCTGCAGGGTCGAACCGTGGCTGCTCCTTGGATAAAGGGCAATACCCTCGGCTCTCAAAAGTGGTCAAAATTTTCCTTCAATGAAAGGAAGCGCAGGAACGTGAGTTCGCCCTGTGTAATCACATAGGCTGAAAACGATAAGTCCCTCGCGAGGTACGGGTTTCCTTCACTATATTCCCCTCCGGCTGTAGGAGATTACAGAACTTCGGGGATTCTTCACGCGGGCATTCCATTGGGCATCTGGGAAACAGCCTGGCTGGCATCGATGTGGCGGTAGTTCAGACCAAGGGTGAACAGCTCCTGAAGACTAGCATTGACCTTCTCATGCATTGAAGTATCCTGTGGAGAGATGTTGCGAAGCTCCTCGACAAGACGCTCACGGCACTGGTAGTAGTTGCGCTCTGCGTTTTGCAGACGTTGACCGTGCTGGGCACTGGTAGCCTTGGCCGAGCCGGTTTGAGAGTGCACGGAACGGGTGCGCTTCATGGTTGGCGCGGGAGTAGGACCGGTGACCTTTCTCTTGCGGCTGGTCTCCTTCTTCTTAGCCGGAGTTCCAATGGGGGAGGACTCGGGTGAGCTGTGGCGCTCAGAAGAGGTGTAGTCATGCACGCGGCGCATGTGGTCGTACAGGTTCCATCTACGCGGGAATCCGAATCCGGGAATGGAACGATCACATCCCTCCCACAGGCACAGGTGAGGGTTGTCTCCGTGGCCATGGAGTCCGTGGGCTTCACGCTCGTGGCGGAACAGGCATGCATTCGAGGAGAAACGCAATTGGGCTTCCAGGCAAGTGGGGACCTTGCAGCGGTAGGGCTTCAGATGAGAATCCAGATATTTGCTAGAGTGGACAGTTAGCTTTTGGTTACGGAGCAATGTGTTTTATGTCAAGGGAAACTTGCTGGTAAGCGCATTTTTGCGTGGTGGGTTGGTGATTGCAGGCCTTGTCTCCAACGGCAAATGGGCAGTAGTATTTTCCATCACTCTGGGTAGGCATGGAATAGAACTGGTGCTCTCGCGGGTTACGAGACTCAGCACTGTCCTTGGACTTCTGGCGAGGTGGCTCTCTTGAAGGGAGAGGGGGAAGAACTCCGATTCGGCCTTGACCTGGGGCTGGGAAGAAGCTGGCAGAGCTCCACGGCGAGACTGCTTGGTAGGCCTAATGGTTCTGTGGGTTGGCGGTTAGATAGACATTCCTCACACGTTGTTGAATTTTAAACCTACCTGTTAGGGTCCTTGTCACTCAGAGGAGCACTGGGGAACATAGGATCCGCTGGGTTAATGCCGTGGCTGCCCATGGGCGAGTTGGTGAAGTCTCCGAGGAATGTGTCATCAGTGGCCAGATATGAGTTGAATCCAGGGTGGGAGCATGAAGAAGTGACAGAGATGTCGTTGCTAGCCTCAGTCAGAGGAGGCGAGACCGGAACGGTCTGGAAAAGGCTTGAGGAGAGTTGGTCCAGGGTAGTTCCAGGATAGTGGCCATCAGGCATCATAGCATTCCACGGCTCGTGGGATACAATGTAATGGCCGTCATCGGTATGAGAACTGTGCGCGACAGAAAGAGCATCATCTGGAGAGCTAGCTTGCCCGCAAACATCATTATCCACGGAAGATAGGTCCACGAAGGAGTAGAAGTCTCGCTGATCATGCAAGTCTTGGACTACTGGGAAGTCCACTCCTGTGTACATCACATCATTGGGTCCGACGGTAGGGGTCATCAAGTGATGAGACAGCGAGAAGGAAAGCATTTGCACCGGGGGGATTCCTTGGAAGACATGGCCTGATCGAGAGATTCTGTAGTGTTCATATTCCATTCTTTAATGTCCTGGTGGTTTCCATGGGCTGTGGGAATGGAGCACAAAGACGAAGTGTCTTGGCTTGATAAGTCATCATCCTGGATAGATCTAGAGGCCATATTTGAGAGTCCTTGAGCCATGGAGGCATGTCTGGATTGAGAGAAAGAGACCCGTTCGGGCTCGTTGCTGGCCCTGGGAGACATTGTGTGGGGGGTTCCGCTAAACACTGAAAAGCATCATTCAAGTCAGTCATCTACACTCAACGAGTTGAAAACGAAAATCATAAACATTAAAGGAAAGTTCCAAGGTCCAGAAGAGATTGGAGACCTATCAGCTATTAGCAACTTCATCAGCGGTCGAGAATTGTGACTGGACGCACCAAAGTCGTTCTCAAGAAAAAAGATGGTCCAGGATCAGGGTCAACAGGGGCCTAAGTACAATGGTCGAAGCTTGAGTCGGTTCCAGTGATGTAGGAATGCCTATTTCCAGTAGTGATGTCGAGTAGGGCCAGGTCGTATCATAGCGGAGGGCTACAGATTGCATCGTATCATCCAGGAAGTCCAGGGTCAGAAGTTTGCATCAGTTCAAGGCAGGTCAGCATAGGACAGCATGACGGGTCCGTATTATCAGTGGCCAGAGCAGTAATTTCCAGAAGCGGTTGCTTCATAGTCCATAAAGATGGAGAGCAAACATAAATGCTCGAGTGATTCCACGGATAGTTTTCCTTGTATCGGCAGCGTGGAAGAGAAAAAGGGCCATGGTAGCATGATTCCGGGGAGAGTTCATTCATTTGTAAGAGGCCAGGCAGGCAGGCAGGCAGGTATAAATCCAGGCAGCAAGGTAGGCAGTAAGATTCCAGTGGTAAGTCCAGGGTAGTATAGTAGTCCATCCATCCACTTCGCACCAGGCTTGGTCAAAGGGAGTCCAGGGTAAGAGTAAAACAGATCCAGGCAGGGTAATCCAGTGGCAGTATCGATTTCTCAAGTGTATGCAACATTAAGCAACACTCAATGGAGAGAGTCCAGTCACTCAGCGGATGCTGAGGACGATGTCCATGGCAGTAATCATTCTTTTGAACTGCAACAAGGCAGTGGCACCAGCAAGGTGGAGGTCAGGGAGTCTAAGGTCCACGGAAGTCCAGGGCTTTGGTTTGCAGTGTCGATATCCACGGGAAGAAACAGTTGGTGATGGTACAGGTCCAGTTAAGAAGAAAAAGAAAAGAAAAGGACGCATAGGAAGAGCAAGAAAGAAAGGTGTGAAGGGGACTACCTGTTGTGTTTTGTCGAGTGTGTGCAGACTAAAAAACAGCCTGGGAAAAACAAAAGCAAATCCTTTTTGTTCCCGGGAATGGTGGATAAGAAGTCCTTGGGCAGCAATAACAACCAGGGAGATGCAAGAAAAGGTCGTCCAAGATCCAGGGATTGAGTGGTCGATAAGGGGTTGATGTATTGTTGGTTGGGTATGAGTATAGTAGAAGAATCAAAGTTTCACCAAGGTTGATAAGAGTAGAGTTAGGGAAGGAAAGAGAAAAGGAACGAGGGCTGAGGGGGGGGAATGCGGCCTTTTTCAAAGAGAAAGAGCACGGTGCGCTGTTCGGAGTGGGACTATCCAACACGGCGTGTGCCTGCGACGCATAGTGCAGGATGGAAGAGCGCTGTTGGCAGCATCGAGGACCAGTGGATCACGACCGAGAAACTAGCGGTGATGGCATCTGCAGACTCCGTCTACGTGTGGCTGCTCCCGAGTGGTGGAGACGCCCTGCCGTCGCAGCGGTGAGACGGGGTCGGCGTCTCTCCTCCTTGGCAGGGTCACTTGTGAGATGATGATTGGCAGAGAGGCAGGGCTGACGCTGCATGATGATGACCACATTGGACGATCGGCAGGTTCTCCGTCGCGTGTTGACTAGGATTGGGGGGAGATGGCTGGTGGAGAGGTGTCCACGTCGGACTCTTGCGGGTTCTTGCGGAACGGGATGATGTACTCAGTATAGAGAGAAACACCGGGCGCCTACAGAGATTCAGGAGATAGGGGAAAGGGGGGGGAAAGGGGGAAGGGGGGAAGGACAGAGGGAGACCAGAGTACTGTACAAGATCAGGTAGAGCTGAAACAAGTTGGAATATTAATATTAATATTAATTATTATTATATTACTATATTCTAGAAGTAGTGGGAAAAAGGGAAAAAAGGCATCTTCCCACGGATTCTAGACACGGCTCGGGGCGAGCCTGTGCCCCCACGTTGGGCAGCAATGCAGATGGACCTCGTCCCCTTCTAGGGCTTCGGGCCAAATCCCTGGAGTTCCTGTGGAGTTGCGTTAGCGACTATCGAACTCTCACAATGTTCCAGAAAAAAGTGGAAAGGTTTGGATATCAGATAAAAAGAGATGGATAAAGGTTGTCGTTCAGCAATCCGAAGATTTCAGGTGAACTATGCTTGGGTAGGTTTGTTCATCATCTAGGTCCCGGAGGACCGATGTACATGGGTAGAGACTCAAAAATGAGGCGGCTTACCTGTGGATCCCTCTGAGTGCAGGGTGATGGTCGCAAAGACCTCCAAAGGGAGGTGTGTGTATGGATGAGTCGAAGATGCAAATTTCGCTGCCTTTTGTGTGCCGTGCACGTGATCTGTTTGCCTGGTTTGCTGTTGATCCATCCGTTATCATCTTATCGCCTTATCGTCGTTATCGTCGTATCGTGGTTTATCCGCGCTACGATCATCTACGATCGTCTACCTTCATCCGTGATCTTCATGTCTCCAGCATGAATTGGACAGGAGGCCAATTGCATCGCTCAGCCCGGCAGGGCACTCTGTCCAAGAACCAGCGCCAAAACTTTGCAAAGTCCCGCCAGGTTGCGCTCGACAAGGCGTCTTGCCATCTATCTCCCTTTCCGGGATTAACACGGTTTCCCAGCACCGGAGACAAAAAAGGGCGCCCAGCAGACAATTTCAGGACGTGGCAGTAGGTGGATCATCACAGTCAGTGGGGAAACTGCCAATTTTTGACACCTGCACTGCCACCATGCCTATTTGTCTCGGGTATTCTCCGTACTAACCATTGGTCCTCGAACACTCAGGACACAAGCCTTACCTCCGCCTCAAATGCCCGACGCCGTATCGATCAAAAGTAGACCCCATTTAGATACAGTGAAGCGTCAGCTCCTCCAAGATCCTGACTGGGCTACTGTCTGTGCAGCTCGTCCATTAGAGATAGCATTCACCCCGGCTGAAGAGATCGAGCAATTCGGGAAGCGACGCAAATTGAATGACCGCGACAGAAAACGCCTGTCAGCTGCGCATGGTCACTATTCACTCTCAAGTCTTGCCACGTTATGCCGGAATGGCAGAGACGCTTCTCCGAGAAAAGTCGACTCGGACCAAATCAAAATCCGGATCGACGGGCGTCCCGCCGGCCTCCACTCAGGCAGCCAAGGAAAGAGCACAAGTGTTCCTTCATCGCAGTCAATGCTTCTGGATCACGAGACCTCTCAGATTTCTCATTCATCCGCTCGGGAGGAGGAGAGTTTCCGCCCCGAATATGCGCGGGTGGCCAGATCCAGCCGCCTCACTTTGCAGCCCAGCTACAACCAACCTATGCTCGAGAAATCTTTGGCAGGCAGGTATCGCACATCGGCGTTCGATGTTACCGAGCCGCTCGACAACATCATCTCTGGGACCGCTCTAGATTACCGCACTCTTTCTTGCAGCCCAGCAACAACTCTGGTGGCATCACCTGCGCCATCATTATCTCATGTTTTGCCGGATCGTGAAGACTTCAGCTGGCTGCCAAATTCACAACATTTCAATGATTCGAGCAGCCCCAAATCGGGTCGTCTTCATGCTACGAGCCTCCGGGGGTTTAATGTTAACCGGTCTTCATATCCCAACTCCCCAGCACACCTATTTCGAGATTTCTCAACAACTGACAGTCTCCCGGATCCTGTAAGGTTATATGGACAGCTTATCAATATTCGTAATCACGACATTGTCGAGACTCTATGAATGCCCAATCATGAATGGCCGCTTCCGGAGATGAGGCATATATCCCTCTTGAACTCGATGGCATTCGCTAGTATAATTAATCAGTTAATTTTAATTCTGCATGACATGTTACGCACTGAATAACGACGATCAATCTGGGGTTGTATACAATTACCACTGTACCTTGAGAGCTCAGGTACCTGCATCGAAGTCACGTGGTGATAAATGTCCCCGGCTCCACCAGGCGTCATCGAAGGCCCCAAACTGGGAACCTGAGGAACTTGCTTCAACTCTCACGCCCACGCTCACGCTGCCATGTTGCGTGTTCTTCCGATTCTGGCAGCTCTTGCCCCTCAGGCCCTGTCTGCCGCCGTTCCCTGGCTCACAGCCTCTGACGACACCTCGACCCAGCTCCCTCTCGTCATCTGGCACGGGCTTGGCGACGACTTTGAACGCGATGGACTCCACGAGGTAGCTTCGCTCGCAGAATCGGTCAACCCAGGAACCTATGTCCACATCATCCGGCTCGCTGATGATGGAAGCGGTGATCGCCAAGCGACCTTCTTCGGAAACGTCACCGAGCAGATCGAGACTGTCTGCAGCCAACTCGCTTCAGATCCGATCCTGAGCACTGCGCCTGCTGTCAATGCCCTTGGTTTCTCGCAGGGTGGTCAGTTCCTACGCGGATATATCGAGCGATGCAACAACCCTCCAGTGCACAACCTCGTCACGTTCGGCAGCCAGCACAACGGCATTTCCGAGTTTCAGTCTTGCAAGCTGGGTGACTGGCTCTGCAATGGAGTCGAGTCCCTGCTTCGCTCAGGCCGATGGGCAGATTTCACGCAGTCGCATGTCGTTCCGGCTCAATACTTCCGCGACCCTGAAGAAATTGACTCTTATCTCGAGCACAGCAACTTCCTAGCCGATATCAACAACGAACGCGAGCTTAAAAACGTCGAATACAAGAAACGTCTGGAGACACTCAACACATTTGCTATGTTCATGTTCGATGAGGATACCGTCGCCGTTCCCAAGGAGAGTGCCCTATTTGCTGAATTCAATGCTACCGATGGTACCGTGACTCCCCTCCAGGAGAGACAGATCTACAAGGAGGACTGGCTCGGTCTGAAGAAGCTGGATGAACAGGGCAAGCTTCATTTTAAGTCTGTGCCGGGCCAGCATATGGAGTTGACCGAGCAGATCCTGAAGAAGACATTCGGGGATTATTTCGGCCCCATTGAGACCTCACAGTCGGATACCGCCCTGCCCGGACTGATCGCACAGCCTGTTTGAATAATCTGATAATTGAATCCTTTGTTGGCGTTGGAATTTATAATTGATATCCCAGGTGTCCAAATGTATGTTAGCACCAAGTGATCCCATGCAATGTATAGTCATGAATTTTATTTTCCTTATGAAAGCAATACATTTCCATTAACTCCCGGTATTTGGAAATGTAGACGTCGCGACTTCTAGTTCATTTGATACTATGACGGTAGGATGTAGCCCTTGGATAACGTCAATAGCTGGAACCATCTACTGTGGTGCGGGGAGGGTTGGAAGTGGAGAATGTAATACATACAACCAGGGAGCGGCACCAGCGCCCTTTTCTCGTTCAAGTTTGCTGTTTGCATGCAAAATGAAGACGTTCACTTATTGATTGAAGACGATAAGACCAAGTTACTGCTCGAGATTATAGTCTGGCTGAGTTTCTGAAATACAAGACGTTTTGCCAGTACCCGGTACAGAGCGGGCCATACACAATGCGACGAAAGACATGCTCGCTGAGGGCGCTGTCAGAGATTGGATCAAGAATGCAACCCATCAGATTTCATAGTCTATTCAAATTGAGCCTCTTCGGAATCTCAACCACAAACCGCGGACTGGGAAACTCCCTTTTTTCAGGCAAATGAGCTTGATCGGTGTGGGAAGGACAAATCTGCTACGAGCCGAAAATTACTGAAGTTGCTGTAATGTAGTCGCTTGATCGAGGGGCGAGATATTAGCAGCATCACGGCCGTGACGAGGTTATCGTTTTCTAACCGGGTCAATCCTCTGATTAGGGCGGAGCTGTTGCACGTCTAGATTGCTTCGATATAACTAGGTGCATGTTAGTATTTTGATTTGTGAATATAGCAGGAGGAAATAGCCATGTTGGGCCTTGGTATTTGGCGAAAGTCGTATGTCTATTGAGTCTACCGACAACGTAGATACAGCACCCGCAGCAAAAGCAAATAAGCAAGCTGCAATATGATGCAGGCACGGTGGAGAAAAAGGAACCGCGGGTGGCCGGAAAATAAACATATGCAAAAAAGAAACGGGTCAAAAAGATGGAAGATCAAGTGGTGCAAAGAAAGCAACAAAGAATGGAAAAGGCTGATATACCACCCAGACTCTGCAAAGGAATAGGGCGGCGCAGAGTCCAAGAGGAATCATTATCGCAGAATAGGGGACTGAATGAAAGTATAAACATGTATAAGGCAGACCTGAAAAACGGAGCTGCCAAGCCGAGGTCTCCAGGGAATTTTGTGCTCGCTAGGACTGACTGTACAGGATGCAAGGAAATTGAATAATTAGTATGGAGGTCGTCCGATGCCGCCACCGCTGACTGAGCGTTGGCTGGAATAGCTTTGTGCCTTGGAGGGGTCCAATCCGGTGGGTGAGCGGTCCCCGTTGGCCACGGTGCTGTCATCGGGGGAGAGGAAACCATCCAAAAGATTTCTCAACTGATCTCTCTGGTTATTGTCGAAAGCAGAATCATTCCCATTGCTTTGCGCACCCTGGAAAACATCCGAGATCCCGGCAGAGAGGCTGGTGTTGGAGCGACTCATGTTGCGGTTCAGGGATTTGTTTCGAGACTGGAGGTAACCTGATTTTCCATTGGCCTGTCGCGAATTATCGGGAGCGGTGGCCGGGCGATCGATGAGTAAGGACCGCTGCGAGTCATTCGGATACCCGCCCGGAATATGGAGGTTGGAAGGGATGGGAGGGACGGGAGGAATCTCTTCAGAGTTTGTCCGAGTTAACATCAATTGAGGGGCAGTGGAAGCCTTTTCCTCTGAAAGAGCGACAGCAGATGCCGATGCACGAGGCGTTGCTTGTCCTTCCTGGTTGGGGGTCTGTTGCCCATCGCCGGGAATCGACGCATCGTCACCTTCCATCTCTGAGACAGAGAAGGCGCCACTGACCATACTTTCACTGCCTGATGAGATGACGCTGATATTCGATCCATCTACATCACGCAGTGGGCTTGGGTTTCGAGAAGAGGGGTCATCTTTGACAGAGAGCACGCGAAGGAGTTGCGTTACTCGGACTGGAGACCCTCGGTGAGAGCTGTGATCTGGAGTACGCGAGCCTTCGCGGGAAACCTCAGGGACGTTCGCATAGCGGTACTTTTGCGAAGCCGAGCCAGCCGGTGAGCCGTTTGTAGCACCGTTAGGTTGGCTATTGCGAGTCATGGTGCCAACACGAGAGCCGCTGATGGAAAGTGTTTTGATGCTTTCCTTCTCGACAGCGGCCAGACAGGACTCTCGGGACCAAGCTGAGAACAACTCCTCCCTAACAGATGACGGAAGACCGTTCTCGACCTGCGACTGAACAGCCTGAGCGTGATTGAGGACAGGGAAATTGAATCCCCGCGCTGGCGAACTTGACGGGCTTTGTGGGGGCGACAAGACGGTTTCGCGATAGGACTCGTCCATACCATCGATGAGGCCGTCAAGATTTTGGAAAGGGGTGAGCGCGATGGGCGGATCTGAATCACCGTTGAGGATCTTTTCATCATCTATCGCGATGTCGCTCAGGCCGGTTGGAGGTAGCTTAACCCTGGAGAGCCACTGGCCCTTGCTCTGTCGCTTCTCAATCTCGTTGCGGATTTCGACGCCAGCATGGGTGGACTCGAGGTTGAACTTTTCGCAGATGGCCAAGAAGTACCCGTGAACCAAGCTACCAATGTTGATCCGTGCCCTGGAAGTCCCCAGGTCGACTGAAGTGAATAGATCCTCCTGAAGTTTCAGGACCATGGGGAGACCAAATTGCACCGCGTTGATGCCGAGATTCTCAACGAGGCTAGCAAGTAGCAGGTGTAGAACAAGTACCTCAGACTCGACTGTGGCCTCTTCTAGGGCAGAATCGTAGATGGCAAGATGCAAGAGGCGAAGGAAGCTCGATCGCGCCGCAAGAGCTACGATCTCCCTTTGGTTTCCTGGGGCCGAAGTACTCCGTCGGTTCAGCTTATCCGCCTCTAAATCACGCTTCGATGTCTGCTTGATATACTTCGGGGTGTCTACCCGCAAATTGAGATCCTGCTTGTTCGTTTCGAGTTGCAGCCAAGTCAAAAAGGCCTCGGCATAGGCGTGGCGAACGTCACAATCGGGGTCTCGGAGAAGTCCCTGTGTCCCTTCCCATACATGAATGCCGACTTGGTTTCTTGATTCAGAGGCCGCATTAATAGTAGGCGCACGAAGGTTCGCCACGATGAGAACGGCCTTGATGGCTCGGAGAGCCGTTTGTTTAGCCGCAGTATGCGAAAATGTGTTGCCCTGGGCTTTCTCTCCATTGCTCTCGGGATTGGAATTAGTGTGGACAACGGGCGCGATTCCAGCCTCATGCACGGTGGCCAAGGAAGACTGCATCGCATTTTCCTGGATTGGTGCAGTCTTTAAGCGCCGTAATATAGCTCGCATCATATCGGCGACCTGGTCGCCATAGTAGATATGGGTTGCTAAATTGCCAATACATTGTTCCACAAGAGCAAGCAGGCCCTTTCTCTCGGCAGAGAGGAAGACCGCAGGGTCAGAGGTCTTCTTCTCCTTATCCCCGATGTTGTCCTGGAGTGATAAGATGTCCGAGACGTAATGCATGAGGCCAAACAAGATATCCATAACACTCAATCCAATCATATTCACGGAAGACTTCAGGAGCCAGTCTAACACGGAAAGAATGGTAAATGCCGAGTCCAGGGCATCCTCCTTTAGTGATGTCTCCTGTAAGGTTTCCATGGCCGTCACCAGAATCACAAATCGAACTTGTACAGGGCACCAAGTCGCAATGAGTTCGATCAGGGAGGTTGCCCAGTTTCCCGCTTGGTTAATCGGGCTTGTTTCGACCCGAGTGACAGTTTGCGGGAAATGCTTGCTGGCGATAAAATGCAGGATGACTGTCGCTGTAACACGGATCTGACCACGGTTGCTACCTGAGACGATTATCTGTTCAAGACAACGAAGGGCTAAAAGCTGCGCATCCATCTCTCCTTGTCGGTCAACATCAGCGGTCGATTGGGCTGCAAGAGCAGGGTCTCCGTTGACCGTCTCAACTGTGTGTACCGTGTTGACACTCATGCGCCGGTTTCTGTTCCCATCACGCTCTGCCTTGTCAACCTCCTTGGTCTCTTCCAGTCTTGCCTTTAATGGCACAAGTAAATCTTCATTCGGAGAATAGAAGTTCTCCAAGATGACAGGCAGGATGATTTTTAGGGAGGTGCCACCGTCTGCGGCAAGACTTTCGGAGCTCACGACGCCTTTGATTGCACGTAGGCCGGCATTTCTCCAGCGGATGGCGACCGCGGGGCTGATTTTGGCGGAGGAGTAGGAGGGAGAGGACGGATCAGCGAAACTGGCGTACGTACGCACGACTTCGCGGTACTTCTGAGCGAGACCTTGGTCTGCGGCAAGGGTCGCGAGTTCTTGATGGCAGCAGAATGTTTCAAAGGTAGCGATCGAATCCTCCACCAGGGAAATGTCGTTCGATTTCAAAACGGTTTCGAGGACGGTCAGCACGGAACGCGCGTAAATGGGTAGGTCGCGAGGGAGTTTCTCGATGAGCGCGGTCAAGATATGGAGGGCAACCTGGACATTGCTGCGTGATGAAGGGTCAGCATTTTTCAACCCTGTCATGCAAGAATGGCAAAGGCGATTCATTCCGGGTTCATCCACGATACTCACCCTAATCTGCGCCTCCAAACATCTTTAGCCACCCGTTTCTCAAGAAAAGCGCCGACCTTGGTCAACTTGCTGCGACGCGTGCTCGCATAGTAGAGCAGATATGATAGTTCACTGGAGTTGGGCTTGACTTCCGACACACCCTTTTGGTATTTAGGATAGCACTTGAGCGTTAAAAGTTGGTGCCTCGGCCGGCACGACTGGCGTACAGACTCCATGAGAATTGTATGGGCGCGCTAGGCGCGAGATGGCGTAGAGAGCGAGTCGATGAAGCTGTAATGCAGTGATAAAGAGAGCTAAGTTCGTGGGTTGGCCATGGGCGGAAACGTTGACGGCCGTGGACGGGAACGGGGCGTTGCTGTCCGATGAGGTAGTTGGCGGCCGATCCCTAGGGGGGTGGGGCTCGACTGTGTTGCCGAACGTATTAGGTGTATAGTGAAAGTTTGTGAAAGGTCCCAAAGATGGTGGGAATATGGAAATAGAAGAAATGATGACTTGAAGCTGATGTCTTCAAGTTTACGTCTGGGTGAGTTGTTGAAAAAAAAGCGAAGGGCAGCTTGGAGCACTCGGCCGCAGACGGCCACTTTGCTACGTTTCGGCCTCCAATTCTTCATCACTACGTTGGGGAACTTCCTTACTAAAATTTGAGACTGTGAATTGAGACTAGATTTTGTCTCGTGTCATATCAATTGCCTCGGAGAAGGAAAAGTGTCACCATAACAGACTCACGACCCAAGCGCTTTGTCCTACCCAACCCCGCAAACCTTGGTCGACGGCGGAATCTGCGAACGGTGCGCTTGGGTGCGTCTAACATGGGAGTTCCTTGGGTTTCCTGGGGTTTCTGGGTTCCGTGCTGTTCCTGGTGCCGTTCGATCGACAAACTCTCCCCGATCGGCCTGCCTCGGTCGCACATGAAGCCACCCAGATGAGCCTTTGCTCAAGTGCCGACCTAGACTGGCACTTTTACTGATTCGAGGCACGATGTAGATCCTTCTAATTTCGTATCCCAGAAGATGGTTTCAGTGGTCGGAATGGTGGTGTAAAAGTGAAGAGAGCCAAGACCTCGCACAAGCCTCACGTCTTCGTACCATTTGGCTCGTCTTGCGTCTCGGGGTTCTGGGTTGTGGCGTCCGCTTCTCCCTTTTGTGTATTTTCAATGGGCATAGCAACACCGGCCAGGCCTTCGATGACCTGGGGCAATATGATATCTCGGCGGAATGTGTCTTCCTGCAGTAGTCGTAGAGCGCGTAGTGTCGGGCCGGGGTGAGTCAGGAATTGAGAGTATTCGGGTGTCTTCCAGTAGGAGTAGAGGTATGCCAGGTACGCGGCGAAGGCTTGGGCATCCGGGGAAGAGGCAGAATCGTCGTCATTATCGTCGGCTTGTGAGATGCCCAGGAGGCCTGGGTAGGTGACTGCGAGATGCGAGAGGTAGTACGGATTGGCGAGAGATGATACAAACTCCAATTCAAGCGTAAACCGAGGGTTGGTGAGCGTCGGAGGAGGCTGCGTAGACTCCATGATGGGAGAAGGGGTGGTTGAAGCTATTAAGTTTGGGCAAAGCTGGAGCTTCAAAGGCGGAGTGCCAAGGCCCACATCGTGCAAGGTGGAATGACTGTCACTCGCATACTTTCGTAGGCTTAAGCACATATGCAAGTGACTTGTTCTAGGCTCTACTTCATGACAGATTTTTCAATGTTCCTCACAAGCACGTATACGATGACCGCAAGTCTCACCGCTAATTCTAGGGCTGGGATGGCTATAGCTCTGCCGTCTGGCCTTTAAGAAATGTCACTTTCTGCCAGATTCAAGTACGCATAATGGGTTTAAAATTGATTGAGACAAATATCTAAGTCGGAGAGATGGAAGAGATTGAGAACAGTAGCTATAACTTCATCCCGTTGAGACAGATTATTCCAAAAAAGTACACGGATTTACGGACCTTCGAAATTTGTTTCTATACCGGGTGATCTAGAAGGGCTTCGAGATTTCATCGTTTAGGTCTTTTTTAATTGTCTTTTCCGGTCGGTCGCGGCCTATGTAGCATAGAATGAGCAGACATATAGGACGTAATATTGAACCGACGAAAAACGGCACGCAACGAAGTGTAGATTGATAAAGTTATCATAAATTCGTAAGCTAGGTCTAAGACAAAGCAGGCACTCGAGCAATGCGCTAATCTCTATGCATGTGCGATATATACCTGGATAGATTGGAAAGGAATTAGCATAGGTAATTGAGTCCTTGTAAATTCATGAAAAAGTTAGTTCCCATAAAGGTATACCGAGATCCATGCCGATGTGCCACTGCAAAGGTGTTCCATTTCAGGAGCCTCAAGTCGGGCCCGACCCTTGCAGAAGTCTTCAGACGGGGCATCGATACCCGATCAACCCATTGGAAAGCATGGAAGCCGAACGACAGACCAGTTCTAGACCGAGTCGATCTAGAACTTCCTTTGGAGTGTCCCTGATTAACTTCGTCGGGCTTCCCGGAAGGGTCAGCAGATGGTTCTGTTTACAACCAGGCCTGACCATTGCTATAGAAACTAGTTAGGCTCAAAATTCCAACTAAATTCTTGGGAGCTATTTTCAAGTCTACTCAAATCAACATCACAACGGAGATGGCCGAGCCGAAAGATAAAGAAAGCCGAAAACAGGGGCCCGTCGTGCGTGGCGTTGCCCCTTGAAGTGGCGTAGATGCCGGGTTCCAGATATCTCAAATCAAGGAGGACCAAGACCAGAAGATTTCAATTTTTGCAGGGAAGAACAGAGTAGAGCCGAATCAAATCACCATCCTAATGCTTTCATAGACGGGAGAAAACCGGTAAAATACACAAAGGAAAGATCGGAGTGACCCCGGATCTTCCCCAGATCCCCCCCCCACGCATGACGCAAGCCCACGTTCGGGCGCAACGCTGATCCCCCAGAGAGCCAATCTTGCGCCATCTCCGCCTGATTTGCTCCTTTAGGGGTTCCGGTTCCTCTCCCGCCAGCCACTGGCTTTCATTCTATGGGGCTCGCTTCAGTTGCCTCCGGGTTTCTCCCCCCCTCTCCTCCTGCCGGGCTTCGGGGCAAAGCCGAGAAGCATTTAGCCGGGTCATAGAATGGTCCTAGTCATACTCCTTACATTTGCCTGTTCGGCTTACTATACTAGGATTGTTGCGGGAGACGTATATAAGCGGTAGTGGTACCCCCACGGTCTTCCCCAGATTCTCTCTCACCAGTGGTACTTGTGGAACGAATTGGCCATTATCTTCAACCTTCTTTTGAACCAGATCTACATGTCTGTTGCATCGTATCAATAATGATTGTAGCACCGGAAAAGAAAAGGCCCTACTTTGGGCTGACGGGAGGATGGCTCACGTTTTGGGTTACGGTATGCTCGTTGCAGTCGCTGCCTTGGTGGATTCCATTGACAAAGCGATCATAGGTTGCCTGCGCAACCGACATGTCCCTATTCGGTTACGATCAGGGTGTCTTTAGTAAGTGCATTGCGAGGATCTCTTGATAATTTTTCATGGGCTAATAGTAGATCCCAGGTGGTGTCGTGATTTCGAAGGACTTCCTCGAAGTCCACGACCTCGTCGGCCCAACCAAGACCAAGACGCTATCCACGGTAACTGCCATCTACGATGTGGGGTGTTTCTTCGGGGCCATCTTTGCCTTTACGATAGGTGAACGCCTAGGGCGAAAGAAGGCTATTTTGCTGGGAACGACAATCATGGCCGTGGGAACCATTCTTCAGTCGACTTCATTTAGTCTGGAGCAGATGTTCATAGGTCGTATTATCTTGGGGTAAGAGACGGCTTCTGGGAACAAACATCGAAGACGGAAGCTAATCGGGAGTCTCTGTAGTGTCGGAAATGGTATCAACACCGCAACAGCTCCTGTGTGGCAGACTGGTAGGTTCTTCTGGTTGTAATTGCAGAGCTTTTATTGAACGGGTCACTGATGGCTGATCGTAGAAACCTCGCAATTGAAATGGCGTGGAAAACTGGTCATTCTGGAAATGATGATGAACATTGCAGGCTACTGCCTTGTCAACTGGATCAACTACGGCCTTTCCTTCGCCGGTGGTGCCGTCGCCTGGCGATTCCCGCTTGCATTCCAGTTCATCTTTCTTTTCATTTTGTGGACTACCACTCCGTGGCTTCCTGAGTCCCCTCGGTAAGTGTGGCGTGTCTTCTGCTTCCAAGAAGCAGTGGCTAACAACATCTAGATGGCTTCTTGCTCATGGGAAAGAAGAAGAAGCCGTGGAGGTCATCGCTTGCCTCGAAGCTAAGTCGCTCAACGATCCCTTCGTTATTGCCCAGCGCAACGAAATCGAGTTCACTATTCAATACGAGCGCGAGAATGCAATGCGATGGAGAGATCTATTCAAGAAGAAGAGCGCGAATGACACCAAGACCCTTCGCCGACTACTTCTCGGTGCCGGCAGTCAGTTCATGCAGCAAATGGGTGGTATTAACATCATGTCCTACTATCTGCCAACGGTCCTAGAGACTGCAGTGGGAATGGAGGAGAGCATGGCCCGTCTATTGACTGCCTGCAATGCCATCTCGTACCTGATATTTTCCGGCCTTGCAGTACTGCTAGTTGAAAGAATGGGCCGTCGCGGCTTGATGATTTTGTCGACAGCTGGTCAATTCTTCTGTTTCCTCGTCATTACGATCCTCCTTTACCTCGTGGAAACCCGCAGCAACGGGGCGGTGTTCGGCAAGGCATCTATTGTGTTCTTCTTCCTCGTGAGTCACTCCCACTTCAGCCATAGAGGAAGACAGCCAGCTGACAAGGTTATAGTTCCATGGGAGCTTCGGAATTGGCATGCTTGGTGTTCCATGGCTGTATCCAACGGAGATTAATTCTTTGCCCATGAGAACTAAGGGAGCTGCCGTCGCGACTGCAACTGATTGGATCACGAACTTTGTCATTGTCGAGATCACGCCCATTGGTATCCAGAGTATTGGCTGGAAATTCTGTGAGTTTGGTCAACTGCCTAGGCTGTGCTTTGCCTTTGCTAACAACGTACCAGGGATCGTGTGGACCGTAACAAATGCGGCATTCTTACCTATTCTCTACTTCTTTTACCCAGAAACAGGTCAGTATAGAGACAGAGGTTTTTGAGGTGGATTGGATTGACTAACGTTTACTCGCAGCCAACCGAAGTCTTGAGGATATTGATGACTACTATCGCGGCAATCCGTCCCTTATTGTGGTCAAAGAACCGGATGCGATTTGCAGACGCCGCCCTCAGAAGTATATCGATCGTGAAGACGAGGAAATTGAGAAGACTGCCATCAGCAAGGGTCTTGCACCCGTGACCGCGGACCACATCGAATTCAGCTAAGTACACGAAGACACGAACGCCAATACCAGAGCGGGGCAGACCTTTACCTGGAAAGGAATATGTATGACATTCTAGCCTCCAGAGCTGGGCTCTGATACCTATAAACACGGAGAAATTTCGAAGATTGGTCAAAAATTAATTCTGATTTCAAGTCTCACTTCCACAATAAATGTATTATGGTGCCGTAATGAACAAGGAATCACAAATGCACTGGGTCTCGGGATCCACAACAACCAAGTCTATACAAGTGCTGGTATTATCAGGTTATCCTACAGAACATCTCGCTAAAAGATAGTGGTCCGGTCAAAAAAGCTCCGCACCTGCAGCATTCCCCAAGTCGTTTGTCGCGTCAAGACGATCAGTCACAGGTTCCATAAACGGGTCATGGTAGTACACCATCCGCATGCGGGCATGCAGCTCGTGAATAGTGCAAACACGTTGCATGAGACAAGAGACTGCCTGTCAAGCTGGTACTCTCGCATCTCTCATCATCATTCGTGGGGTTGAGAGGCGAGAGGAAGGACCCGCAGCTAGGTGACACCCGATACTTAAGATAGCTACAATGACCAGACAACCGGAAAGCTGCTGCCTGATGTTTCACATAGCCTCGGGCCTCTTCCGTTCAGCGGGGATCTGTTACCACGCACTACCGGTAGTACCCGGCATCTCGAAACACAATGATCACGAGATCTGAAAGAATCTATAAAGGGCAAGCTTTTCGGCCAGTGGCAGTTTAGCAGGTGGAGTGCATGAAGTGCATGGAGTGGAGTGGGGAGACGAAGCAGCCTTGATCGACAAGAGGGGCCGTAGATAGTATACACGGAGTAAGTTGGGGAGATCAGGGTACTTGATCTTTTTCATCGAATTGACACTCACTAGTGGCAATAGTGAGGTTGACAGAGATTTTCCAATCCCCCCCCTTGCTCGTTAGATAAGAGGCGATCGGGCTTTATTTTTAGACGTGCCGCTTGCTGACGCATCTCGGTCCACCAGCATCTCAAGTGCCGCATGTGGCGCTCGTTTGGCGTTTGGCGGACCTAATTTCGATCTGATGACGAACCTGACTCAAGGTTGTGTGAAATGCAGTCCAAAAGGCAATGAATGAAACCAAAATTCAATTTCCCAAACTCCAAGCTATGCGCAGATCAATGATAGTAAATACAGTGGCAGATATCCCCAGGCCAAAGATTAGTAGTCGCATGTGTAAAAATTCAGTAAAACAAATCCGCCCATTTCCCTCAACATTAAACTCCCCATTAGACCGGAACACCTCTGATCCCCGTGTGGGTTCATATGGGTTTGAGATATGTGTGATCGTCGCCGTCAGCTGCATGTGTCGCCGATCTTGTCGGATGACAGTTTCTTTCGCCCGGTAGGCTTTTTGTTTGCATCGTCTAGTATGCAAAATATTGGTTCGTGCAAGAGTCGTCCCATGGTTGTCTTTCGACTTTATCTGGCCCCTGAGATAAAGGTCTAGTTCCCCTCCTAGGCATATGGGGTCGAGGACCCGATCAAATTAGGCGTGGAGATGCTGGCCATGGGGGAGCCTTCGGGAGTCTTGCGCCCGAAGATTGACAGGCGCCGCGACAGGCGGCGACTCAATCCGCGCTGGGGTGCAGTCCAAGCTTCAACGGACATGATAGACATAGGGCGCGACCGCGAGGTTCCGGCAGAGGTCTCTGGGCGAGTTTCCTCGGCGATGTTGAAATTGGGATCCAGGAAAAAGGTTGAGCGGCGCTTGATCTTGTTGGCAGTCTCGCGCGCATCCAGCTGGTAGGCTAAATCCTCCTTGATGTCGTCAAGGGCGTGTGAGACTCGGCGCAGTAATCTTGGCCGTTCGTAAATTGAAGGCTCGCGCTGCTCAAGTCCGTAGGTCTGAATCGGGTTCTCAGAGCCGTCGTCCATGGGAGAGGCGTAAAAGCGAGGGTACTTGGGAGGCATCGGCGACTTCCGAGGGTGCTGCGAGCCAAGCGATAGTGTGGAGAGGGGCTGCTGGTGTTGGTAGGGGAGGTGAGGGTCGGAAGAGCAGTTGCTGGAGGAGTATGAACTGTTGGTGGACGACAACATCTTCAATATGCAGGGCAAGAAATCACACAGGGGAAATCGAGAGGGGTAAAGAACAAAAAGTAGGACAAAGAAAAAGAAGGAATATTCATAACTTAGCTCAGATCCATCGTATTCCGAAAAAGACTAGGTAAGAGTGGATCAAGACATTGCTTTAGTTCGCGGACTACGAGGCGCCGGTCCCGTGTAACAAATAGATGACTGTAATTTCATGTTTCATTCTCTTTCTCTATTGAGTATTTGCGCGGGAAGATGCGCATTATAGGGGAGGGGGAAAGAGTTAACGATGGAAGTCGTACATGGCAAGCTTGGAAGGTATGGTCTCTCTCCTAGCTATGACTATAACATTTACCCGAGGCGAAATGTGTATGGGGGGAGCTTCACTTCAACTGTTCGGGTGACTTGTTTTTCAGGTCCGAGCGGATTATCTCTGTCTCAGAGGTAATCAGATCATCCCATCGTTTGTGTCTTGAAATCTTGACACACCCCTCCATGAAGGGCCTGAAGGGATGACGCGGCACACAAGCCACTCCCATATATAACCACATACCCTTCCATAGAAACGCGTTCAAAGTCGTGTTCGCAAGTTTCAAACCTGGGTTACCAATGCCCAGAGGTTCCTTTTGTTTCTAAAGAGAGAGAGGGAAAAAAAAGAAAAAAAAAAAGGAATCAAGTGGGACTCATCCACAGTTACCACCGGGATCTTCTGCCGCTTCAGTCTGGCGCCTTTGATTGGTCCGACTTCGGCCTCAGGGGGCATCTTACGAATAGAGGTCCTTCGTGTCCTTCTTTTTACAACAAACGTGGTGCAGCTTATACATTCAGCGTGAGACATTGGGTGGCTGAGATTTCATCTCAGCCCCTTCTTCATACTAAAAAATAAGCCATGCTCGGTTATTCTGTAGCTACTCGCTCTGACCCTACGTAATCCGCTGTGGGTATGCTACCAGCGCTGGGGCCGGGGAACCGACAAACCAAAACCAAGTATCGGAGCACACGAGGCCCCGGGACTCTTGAATCGTGTGGGTGAACCAGGATCCGCCCCGGTGTGTATGAAACAGTAACACATGGACTCCACTCCCCGCAGAGGTTCGTGAGGGGGTTGAGCGCAAGCTTCGGCGCAAGCAGCCACCGCAAGTGATGATCATCTCCCCGAGGAATTCCATGCGCCGTGGCGTATTCATCTCCATGCGATCGCCGCCTTTACATCACAAAGCGGAGATTTACATCTGCCGAGCGAGTCAGCCGAGTCCCGAAATGGTGCCACCGCGGATCAACTTACCAAGGGGATGGCTGCAGCTCAGCTGCGGCTTTTGCGTATACTTCCCGTCGAGCTCCGACCGGATCGTGTTTAACAGTTGCAAGTAGCTCTGTTGGGGCCACCGTTGCAAAGATTTGATAAACGCCCAACTCAAGGCACCACGCGCCTGTCCGTCCTGGAATGTGTCCGCTCTATCGGGAACAGGGTTAGCCGGGTTGGAGATATACGGTGGGCTAACTCACGATGTCTGTGTATCCTTGGATCCGGAGAACATAACCACGTCGGCTGGTGAGGTTTTGGTCATGATTGTGCGCTCACGCGCTTGGCCACCATTGGCCGCTTTCTTGAAGAAGCCGATCGCAGTCGACGCGACACTAGATAGGTCGCCTTGTCCGTACGAGCTGATAACGCTGAATAAATCTTGAGCTGCTTCCTTGGCCAGATTTGGCTCCTTCAGCACACCCTGTGTGGAGTAGATGTATGGCAGGTCGAGAGCGGTACCGGAGTGGCATGAGTCGAAAATGGCGGTTAATCGCACACCGGGTCGTAGCGGTCGCACCATGATGGCGTGCATGTCATCGTCGACAATATGGCCTGCCACACGATAGTCGAGCGGGTAGATAACATCGTCGAATCCGTCGTCCTCGTCACCATCCAAGTCTGGCGTGCGGCCTCCGTGGCCAGAGAAATGGATAAAGAGTGAGTCATGAGGCTGGGCATCTTTGACCAGCCAGTGCATCGCACGCATGATATTCGCTTTGGTTGGGATACTCAGCGGGTTGCGCTGATCATCGGTAAGAATGACCATGTCTTCGCGACGATAACCGAACTTATCATGCAGGAAAGACGACATGTTTGTAACGTCGTTGATACAACCACGTAATGCATTCGGCTGGCCGGTGTAGTTGATACCGATCAGTAGGGCCTTTCGTCGTCCAGTACATGCAGAGTACTGGAAGTTGTAATTGGATGGTGCGCCAGCGCCGAAGTGCTGGTAGCCTTGCGGCGGCGGTGGGGGCACGTTATTGGAATTTGGGGTTGGCCCTGCAATAGTTAGCGTATATGACTAGGCATTGTATTTCAATTTCCCCTTCTCATGACGCTTACCATTCCGGTAGGCACCGGGTATACTTCCCGGTTGTGGAGACGGGGTATGTCCCCATGGACCAGGAGAGGGCGTGTGGGCGTAAGGCTGAGGAGAAGGAGCATGGCCGTAAGGCTGAGGTGAAGGGGTGTGCGCATAGGGTGGTCGTGAAGGCTGGCCAAGCTGCTGGGGATAGGGAGCAGGCCCCGAGTAAGAAGGGCGTTGGTGGTGTCCTTGATAAGGCGCGTGGTAGGGCTGAGGCGGGGGATGCGGATGCTGCCAATTGGGACCCGCAGGAGGCCAGGGAGGCGGAGGCCCCGGAGGAGGTCCTGGAGGTGGATAGTACATAGCAATATGACCTTAGAGAACCCAAGAAAGCCCCAAATATGAAAGGATCAAAGAGGGGAAGACAAGGCAAAGACGTGGGGTGGCCTTTTCTGCTTCTTAAGCATCGGGCTGGCTGACTGGTGGGTCGCGCAGATCGGATTTATGAGAGGGCAGAATTGGGGAGCTAGGGATTGAAGAAGGATTATGGAAGGTAGTATAGTATATATACAGGTATAGGGTGAGAAATTGCCCTGGGGACCTGACGCCGAAGGCCCAAAAAAGAAGGAAAACCATGGACCCGATGCCGATTCCCGAACATTTGAACTCCACAAATCTCGTAGGGCTGCAGGCAGCACCGTTTGTCACGTGGCTTCGATTCTATTTTATCTCATCCCATCCAGATTCACAGGATAACAGGGTGGGATAGTTTCTACAGTTCAGTGATATCCAGGTCATAGTAATTTACAGTCAGTTCTCAACTATGACAATTGTGACTACTACAGTTGACGGGAATAATGTTGGCAACCGGTACCCGTAGACGCTCTTAACCCGCAACTTTTTGGAAACGAAACTCGAAACTCGTAACCCCGGAGATACATGTTCCGTTTGGAAGGACCGGAGAGATGTATAGAACATATCGTACCGCTCCTGGCTCGTTGGGGCGAATTCCGAATGATATCTGCGCGGACACGTGGACTCACCTGACCTGCGTCTGCTTACGCAGTTATTCTTAGACTCTTAGACTAGCAATGGGGTTCCACTGGATTCGTATGCTCAAGAGTGGCGCTCCCAAAATCAGGCAAATGCGCCGACGCCTTACAGAAATGCGGGGACGGCACGATGAAGGGGGCGGGGACGGGGACAGTGAAGGTGAAGGTGAAGGTGAAAGTGAAGGACGGGTTACCCAAATCAGCTATACATTCGGCGAGGGCCATAGCGAGTAGATCACACGCGCTGCACCTACTCAAAGGCCCACAGAGATGCGCCGGCGATCTTTTTGGGAAACTTGGTTTCATAAGAGCCGCACATGTACAGTCAGACGAGAAATTATTTCGGAGACCTGCGGAGTCCAGTGGAGTCCAAGCTACGTAACAGTGGCCAAACACGAGCGCAGAGCCTCAATGATGGGAATGTGAGCCGGTCATGTTCCACAACTCCGAGTGGTCTGGCCGAGAATTTATTGCATACTAGTGTTACTGGTGGTGGCTGTCGATCTATCATCAAGGGGGGCTGTGTGATCGTTTTGAGCCGCAGAGTTGAGCCTCCCTTAACCCTTTATAGCTTGCACCCGGGCATCACCCCCATACTTTCGAGATGCCTCGTTAATCCCTTCCATATTTTACTTTCCCCTTAGCCATGCCGGCACCTAGGAGTCTGGACTCCCTTCCCTTCGATGTCTTTTACCAGATCGCCACGTCGCTGGACGACCGCGATTGTATTAACCTGAGCCGCACTAATAGCACTCTCCATGATTTCATGGAAAGTGACCTCATTGCGCGCAAAACAGTCAAGGTGAGCTCCAAATCTAAGAAGCGAGCCTGAGTGCCTTAGAGCCTCCAGAGATCCAGAGATCCAAAGCCCCCAAGGTTCAGAGCCTCTTCCCCCTCCCGCTTGGCCCCAAAAGCCACCCAACCACGCTAAACTGCTCAGTCACTAACCCGTCTCACAGAACACCCTACTTTACAGTAAAGAGGGCCAGTCTGCCTGGGCAGCCCAGACCGGTTTTCGCAAGGCTGTTGGGCACCGTTTTGACATCCATGAGGCGATTGCCACCGCCGCCCCATACTCTGTTTCCGTCTTAGCTTACGGGGCCGACTTTCTCTATAACCAGGGCGTTTTGTGCTACCGCGTTGGGTATGAAATCCGCCTGCTGGATGTGCATCGTGCAGGTCGCCATGAACGAGTCTTGAACCTCGGCGAACTTATCCCTCGCTTGGGATTCGGCCCAGCCGGTCTGGATGTCGCTGAACGAGTCACGCTGCTCCACTATAATGAGGGCATTGTCTCTTTCCGCCTGGAGCGCGTAGGTGCCCAGGAGGATGCTCTGCTGGCGATCGACATGGATCGCAGATCGGGCCAGCCTCGAAGGAAGCGTCTGCTGCTTCAGAAGGCCATTCCCGCGGATTCCCCTATCTTTGTCCACCATAGCCGCTCCTATATTTGGTATGGCACTTTTACATCTGCCCACGGCTCGAGTGGAGTCTGGTCAGTTTGCGGAAAGGATTTTGCTACGTCCGAGGAGATTGAATTCCCTCTAGACCGTATTGTCGACGGGGATCTAGGTCAAACGCTCTGTTTTGAGATGTATCAGGAGCATCTCTATGCAGTCTCGACCCAGGTCGCTTCAGACGACGACGAGCGTTTTTCTTCATTTTATCATTGGTTCTGCTATACACCCGGTGAAAAGAGTTGCAAATGGAGCGGGCGCGTCTGGCGCCGCGAGCACCGCGAGGGCCCTATCAATGAAATGTGGACAGACTTGTCGATTCGTATAGACGAGACGAACGGTCGGCCCGTCATTCTTGAATGTCGTCGAGAATGGCGCGGTGGTAAGAGTGAAAACCATCGCACAAACTATATTGAACCGCTACCTACACCAGAAGAGGCAAAGACGTGGGTGGATGACGACCCGAATGATCCAACAGGGAACCACCAGCCCTATAACCAGCGACCTGAAAAGCGGCTACGCAGAAATTACCACGCTGAGTACGAGCATAATCATGACCCAAAGAAGCGACTCGAATTTATCGCAGCTCGTACCAAACACCGCAGCTATCACCTAGCATCTGCAACCTTTGTCGATCTCGTCAATGATCCTGCTCCTCAGGCCGACGGTGTACGATCCCAAGACCGACTACGCCTAAGAACAGTATCACGAAAGCGCAAAACCCCCATCGATGACGAAAGGACTGACGGTGCTCGGAAGATGCTATTCCGTTCTACGCAAGTCGACGGCCAATCAGTCGACGGCTCCGAGGACCGATTCGTCTCTCGCGGCGTGCACATGTGGCCCCACGATGACACCCCGTCTGAAATTTATAATATCCTGTGCCCCGACTCTCGTGTAGGCTCCGTACGGGCGGTCTCTGATGAGCGGTCCATAATCTACTCCGTCTCATCTGCCGGCCTACCGTCGGGCCATCAAGCTCTCATTCTGATCAGCTTTGATCCTACTATTCGTTTTCCCAATCTCACATCTCTTCGCACAATGAAGAGTTCCGTTGTTTCAGAGAACATGTTCTCGGTTGAGGTGCCTCGACCTCAGTCACTCAACTCTTCTCTTGTGCAAGAGGCAACACCTCTTTATCAGGCGATCCGTCGTGGCTACTGGCTACGATGAGCGCCCGGATGGTAGACTTATTTAAATAACCTATATACTGAGCAGATCATATAGGTATCTTTTTTGTAATAGGAGAAAAATGATAGCAATCTAATCAAAATACACGTTCAAGCATCCAATTCAACCCTTGGAAACCCTCACGTAGTTAGCCGCCTTGAAGTAAAACCTTCAGTCCTTTCTTGACCTCTTCTCAAGGCATCTTTTGAATACCTTGGTGAACCTCTTTGTGTTCCCTCGCAAAGGTCTCCCTCTACATGAAATCGAATACGTCCAGATGTCTGATAGATCAAGTCGCGGCCGCCTATTTAGGTGGCCATTGTAGCCTTACATATCAGGCATTCAATGCCCTTCCTGGAGGCACCCGAAATTTCTCGGAATCAGAAGAGACAGGATCTTTTCGTACGGTCGCTCTCTCATCCATAAGATTAATTCGTCTCTCCGGCATTTCCCTCCATCTAGTCATGTGTCAATAGAACGTTTCCCAACCTCGAGTCAAGCTTCCAAGATGACGTTAACTGCCGGAACCTGGGGATCGCCACTTGCTTGCACCTTGGAGAAGCGTGGGTGCTCGCGAATACACTAGACACTCGCTTAAACCACCGATAGCGCACCCAGAGGCCACTAAAGTACCCTTGCCCACACAAAAATGCCGCAAAACGCGGCCTGAGTAGGGCCTCCGGATCATTCTCTAGCACTCAAGCTAGTGAGTTAGCGCGAAAGCAAAGTGGGACCCAAATCGCTTGCACTCAATTTCCCGCTCGATGCAGCAGGATGGGGCCCGTTCGAGGCCAGTGGGTCGATATAAACTCATCTAAAATGAACCTAAAGCTTCAAGTCTTTCTCCCTATCCTCCTCACCGGGTGGTCCACTCGCCCCGAAAAAATGGCCCGGTCAGACCATTGCTGGCCGCTGCAGATGGCCTATGGTCTGCAAGAGCATCCTATATCGGACTTCTACCGCCGCCAGTACCCGGGTAGATCCAGGAGGGGTCCTCAAATGGGTGACGGGCCTTTCGGCCGGTGCTTAGAAATGATCCTCACGGTGAATTACGTGCTCGGACGGTTAACCCGCCGTTCCAGAATTTAAATCTCTGCTCATCCGATCAAATGAATTGTCTTTCGGGCCTACATAGCCGATTAGAAGATCTTCATCGCCCTAATACTTATCCATCTACTCGGACAGAAATCCGAGTTCCAGTATATTGACTAATTCCCGCGTGTGCCACTTCTCCGTTCGCATCCGGTCAATAGCCTTTCGGACGGAGATTGTTGCTTTCTGGAACGCCACCCGCCTCCGTTTCTTTCCTGTCACCTAAGCACAAAGGACCTCGTTCCTGGCTTCTACGGGTCCTTTTATTTTCCCCGGAGCAACTTCCTTGCTCTTATTATCACCTTCATAGACACCCGTTGGACATTGGCGTGGCCCATGAACCATCATAGATCTTGAGACGAGGATCTATCGAATCCAGATCCGCAAGGGAGACATCCCCATCTGCATCACACGACACTAGGGACTCGTGCCCGCCTTCTTCTTCTTACTTGATTATTGGGCTTTTTCCCCATTTATCATCAATATGCTGCCCCCAGTACCATCCCTTGAAGACTACGGCATCTCGCCGGAGCATGGCTTTCTCTCTCCGGAGTCTCCGCTGGAGGTCCTGCCGGATCCATACTACGCGAAGTGGGAGGCAGTTGTCGCGAATCTGCAGCCTCTGCTACTAAGCAAGCGGGTACGAGGGTTGGTTGACCGTCTGCCTATTCTTTCAACTACACACCTGCAGACAGATGCCGAGTGGCGGCGAGCGTATGTCGTACTGGTCTTTATGCTTCACGGTTATGTCTGGGGAGGCGATCGTCCTGCCGAGGTATGCTACTACCAATACCCGCCACCATTTCTTTACCATTTACTGATCCAATCTGTGAACAGAGAGTTCCTCCACAATTGACCGTGCCTTTATTTGAAGTCTGCGAAAGACTCGAGGTGCCACCAGTTGCAACTTACGCCGGAGTCTGTCTCTGGAACTATAAGCCGATATTCCCGGACGAGCCGGCCTCCGATTTGGATAATCTTGCTTGTCTACAGACATTCACTGGGTCACTAGATGAACAATGGTTCTATCTTGTATCGGTAGCCATAGAAGCCCGGGGTGCCCCGACAATCCCTCTCATGCTTCAGGCCATTTCTGCCGCTCGTGTTGGCAAAGCTGGAGTAGTGACAGAGTGTCTGCAGCAGATGGCAGAGATTCTAGACGAAATCACTGCGCTTCTGCAGCGCATGTACGACAACTGTGATCCATACATCTTCTACAACCGCATTCGCCCTTACCTGGCCGGCAGCAAGAATATGGCCGATGCTGGGCTCCCTAAGGGTCTCCTTTACGACGATGGGCGCAACCAACCAGAGTACCGCCAGTACGGTGGCGGTAGTAATGCTCAGAGTTCTTTGATCCAGTTCTTTGACATCGTGTTGGGCATTGAGCATAGACCTACTGGCGTCGGCCGCAATGCCTCGGACGAATCCAAGTCTCGGCACTCCTTCATTCATGATATGCGAGCCTACATGCCTGGTCCTCACCGACGATTTCTGGAGGACATCGACTCTATCGCCAACATCCGCGCGTTTGTGGAGACACACCGCGCCGACCCCGCTCTGCGACTTGCATACGATGCGTGTCTCTCCATGCTGCGTGCCATGCGTGACAAGCATATCCAAATTGTGTCACGCTATATTATTCTACAGTCTCGCGGAGCCCGTGGCAGCACTCACTCCGCTGGCTCGGATCAACCACCTGCTACGAATCTGGCTACCGCCAACCCAACCGATAAGAAGAAGTTACGCGGTACGGGTGGCACTGCGCTGATCCCGTTCCTCAAGCAAGCGCGTGATGAGACCGGGGAACCAGCTATTGATGCATGGGCACGAAGACTACTCAGCAACGGTCCTATGGATGCAGCTTCTGCGTCCTTGAGTAAAGTAGGAGAGCATCCGGATGGTCATCTAGAAGTTGTCGGTCTGTGCGGGACGTGGACAGCGGACGACAGTGAGGGTGGAATCTGCCACTGGTGAGAGAGAGACGGAGTCTCAATATGATTTGAGCGTTCTTCTTTGCATCTGAATTTCCGATCTGCCATTTGCAGCGAGCAAACAGGTCTGGCGTCATGGGATTAACATTTAGAAATATAGTACAAGCGATCAGCTGTAGCATTTCATCATCAATATCGAACCACGATTGACGACAACCCCCACGAGGATGTCATCTGGGCTAGAAACGCCAGGTCCCAGGTCCACTGTAGAATATTCCAGTCCACTTCTTAAGCTTCATGACGCAGGTTGACATTTGAGGCGTAAGTCACGTGGTGTGACATCAGTGAATGATGTCATTGATTATGGCCTTCGAAGTTAGGTACGCGTTGCTCTGTTGATCTATAAGAAGGGAACGTGTCTCGGGGTAAATATAATGACATCTATCATATCTGGACATTTTTAAATTCACCTTCATCCATCTTTGGAAACCATTCAAGCTTCAAAATACAGCCAAATATCTACATCCCACTCTACACCACCATCACTATGTCTTCTGACAACGGCAACTCCTCTACTCTCGGCTCCTACGTGAACGCGGCCACTGGTGCTGCCCAGCGTGCCTTCGGAGCTGTCACTGGTGACTCTTCATCCCAGGTATGCATCAGGCCCCGCGCCATTGCTCATTCTTGTTTGAAGTGAATACTAACGTTCACCAGAACCAGGGCGAAGCTGCCCAGGCCAAGGCCCATGTCCAGGACCATAACTCCCACACCACCGCTAAGCTGGGCCCTATCACTGCCGACCCCAACACCGGCGCTGCTGTCAAGGACAACGAGAAGCGCTCGGACGGTTCCTGGGACCAGACCATCGGCTCCACCAAGGAGGCCGTCGGCAACATGATTGGCAACGATAACTTGCGCCGCACTGGTGCCGAGCAGAACGCCGCCGGAAAGGAGCAGGAGGCCAAGGGCCAGCTTCAGGACTGGGGCGAGGGTATCCAGAACCGCGCCCAGGGTGCTATCGGTTCCGTCGGCGCTGCTATCACCGGTGACCGCACGGGGGAGGAGAAGTTCCGCGACATGCACGATGAGGGCAAGGTCCGCCAGCGCGGTGCCGAGGCCGATATGGCCAAGACGCAGGGTGCCTAAGCTCGATTTACGATAACGGAATCACAATCGGTGGACTTGACTTTCGGCTTTGTGTTATTATTACGACTATCATGATGATTTTGAGATATCCAATTTGAGATTCACTTTCCAATCTATCGTCTCTTGTGCTATAGAACCTACTCCACGCCTATAGATTCTCTAGATTATGCCTACACTTTTCGGGCTGGAGGGTTTTGCGTAAAGCACCGTACTATACACGATGCTTCTATACGCTCCTACCTCGATGTCCCTCCATACACTGACATGCATCCTCAACACCGCTATCTTGTGGTCTGCTAGAATCTCGGCGTAATATAGTACTCAGACTATCCCCGCCTAAGCTCTACACCTGATCAGTGATAAATACAAAGCCAGCCCCTGACCTGCTCTCAAATGGCCTAGGCTATGAAATGCTAAAGCAAGACTTGAAAATTACTTTTTGATCTATATATCATTTCAGCTATTACCCATTTCTGTCTTGATCCATTCATTGATAAACTTGGAATGAACCCAATGTCGACAGGGAAGGATCGCAATCTCTTCACCAAGTTCAACAGATTCATAGCAAATTAAATATTATTCAAGGCTGTCGGACTTACATCGTGGCATGGGCAAATCTGGGCAAGGACACTGACCGGAATTTAGGCCGTACCGTTTGATGTTGTGCTCTTTGGAATTATTGAATCACTTCACTCCATGCCCTACGACAGCGATAAAATTCCTTTACATACTCTTCAAACATCCAGAGGTCTACAAAATCATTCTCGAGAGGCGCAGAGTGACTGCTATTCTTCAAGTATTCCCCGGTCACCAGCTTGTCAGTCGCCAGTGCGGTTGACTTGGCAATGACTTTTCGATAAACTGGTTATGTAAAATTTGATAAGAGGCCATCAGAGCTGTTTTCGTCACGAATGTGGTTAGTACTAGCTCTTTTAGGTCTTGGGTATTCGAATCAGGAGACATGATAGATTTTGTGGAATGTTTCTTCGGCTCGATACAGACAGAGGTGGAAGTGGCAATGTTGAAGGTGGGCTTTTTATATCCACCTACTTCCACTCAGCTGTCAACTCCAAGCTGGCTGTTGTCTCGGGGTTGACAATGGGTCTTTCCCAAGACAAGAACTGTTTCGGTCCTTAGGTAGGCTCTAGCACATAATACTTGGGTTTAAGTCTTCAAAAACTCAATTTTGTCTCACGAGGAACAGTCAAAGAACCTTCAATAGCCCTTGCCATGGTTCTCAGTCTACCTGGTTGATAAAGACTACAGACAAAGAGGCCACAGATGAAAGTGTCTCTGTCCTACGAAGCGAGTTGGTATTAGCAATCTTCCATGACGAGATGTGTTTTAAAGGAAGATCTTCCATTTGAATATAACCGACTGGTAGAGCGTTGAAAAGTGCTCTCACGACTTGACACTCAGGTTACCCGAGCCCTATTCGAGACCAGCAGTCATTTCGCTTCCTCGGAGGGTAATTCAAGGGGTTCCGACGATTGATTACTTTATAAGAGGCTGTCTCGAGGCCTGATACCCCGCGCCCATTCCCACGTTAACCGGAACTGTGGCTATGGTCCTCTCCACATATCCCTCGACCACGCTTACAATCCTTGCCCGCGAGGACGTTGCGATCCTCGGTCGCACCTGAAAGGGAACAAAAGAAAAACAAGGAACCGGTCTAGATGCAACCGATCCAAGTCTCAGCCCGATCAAGCCATTGGGCCAATCTAGGTTGCCTCGCTAAGTTTGGCGTAGAAATGGCGCCGAGGAAGGCCGGATCGGCGGCCAAGAGGGGTCAAGCATTTGATATACGCCGTTTGCCCCAAATTCCTGCTCATGTTCTTGATCGGTTTATTTTTATTTTTTTTACAGTCGCAATGAAATTCACCGCACTACTGCTATGCTTTGCTGCTATGGCATGGGGAGCTGAGCCCCAACGACGAGATGCCAATGCCACCGAGAGCGGCTACAATATGGCATCGTTGTCTAGTGCACTGTCTGTCGATCCTGGATACAGTTTGAACTATCTATTGACATCCAATATTAGAGCCCATCTTACATCGAATACAACGGCCACGGCTCATTTTGAGAACATCTCGGCACCGCCCAGATCCCTCATTCCCGAAATCTTGTCGGTCGTGCCCATGACCGTGATCTGGGAACTTATCGACCCGCAGTCGCGCAGTATACTAGCGAGCCAGTTCAGCGCCGGGACCACCCCTAGCTGGTACAACAGTCTTCCCACTGATGTGAAGAGCTACATGTCCGTGGTGAAATCGCAGATCTCGGCGGGTGCTCTGACGGCGACGGCGACGGCGACTACGACTACGACGGGGTCTGCGAGCGCCACCAAGAACGGGGCGACTTCGACCTCGAGCGGGATGGCGGCGCAGCCTACGGCGCTCACCGCGTCGGTGATCGGGGCCTTGAGTCTTCTCGGGCTGGCCCTAGCGTTGTAGGCGGGGTCTGGGGGCTGCCAATGCGATTGAACTGCAAAGGTAGTCACGGTCGGGGCGGGTTCAGTAGTGTAGTTCAAATGATTCAAATGATTCAAATGATTCTATGATAAGAAAATGATATGACATCAATGGTATTCCGGTGCGATTTTACTTTTCCCCTCTTCCTCAATTTTTTTATTTTTTTTTGGTTCCTGGTTCCTTATTCCAGGGTCCCGTGGCGCACGAACGCTCCACACCACATGTTCCTCGGTCCTGCCTTGGTGTAGGTATAGATTATCAGAACTTGAAATTGAGCGCAATTTACATATATTAGTTGATCCACAGTCTGCAGGCTGACACCTTAGACATGCTAGATATGCTAGACATACAGTATATCACTTAGCAGTAGATCATTACCGAACCGAAGGGCAACCTCCGAAGATCACGCGGACATCTGGACTCACTCAGCTCGTGCGGACCGAGGGGCTTGGACTTGACAGGTCCATCCTGTCTACCAATGACAAGGGTTCAATCACGAGTTAGCAAAGCGAACTGCACCGAAAAAGGATGTAAGTCTCCGCTAGTTTCGCGCTAAGAATGTAGTTCCTCCACACGTCTCCACTTGTTGCCTCAAAAAGTGCCTGAGCACCTGTAGATCACCTTTCCCGGGGATCCAGAGTCCTCCGAACGAGACTCAGGATGCGGGGAGGTTACACTTTGGCCCAGTTCCGTGGGAATTCGCCTCTCTCACATGGGAAATTGATGGCCGCTGTCACATTTTTAGACGATCCACCTCGGCGCTGACTCCTAATCCGCAATCGCAAATCCATGCTAATCCGGCTTGAACCGTCCACCTGTGATGGGCTCAGCCTCGGGGCTTTTCTTCGGGTCAAATGCGGGCTAAGGTTGTAGAGGAATACCCGATCAGGTCAAACTCAACCCTGGGGCAGTCTAGATGGACTAGGATCGAGTGGGGAGAATCCTTGGAAAAAGGTCGTTTCTCGCTTATAAGCTTGGGCTGGAGGTTGAGCTTTTCTTCTTCTTGGGGCATTTTTCTTCTCTTCTTGGGTCTAAACAGTTTTATTTTCTCTCCGGCTATTTCACAATGCATTTCAATCGAATCCTTCTCCTAGCTGCGGCCTCGTTTGCCGTAGCGGCCCCCGAGCCCAAACCCAACCCCGTTGCAATGCCAGCGCCCGAGACGACGGGCCTACTTTCGGAGCTGCCGGGCATTCTAAGCGGTGCTGAAGATCTGCTCAGTCAAGCCAACATCAACAATCTTCAGATCATCATTGGCAATGCGGCCAAGCTGCTCTCCAACTCCAACCTCGACATCCTGCAGGATATCCTCACCAATGCGCACAGTCTACTGACGAAGGAGTTTGTGGACAACACTACTACTCTGATCGGGGATGCCACACCGGTGTGTATTCCTCTCCGCTCAGATGGTGGCAGTGACAATCGATTAACCCTAGATCTAGCTCGTGGAGGATGTGTCAAAGCTGCTGGGTGGAGTGCTGGGAACCTTGTAGAGGGACATGAGTTTATGATTTTCATTGTTTTTAACGATAGTATACGAGACCAATCAAGGGAATATTATATTTTCAATCTTGGAACCTTCACAGAACCCTCAATCGGTGCATCGAGCGTATCTTCATGGGATGGGTATATACACGGGTGCAGAAAAGAAAAGAAAAGAAGCACGGCCAATCAACCTACCACAAAAATGAAAGCAAAGAGAGAAGAAAAAAAGGCCCCAAGACAATTAAACCACATTCAATTTGTCACGCAGACGATCCTTATAGTAGCGCAGCGGGTAGGAGCGCATTTTATTAGGCATGGCTGGATACACAGCCACCGAGAAGCCCATCCAGGTGCGGTAGAGAGCGCGCGTGGTAGCCGTAGAACGCAGCCCATACGCATCGCGTAACTTTGGGGGCAGCATTTCAATCGTGACAGACCGCAGGAAGGGCTTGATCTTCTGGACCCAGCCGGGCATCTCCTTACTTTCACGCAGATCCTTTGCAAATGCAGCTGCGTCGGACGAAACGGTCAGCTGCGAGACCTGGTGGTCCCAGAAGGACCAGAAGGCCTGTCGGGTTTCGGGCCAGATGCCTGCGGGCATTCCCAGGCAGTTCATCAGTAAGGTGAACTCGCCGTATCCGCGCTGAGCGGTATCGTAGTCAACGCGGCCGTAGACTCGCTGGTAGAAATCAGTGGAGGTGGCATAGAGAGTGGCCGCCATCCACAGCTGGAGAGGTGGGTGATGGGCAAAACGGTTGTTGCGTCCCCCTCCCAGGCCTGGGGCTTCCCCACGGGCCAGCAAGTCTAGCAGCGTCTTGCGCTCAGCGCGAGTGCCAAACACTAGATTGGAGATATAGCTGATATGGGCCTGGAGGGCATCCACCAGCTCTGTGGCTAGCTCTTTATGACCCCCAGTGGTTTCCTCATGACGAATCCCGGGCAGAGCAGCCTGGAGCAGTAGAGCGGCGCCCGATCCAGCAAACAGAATTCCTTCCTGGAGAATCTGGGGAAGGATCTCCAGCTGTTCGAGGGCATGGAGCCGACCCGAGTCACTGGCGGTAGCGGGCACAGCCTCGTGCAAAGCAGCCTCGGGCTTCTCATCCACCGGTGATTGAGATGAAGACGACATGACGGACTTGGAAGTTTAGGAGAGTAATTCTCAGGGACCCTTAGAAGAAAAAAAAACCTCCAAATAAATAAAAAGAAAAGCTCAGGAAAGTAATCCGTTAAAACCAGACATCAGACTCGGGTTCCCCGCAACCCCAGGAAAACCGTGGACGGTGGACCGTGGACTAAGACTGTGGACCGTGAATCGTGAACCGTGAACCGTGAACCTAGAACAGAAAGGAAGACTCGGTACCATGTGAAGCCCCTTTTTCCCCATGACGAAAGACCGCGGTTTAGTTAGATCGCCATTCCCCGTGCTGATCTTGACTGGGTTGCACAAAGGGCCAACTCCGCTCGTGGGGCCATTCCACCTTGGGCAAGCTTGCTCCGGCCCTGGTTCTGAAAACAACCCCCCTTTCCAGTCCACCTTTGTCCACTTTTTTTGTTTTTGCGACTAGCGCAATCCACATCTATGGGACCCTCAGTCCGGGGCCGTCTGGGCTTATTTCGCTTCGCCTGGATAGGCCCTGGGGCGATCTCCGACTAGCGAGAGACATAATAACGCGATCCTCCCCCAGGTTTTACCCTCGGTCTGTGACTTGATCCGACTTGACCTGACTTGACCTGGCTTGACCTGAATCGAGATATATCTCTCACCATGGGCAAGAATACCGACGACAGGCCGGCCTACTTGAGCACCGATGACGCCAAGTACTCCCTAGGTGTTCATCGTGGACCATTGGCCCCCGCGAGCGATGACCCCAAATTGGAACAGGTTCAGTCCGCTGGCGGCATCTCGTTAGCTACCAATCGATCCAAGAAGGAGAAGTTTGCGCGTCATTGGAAGCGTTTCTGGTGCTGCTATCTCATCGGAAATGTCATCTTCCTCGCCATCTTCCTCCCCGTCTTGTAAGTCGATCAATGTCTGTTCCTGGCAAAACCATACTGATGCAGGCGCAATTAGCTTCCTTGTCGCAATTCCCGCCATCTCTCAGCTGGTCGTCAACAAGTCCGACCTGGTCCTCGTCAATGCTGCGGTCATGCAACCGCGCGCCGAGTCCATCCAGTTGACCCTGGAATCAGCGCTGAACTTGAAGATCGCCCTGCCTGTTCGCATTGAGCCCATCGTGCTGGATCTGTTCGTGCGCGATACTGGATCCGATGCGCCATGGGGCAACGTCACCATCGCTGGCAAGACTATCAAAGGAAACACCACCCTCGGTGTCACTAACGTGCACACGCCCCTCATCAACACGACCACCTGGACCAGCTATGTGCATAACGTCGTCTTTGATAAATATACCGCCTTGTCACTCAAGGGCCCGACTAACTCCTATCTGGGAGTGTTGAAGTCGCCTGTGGTCATGGACAAGGACGTCGTCTCGCCGAGTAAGCTTTCGCCCCTCCTCTCTCCCCTTTTTTGGGGAGGCAGCAGAGACAGCAACTAACCTGGATTCTAGCCCTGAATTCTTTCGATGGTTTCAGTATCACCGACAGCGCTCTGCATCTTCCCCCGAAAGCAGATGGCACGAATCTGGTCGGCAACGCCACGTTGCCCAACCCATCCGTGCTCACCATTGAGATCGGCACAATCACCCTCGATATCAAGTCGGGCGACTTGGTCATTGGAAATGCCACCCTAGAGGATCTGACCATCAAGCCCGGGGACAACAAGCACCCCCCTCCGGGCCGTTCTGGACTTTGACACCATTTTTGAGAACCTGGGCACTGTTCTCAAATCCCAGGCCAGTCTTTTGAAGACTGGCAACCTGACCTTGGATACTATCACCAAGTCGGTCGTCTGGGAGAATAAGACCGTGCCTTACTATACCAAGGTCATGTCCGGGCTGACGCTTCCGGCCCAGGTGCCCCTGATGGACACCCTGAAGAATACTTTACACAGCCTCAACTTAACCGAGCTCGCGGCATACGCCAAGTCAAATAGCACTGGCGGCGGGCTCCTGGGCACCCTGGAGAACGATCTCAAGAATGCGGATTCCGATTCCGGCTCCGGCTCCGGCCTCTCATCTATCTTGAAGAGAAACACGCACATCCGCGAAGCTCTCAAGAATATCCACCCGGTCAAGCGAGACGCCGCACTGGACTCACTTGCCAATCTCTACATGAAGCTCTGATCCCAATCTCGACGATTTTGTTTTTATGGCGTACCTGTGTTTTTGATGCTGCACCACGTCTTCTGACGCCGACACGATTGTGCTTTGGATTTGATTCCCCGACGATGGCCCTTCCAGCCCATGAGTTCTGGATGGAGTTTACGGATTTTTTTGTACATATACCTGGCCAGCTCGGCTTAGAGTTCCCCGGTCAGAATGGCCGTGATAGACGATAGATGCTGGGGCTGGTTCAGAAGATAATACATAAAGTTATGACCATACGATCGGCGGTTTCACATGTAGATAGCGGCAGGGACGGAGTACCGTGCATGGCAGTGGCAATCGCAAATGCAATTAGCCTTGCCCGAGGTTGAGTGGCAGCTCTTCCAGGCATGAGTGTGGGGGGGCGCTTGCGGTTATACTTCGGCAGAGCTGCTCCCGTGGAACAGGTAACGAATTGGAAATAGTCGAGGAAATGGGACCACGGGTGTTCATGTCTATCAAGATAGACGTGGTCAGAAGGATGGCATTCCATGTTGACGTTTCGATTCCGAGTTTGACCTTGTTTCAGTGGCTACGGGCTACCCTCACTACTAGACGCGAAATATCTTGCAGGATTAATAATGATCGGAGTATTTTGCATTCTGTACAGAGTTGTTGTTACACCTCAAAATTCAACGCCATTTCCGAGGGAGATATTTTTTGGCCTCCAGCGAACGTAATTAATGCCAGAAAAATAGATGCAGTGAAAGTGATGGATATCAGTGCTGGCTCCACTCGATCGTGTTAAGATCAATGCCCTCCTGCACCAACTCCCAAAGCGGGCTCAGCTCACGCAGGAAGTGCACGCGATCCTGAACAGCCTTGAGGACGTAATCAATTTCGGAATCACTGGTGAAACGACCGATACCGAAACGAATACTGCTGTGAGCACTCTCGTCACTGCTGCCCAGGGCGCGAAGGACGTAGCTGGGCTCCAGCGAGGCGGAAGTGCATGCACTGCCTGATGACAGAGCAATGTCGTTCAGAGCCATCAGAAGGGACTCTCCTTCAACGTAGGCGAAGGAAATGTTCACGCAGCCCGGGTAGTGGGCCGTGGGGTCACCGTTCAGGGTGGTGTGCTCCATGCCAAGCAAAGCCGAAGATAGACGCTTCGACAGACGCTCGATGTGCTGTGTGTCATACTAGATCGGAGGCAGAATTAGCGAACATGGTCTTATCCTCAAGTCTCCAAACGTTTCAAATATCCAAAAAAAATACGGTCAGTACCCCTGCACTGGTTTTCATGGATACCGGACATCATTCCTCAAGGGAACGTAGCTACCGTCCGAATACCTCCCAAAACAATTTCAAGCAGTTGTTTAATCATCGCAAAATCAATCATGGGCTAGCGAAAAGAAAGGGAGTTTTCTTACCTCCATATCTTGGGCGGCGATACGGCAAGCTTCGCCGAATCCAACAACCAGGTGGGGAGCAATGGTTCCACTGCGCAGGCCACGTTCCTGACCACCACCAGAGATGATGGGATCCAGACGGACACGAGGGCGACGGCGGACGAAACAAGCTCCAATACCCTTGGGACCGTAGATCTTGTGGCTGGAAATGGACATCAAGTCAATGTTGAGCTTGTTAACATCCAGAGGAATTTTGCCAACGGCCTGGGCACCGTCGGTGTGGAAGAAGATTTTCTTGGACCGACACAGCTTGCCAATCTCCTCCATGGGCTGGATGACACCGATCTCGTTGTTCACGGCCATGATACTGACGATGGCGGTATCTGGGCGCATAGCAGCCTCGAGCTCCGACATGCGAACCAGACCGTTATTCTGCACGGGCAAGTAAGTCACCTCAAAGCCCTCATCCTGAAGGTGGCGACAGCTGTCCAGCACACACTTGTGCTCGGTCTGGGTAGTGATAATGTGCTTCTTCTTTCCCGAGCGGCCGAAGAACCGAGCCACGCCCTTCAAACTCATGTTGTTGGACTCTGTCGCACCGCTGGTGAAAATGATTTCCTTAGGGTCGGCTCCAATCAGGTTGGCGATGTGCTCGCGGGCCTGTTCGACGGCCTTCTCCGTCTCCCACCCGTAGGCGTGTGTGCGCGAGTGAGGGTTTCCGTAGATTCCGGTGAGGTAGGGAAGCATGGCGTCCAGGACACGGGGGTCCAACGGAGTGGTCGCCTGCATATCGAGGTAGATGGGGCGAGTGCCCTGGTCCATAACAGTAGCCTGCTTGAGGATACCGGCGGAAGGACTCATGGCGGCATCGCCAGAGGCCTTGGAGCCGGGCAACTCAACACTTCCAGGCGCGACACCGGCCTTCTTCATAAACGACTTTTGTTCCTCCTTGATCGCGGTCTCCACGTTGACCTGGGCGTTACTGGACTTGGTCTCGGTGACATAGGACCGACCTCCGCGGACACCGGTGGCGAGCACTCGGCGAGGCACAGCCCAAGTGCCCTGGGAAGCCAGACGCCTAGAATAGACGCGGGAGGCCTGTCTCCAAGCAGCGGGTGCAGCGGACGACATGATGATGATGATGATGATTCACAGAAGCGTGAAGATGGAAGGAGGAACCGGGCAGGGCGGTCGCATTTTCCGATAACTCGGGGTATTTCCCGATCGGGAAACTTTCGGATTTAAGCTTTTCCGCGCCTGAACGCCTCGATCTCCGATTTGTAAGAGCTCTTCCTCTTCATTAGAAGATTATGTACATGATCAGGGTCTCTAGTCGGGGTTGCATAATGGTGTGAGCAGTATCACAGCTCCAGGCACCACTCGATCGACCGATCCAGGGCTACGGGGGTCGATAGCCAGCGGTACAGAGTTTGGCCTAGCTGCGCCCGCCATGCCGAAGTCGCGAAGATACAGGATACACAAACGAACACATGCCTAAGAGCCTAAGAGCCTAAGAACCTGAGAGCCATAGAGCCTTAGAGCCTAAGATGGCCCCGATGTATGGGGTAGCGCTTGATGACGTCCTGCACCGCCTCATCACATAGGGCTGCAATGGAACGTGGGCGATCGTCACGGAAACACCTCCGAGAATAATCCTGGTGCCTGTGGATGAAGGAGGGGGGAACCATGCGCCACAACGGGGCGCTTTTTAGCATTCTAGTGTGGAAGATTCGGAGAATCCAGGCAAGAGACCAGGTGCGGTACCCAAAGTCCGGTAGTTAAGGTCGTAGTGCGCAAGTAGTGCAAATCCAAGGTACAGCCACAGCCGATCGTCTATGTCATAGCGGAGAGAGAAGCGACCGTTCAACTCGGATTCTACCACCAACACCCCGCCTTCCGCAACTCTTCCACCTTCCGACCTTCCAGAATTCAAGATTTTAGACTCGCAAGCTTGGGGGCTTCAGGCACATCCACCATGAGTTTCAAGGGCTTTACCAAAGGTATTTCGCGCGCTCCGCAGCAGCTGAAAATGAAGTTCAATATCGGCGAGCACACGCAAGATGCCGTCTATACCGATGCCGAACGCCGGTTTCAAGAGCTCGAGACTGAGACCAAGAAGCTGCACGATGAGTCCGAGAAATACTTCCAGGCCATCAACGGTGAGACTGATCCGACCACTCCGCGGCATGCAGCTCGAGAGGGATCGAGTTTGCTGACCGCTCCCAGGCATGTTGAACCACCAGATTGAATTCTCCAAAGCAATCGCCGAGATCTACAAGCCCATTTCGGGCCGCGCCTCCGATCCCAACTCGTATGAAGACGAAGGAAACCATGAGGGGATTAAAGCCTGCGAGGAATATGAGGCCATTGTCAAGGATCTGCAGGAGGCCCTTGCACCAGAGCTGGAGATGATTGAGGCCCGCGTCATCAGCCCCGCCGACCAGCTGCTGGAGGTGATCAAGGTCATCCGCAAGGTCTCCGTCAAACGTGACCACAAGAAACTCGACTACGATCGCCGCCGCGCCACCCTGAAGAAGCTGGAAGAGAAGAAGGACAAGTCGATCAAGGACGAAAAGGCTCTGTACAAGGCCGAGAATGATGTCGAGCAGGCGACCCAGGAGTTCAATTATTACAACGATCTGATGAAGGAAGAACTGCCTAAGCTCTTTACTCTGGAGGCTGAGTTCATCCGCCCGCTCTTCCAGTCCTTCTACTACATGCAGCTCAATGTTTTTTACACTCTGCACGACAAAATGCAGGGCATGCACATTAGCTACTTCAACCTCGACCTCGACGTGGAGGAGGCTTTCGAGCAGAAACGAGGCAATATCCAGGAGCAGGCTGAGGCTCTAGCCATTGTCCACTTTAAGACCAAGGGACTCGGTCGGTCCGGCTCTAAATTAGGCCCCAAGGGCCTCGAAGCTAAGGGCTCTATAAACCGCGGGCGGTCCAACTCTACCTCGACCGATAACCCCCCACCCCCATATTCATCTGCCGCCACTCCCAGTCCGACCGGCAGCTTCTCTGCTGCTGCCAAGTCCAAGCCTGCACCTCCGCCTCCGAAGCCGAAGCCCTCTCATCTCAGCAAGCCCCTTGAGTGGGCCACCGCCCTGTACGATTACGAGGCTCAAGCTCATGGTGACCTTGGGTTCTCTGCGGGTGATGTGATCGAGATCACTCATCGTACCGAAAATCAGAACGAGTGGTGGACTGGCCGGATTGATGGCCGCGAGGGCCAATTCCCTGGTAAGTCTCGAAACTTGGAAGGTTCTGCTGCGCGGTGCTAACAATCGCATTAGCCAATTATGTTCAGTTGCAATAAGGTGCTCGTCATGTCTAGCTTTGATCTTCCGTGCTCTGGCGCATATGGTGCCATTACATAGAGCGTTTTTGTAAATATCTTCGATTTCTTTAATCGCTCAGCTCAGCTGGAGGGAAATGGTGTGCTGAGCTGCTGTTACGTCGGACCCGAGATTTAGGGAACCGAAATTCCTGCAGTTTAATAAAGCCTGACTTTCGTGGTTTTGCTTATCTTCAACTGGCATAGCCACGCCTTAACTCGCCCAGTGAACTGATGTCTGCCTTTGAGGGCTTGATAAGAAGTTGATATTTGGTAATGTACACGAGTTCAAGTTACCAGCGAAAACACTGTGCCCGTATTCGAACTCGGGCTCGCTTGAGGGCCGGGACGATTGAATACCTGATTGTTCGATGATATCCGCAGCATCTAAACCAAAGATTTGCCCTTTCCAGAGTGTCTGACAGAGTCGACGGAGATATCGTGCTCAACCGAGATCGCCAAGGGCATCTCCGAGTCCTGCGAAGGTTTGCTGATTTGTTGGTCTGTATAGCACAAAGTCTGTCCAGTGTAACCCGTAGCAGTCATCTCGGTTCTCGAGCGGTTCGTAGGCATCGATCGGCTCATGTTGAAGGCGAGTGCGCGCCACAGGTTGCGAGGGCTGCGAGGTGTCTCCATTCGCTGGGCGTTCTCCAGTGCAGCGCCGGCCCAGATCGAGGACAGCGGCAGGGAAAGTGTAACCAGGGTCAGAACGTTGTCGGCAAGCTCAGGAACGTGCGAAAAATACTGAATGATTGAAAACAGAGCAGGAATCGTCATGGTCTGACAACCACAGACGAAAATGATCTTCATAGGGCCGAAATCACGCACACCGAGTCGGCGGCGTTGTGTGATTGCATGACCCAGCTTGGCAACGAAAATGGCACAGAAAAAGCAGATAGCGGCGGTAATTACGATGTTGAGTGCGCTCTGGAGCCACACCCATGGACCCGTGCTCTCGAGGGCCATGATGGCCATGCAGTTGATCACCATCCATCCAATGCGAAATCCGATGGGTACCAATGCCACCAGCACAGACAGCGCGAGCAAGGGTCTTCGGTATCGACGGCGCAGGGTTTTGCACACTACCTGCACCTGCACGACCAATGAGGCCATGATGCACATAACAAGCATGGTCTCAAAGACGGTCCCCAAGATAGAGATGGCGTAGGCTCTTGGCCCGACGCTCGAGTAATCGCCGGAAAAATAAGGATAGATCTTCTCGAAAGGGGTGGAAAAATGAATGGTTTCGAAGAGCAGTCGCAAGGTGTTGAACGTCAACGCCAGGCCATTGAAAACGAACACAAATGAGCCGCGCTTGTCGCTGTGTGTCAGGAGAAGTAGAAAGACCAGAAGGACGACCGAAGCCCCGAGCTGAGAGCCATAATTGATGCAGATCCGAACATTGTACTGGTAGAATACATCGAGCGAGTAGATGTTCACCGAAACCTCCTGGCCATCGGGTCTCCAGAAATGGATCACCTGATAGACAGGATTTCCCTCAGGAAAGGTAATGTTCATGATGTATGGATATCGTTCGAGTCGGAAAGAATGAGTAGATATTCAGAGGATGGTAGCAGGTCGGAGAGGGCTATAAAAATACCTAGCATATTGCAGAGCTTCAGGAGCCCAGGAGAGGCAGACATCGTAGAGCGAAACAGACAATGTGAAAGAATAGAGTTGAAGCTGCAAAGTGATGTCGTGATAGAGTACAATACTAAGCGGGAGGCGTAACAATGTTAAGGCGGGATAACAAAGACTGGCTGCGACGGCGAATGTCTAAGGGGTCGAGTCTGGACTGCTTAACTCTGAGTTGTATGACGACCACACTGTCTCGTCCGGGATTTGGAGCCGATTGCGGTGATTGTAGTAATAAGTGTGATAATTGTGATGGTCGTGACTTTTAAGGTTGGTGGTGCGCACCATGTTGAATGGCCGTGGCGTGGTCACGACCTTTACTTTGGTCCACAATCAAGACATGACATAACAATCGTATGCTAATTCTATTTATTACCTTGGATAATCCTTTGAGACTAACCTCTCTTCCTAGCCTTCTGCAAAATCAAACTCCAATTTGGTAACAAATACCTAGGTGACTATCGTCTACAAAGCAATGCGTTCAAAGCTCAAAGAATCGTATTGTTCCATTGACCATATCCTCTTCGTCCTTTTATTTTCAGCTAGGGGCATCTATTTTGACACACAACTCCTCTTCAGGCCCACCGTCATTTGCAATGGCACTTTTTCTAGCTCCAAGGTCGAATGTCCGCATAGCCTCGACATGACCGCACATTGAATGCCAACGCTTAACCTCGTATTGCAGAGATGTGGTTAATTATGGGAAGATATCTTATCCTAGGGGAGAATGCCATTCCGTAATCAGAGAAACAAAAGAATCTCCACCGCCTCGATACATGAGATCTTCACCAGTGGAGAATCGGTCGATCCTTGAGCCGAACGGAGACTTTCGCCTCTGAACTCGGGTAAAGTTCTGACAAACCTATACCCGAAAAGTTCCTGCGAATCGGAAATCTTCAATGCTGCCCTGGAAGTTATTCTAAGACTTTTACGGAATACATAGTCCGGAGACTTCAGGGTTGCTTGAACAGTGGTTTAGAGTGGGCCGCTCATCCGATTTATATCCGAGGACTTTTTAATACAGCTTAGAAATCAGCTATAGGGGGTATATATAGCGCAATAGAGGACCTATATATCCAGAATTGATCAGTTCGTTTCCTTTCAGTGCATTTTAACCATGACTTGGCCCGACGTTCCCACCAAGCCCGCTGAGGGCATCTCCTACTTCACGCCGGCCCAGAGCCCGCCGGCGGGCACTGCTCGCAATCCTCAGACTAGCGGGAAGTCAATCCCTAAGCTGTTCCAGCCCCTGACCATTCGTGGTAAGAATTTCCAAAACCGCCTCGGTGTAAGTCTTGTGTCCTGTCATATCTTGCTTTATCTTCCCGAAACTTGTACTCACAATATGATTCCAGGTTGCGCCCATGTGCCAATATAGTGCGGATGATGGCCATATGACTGCCTGGCATATGGCTCACTACGGTGGCATCGCTCAGCGTGGCCCTGGAATGATCATAATCGAAGCCACCGCTGTCGTTCCCGAGGGCCGCATTACGCCCGGTTGCGTAGGCTTGTGGAAGGATTCTCAGATCGCCCCGCTTAAGCAGGTCGTTGAATTCGCTCACAGCCAGGGTCAGAAGATCGGTATCCAGCTAGCCCATGCCGGTCGTAAGGCCTCCACTGTTCCCCCGTGGTTGGGAGGTGTCACCGCTACTGATGCCGTTGGTGGCTGGACTGAAAATGTCAAGGCCCCTAGCGCGATCCCCTTCGCCGACGGTGATATTATTCCCAAGGCTATGACCAAGGAGGATATCCAGGAGGTCAAGGATGCCTGGGTTGCGGCTACTCGCCGTGCTGTCGCCGCTGGTGTCGACTTCTTTGAGATTCACAACGCTCACGGGTACCTCTTGTCCTCTTTCCTGAGTACCTCGTCTAACACGCGGACGGACGAGTACGGTGGCAGCTTTGAGAACCGCATCCGCCTGCCTCTCGAGATCGCTCAGTTGACCCGTGATACTGTTGGTGCTGATATCCCCGTCTTCCTACGTATCTCTGCCACCGACTGGTTGGAGAAGAGCCTACCCGAGGAGAAGGGATGGAAGCTGGATGACACCGTCGAGTTTGCCAAGGCTCTTGCAGCTCAGGGCGCCATCGATCTGATCGATATCAGCTCTGGTGGTGTGCACTCTGCTCAGAAGGTGGCATCCAAGGTTGCCTTCCAGGTTCCCTTCGCGGCTGCCGTGAAGAAGGCTGTTGGTGACAAGATGCTCGTGGCTGCCGTGGGCACTATCAATAACGGCGAACTCGCCGAGAAGATTCTCAATGAGGAAGGAATCGATGTCATCCTGGTTGGTCGTGCCTTCCAGCGTGACACTGGTCTGACCTGGGCTTTTGCTAAGGACTTGGACACGGAGATTGCCATGGCTGGGCAGATTCGCTGGGGTTTCACCAGCTTCCGCAATGCGTCGGAGTACATCCAGCCTAACTCCATGAAGGCATGTATCTTTGATTAAATTATTTTTACATAGAGTATATACGTGATGATAGACATTGATGATTTTTTTATGACATTCCCCAAGATCTACAGTTGAGATATGATCGTATTGGACGTAAAATAGGCAGAAAATACTTCCAGAGGCCGGTCAATTGACAAGAAAATCTGAATCTTACCAAGGTAACCCAGGTCGGTTTATAAGGCTTGTGTTCTAGGCACGACCCTGAGCGTAATATTCTTGAACTGCATAAATTCCAGGGCAAAAAGCATCCTTAAAATACATTAGCAGACCAGGTAATTATTGAATTACAAAACAATTAAAAAGAAATTACAACAAAGGAGATAACCAATCGTGCAAGAAGTACATTAGTTATTGTTTAAGGCTTCATGTCAATTTTAGTCCCATTCAGACCTCCCAGGTCACTTGATGACTGCGAGATTGATTGAGGCGGCTTAGTGGCTCTGGTCAATAGGAATCGTGTATCGGTTCCTTGCAGCAAAGGCAACTACTTCTGAAGAGGCACCAATATTCGCAGAGAGCTTCCAATTTCGCCAATCATAGGGAAAAAAGCAAGAAAGATTTCATGGCTCCCAAGATGCTGTACAGGATATCTTTCATCTCTTTCTTGGGTGCCTTAGTGTGTTCAGGTAGGATCATTGGATGAATGGTGTTCGAACTAACTATACGCAGCACGACCTTCTGGTACCCGGACAACGCAAAACCCAACTGACCATATTTAAATTGAATTTCAAGAAGAAGGACAAGCGACCTATAGCTTCGGAAAGACTCAGAGTGAATTAATGTGACAATATTTAACATTCAACCTTCAGATTCGTGATGCTAGAGTGTGTAGCCAGCATTGGAACATTGAACTGTTGACCATTTGAAGTAGGTAGCGGGAAGCCAAGAGCGTTGCGGGGAAGTCGTGCGGAGCACCGCGACCTCAACCCTTTCCACCTCCCAGCGACATGGCGGTCTCCCAGAGGACGCTGAACTGGCTGTATTCCGTCCTACGCAAGGTCGGTGTCTCTCTCATTATTCGTCGTTACCAACTAATTCCCCGCTTAGGATCACTACGACCCCAAGCAGACATACCAAGATCCCAACCGTGCATATCACGACGTCGCCAATGCGCTCGCTCAGTACCCCTCGCTCGCCCCTCGGACCGATGTATACAGTGAGTCTCCTGACTCAATGCAACTGGAAGTTAATCTGACATGTTTGTCTTCCTAGCCTTTGAGAATGGCTTCTCGGCCTTGCTCCTGCACCTTGTGGGCACGTTGCCTGTGACTTTCCGTGGCACGACATACCGATTTCCTATCGCGTTATGGATCCCAAACACTTATCCTCGCGAGCCTCCTATAGTCTATGTGACGCCAACCCAGGACATGGCAGTTCGGGTTGGACAGCATGTCACGCTTGAGGGGCGCGTGTATCATCACTACCTGGCACGCTGGGCTGAGGCATGGGATGTAAGTGTCATAAGTCTGCGTGATCTTACGGAATCGTACTGACCATTTTGCGTCTCGATTAGAGAGCAACTATTTCCGACCTCCTAATGATTCTTCGAGAAGTCTTTGCGAAGGAACCACCCGTTCGAAATCGACAGCAGATGCTCCCTCACCCACAGACCCAACAGACGCAGACCCCGCCCCCGTTACCTCCTCTACCACCGGGAATGGGGCCTTCGTCAACGCCTCAAGCGCAACCGCCTTCTACAGCTCCGATGACTCAAACTCCTCCGCAGCTGCCACCCAAGCCGGGAGCAGCCACAGTGCCTCAGCAACTGCCAGCACAGACAGCGGAGCGATATCAGTCCCCCCCACCACTGCCCCCGCTTCCCCCGAAGGACTACAACCCCAGTCGAACCAGCTCATTAAGTCATGCTTCTATGACCAGCCCGAGTGGTCTCGTACCTCATCAATTCGCTGCTTCGCCGCATCCAGTTCCACAGAACATGCCACCTACGGCATCGCAAAGTCAAGCACCCCATGGCAGGAATAGTAATGGGTTAGCTGGGCCTTTTGCTGGGCCTCAGCAGACATCTTTCGCTCGTCAGCCCGGGCCACCTGTTCCTTATATATCTGCACAGCAACCACCTCACTTTTCACAAGTACCACCATCACATTACGCAGGATACCCACCTCGGTCTCAGCAGTCACCGGGGCCTCCATACCCTACAGATTCGCCACATCCCTCGAGCTTCCAGCGGCCACCTCCTGCAGCGTCAGCACCCAAGGAAATGCCAGACCTTCTCACATCGCCATTTGAGGTTGAGTTGCCATCATTCGCGCCCACGAGGCCTGCGCCACCGATTCCACCGAATCCAGAGAAGGATGCGTTACTACATGCGCTATCTCAAACTTTGGCGGAGACCTTGCAAGCTCAAGCAACACAATCCGACACTGCATCGCAATCGCTTGTCTCTCAATCGCGATCGTTGCAGGCCACAATGGCCACACTTCAGGGAGAGCTCACTGCACTCAATTCCCTCCACGCAACGCTCCAATCCAACACTGCTGTCTTGCAGCAGTCGATACAGCGTGCAGATGCCACCATCGCGGATGCTCAAGCTCGTTCGGCTTCTGTCTCATCCTCTGCAGCATCAACCTCTGCGTCTGCTGGGTCCTCAGACCCTCCGTCGGGTCTACCTCCCATTGACGAGGTCCTGGTCGCGCCTACCGTAGTAGGAAAGCAGTTATATGATTTGGTTGCGGAGGAGCAAGGTCTCCAGCATGCGCTGTACGCTTTACAAACAGCGCTTGCCCGTGGTGTGATTGGGGTTGATTCGTGGTCCCGACATACGCGTGGTCTCGCGCGTGAGGCTTTCCTTAAACGTGCATTGATTCGCAAGATCGGGCGTGGGATGGGCTTGGAGGAAAATGAGGCGTGATGGCTCAAATGTTTGACCTTTATGTATTTTCAAGTTGGATGGTGGATCGTTGTAGATACCCTCATATTTATGTTTGGCATTCAATGCTGGATGGCCATGCGTTCAGCTTTAGAGCACTTGTTGGAAGTGAGCACATGCTTACTTTGGTATGTTAGAACCTTGGAATGTTCTACTGACACAAATGTTTATTTGCCGCTCACACGTACCATCACAATTATCAGGCCGAGCAGACCTAGCCATTTCTACACGTACAGTAGTCTTGGTGGAAAAATGTAGATAAACCTTTCCATGCGTGGAGACAAAAAAAAGTTGGGATTCTTCATTACAAGTTGATAAATAAAAATAATAAAAAAGTCTAGAGATACGATATGCATCGATAGAGTTGACTTCAATTGACTGTTCCGCTCCGAGTGCTATCTCGCTGTACAAAAACACTCGGAAAAACCGACGCCCAATAAATATACCCAAGTCTCGAATTCATACGTACAAAGAAATGAAAGTGATTTGACAGAGAATGAGAAGAAAGTCACAAAAAGAATCAGTACGCTCCATCAGGCCAAGGTCATTCACAAAACTTCATTCGCGTCTGAGAATGGACTTGATACACGCGGTGGCGGTATTTGACTGGCATGAAGAGAGTTTCGTTGAAGATTTGCCGACGCTGTGTTGCTGGTGCTGGCCGAGTCGGAAAAGGGGCTCTTGGAAGTTGAGTCTTCCTTGGCTGAGGCAGATGCCTTTGCACCCGTCGAGTTGGACGATGTGGAAGGGTGCGTGTCATCTTCCTCTTCATCTGATGAGTTGCCGTCGAAGGTCGAGGTTTGATGGTCGAATTGGCGACTGCTGTTTGCCGAGTCCGCAGCGCTGAGCTTGACTTCCTTCGTGCTAGATTCTGTGCTGGACTGGCCGTCCTTCTTCTTCACCGAGGGCCCGCGAACCATCACCGGCTTAGCGACCACCTGGCGAGCCACAATCGAGCTGCCAGGTCCAGCCTTCATGGCCTCAGCCTTGGCGAGCTGCGATGAGGTGATAGCAGGCACCGCGGGCGCATCCCTGGGAGTAATCATGACGGGAACGGGTTGTATCGAAGTGTTGTCACCGGGGCCGCCAGGGCCGTTGTGTACGCTGACAATATTTGCCCGAGAACGCTGGATCTGCTGAGCGGGAATAGCACTGACGATGGCGTCATTGCGGTAGATTGTAGTGGCCACACTGCTTCGCAAGGTGGGCGAGATACTCTGGTGGCCTGTGGTGGCCGTCCAAGAAGAGTCACGCAGATCACCGGGCATGAAGAAGTGCTGATCGGGGGTTGCGCCAGGCAGTGGAGGGACGGGAGGTACCAGCGAGGCAGGCGTCTCCGGGGGTGATCGGTTAGTGACACCAGGAATGTATGCGATTTGTATGACGTTGGAGGCACGGGTGAGGACGGTCGAGGCGATGGACTGGGTTGACTTGCGCTCCGATCGCTGGGCAGCGAATGTATCGCTCTTTTCCTGTTGAGACTTGCGCTCGTCGCGTCGAGGACGGATGACGAACCACCAAATCAAGAAAAGTAGGGCGGCGAGAGCAATCACACCTCCGACCACACCACCGGCAATGGCACCGATATTGGGGCCACTGGACTTGGGCTGGGAGGAAGTGTTGCCATTCGAAACACATTTGGTGCTCGCACACGTATCACAGCTTGGGCTGGTCATCGTACAGATGTACCCGTCATCGCAAGTGGGACAGGTCGGGGCGGTGGTTGCACATGTTTTACAGCGCTTGAAGAGGGAATTGGATGGGGAAAAGTCGCTATAGGGGGAGGTAGACGCAGAATCGAAGTGTTCGGGAGTCATGGTGGGCGAGAGAATGTGGCGGAGAGAGTAGCAAGGGGAAAACAGCGAGAGAAGAGGTATCAACAAAGACGACCGGTCAACGGTGGAGATTCGAAACGGAGAGACAGCGGACAGAGTAAGAAAAAGGAGTGTGGATGCTCAATCGGCGTCAAGTCGTGAGCGAGGATCGCTAGGTCATCACAAAAACGAATGTATGGAAAAGCAGATCAAGGACCTGGGACGATCATCGTCCAGAGTCGAAAAGCGAGATTCAAGATCGGATGGATATGAAGGAGGAAGAGGAGAACGTTCTGTCCTGGGAAATGAGGAGTCGGGGCCAAGTCACGGGAGGTCTGAGCGCGGGTTCCACAAGCTCTTTCTACATGAAAAGCAGAAGATCACTAGGAGGAAAAGAAGGGAAGAATAAGAGGGAAAAGGAATAGACTTTTCTTGTTTTTCATATATACGATTAGAGGCTTCTGTCTAGGGCGGTTTCAGACCCCTTCCCCAGCACCTTGCAGCACGTTGTGCCTCGTACAGTGTTGCGTGTTGTGGGTGTGTTGTATACTGACGCGGTCTAGACTCGGATCATCGTCGACCCGGGAAATTGCGATTTCTTTGTCAGCCACCAGAATAGATTAGACCTCGTATCGCTATACGGAGTTTGCGATGGAGGATGGAGGCCGGAGTATAGAAGGCTATGAGCGTCGAGGTAGATCAAAAGTATCTACAGTACAAAATATCTTTTTCTACTTGACGAAGTAGATACGAAACCTATTTAGTGGATCGAAAGGGAATGATATGGGCCTTTAAGTGCCTGACAAGGGGCCATCCTGAGACACGGGAGGCGCAGCTAGGTGCAGGGTACACCAGCCACCAACTAGGGCTGGAAAAGTGCAGATCACATTTAACTCCAAAACTACTTCTAAGAGATAGCGTATGCAAAACACTCAAAGGAAGGAAATTGTCTGATAAAAACATCAAAATGGAGGAAAAGGTGAAGCAAATTGAAATGCTAAGATAGAAAATATACTGCATATATATATATATATGTATATGTATATGTAAAAACATATAAAAAATAAGATAGCATGTCCTGGTTTCGATCCAGGGTCCTCCGGGTTATGAGCCCGGCGCTCTTCCCCTGAGCTAACATGCTAGGACTATGGAGATTTGGTTCAAAATCTAGACCTATCAAGTAACAAAGAAAAAAGAAGCGTAATATGTCCTATTATAGTAGTTTTCGAAATCATTTGTGCCTCCAATCTGTTACTACTTAATTCCCGGGCAAAAATCGTAAGTGCGCTAGTCCTAATATAGAAATGCGGTGATCACTCCACTTTCCAGACCGCTTCCTTCATTTACTTTTGTTTTATAATACGAGTATGGAACGTGAGGGCGTAATTTACACCAAAATGCTATATATACGCTACCTCCGTACCCCTCCTCCTATTCAACGCTCGTTAATCACTCTTACGCGATCTTTGAAGCTAAAGCAAGCTCGATCAAAAAACAACTCTCAAAGGTTTCTTCTTTCAAGCTTCATCTCTTTCGGAATGTAATAGAGAGTCAGTGCTTTACTATGTTTTAGATAGCCGCTGAAGCTAAAGACAACAAAATTACGATTATTAATATTCGCAGAAAGAAACAACTATTTGGAAGCATCTATACGCCCTAAACTCGAGTAGGCCGAAAGTACACCGTGGTACCGCGGATAATAGAAGCCTTCTACGACTTCCCATGACTACCTATCTAAGAATAATAACGACCGTCTCCAGGCATGACAGGGTCAGAATCTGTCGGTTCTATATTGAGAGAGTAGTATAAGTTCAAAATAAATAGGTTGCTCCTTTCAGGACAAATACCCTGCATTAATAAACGCAGATACATATTTATATAACACTCCCTCTGTTCAGAATCACCAGATATAATTCCTTTCAGAAGAATGAGCAACCGAGCACACAATACCTCAAATAGAAATCAAGACCCTCAGAATCCAAAATGTGCCAAGGTCTGCGGCGAGACATCACTATCATAGATCGGAACCCTATCATGACCATATGTCATGTGCTCAAAGAAAAGCCATCCCCTAGTGGCGCACTGGTAGAATATCGACCGCGGGATTACTGTTCTACCGCTATGCCCTGCTATAATACGTTTGTTCAACTTGTTCAAAAACGGCATACCGGTTTGAAAAATAACAAAATTGATACAATCAGGCGAAAATTGGTTAACTAGGTAAAGGCTACTTTCAATACGCTTGTTGGAATTTGGCTCATAATTTTAGGCATTGTGCTTATATGGATGAAGGTTCTCTTAATTCCTTGTTACTGTAGGCTAATAAAAGACCATATCATGGCTTTCCTAGAGTGGCTACTGGGCAAATCCAAAATTAAAAAATTTAGTACAAGTATCACAGAATATCACTTTATTAAAGAGGAACTTCAAAACACTTTACTTGTCGACTCTCAAAGTAAAGTAATGGCGGAGCTGTAAGGGTAGTGCTAGTCACGAATAGTATAGTACCTAGTGCTAGCGTAACACGAGCCCCACTACACCGTATAGAGAGAGGTATCTGATGCGGTAATGCGCATTCAAAGACAAATCTAATGGGAGTTCGGTATTGTAAATTTAATAAATATGCTCATTAGATTTCGAGAATTTGAAGACTACACAAAGAGACACGCCGCTATATGCCGCGACCAAGATTATTGACTCGTTCGAGCCGATCACGCGCGCGTGCCTCTAGCGTTCCAATCACGCTTCTGCTGGAAGACGATAGGATAAATGCTGAAGAGCATATTAAGCAGTGTATAAACGACAGCGTAGTAGATGGCGACAAAGAAGCTGATTAGGTCGATGAGAAGTCTCGAAGGTCTCGTCGAGGCGACTTTGAAGATGCCTCCTAAGGAACGATCCGATGCCTCGACTGGAGCTTTGACGCTCTCCTTGCCAGGTATCTTGCGTAGGCGACGTGCCTTGCACAGGAATATCATGGGAAGGGTCTCTAGAAGAGTGACGAGCAGAAACTCGGTAGCACCGCCATCCAAACGAGTACGTAGAAGGTCCAACGCAATGTTCTTTTTCCTTGGAGGAATCCACTGACAACTGGCCCAAGAGCACAGGCCCTACGAATGTCCTTGTGGCAAATCGGGTCATGGCGTTGCCACGCTCGACGGGTCCCCAGATATCCGCAAGAATGCCAGGTGTATTCGCCAGGGCAGCACTGACGGCCGTACCAGACAGGAAACGGCCGACTAAGAGCCCGGCGAAATTGGACTTAAAGGCGCAGAAGAAGCCAAAGGCGGGGTAGATGGTGAAGGAGACGCAGAAGATCCAGCAGCGGCCATAGAACTCAGATAAAGGCGCTCAGAAGAGTGGATCAGCGCAGTAGCCCAGGAGGAAGAGGGTGGCGGCGAGGGGATATCGTGCGAATCAACGTTAACCCGTAATAAGAGAGCATACTTGAGCAAGGTGCATATTTGATTGAATGGTAATATTCATTTAACTATAAGTCGAGTTAGACACCGTATTCACCAGACATGTAGCGCTGGTAAAGGCCGCAAGATTTATGTTAAGAGCGGTAAGTCTTGGATATGGGCGTAATCTGAAATGGTCGCTATGGCGCTAACTATCGGGTTTCCGGAAATGAATATTACTCCGTCGGTACGAAATATTGAGGATTGCGCCAACGGAATGGTACATATTACGATGGACTCACGCAGACGAAGCGGTCACAAACACGGAAAGCTAGAATTGACGAATCTCGTAGAATTGATACCGCCGCGCACGCGTACTCGAACAAATCTCCGCCACAATGCCCTGCATACATTCAAAACAGGCGAACTCCCACAAGAAGAACAGGTATGATGTGCCCACTCGGCTTTGCGGCTGCCATTCAAGGCAGACAGTGCGATTCCCTTGTACGCTCGCTACAATGAAGGCAGCAAGGCGACAGTTGAATCGCAATATGGCGATTTCGGGGATCGGCGGATGCCACGGCTCGGCCGTTCATCTAGGAGGATTGGGCAGTTTTCAACACTAAGGAGTCAGTTGAGATTTGTGTGAGAGACACATCGGAGTAATTCTCAAGGGTGGTCAAGTAAATGTTGGCATCAAAAATTTGCAAGCGAGATGATTGCCTACCATTACGTATAGGGATTGGCTGGGCATGTAGATGGGCTTCGGTGAATTAAATGAACCATGCCAGCTGTTCCGCCTCAGTCCTTCAAACCCTCCATGGTATGGATTGTCACCCGGTACTCAGTGCGGTAGTGGTTACAAATTGGCGGGTCCTCGTCGATGAACTTTGAGAGTTTATGGGCCAGATTGACTTGTAGGCGCGATGCCATTTTCAACTATGCTCGATGAGAAGGGGCTCGAGGTAGACAGCGCTGCATAGGGGGCCTGCCATAATGGCCAGCGGTTGGTTTTAATTCGAGTGGTGTTCCCACGATCCGTGATCCGCAGACTGAGATATATAATCGTGGCGGTGTTTGCTCATCTTTTAAACTCTCCACGGCTCTTGCAATGCCCATTTTATCTAGGAGAACCAGGTAAGTTCGAGGCCAGTAACGAACCAGAAGCGCAATAGATCGCAAAACCTATTGAGATAGACAAAACATCTTTCCTTACCAGCTTTAGCCTCTATATCATACTCCAGCCTTCTGTATTATGACTGACGGGCGACCTTGCCAAATTGCAAGACTGCATAGCGATTCTAGGTAGCTCCATGTGATATTACGGTACTACAATGAGGACTTATCGAGAACTATACAATCATTACGATGAGGGTTCTGCTGGAATTATGAAGCGTGAACCAAACTGTACTAGCGCATTTTCGGTATATTTTCCGAAAAAACCTCAAGATTTACTTGGAGCATATATATACTAAAGAAAAACCACAAACTTTATCACCTCAGCATGTTAGCTCAGGGGAAGAGCGCCGGGCTCATAACCCGGAGGACCCTGGATCGAAACCAGGACATGCTATCCTACCTTTTTCTTTTTTCCTTTTCTTTCTATTTTTTTTTGGCAAATCCTTGCCTAGGACAACGATCGCTATCGAGGTATTATTTTTTAAGTAAAAATTATTCAAAATCCGTAGATTAAGTATAATTTCATTCAAGGTTCTAGTCGGGATTATTCCCCAGCTGTTTCTAATTGAAAAAAAGAGATCGAAGTTTCATCATCCCAGCATGTTAGCTCAGGGGAAGAGCGCCGGGCTCATAACCCGGAGGACCCTGGATCGAAACCAGGACATGCTATCTTATCTTTTTTCTCTTTCCTTTTTTGTTTTGTGTGAAGCGAATCCTTGCCTGGGAAGGCGGTATTTGAGTATCAAGATCTATTTTTCAAATGATATTAAAATGAAGATAATTCGTCTCCTATTTAAACGCTTAGTATGGAAAGGCAGAGCAGTCTGGTGCTAGGCATAGCCTCACCCAAGAAGGTGTAAGTTCGTCAAAATTAGCCGACCGGAACTTTTCTGCTAGGCGTGAATGAAGTCATTGAAAAGCAGACGCTCTTTTTATGTATGGAAAACTGCAGAGGAGACTAAGAGGCAAGCAGGGTCTAAAGCGTAGAGGGCCATTCGTATAATTTTCTTGTACCTGGAGGTTCCCTGGTACCTCCCCAGGCGCGCACTTCGCCCTTGAGACTCCCTCCGGAACATTCGACAACCGATTGACCTCTGGGCAGGTCCAACAGCAGGGAAGTATCATCTGCCACGGTTGTGTATATATCAAAGCTCCTGATCTTACATCTTTAGATGGAAATGGCGAACTGACTCAGCTGTTGATAGGAATTAAGGGTGCGAGTGGGCAGTTCCCCCCTGAGCTACATATATATCCAGGGTTTGAAACCCCTTGCCATAAACGCCAGCACATACGCCCGAGAGTTCTTACACGTTATTTTGTCATTTTCTCCACATGATCTACCCTAGCATACCCTTACACTAAATATAACCTAAACAAAGACATCTAGCGTGGGAAGTCAGCGACCAGAAACGGCAATGAACAAAGGCAAACCTGACGAGGGGCGACTCTGAGACACGAGGGCGCAGGGTCGGTGCACACACAGGGCCTGTGACAGTGCACAGCCCGAGTCAGTTCTGAAATCAGGTGCCCATTAGGTGAAGGCCGAGCGTTTTAGGTACTCTGGGTACTCTGGGTCAGTCTAGGTCAAGTAGACTACACGCTAGCATACTAGCGGGTGGTCGGAGTATTTATGGTATCCACGTAGGGAGAACTCATATTTTCACAAACACACAAGGTCACGAGTTCCACTACCAAAGAAGAGATCCCGCTAGCATACCACGGAAGGTAGAAGTCGCGAAGAATGTGGAATGAGCAGGACCAAGGATGATAACTTCACCGACTGTTTCATCAGTGGAGCCCATTGATTGGGTTCGGCTCCTAGCGCACCGGTTCCACCCCTGAATTAGTTAAGCGTCTGTGGAGGATCTGGAGAAGGGCTCGGGAAAAATTGAGTGTCCCTGTGTCCCTGAATCCCTTGACCCTGAAAAGAGGCAAAAAACAACAACAACAACAACAAACAAAAGAAGTCACCCGTGGCTAGTATAGGTACCCGGGAATACAGAGGAACCCAGCTGAGTATTTAAATATATGCAAAGACACGTAGCCTGCAGTACACCCAGCAATCAAATTCCAGGCAAACTCAGCTTCATCCAGTCAGGGTCTCTGGGTCCCTTGATCCTGACACGCTGTACTCCATACCGATCTTGCAGCCCTGGACTTGCCCGCACCAGCGCGTACCTGGTACCAAGGGATGGGTATGCGCATTGTTGCATCAGAATAACATTGGAGTGATCATAGTGGACAAAATCGTAGCTCAATAATGAAAGATCAGAGCTGTCGCTTGGAGACTAAACCCCACCGGGATTAGAGATATCTATTTTTGCAGACAGACCAAGCAATACGATCGCGCTCTAGTCTCACTCCGTCTGCTCCTTTTTTAATTTTTTTTTATCCTTTCATTTGCGTCTCACGGCCTCCCTTTTTTCTTTCTCTGACCCTGCCCTCTTGGTTTCTTCACACCTTTCATTCCATCGGGTTTTGCTGGGAGTTGTATCGCCCTGAGGATCCCTCCCCCCCCCTTTGAACACCTTTCCATTCACTGTTGCCCTGGTGGCTTCACTGTCTAACAACAATCCTTGTTCGATACCCCTCTTCTGCGTTTCGCCCAATATCGCGCACCATCATGGCCTATCAAGGGTCTGGCGCGCATTCACCCAAGTACGAAGATGGTCATGGGTTGCAGGATGTGCCTGCCTCCCAGGTGAGAACCGGTACCCCTATGTTTGTATAACAAGGCTAAACAAGTGATGCAGTATCGTGAAGATGAGGATGCATCCCGAGGCCTCCTCTCTCACCAACAAGGCCCTTTCGCAACGCCCTTTGACGATCCTCACTCCCGGGGAGTCTCGCCCGTGCGCCCCGCATCGGGTTACAGCCTGACCGAGACCTACGCTACCGAATCATCCCCGAATTACCAGGACCCTTACGCGACAGGCTCTGTGTACTCCGGCCATTCCGAAAGCCCCGCTGCAGCTTTCGGTGTACCCGGTAGAGCCGCGTCTCCATATGCCCGAAGCGAAACCTCGTCCACCGAGGCCTGGCGCCAGCGACAAGCACCCGGTGGTGGACCCGGTGGTGGTGCTGGCGGCGGTAACCTGCGCCGATATGCCACGCGCAAGGTCAAGCTGGTTCAAGGCTCTGTCCTGAGTGTGGACTACCCGGTGCCCAGTGCTATTCAGAATGCCATCCAAGCCAAGTATCGTAACGACCTGGAAGGCGGTAGCGAGGAGTTCACGCATATGCGATGTGAGTAATTTGCTGTTCGCGGAAGACTGAGATCTAATGATATGTTTAGATACCGCCGCGACATGCGATCCCAACGAGTTTACTCTCCACAACGGTTACAACCTGCGGCCAGCGATGTATAACCGGCATACCGAGCTTTTGATCGCCATCACCTACTACAACGAGGACAAGACCCTGACCGCTCGTACACTCCATGGTGTGATGCAAAACATTCGTGATATTGTGAATATTAAAAAATCCGAGTTCTGGAACAAGGGTGGACCCGCATGGCAGAAGATCGTCGTTGCACTAGTGTTCGACGGTATCGATCCTTGCGACAAAGATACTCTGGATGTTCTGGCCACCGTGGGTATTTACCAGGATGGTGTCATGAAGCGTGATGTTGACGGAAAGGAGACTGTGGCGCATATCGTGAGTTCAACCCGCCTATGAAAAACCTTTCGAGCTAATGTTCGATGCGCAGTTCGAATACACGACCCAGCTGTCCGTCACACCTAACCAGCAGCTCATTCGTCCGACCGACGATGGACCAAGCACTCTCCCCCGGTGCAGATGATGTTTTGCTTGAAGCAGAAGAACAGCAAGAAGATCAACTCTCACCGCTGGCTTTTCAATGCTTTTGGTCGTATTCTGAACCCAGAGATCTGTATCCTGTTGGATGCTGGAACCAAGCCCGCCCCGAAGTCTCTGCTGTACCTCTGGGAGGCTTTTTACAACGATAAGGATCTGGGTGGTGCTTGTGGTGAGATTCACGCTATGTTGGGCAAGGGCTGGCGCAATTTGATCAACCCCTTGGTGGCAGGGCAGAACTTCGAGTACAAGATCAGTAACATCTTGGACAAGCCCCTCGAGAGTTCATTTGGCTACGTCAGTGTCTTGCCAGGTGCGTTCTCTGCGTACCGGTTCCGCGCCATCATGGGGCGTCCACTGGAGCAATATTTCCATGGTGACCACACCTTGTCCAAACAACTGGGTAAGAAGGGTATCGAAGGTATGAACATCTTCAAAAAGAATATGTTCTTGGCCGAGGACCGTATTCTTTGTTTCGAGTTGGTCGCCAAGGCCGGCTCCAAATGGCATCTGTCGTACGTGAAGGCTTCCAAGGCCGAAACTGACGTACCTGAAGGTGCTGCAGAATTCATCTCGCAGCGTCGTCGTTGGTTGAATGGATCGTTTGCAGCCGGTATCTATTCACTGATGCATTTTGGTCGTATGTACAAAAGTGGGCACAACATCATCCGCATGTTCTTCCTACACATCCAGATGTTGTATAACATCTTCAACACCATTCTCACCTGGTTCTCGCTTGCCTCCTACTGGCTGACGACCACCGTCATCATTGACCTGGTCGGCACCCCCAGTGAAAGCAACAAGGAATCGGCATTCCCATTTGGCAAGACCGCAACACCCATCGTGAACACCATCATCAAGTATGTATACTTGGGATTCTTGCTGCTTCAATTCATCCTTGCGCTCGGCAACCGTCCCAAGGGCTCCAAGTTCTCGTACCTGGCTTCCTTTATCGCATTCGGTATCATCCAGGTGTACATTGTGGTCGACTCTCTCTATCTGGTGATTCGCGCCTTTGGTGGAGGTGCGCCGATGGACTTTACGACCGATCAGGGTGTGGGGGCTTTCCTCAAGTCGTTCTTCGGCTCCTCTGGTGCAGGTATCATTATTATTGCTTTGGCTGCTACCTTTGGCCTCTATTTCGTCGCGTCATTTATGTATGCCGATCCATGGCACATGTTCACCTCTTTCCCCGCCTACATGGTCCTGCAGTCCTCTTATATCAACATCCTCAACGTCTATGCTTTCAGCAACTGGCATGATGTGTCCTGGGGTACCAAGGGTTCCGATAAGGCTGATGCACTGCCATCTGCTACGACGACCAAGGAGGAGGGTAGTAAAGAGGCGGTCATAGAGGAAATTGACAAGCCGCAAGCCGATATCGACAGTCAGTTCGAAACCACGGTCAAGCGTGCGCTCACCCCCTATGTTGCACCTGTGGAGCACGACGAGAAGTCTCTGGAAGATTCGTACAAGAGCTTCCGTACTCGTCTCGTCACCTTCTGGATTTTCAGTAATGCCTTCCTTGCGGTCTGCATTACCAGTGAAGCGGTGGATAAGTTCGGATTCACGGTATGTTTTTGATCTATTCCTATCTACTCTGACTATCAACTAACGTCGCTTTAGAACACTGCTACTGTTCGTACTGCCCGTTTCTTCCAGGCCCTTTTGTGGTCCAATGCCATCATGGCCCTGTTCCGCTTCATCGGTGCCTGTTGGTTCCTGGGCCGCACCGGTATTAAGTGCTGCTTCGCACGCCGGTAGAATCGAACAACTGTCCTCATCTTCTCATGAACCCGTTCTCTTGGCCCATGCTTCTCTTTCTCTTCCCTGATTGCCATCTGTATTCTAGCTCAAGATGCCCCCTTTAGTAGGTTTTTTATTTTTTTTCTATCTTTTTTTTCCGTGATGCCAGTATGTACTGTTGCAAAAGGTCGGATAGCGACCGTGATCTTTCGTCGGACCAGCGATGCAATGGGATGCATTCAGGGCGCAAATGAAATTTCGACATTGACTCAAGTATTCAGACCTGTCTGGAAGTAACATAGTTGTGTAACTGTAGCTAGACACATTATGCATATGTAGTTGTATAGTCAAATGTACGTCATACGTGAGGCGGAAAGATCGCGATAAAGGGCGGCTAAGAGACCCCGCAAAGACTCTGCCTCTCTCTCCGCCCGACTTCCTCCTCACACACACCCTCATCCCTGGTACATCGGGACACTTGCAAGACTGTGCAATCTAAGATCTGCAGTTTTGCCATATCTATATTCATCTCCGCAGAGATTCGTCCCGTCCTTCTCGGCCCGTCATCTTGATCACCTGTTCCACCTGGTGGGGTGGTGACTCCAGCCAAAAATGTTGAAGATCTGGTCGATGGTGAGTTCTTTGCCACCCGAAATCGAGAATGAAATCCATACTGACTGTATATATAGAAACAGCAGCAGCAGCAGGCTGAGAATGCCGAAGGCGCTGCAGGCAAGAAAAAGAAGAAGGTCACGGCGGCGCAGCTGCGAGTGCAACGAGGTGAGCTCTCCGACACATAACCATGGAGACGTCTCTTAACATGATTCCTTCCCTTCAGACTTGCAAGAACTTACTCTCGGAAACACGATGAAAATGTCATTCCCCAACCCCGATGACATCCTCAATTTCACCCTGACCATCGAGCCTGATGAGGGCATGTACAAAGGTGGCGTGTTCAACTTCAGCTTCTCTGTGAATCAGAACTTCCCTCATGATCCGCCCAAGGTAAAGTGTACCCAGAAGATCTATCATCCTAATATTGATTTGGAGGGCAACGTCTGCCTAAACATCCTGCGAGAGGACTGGAAGCCGGTGTTGAATTTGAACGCGGTCATTGTGGGCATGCAGGTTCGTGACTTTTCTGTTGTTGGCGATGCCGTGAACTAACTGATTACGTGGTAGTTCCTGTTCCTCGAGCCGAACGCGTCCGATCCACTCAATAAGGAGGCCGCGGAGGATCTGCGGACCAACCGTGAAGGCTTCAAACGCAATGTGCGCAACTCCATGGCCGGCGGGTCCGTCCGAGGCAACGCGTTCGAGCGGGTACTACGATAGAATCGATTCCCGTCGACTTGACACTGGCTATTAGGCTTCTGTTCAGGACTAGTTTCGGAACTGGTGGCAGTATAGACCTGGTCCTGGAGATTTCAACGATCGACCCGGAGGAACGTGAAATGATGATCCACGGCTTGCACGGGGCGGAGAGCATTTATCCCAAGGCGGGGATTTCCACGTACATACAACCGGCGTATTCAGCGTTTTGATTTCAATTAGATCCGATTCGATCGGCATTACTTGCGGAACTGTCGCGCGAGGGCAGTAATCCAGGTTTCCAGCTTCCCTTGCAACAATAACGCTATTCCGAGCCTACGGGAAATAGATCAAGTACGAGAAGAATTCACAAAAGATATCCAAAATCCAGAATCGAAACACGTTGATCACAGGCGTATATGTACAATCGGTTTCAACATCAAGAACCCACACTCGGACACGACCCGTCGGCCCAGTCTAGCCCAGAAAGAGGGATTCCCAAAAACGTTCTTCCTTCAACGAGTTGTATTCTGGAGTATTCATTGACAAAAGAAGAACTGCGGCCGACGGGCAAAAAGGGAAACAATCGAGGGAGGGCGAAGTTGACCGATTTATGCGCGCTGGGCAGCGCGCTCCTGCTCGAGACGGGTGTAGTAGGTGTCGCGCTCACGGACACGGGGAAGGTGGTAGCCTGGAAAAGATGTTAGAGATCCAGCTGCGAGTGACTGGCATATGAGATTCCACTTACCGTACCACCAGAGGTAGCCGAAGGTGGTACCGAAACCTGTACAATGCGATTGCTGGTTAGTGAAACCTGTTGTTTTGATCATGCAGTTCAATTCCTCCTTCATGATATCGTGCTGAGAGCGACAGCACCCGAGACAGCCGGCAACATCCCGCTGATCCGTTGATCATGCCACCCAAAAACGCAAGTCGAATTCACTCACCAAAGGCGGTGCTCAGGTCCAGGACGAGACCACGGCGGAGCATCTGCAATCAAGGAATCGAGTTAGTGTATCATTCAAGTGCGTCAAGAGGAAGCGACGAGCCCGATCGGGGCGAACCGGGCTGTCAAGGGACGGAGCACATACGCCGGTGATAGGGGGGATAGCGGCGGCCATTGTATCGAACAAACCGTGTCAATCGGCGCTCGACAAGACAGTTACTGAGATGTAGACAGAAATGGACCTGCCTGACGTGGTGGGGAGTTGGGCAGAGAGGAGAGGAAAGAGTGACGGAGCGAGGTGGACGGACGTCGAAGTTGAAGCTTTCGGGCGGACTAAGCGAGCCTCCGGATTGGTCGATGGCTGCAACATTGGTACTATATGCTAGATTTGATTTAGGTCTGAAGATGAAGATGAAGATGCTGTGGCTATATATGAAACTTCAAAGATTTTATGCACTCTTGATAAACCCCTCGACTATCTCACTTTCTTTCCGAATCGAACTAAATGGCTGGTTGCGAAGGACTGTTTCCTCAGGCACCAACATCTAGACACGTGACTACCATGCCATCCGACAACAGTTGGAGCTTTCTCCGCCCAGTGCTTCGATCAACCATCATGGCCATGGCGTCGGGCCCAGTGAAGCGCCCTTCTTCCACGCTGGATTTCCACAGCAGCAAGCGCCCGAAGAACTACTACCATCATCACCATCGTTTGCAGGAGCCAGTCACACTGCCCCCATTTACGGAACCCGCTGTCCAGGATGACGCCAATGTCGACCATATGATGAACCGCTCGATCGGGCAGGCCCTGAGACATGAAGGATTTGAAATGGCCGATCCCGCGGCCTTGTCGAGCTTGCGCAGCTCCGCAGAGGAGTGTACGTGACTGCTCAGGACCTAGGAGGGGAGCTACTTTGGCGTTGAGCTTTGACACTGACCTGCCATTCAGATCTCTTTCGTTTGTCCACATACGTACGCCAATCGATGATAGCATCTCGCCGCGTTCAGCCAATTCCTCATGATTTCGAACACGCGCTCATTCGCGGCCATGTCTCCCTCGATGACCTCCTTCCCTCTATCAAATCAAACCGACCTGTAGCACCCACCCCGACTCTCCTCCCATCTCCTCCACCCGAGGATGAGGTCACTCGAAAACTTCCATTCTTGAACGCATTGAAGGGAGAAGAGGGCCTGACGAACCGTTCCTACGTCCCCAAGCACTTCCCCGACTTCCCGAGCAAACACACCTACTCTGCTACCGCGGTCTTTACAGAAAGAGACAGCGACCCGCGCCAGATTCGAGAACGAGCTGCTGAGGATGGACGACACGGTGAAGAGGCGTTACGAAAGCTGGCTAGCGCCGCGTTCCGCGACAATCCGACAAGCGCGAGCGGGAAGGACAAGAAGCTCTGGGGTCGACGAATGGAAAGCATGGAGACTATGTTTGAAAAGACGGTCAAAGGACTTGCGAAGAAATTGCCGAAGGACCCGCTCGCCTCCGCATCTGCGCCGATGGGCTTCGGGTTGAGTTCGTCGATGGATATCGATTCAGGGCCAGCCGATGGACATGGGAAGGCGCGGTCCAAGATATCGTGGAATATAGAAATGGGTCCTATTGTGAACTGCGAGCGATATCTATGGCGGCGCACGACAGCGAGTGGGCAGGGAGAAGAGAAGACGTCCAAGCCATCCGCCAGTGTCGAGCCCACGGATGGTGGTGGTTTCTAGGGACATACGAGGAAATCGGCGTTTTCTTGGGTTTTTTGGGCTAGCGCTTTATGTTTTGATCGGACTTTTGAGGAGATACCCCATGGCAGTCGCAGCATAGTTTCAACATTTTAATTTCCTAAAACTCCAACCAATGCAAGTACTGTACACCATGCCACATTTCCTTCTCTTCCCTTCACGATTTCGAGCCCGCATTTTGTGTTTTGTTTGCCTCTTGTCCAAGTCGTTCCCATGATGTCGTTTCTACCGTCAATCCGCCGGCGCAGCTTGTCGAGAGTAGTTCAGTACTGGACACCTAAAATCTTTCCGTATGGACTCACCGTCGAAACAAGCGCACCACCGGCTTGCACGTAATCACTCCCGGTTGTGGAATTTCTCCTGATGGCGGATTGCAAGAGTACTGCATCATCTCGAGGAGCGCGCACTCTTTGAGGTTGATCTCCGGGCCTTTGCGACGCTTGTCTTGAAAATTGCGCTGGGTGATGTTGACATGATCGTGCAGGGTTTCTGCGGAAAAGACGGGGACGAGAGGCGCCATGCTGATTAAAGGGAAGGGCTTCGTTGCATGGAGTTGGAGCTTGCCTGGTTGTTGAGGCGAGCAGAGTTGGAGTGGGCCGAGTCCCGCGGAGGTCGAGTCTCCGTTTCCGGACTACTTTACTTTCTTCTTTCTACTTTCTACATTCGCCTTCGCACATTCAAATTTAATGCACCACATGGGCACATTTCAATCGCATCACTAAACGAGCCTGAGAAATGCATGATCCATGACGTTGTTGACCATCTCCCGTCATGGCTGCCAGCTTAGGCGCGACATCGTTGGCTGATGTGCACCACGAAGGTCTAAATGAGGTACTTGATCGTGTATCCTGTCTCTTTCTGCTACTACCACAGCTAACAGTCTAGATCTTACGCGACTTGGCAAATGCTTATCCTGTACACGCGGAACAAGAGCCGCAGGTTCTAGGCGTCCCAGTTCTTGACGCGCTACTGGAAGTCTTCATGCAAAGAGCAATGGGGTTGTGGGCTGATACAGCTCATCAACGATTATCGCGAGAACAAATTCTGACGGAAGATGAAGAGATGCTTCTTCTTGGCGACGAGGAAGAAGGCGTGGCCGAACCCGGTGAGAATCCGGCTACCAGTGAACTGCCATCCAATATCTTGCTCGCCCACTCCAACCGAAGCAAACTGCCCAGCCCTGTTGTGGAGATCTCAAGTAGCTTGTCAGCTTCTGGAAAATCTCAGTTGCTGTACTATTTGATCGCGCTTGCCATCTTGCCGCGTTCGTTCGGCGACAGCTCCATCGGAGGGCACGAGGCAGCCGTCGTCTTGATTGATGCCGATGACCGGTTCGACGCCCGGGCTTTGCGAATTGTGGTTCGAGGGATTGCGAGCGAAGCAAAAGGTCTCTCTGACTCAGATAGAATCACAGCTCAAGGTCCACCCGACGATGAGCTCGAAACAGTGGTCAGCTCTGCAATGCAACACGTTCACGTCTTTCGCCCACAGTCATCCTCTGCTCTACTAGCCACTTTATGCGCTTTGGATACCTATTTTTTCGATATCTCGCGTCACCATTCGGCCTCACGTCCGTTGCAGATGATTGCCATTGACAGTGTCACAGCATTCTTCTGGCAAGACCGACTCCGTGACGAAGTTGCGCGCACGGAAGACATTGGGCGCTCTCGAATAGAGATTGATCAAGAACGTGAACAGAAGCAAGGCTTTTATCTTTCTGACTTGTATTCCCAACTAATCACCGAGTTGAAGCGACTGCAAGGCCGATTTGGCTGTACCGTTGTGTACACCGCAACGGTCTCTGGCGGCCGACCCTCATCCAACAGCAGCCATTTTGCTCTTAGCCCTTATGACCGATTACCATCTCGAACACCGTCACTTCGGCCCGCTCTTCCTGCACCATGGGGATTCTTCCCTACCCTTCGCCTTGTTGTGCATCGTGATCTGGTACGCTCATTCCCACCCGCAGCAAGTGCACATGATGCAAGAAAAGATGCTCCCATGCGGCAAAAGGTTGTGCGACAGGGTAAATTCTCAGCTTGGATCAATTCATGGGGTCGCGAAGAATGGCCTCGTCGGGTAGCGGACAGCGTGGATGCTCTCAACGGCGGATGCTTTTCTTTTTACGTTCGCGAGACTGGAATTGAGATCCCCCCTATTTGATAATATGAACGTCTATAATTTGATTGCATACAAAAATACAATCTAGCTGAACAGCTTACTGATGGCTTCGACGGTGGTGTTGCCTCCGCTGAAGACGAGTGCCACATCCCATCCTTTCTCGCCTCCCTCTTGCTCGACACGTCGTCGAAGATCCTCATCGAAGAGACAAGCTGCTAGTCCAACAACTGCACTTGGCTCCACAACGACCTTCATCCGCTCCAAGACCAGACGCATAGTGGCCTTGATCTGCTCTTCCGTGACGGCAAAGACACCTTCGACCTTGCGTTTATCTGAAATCACTTCCCAATTCAAGACTCCCACTGGTGTGCGCAAACCATCTGCAATAGTCAGAGTCGAGACACTTTCCACACGTTGACCGGCCTGCAACCCGCGACGGCAGTCGTCTGCTCCTTCGAAGCTGGGCTCTGCACCGAATACCCGTGTCTGGGGTTTATCAGAGAAATAGGTCGCTACACCTGCATTGAGACCGCCACCGCCAACAGGTGTGATCACTGCATCCAGGATACCCGAGCTACGCTCAGCATACTGTTCCTCCAGCTCCAGCGCAGTTGTTCCCTGCCCGCAGATGATGTCAAAGTAGTCATACGGAGGCACCAAGATTGCATCCGTCTTGGCCTGGATCTCTGCAACCACGGCCTCTCTCTCAACACTTGTAGATCCACTGAAGATAACTTCTGCGCCGTGTGACTTGGTGCCCGCAATCTTGGACGAGGTACTGATATGCGGCATCACGATGTAGGCAGGAATGTCGAGGGTCGACGCAGCGAGAGCGAGGGCTTGCGCATGGTTTCCTACCGAGAGAAGAATTAGTTCCAGTGAAATTTGACGTTGCGGAGGGGTCAAACGATACCAGAGCTATGTGTGATCACCCCGCGCGATTTGACCTCTTCCTCCCCGCGCTCCTCCAGCAGCCGCAGCACAGCATGGAATGCACCGCGGGCCTTAAAGGCACCAATCCGCTGCAGGTTCTCGCATTTGAAATAGAATCGGAAGTTGGGTTGTGCAGGTGTTTGTCCCTCGAATAGTGTGCCCGCCAGGGCCTCGGGGGACTGCGGGGTCGAGGCGATAGAATCGAGGGTTTTGCAGGTCAGCAACGGCGTACGGTGGACATATGGCTGGATCAGATTGTATGCGGCGCGGACGGCGTTCGGCGTTAGGGACTGCGCCGTTTTGTCTGATGCCATTATGGAGAATTGGGAAAGAAAAAAAGAGCGACAACACTGGAGACAAGATATGGTCGTCTCTACCCCGGACTCTTCTCCGCCGGAGAAAGACCGATGGCCAATTGACCCAGTCGACAGTTACCAATGCTACGATGAATGCTACAATGAATGCTACAATGAATGAAAAACGACCAAATTGAACGATGAAACGGCATTAACAAGCCGGAGGTGACATTTCTTATACCCGATGCCCAAAAACAGATTTTCATAGTACATCATAACATTTTGTCCAAACCCTCCATGACGGGTATCACAACATTAATTTATTTCTGGTTCTCGGGGCGGAGGGAGCGGACAGCCTTGCCGGCGCGCCAGATCTCAAGATCACGGATCTCCTGCATCTCCTTCTCGTACTTCTCACGGTAATCCTTCTGGCCGTTGTAGTCGAGGGAGCGCTGGGTCTCAGTGCCGTCACGGACGCTGTCGTAGAGCTCGTTGAAGAGGGGCTTCAGGTTGTCCTTGAAGCGGCTGGACCAGTCGATGGCACCGCGGCGGGCGGTGGTGGAGCAGGCAGCGTACATCCAGTCCATACCGTTGCCACCGATGAGGGGGTACAGGGACTGGGTGGCCTCCTCAACGGTCTCGTTGAAGGCCTCGGAGGGGGAGTGACCGCGCTCGCGGAGAACCTCGTACTGGGCGAGGAACATACCGTGGATACCGCCCATCAGGCAGCCACGTTCACCGTAGAGGTCGGAGTAGACCTCCTTCTCAAAGGTGGTCTCGTAGAGGTATCCGGAGCCGACAGCAACACCCATGGCGATGGCCTTCTCCTTGGCCTGGCCGGTGACGTCCTGGAAGACGGCAATGGAGGAGTTGATACCACGGCCCTCACGGTAGAGAGAGCGGACGGTACGGCCGGAGCCCTTGGGGGCAACGAGGATGACGTCGACGTCAGTGGGGACATCGACCTTGGTGAGGTCCTTGAAGACGGGGGAGAAACCGTGGGAGAAGTAGAGGGTCTTGCCCTTGGTGAGGAGGGGCTTGATCGCGGGCCAGGTCTCGGACTGGGCGGCATCGGAGAGGAGGTTCATGATGATGGTACCCTTCTCAATGGCGGAGTTGACATCGAACAGGTTCTTGCCGGGGACCCAGCCATCCTGGATGGCCTCCTTCCAGGAAGTACCATCCTTGCGGACACCGACGATAACGTTCAGGCCCTGGTCACGGAGGTTGAGACCCTGGCCGTGACCCTGGGAGCCGTAGCCGATGAGGGCCAGGGTGTCGTTCTTGAAGAACTCGTGGAGCTTCTCACGGGGCCAATCGGCACGCTCGTAGACATCCTCCTTGACACCGGCAAAGTCAATGGTCTTGACACCACGGACGGGGGCGACCTGGGCGACACGGGGGACGACCTTGGCCAGAGAAGGCCGGGGAAGGGCGGCAGTGACGACGGAGCGAGGGGCGGCCACGCGGGCCATGCGGAAGGCACGGGGGATGGTACGGGAAGCCATTGTGAAGGAATTGAGTGGAGAGTGGAATGAGAAAGAGAAAAGAAGAAGGGGAAGAGGAGGAATGGGAAGGTTTTAAGTTAGAATTCCCAAGGGTGGGCGAAGCTCCGAGTGCGGTGACTCTTTGCGGGATTTCGGAGTTGGACGTGACCTCCCCGGTGAAGAGTGGCAATTGTGTATTGTTATTGGCGAAAAAGCCTCTCCACTGCCCCAGAACATCCATTGCCTGAACAACGATCGCTCGATCTCCCCGGAAGCAGTGCAGGACTCCGTACGGAGTCAATTGAATTGCTAGTCAATTTAGTCCACTACCTATGACTCTTCTTTTCGCTTTTCCACTTTCTAGCCTAACTCTCAGGTCGATCACGAGTCCAGCCACCCCCATATCCTGGGGTCTTATGGCTGGCCCCGACCAATGGTGGCCCGAGTGACTCGATCACCTCTGTCCAAATTGTGACTAGTGACGGCTCCTAAGCCTAAGTTAGTGATCGTGACCTTTTGTCAGACTGTCAGACTGTCAGACTGTTCAAGCAAACATTGATGCCTCAGGTGTCAATCTCCGCTCTCTCCCTCCCCCTCCCCCAAAACCCCACGTCAACAAAGTCATACAACTGTCATTACCATGTCTCAACAATGAGCTCCTTCTCATTCGGCAGTTTACCTAAGATCAAGACCCGCAAGGCGCTTCTGTTACTCGACTTCCAGAACGACTTTGTCCGTTCGTCCGGCGCCCTTCATGTCCCTAATACGGCCGACATCCTTGAAATTCTACCACCACTAGCCGCTGCTTTTCGTCGCGCCGGCGATGTAGTGTGGGTGCGCTCGCAGTTCGAGTCTCCACAATCGCTCGCCGACTGGAACTTTGGCGATCGGGTTGTCCTGGACAGAGAGCCACCCGGGCGGGAGCGTGCGCCCGCCTCCGACGTGATCGAGGCGTCATCTGATCGCGATTCACCAGAGCTTGTCGATCCAGAGGCATTTCTTTCGACGAAATCGGCGAGATGTTGTGAGGCACGAACGCCCGGATTCCAATTTCCAGCACCCGTTCTCGCCGCCATCGATGCCGAGCGAGACACAGTATTGGACAAGACGAGTTACTCGGCTTTGGAGTCCGAGGGGTTGGTGCTATCATTTCGCCAGCGCTTTGTGACCGAGCTTTATCTCTGTGGCTCACTGTCCAATGTTTCCGTATATGCCACTGCCTTAGATGCTGTGCGCAATGGCTTCTCGGTGACTCTCATCGAAGATTGTCTGGGCTACCGTGACTTCCAGCGCCACCAAGAGGCAATGCGTCGCATGGCGGATGTTCTGGGCGCAACCGGTAGCACCGCTCAAGAGCTTGCTCAAGAGCTCGATTGGGATGAGACGGACGCCATCGCCCGTGAAATTGCCCCTGTGCCCCAGCACTCGGCTGTCTCAGCTGGTATCGAAAGTATCATCGACAGTTTAGGCGTCAGGGGCGATGACTCGATCTCCGAAGAGACCCCAGATCAGGGCGATGGCAGTCTCGCAAATCTCGTATCGCAGACCCGAGCCCAGCGGGCTGCGGCCGCACCCACACGGGCTTCCGCCGAGGGAAAGAAGCATGTCCGGGCTCGAGTGCGCCGTCCTAAACGTCGTGAACTAACTCCCGACCCGGAGTCTAGTAACGGTGCCATTGGAGAAGGTGATTCTCGCCTGATTCCGGATGTTGAACTGCCTACTGACGCATTTCAGCGCATCCGAGCCGAGGTCTCTTGGCAGAAGATGTATCATCTATCAGGACAGGTGCCTCGCCTGGTGGCGGTGCAGGGCCATATTCAGCCTAACGGCGCTGTCCCGATTTACCGACATCCCGCAGACGAGGCCCCTCCGCTCGATTCATTCACTCCCGCTGTTGACAAAGTACGCCTAGCAGTGGAGGCGATCCTAGGTCATTCATTAAATCATGCGCTTGTCCAACTCTACCGTGATGGACAGGACAACATCTCCGAACACTCCGACAAAACCCTCGACATCGTTCGTGGCTCTTTCATTTGTAACGTCAGCCTCGGCGCTCAGCGTGTCATGGTTCTACGCACCAAATCCTCCGCCCGTGAACCCAAGGAAGGAGCCGACTCAGGGCGCACTACCCAACGCGTTGTACTCCCTCATCAATCACTCTTCGTCCTTGGCGAGAAGACAAACATGCGATGGCTACATGGCATTCGGCCGGACAAGCGTTCCAATTCTGTCAAATCACCAGAGGAGCTAGCTTTCGGTGGTGAACGCATCTCACTGACTTTTCGGAATATTGGAACCTTCATCGAACCGGCTTCCAACACTATCTGGGGCCAGGGGGGCGTGGGAAAGACAATGGACCTAGCTCGACCTGTAGTCTATGGAGATCCTACAGAGACCGAACGACTGATCCGCTCATTTGGGCAGGAGAATCGTGCAACTGAGTTTGACTGGGAGGCAGTCTACGGCGGCGGGTTCGACGTAGTGAATTTTGTCACCGCATCCCCATCAAGGCTGGTCCTCAGTGGGGATCAGGTGGCAGACTTGCGGGTTCTTTTGGCTCTCGGAGAGGATGGGATTCGATACGAGTTTGTTGAGAGCTATCAAGTGGACCACTATAATGAGAATACCACAACTCTACCGCTCTATATTGATCCCCAAGGGGCGACTTTAACTGGTGCCTTGACCATCTTGACACATTTGGTGGAACAACCTGCTGAAACAACTCGTCCCGGCGTGGGTCTTTTACGAAGGGGAACTCACTTGTCATGGATTGAAGAGTTGCTTGCTTGTTGGCGCGATCGTCGCTCCGAGAACGGAGCTCTTGAAACCGAACTGGGCCACTGTGAGCAAGCCCTTGAAGGACAACATTATATCGGAGGCGCAGCTTTTAGCATTGATGATTGCTTGCTGTGGCCCGTTCTGCGTGAGATGGTGCAGACACAAGGAGATTTCGATGCTCGATTTGTGAATTTGAATCAGTACTACCAGCGAGTCGAGAAACGAAGCATCGTGCGGAACATTCTGGAGGCTCGCTGATTTTGCCCTCATCTAGCGATTGATACCTTTTAGCATAGTATTTTACTACCCCTGGACATATGATATTACCTTACGAAATCTACTGGCCTTGAGCCGAACTTGCATGAAGAGCAACGCCCTTTCCTTGTTGGTACTAACTCGACACACATCCTCTTACAGACACTCGCCCAGGAAATCAGTGGTGTTCAGAGCGCTCTCTAGTGCAACTCCTCCGCAGACGACCGCCTTGAAGAATGACCGGGCCACCACCAGGGCGCCTTCAGCACTGGTATGGGTATGGTCAAGGGGGAAGTAACCATTGACGACATCTGCCCCTAGAGTCTCAAAGATGTTTGCAACATAGGCTCCGTGATCGACATATGAAACGCCCGCAGCCTTGGCGGCCAGTTTGGCATACGCGACAAATCGCGACGGAGTGTAGGTGAAGGCTCCCGTCTCCCAAGGATTGTTGGGTGTCTGACTAGAGATGAGCACATTGGCGCCCTTGGCTGTGAACATATTGGCTGCGTTCGCCAAATACGCCGGGAAGGTCAGCACGGTCTCGGAGACGCCATCATAGACTGTACTGCAGGTCTCGCTTCCAGTGCCGGAGCAATCGGTACGGCCGTTATCCGATGTTGACAGCGAACCGCCATCATTGTGTCCGAACTCGATGATCACCCAGTCCCCCGACTGCACCTCTTCTGCAATTGTGTTAAATCGGCCTTCGCGTGTATAAGATCGGGCGCTGCGGCCTGCCACGGCCTGGTTGGACACCGTCGATGTCGTATAGGGTGCTACATATTCACCCCATCCTGAAAGGTCAGCCATCTTGCCGATGCCCGGGTCGCTTTTGATTCTGCGTAGAGTGCATACCTGCGGTACCAGAGCCAGTGCCACCTTTCGCCATGGTGGAGTCTCCCGCCATGTATATAGTCGTGCCCAGCGCACTTGGGACGAGAGCAGCGAGAAGCACGGTAAATTTCATTGTTGTAGTCAGAAGCGGGTAGACGTGGTTTGACTATGTAGCTCTCTCGTTCACTTTCCAATGTTGAATGTGAGAAAAGACTATACAAGTAGACTGCCAGCACTTGGGCTACATATACGTGCCGAACCCTCTAGGTCTAGCGTGACAGCCACCTCCAGGTCCATGTGGACATCACTCCTGCCAAGTCCCTAGGTGCTGTGATTTGTGGAAAAAGACCCTTTCGCTGGAGACTTGACGAACATCGCCCGTCGAGTCCTGTCGCGCTCGGATCAGCGGAGACGGCTGTCATACTGTGCAGCGACGATCACCTGAACACCCGTGTTTCTGATTCATGGATCCTGAGTTTCTACCAGACATGCGGCGTATTCTAGTCCCGAGCTCGGAGTATGTCCCCCTTGTAGATCGCCCAGCATGATTGATGCGGAGGCGCTTCCCTGGTCTCAGCGAGGAACCTGAAACCTTTGAAACGCAGCGAGTTTAGAAGAACTTGGGGGACTGCCGTGTAAGGAAAAGGAGAGACTACCGATCTCGGAAAGTATGGGTTATGGATTTAAATTGAGGGAAACATGACCTGCCCGATCGCGGGGTTTGCTACTAAAATGTACAGGACAAGTACAAAAACGACACGGACCGATCGCCTTTAAAGCTTCTCAAAAGTCGGCGTACGCTTCTGTAACCCGGACAATAGTGCCGCAGACACATCCTTGGTTTGCAGGGCAGCACCATTCCACACTCCCACGTAGCGCAGACCGTCCTGCACGGAGTGGTCGCGCGAGAAGTTCAGGACCTCCTTGGTACCCTGAATCGCTACCGGGCTCTTAGATGCAATCAAGGTGGCCATCTCCAAGGCTGCTGAAATTGTGGCTTGACGATTCTCATGCACAGCACTAACGAAGCCCACGCGTAGGGCCTCCTCAGCTCCGAATACGCGTGCGGTCAGTGCCACCTCTTTCACCCAGCTAGAACTACCAACCACCTTGGGTAGCCGGCTCAAGGTGCCCAGATCTGCCGCTAGTCCAATATCGACTTCCTTCACCGAGAAACGCACGTCCTTCGAGCAGACACGCACATCTGCGGCGGTTGACAGATCGATGGCCAGCCCGAACGAGAATCCGTGCATGGCGACCACGACAGGCTTCTCGCAGCGCTCAACGGCGGAAATACAATCCTGCATCTGGGCCACATGGCGACGCATCTGAGCGGCCTTGCGGGCAGGGTCAGCGTCGGTGCCTTCTGAAAGCAGGCCCTCGGAAGCAGCCTTGACATCCAAGCCGGTGGTGAAAGCCTTCTCTCCAGCTCCACTGAGAACAACGGCCCGGACAGAAGAGTCTTCAGAGAGTTGATTGAAAAGTTGACCTAATTCGAGCCACATCCTGAAGCGAACGTGTTAGTGACGCGCCCGGAGAGCTCGGAGACACTTACGCTTCGAAGAAGGCGTTCATCTTATCAGCTCGGTTGATCTCCACGTGAGCGACATATTGATGCTCAGCCGGGAACACGACGGTAAAGTGCTTGAAGGAGTAGGCTTGCGACATGGTTGGGGTTGTAGCGTTGGATGAGGACAAGTGTGTATATATGGTTGAGTGAGGTGATACCTCGGTAAGTCAATCACTTGGCGCGGAGAGACCCTTCGGATGGTTCCGCGTATATTATAGATTCTTGAGTAAACCTGTAAAGTCTTACTTCTGAAATAGCATAACCGTTGGAATAATTGCACTGGAGGCAGATGATGTTTTAGGCAAAGTGTTGCATAATCATGTTTTTCAGCTTTACTTCACATGCCTCGGCTCAGATAAGCTGCGATAAGGAGTTATATTAGCTGCGTAGCTAGATCATCGAGAACCAGGTCTGAATTTGGCTACATGTGCTATGGAAGTGATCTCTGAAGAGCAAATTAAATTGTCCGAGCTAATTTGATATATGTTGAGAGGTGTAAGAGAAAGAAAAAAAGGAAAAAGAAAAGTCATATCTTGTGCTTCAAGGTGCGAAAGTCGATCACATCCAGCGTTTACTCCACGGTGATCTTCTTGGTTGGAGAAGCGATAGCCTTGGGCACTACAACAGACAGGATACCGTTCTTCAAGTTGGCTTTGACTGCATCCTGGTCCACACGGGTTGGGAAGGAGAAGATGCGCTGGAACTCGCCGGTGGCGCGCTCGCTGGCCCAGAAGCGATACAGAGACTTGGTATCGCTCTTTTGCTCAGTCTCGTCACCATCGATCTCTACCTGGGGTTCAGCGTGGTACTCGCGCTCGGTGCGACCCTTCACAGTGAGAGTTTGGGGGTCAGTGAACTCAATATCGATGTCCTTCTGCGCGATGCCGGGCAGCTCGCCATCCAAATGGTAAGCCTCCTCAGTTTCACGGACATCGAAGCGAGGTGAGAATGAGCGCAAAGAGGGCTGACGACTGGTTCGGTGGCTGTCATAATCGTCTAACAGGCGGAACAATGGGGAGAAGTCGCCCGAAGAAGGGAAGCTAGTGTGGAACAGAGACATCGTGGAGAGTGATGTCAAATGAGACAAATAGTGGTCAAATAGATGTTGAAGTTGAAGATTATTAGCTTTGTGAAGACTGGAGAATTGATGACGATGAGAACGAAACACGGAGAGGCGGGTGGTGGTGATGTTTAAATATTTTGTGACAGCAACGAGCTGCCACGAGTCACTAGTTTGCGAGTCAGCCCATTGGAGCGTTTTAGGAACATATCCAAGCTTCCGGTTGTTGCCTGTTGCAGCTTGAAGAAACGTGTTGACGCTGGAAGACGCTGGAAGTTGGTTGATGCGGATCGCATCTTCCAGATGCGCATAGGAGGCTTCTCCGCGTTTCTACAGGTCACGTGATGTCATATATCCGAAGCTGGACTGTCGTATGTGCCACCAGGGAAGGTTTGAAGATACCTAGATCTACGACAAGGTACAGTAATGGAACATTCGAGTCAATTCCCTTGGCCTATGTGGCACGAATTCCGAGCACCTGACAAGGACATACCGTATGTCCATTGTTGATCCCATTTCACCTAGATTTTACCAGCACCCTTGTCACCTTTCCCGTCCTGCAGCAGAGCAATCAAGCGCATGTGAACCGTCAATAACTCATCTGAGAAGTTGAAGTATGACTACAGGACACCACGGGGAGACATCTGTTCGAGTACTGTCTTGTATGCTGAGGATCGCGGGCACCGTGGCTGACGGGGGAAACATTCGTGATAGGAACCTTCGCGGTCGTTGTTTTGAATACGCCAAATGATCGAGAGCTGGCAGTCAAAGGTAACTGGAGAAATTGCACAGTAAAGCACAGACGCATCAAATGGGAGAAGTGTCGTTGAGGGGATTCGTCGAAGATTCGTGGCTTCGGGGACGGGATATCAAGTTTCGGAGCCTTTCCTTTACTCAGATTCAGACTCGTCAAGCTGCATGATCTTCTCATCGAGGTCCTGTCTTTGGGTAAATATATTGTTCATCTACGACAGATTTGGGCAGCAGAGCAGTTTGAAGATCCCGACCACAACATACCTGATCCAGACGTGCCTTCAAGCCTTGGAGCTGACTTTCTTTGATGACAAGATGATGTTCGTCGTCCAGGTCCTCCACGATGTAGTCATGCCGTTCCTCGTCGTACTTGAGGATCATGGATTTGATCGAGGGATCACATTCGATGAGCAGGCCTAGTCATACAATAAGCATCATAGATTCTATGGAGGGGCTTGAAAAGATAGTCTTACCTCGAACGGCACGCGGCATTGTGAGAGTGTTGTGGGTTAGGCCAGAGAGATGATTCGTGAGATGTGAAGGGAAAGAGAAAGAGAGCTGTCGCAGGAAAGTGACAGCCAGGCATCAAGGCAGAAACTAGTTAGGTAATCATATTTTAATCTAGTTAACAACTAACTAACTATCGGATGAGCCTCCAGGCCTTGAATTTCTATCATTTCCTTTCATCAGAGGAATTATTCGCAATTAAGATTCCTCATCCGAAGCATTGGAATCTTGTCTCTTGTCATCTGCCCTCGCACGCCATCCAGTTCCCGCCTGAAATACAGTGGCTGCCAGGGCCAGCGCACTACCCGCCAGGAACAGCATGCGTGTTGCGTATTCGTAGCTCTGGATAGCGACCAGCCGCTCGAGGCCGCTCAAATTCAGGACGGTCGCTGGGCTACCCAGCAAAGTACGCACCAGTTCCGGTCGAGGGGATAACCCGTGTTGAGAAAAACCCGTTTCCAAGGAACCTTTGAGCACCCGAGCGAAGAATCCGCCCCCAATGGCTGATCCGAAACTCCCTGCAAAACCTCGAGACATTGCCACAAGTGAAGTCACGATATAATGTGACTCGGGGTTGGTCATGTGGAGCACGTGAGACAGAGTATAGTTCATCAGAGACCCGGCAAAGAGACCGTCTAGAAAAGTGACGAACATGTAGAGAACTGCAGAAGAAGTTGGCGTAGAGAGGAAAGCGAGGGCCGCAGTGGCCATTGCAAAGAGGAAAAATATAATCAGACAGGAGCTGGAGTTCACGTTAAATTTGATACCGAACTTCAAGCCAAGGAAACACTCACATGTAGTAGCTGTTCGCTTTGCGTATATGCAGCCATCCGACAAGCAGGCCGCCCGTTCCGAAGCCAGCATTAGTTGGGACCAGAAGAAGCCCAGCTGAAGCAGGGGACCACCCTCGGACAGCAATCGCATAAGCGGGGGTGAAAAATAGAACGGCCCAGCGAGCCATCATCATGCCCAGGGCCGCAATACATGTCATCAACACGCTGCGATTCCGCAAGAGTCGCACGGGAATGACGGGCTCAGTGGTCCACTTTGATTCAATGAGAATAAAAGACCCAAACATAAATAGCGAGAGTGGGATAGGCCAAAGAGGAATTTGAGGCGAGGCCAGACTGGAAAGCATGAGAACGACCGAGAGTGTCTGTCGAGTTAGCGAGATCAAAAAAAAAAAAAACGGTTGGATCACCCTACCAAAGTCAAAGAGCCTGCATAGTCGACTCGGGCAAGACTGGCCCGCAGAGCACTTCCTGTTAGAGCGCCACGATCATTTGAGGAAGTCGGAAGAGCCAAGAAGAGTAGAGGGCCTAACACCAATGCCGCAGGAGCCTGGATCCAAAACAATAAGCGCTAGAGTCGAATGATGCTCAGTCAATGTTACGTGTGGAAGAAACTATGGGCTTACCCATCCGACTATCGGCGTCAATAGGCCGGCAAGAACAGCGCCTGAAGCTACACCCGTCGTGTAGCCAGCATTGATGAGGCCAATAAACAAGCCTCGTCGTTTCGGGCTTGCAAGATCTAGAACCAAGATAATGGCTGAGCTCATCAGCCCGCCACTACCAACGCCTGTAACGACTCGACCGAGAAGAAAGACTGCCAAGGTTGGAGCAGCGGCGGTGATAAATAGGCCTGCGGCTAAAAAGAAGCCCGAAAAGATAACATAGAGTCGCGGGGTGAAGATGCCCGACAGTCGTCCAGATAAGGGCGTAACGCTGGACATTGCGATCTTCGAGCGGTCAGTGTCAATATATGAGATCTTCGACCTAATCGCTCAGATCATACCATGTAAGCCGATGTGAACCAAGTCGCTTCTGCAAAGGCATCCAGATCGGCTGCGATGTAAGATTGGGCAGTGGTCATCATTGACATGTTGGTCGCTATAAGAAGTCCAATCAATTCAACGTCATTGAGCCCAGTAGCAAGAGCAGCCTACTCTGAATGAAAATTAAGAGGCCCATGGAGGTAATTATCCCCAATCCTCTTGCAAAGCTCACACTGGTTTTCGGACCAGGATCGGTTGGCACAATGAGCGGGGTACGCTCGGATGACGAGGCTCGTCTTTCCATCATTTTTGGAAGGTATCTGGATAGCAACCTAGAAGGACTATCCATTGAGTTATGAAGGAGTTGAGGGGAAAGCTGGAACCTGGAAGTGATCGGGATTGTATTTCTAAGCATCGCGCGTTGATAGCGATAAGCACGTTCCAACCAGTACGGGTGTCGGGGTGTCGGGGTGTCTCCGCTGTGGGGAGCTCAATAACCAGTGGCAACAAACATGGGGAACACCGCTCCGGAAATAGATTACCTATGATGCATAGGTAGGACTCGATTGGCAATTTTCAGTTAAGTCCTTTAAAAGAGAATTAGAAAATAACCAAATAAGAGTCCAATAAGACGTCTAGTAAAACGCCTAGAAACAAATTTTGAAGGACATAGAGAACAACTGCCCGTTTGCACTTCCTTGGATCAGCTATAGAATTTGCTTCTAGCTTTAGTCTCGTTATATGACACAAGTTCAATTCCAGAGCCCCTATCACGCCTATGCGTGTCCAAAAATAGATGGCCATTCTTGAATCACGCGAGCCAACACTATTTCCAGGTCCGCAGCATCCCCTGTAGGCTCAGTTTCCGCCCACGTCTTCTTCTGCCATTTGAGCTCAAATTCGAGAAGCCGATCCTGCAGCATTGATGCGTTGTACGACACAGCAGGGGTTGACTTGAGGTACTCAACAAAGATACGCCAGCGAGGTACGTAATACGAAGACAATAATCCTCCCCACTGCTTCGCAGCATAGTCGGAAATCTCTCCGTCCGGTCCCCACAGAGTGATCTGATTACGGGCGCTATATTCAAAGAAAGACTCCTGCTTTTTGTCACCACCAGCCCAAGCCCGCGCAGATTCAATCCATGTAGAAAGGCGAAAATTCTTATTGGTAAGCAGCACAGAGTCAATATCGGCCAAAAGCTGGATCATTCTAGTTCCCTTCTGTGACAGGCTAGCTTGAGTGGAATCCGAGTTATTGTAGGTGGAGGTAAGGCTCAGATATAGCGGGGTGAATGCATTGGCCATAATCTGGCGCGTTACATCAACCATATCATGTCTATATGATGGGTTGCTCCACAGCCTAGGCTCTGAGCTGGCAGCGTGATACATCAATCGCCACGCCCAAACCAAGACCAAGGGATCGTAGGTAAGGACTGTGCCAAATGATCCGGCAACACCGACGAGACCAGAGAGTTGTGGACGACTCACGAAAACCGGTCTCATAACCGCAGTAGTGGTAAGGTTGGTGTTGTTGTAAATGGTCGTGCGCATAAGATCCCACGCCTTGTATAGTTCCTGTGGAATGGAGCCACAGCCAGAGTATCGGCTTGCAACCCAGGCATGAAAATAGCTTTCGGTATCAAGGGGAGTAGAAGACCAGGCCTGATCTAGGAGCATATCATAGACAACTTCATTACCCTCTTGGCCTTCTGGGCTCAGTCCATACCCCACCATTGACGGGGATTCAAGGCGTGCCTGTGTTGCATTCTGTGTGATATTTTGGATTTGACCATAAAGACCCATCTGGCCTCCATAATCATGTAGCTGGCACCATATCCATGGTTTACCGTAGTAGGAATTAGTGCGGCGCCATTGTGGCATGGATTCGGAGAAAAGATCAAGAATAAGCATGTCACTATTCTTTCCAACCCCGGAGAGATAGGCTTCCACGCGCTCGCTTGTCCAAAATGACTCGCTTGAGTAGAATAGCCACCCCTGCATCAGCCAGATTGCGTCGGGGTCAGCCTCCTTGAGACTATGCCACGTGGTACGCGTTATGTTGTGGAGGTATCCTGGATCTCCCGAGTACGGGTTGTTTTCATTATACTGGTCCAGGGTGTAGATGTGGCTCACGTTTCCGTATGCAGCTTTCTGTCTGCCGATGAAAAGGTTTTGTATCCTTGCAAAGTTATCATCAAAAGGCTGCAGAAACGAGTCATTGCTATACTGTGAAGAGAATCCACTCCATTGTGATCCGCGGACAATGTTGGCATTGGGAAGAACCCGACTAGTGTTCATAGGGACGTCCCCCGTGAATGCGGGTAACACAGGGGTCATTCCGAGTTCAACCATGCGTTTTACAATTTTTTTTGAAAGACCGAATTGCTGGTCTATCCACGTTTGAGGGAGACTGCCGCCCCAGGATCCTTGGATGTTTCCGAACCGGTTCCATGCTAGGAAAGCCGGCCCACTTAGGAAAGTTGAGATCTCGGCACCAGTGAGTCCAATTTCCTGGAATACATCTACCATGATCTTTTCCTGACCAACACTCGCAAGCGGTAGATTGACCCCGCGAAGAGCAAGCCAATCCAGTTGCAACTCCCATTCCTCCCAGGTCCAAAAGGCCGAGGTGTAAGAGAAAGTGACTGAGAGTCGTATCAGAAAGCAGATCAAGACCCACGCAGGATGAATGAGTTACCAGTATTGAAATGGTATCGCCAAGGAACTGTACTGGAGCCGAGGATTGGCGTGTCAAAGCGAGGAAGACTTGAAGGCGCCTGGCCTAGGCGGCTACCAACGAACCAGTAGATATCAACATGAACGATTTCGGTGAGATATCGATGGAGACTGCCAATTTTATTAGAGATTTTGTTCTTTAGTGAAGTTTCTTTGGAGCATACCCTGAAGAGAGTGCGCTAATTGAGTTTCCATGCAATAAAACAGTGCCATTGTCCGCACTCTGGACCCTGAATTGATCGTAGCCATCGTTGTCACCAAAATTAGCATCTAGGTTGAATCGGAATTGATCGAAATGATCAGGTAACCGTCGCTTGACGAGGCTATAGAGGCCATCGGTCGGCTGGGCCGCAGCCGTTGCTACGCCAGACCAGAGCAACGATTTGATCCAATGCATGGCGCGGTTAGAAAGTCTGGCTAGTTGAAGCTTATCGGAGGAATGAAGAAAACCATTGAAATAGACGTCGCAATTTGCGGTCGAGCCCCTGTGCCTACAGCATGCGTGAGCGTTGCATCTCAATCCCTGCACCGTCGGCACACGCACTGTAACTGTTTGATCCTACGTGTGTCGATCTCCAATTTACACCAATAGTATTGGATAGGACTAGGCCAATGGGTATCGGATAATAGACGCGGCCGAGTAAGTGCTTAATGCGCAATAAAGCCCCTTTGGCCCTTGAGAGCCTTGCATAACACCCCTGGGTACCATCGCTGCCCGACATCTTGATGACTCGTCACTCGAGCGACCAACGTAGCTTCCCCAATGTTTGTTCGGAACATTTCGTTAAATGTAGCTTCGGCATCTGATTTGACTTTGTCATCCTTCACCAGATTCCGTATGTGGCTCGGAATAACCAGTGAAACTTTTTCCGCAGAGAGATCTGGGCTGACCCCTTGAAAAACCGGGAAAGAAAACCGCGGACCAAGGGAGTTTCCTTCAGCATCCACAAAGTGTTCTTCCCGTAGACTCACACGATGAGTAGTCGCCGTACAAACCCCTCCCGTCAGTGCTTCAAGGGCGCGCCCGATGTTGACCACAAATGTGTCAGGAACTGGGGCTACAGAAATCCAGTTCCCGGCTTTGTTTTGCACCTCAAGGCCATGGTGAGATGTTGCTTGTAAAAGGAAAGTCAGAAAGCCAGAGTCTTTGTGAGCACCGACGCCCTGGAAGCCGGCAGTATTATCACCGGAAGATGGCGGGAGGGGATACTTGATAAGCTTTAATTTATGCTGCCCTGGATCATCGAAAGCTTGATCAAAAGCTGTTGGCGGAAGATCCAGAGCTTCTGCAATAAGGGCTGTAAAAGAAGCGGCCATGACGCTTGCTTCAGCGATATAGTCCTCAATAGCCTTGCGGAACCCTGAGATTGCAGTTTCATCGGGCCACTAGGCCAGAGTATGAGCGATAAAGACAGTGATGAATACAGGCAGGCTAAGCACGTACCTGGTTTGGACCGTAGATATTCCTATACAGTGGCTCATCCTTTGCGGGTGCTGGCAGTTCGGTTGCGAACTAAGTTGGGATAAGTATAGCTCGTAAATCGGGCTCGAATCAGACCTACATCAAACTGCTCACGGTGGTCCTTTTTAAGGGCGGTGATCTCTGACCCAAGTCTGGAGTAGCCGAGAAAATGCGGGCTATTGACCATCTCTATCTCTAGTTTCTTCTCTAGTGGGAGATGAAAGAGACCCAACGCCTTTTCCAAAAATGCATGCTGTACTCTGAGTGAGATGGGCGGGTTCTGAAGGTAGAAAAAGCCGACATTGATCAGTGCGTCTCGGAGATGACTCAAAAACACCGGCTTGGTCGACGGCGACAAGGCTTCTTTGAAGTCAAGAACGGGGATCGAACTAAAAGCAGCTGGATATGATGCCATTTGCTCCGACTGGTATAATTAGTGATGTTTCCGGCTCTGGGATTTGCAGAGAAGAGAGTTAATCCCCTGTGTATCCGTACCATCCTTGATATAAAATCAAGTCTCAACTCGTGGAGCTGAGACAAGTTCTTGGTGACCTGCAGTTGTGACCACCACCGAGAAGCAATTTACGTGCACGTTGGACGAACCCTTGAAAAGCTTTGCCAAGTTAACGAAGCGTGGTTGAGCCTCAGTCGTATACTGCCAAGCGGATTTGTATTCGGCAGCGAGATATTGCACCGGTACCTGATATGGTCAGCGACTGCGGTCAATCTGTCACTGATAAGACCGAGTCCCTCAACAGCTGGGAATATCTCGTTGACGAGACGATGGAAACCATTCGGATTCCGTAACCTCACGTATCTCTACTCTGACACCTAGAAACACAGGAATTAGTCGAGTGCATTTTCAACTCATTGAAGGACTCTTACTCGGCTCAAAGAATGCCTTCAGCGTATCACCGATAAAGCTTTTCTCGCCGAGATACTTGAAGGGACAAAAGAAACGCGACAACACCGTAGGTTTTCAATAACAACTGGTGATTATTCAATACAATATTTGGGCTTGGTAGGAGAAGATCTCGTCCCAATGTTGGCACCACTCCGAGGGCGCTGACAGCTAGTACTGGAGAAGTCTGGCAATCTGATTGGGCCGCGATGGCGAGCACGATGGCGCCACCGATAGAATGTTCGCTGAGAATGACGGCTCGCCCGTCAGTTTGGGAGCGGTACACGCGCGGAATGAGGTCGGCAATCAAGGCCACAGAGCTGCGGATGGGCGATGTGGCGGGGATGGAATTGCCTCCGCATCCCGGCCGATGGACATTCAACACACCGTGTCCCCGCTCGCGCAAATCCTGCGGGGTATCTGACGTATTTAGCATATTTCTGTGATTCAAAGCCTGCCAGACTTTATCGAAAACCAGGGTAGCAAATATGCCGCGTTAGCATCCCCGTCGTGGATGAAAATCACCGGTCGGGTTTCGCCTTTCAAATAGGCCTGTGATCTGGAGATCCCCAGACTGCAAAGAAAAGATATGGGCGGAAGAACTTGTCTTAGCCCCGAGCTTGTGAAGTAGTTGAAGCCTGCATTTTTGACACGACTCCGAAGCGGGGAACTACGGGCGCGGCCGAGTCTGAGGCTCCAACGGAATATGTAAGTAATGCAATCTTCAAAAGATTAATGGGTCCATTTATTGCCTACATTGAAAAATCCAAAGGTTAGCTTAATGTTGCTGACAACATAAATAATGTTATTCTAATGTTTGCAATATTGTTCTGACCGTCAGGTGTAGCTAGACCAACCTTAGAAGATATATTTTAGATGAGCTTATAAATCGATGGCGACAAATTGATTATGAGTCCGGCCGTGGTTAAAAATGCTTAAAAGAAAAGGCTGGTTCATGAACAGAAAGGAAATGAAGACCGAAACTATGCTTGGAAAAATGCCTGGGAAGAGATGTAGAAGAGTAAAAGAACAAAGTGTTCGTACCCGGTTCAAGTGCTGTTCTATTATCTTGGTCCGCCTGTATCTATGAATGCGATATCTTCAAAGGATGTAACGGAACCCAGTTGCTCGAATTTCCAGCATATTCGAGCCCGTAGGAATATCGAGAGAAGATTCAGCTTCATCGAGTCGCTTGTTCATTTTCGTGTGGACAATGCGAATGATAAGGGCTAGCAGCGCGACAAGAAGAGCAATCACGGCGGTTGCACTGCCACCAGGAATGTATCGAGGGCCTGAGGAGGATGGCCACATATAGCTGCCATAGATTGACGCAGTATTGCCAAACATGTTAGCAATGGCAATAGCAGCAGACCGTTTGACCAATGGCCGGGGGAAAGAGTTGGCCAGCCAGGCAAGTATGATCTGGTAGGCGGAAACAGCACCCATTGGCATCCTAGAATAGTCAGCCAGATGATTCGTCAGGGAAGTCACTGTTTCAGACTCACAGAAACATGGCGAAGAATTTGGCGCCGGTATTGGTCGTAACAGTCGCAATAACACAACCCACGACACTGACAAGCATCAGACAAATGATGTGTAGACTGCGATCGTTCGTTTTGCCCGATGTCCAAGTCACGAAGAGGGAGACGAGGAAAGTGGTAATCCAGACGGGTGCAGTAATCAAAAGTGTCTCAATGCTACCATATCCCAGCGTTTGAACAATAGTCGGAAAGAAGTATTGGAAATTCTGAGAAAGAAGCGAGACGTGCTGGAGCAGGATGAAGAGATAGATGCGGCGGTCGGCAAAAACCATGGCCGGTGCTTCCCTGATGCTGCTCGAGCTGGCATTGTCAGCTTCGCCTGTGTCATTCATAAGACGCCATTGGGCATAGGCTTGTTCCTCATCTTTTAGCCAGGAAGTTGTGGCCGGGTAGTTTGGTAGGAAGATACTATAGATATTAGAACAGCGAGAAAAAGTCCATGTGGGAGAGTACGCTGCTAAAATAGACACTCCCACCGTGATACATCCTTCAATTATGAAGAGCCACCGCCAGCCCGCAACTCCATGTGTGCCATCCAGATTGCCAAGGACTCCAGCTCCAATAAGCCCACCGAAGGCATTAGCCAGCGAGCTGCCGGCATAGAACCAAGCAATGCGGTGGCTCAACTGGTCAAGTAAGCATGGCCTCTACATTAAATGATAGTGAGTGACCGACTTCTTGTCTGGTATACCAACTTGACCTACAATAATGTGTAAATAGAGTAGAAACAAGTAGTTTGGAAGAGATAAGCGTACATCAGCATAACTGCGCCCGGAAAGAAGGGTGCTTCCACAAAGCCGATAAAGAAACGTGAAATGATAAGACCGGTAAATGACTGTGTGGCCGCCTGACACGCAGAGATGATGCCCCTACCAAGCCGATTAGCATGAAAACCGCGAGAATCAGCGAAGTCTTGCATACCAGATAGCCATAGCGATACCAAGAAGCCGTGAGGGTCGAATGCGAGTAAGGAGAATATTAGAGGGGAGCTGCATAAGTAAATATCCGACGAAGAGTATACTCGTGGCCGGATTAAAGTCTGTCCCTTTCATGTCAAGATCCTTCTCAAGAGATACAAGACGTGCCTGGGATAGGTTACTAGATAAACATTAAATTTCGCCCGTGACGGTCTGTTGACAGTAAGGGGTCATACTTGCGATCCAGGAAATTGAGGAGATACATGAGCACCAAGAACGGGAGTAGATGCAAGTCCAAGAACGGGAGTAGATGCAAGTCCACTTTCAGCAACAAAGTGCGAGTCATTTTCTGATGCCATTCTGGACCTTTTGAGGCATATGCCTGATAAAGAGCATCGCCTCTGAGGCCTTGGCCTATATTTTCCACTGTCACCTTGTATTCAATCTGCTCTTCCACGGATTTTGCCATGTTTCCAATGCAACCACCGCTTCTTATGGTGCAAAGCAAACTCATCCTGCAACTGAGGGAGCGTCTCTTATAAATGCACTGGCTATTCAACGGGTTGATGTTGGCTGCTCGGCGCAACTCTGAAGATATGCCAAGCTTTTGGGAGATTGGGAGGTCACCGTGGGGATCGAAAACAAGACAGCACAGAAAAAGCTGCGGCCCTCAGTTCCTCATCAGAATAGTATGATCGAGACGACGGTTAGAACCACGTCAGTTAGCTCATTGCTCATTGCCTGCGGGGAGTATGGAAGAGAATTGACGGGCAACTGTGGATGCACAGGGGAAGCGAGTTCCGCTCGGGGTATCTTAAACCGAAAGCCATTTTGCTTACCGGGGCTCCTAGCAAGTTAGCCTAGTAGTTAGATGGAATGTTTTTCTTATCAGCACTATGCTCATGGCATACTCATGAAATTTGACTATATGTACAAAGATTTGGAAAGACCCAACAAAGGTTATATACAGGGTCTGTGATGTATACGGATGCGCCCATTTAGTGGAGTCTACTTATCCAAACGACCTCTTCCCGCTCGGAGAATGGCCGCGATGGGGAACCAGAATGTGGATGTAGTCTGGGGAGATGCAGGAAGATGGAGAAGACCTTTGCCTTTCTGCCTTACTGCCTTGGAAATATATGTGCCCGATTTTTAAGGCCCCAAAGCCGACCATGAAATGTGACATCACTCACATACCCCACTCCACCAATGGCTTTCGCCATTGTAAAGTCGATCAGATCGGCATCGATGACCTCAGATCACGCTGACCGAGTGGCTCTGAACTATTCATAGAAGCCAAAAAGGTGGAGCATTCGTGGGGCAAACCACTATCCTGACTTGAGCTCAGTAATGACGATATCAAGGACAAACCAACCGGTAGGTGATGCAGGTGATGTTGACTTTCCCTATAAAGAGGACACTCCCTCTCCCACTATTTGGACTTGACATACTCTCCAGCATACCCATACATCTCAACAAACAACTACACATTTACATCATGGATAAACTCTCCGGTCTCGCTTCCAAGCTCGGTGGCAACAAGGGCTCCAACCAGTCTTCTGGACAGGAGGATTATGCTGACAAGGGTAAGTCACTGGCCAAAAGCCCAAAATAATGGTCTTAACATCTCTCCAGGTCTCGATTCTGCCGAGAGTAAGCTCAGTGGCGGCAAGGTCGACCCCGCCAAGATGCGCTCCACCAACGAGAAGATCACCGATACTGGCCGCGACCAGTTCGAAAAGGCCACTGGGTAAGACTACCTATGATAATTATTGTGATTTCTAAACACTAATTGCCATTTCACAATAGAAAAAACGTTCCGGACAAATTTTCCAATTAAATCTTGAATCAGCATAGCAGCAAAGGGATGCGGCTGATATGAACAATCCGCTACCCATCCTGAGACATGATACCCTCTAGGGATTAAACAATTTATGCCCTGTAGTTGCATACAAGATTGATTGTTAATTTTATGACTATGCCCTATCGTAATGTAATGCGTATATTCCGTTAATAATCTAGTAGGTCAGAATCGCTGTAAATGTGACAGTAGGTTTCCGAATCCGGACCCGATACGGCGACCAGTAAGCATGTTGTTCGCCCGACACAGTTGAAGATTAGCACCAATACGCTGCGTCGCCGCTGGCGAGTTGGTTCCCTGATAGGAAGCCAATGCTCGATCAAAGTATTTCTCAGCGGGCTCATACTCCTTTGCAGCGAAGTGCAAGTTTCCTATCATCTCCAAAGTAGCCTGGGTTTCCGGGTTCTTGAGCCCTTTATATTGTTCGACCCAATTTAGATACCGAATAAGCCAAGGCAAAGCCTCAGAAGGTGGGTTGGCAGCGCCATAGTATTGAGGCCTTTGTAAAGCATACATCACACCGATATTGCCCACAATGTCCATGGTCAAGGCATGGTTAGGACCGAGAGCCTCCTCGGAAGATGCAAGAGCTTGGCGTAGGGTTTCAGAAGCCGGCATGTGCTGCTGGGCTCTTGTCAACCCTCGACCGTGTAGTGAGAGAGCGCGGATTGTCAAAGGATGTCCACGGCCAAGGGCAACAAGGAGCTCCTGGTATACCTCAGGCAGCATTTCCAATGCTTGCTGCACATCCGGCTGCAAGGAAATTGGCACAAAAACAGAGTCCCCCCCGTGATTGTAAATCACGTACTCGAGGGTATCCAGGGCCGCTGCGAAAACTCGGATATGGTTATCACCGAGTAGGCGCTTGAGGCTCTCGGTGAGGTTCTGAGCAGTCAAAATTGCATTTTCCCGGCGGCTAAGACAGTTATAAGCCATACCGAGTCGACGTCTAGTGTCCAATGTGTCAAGGTGTCCCTCTCCGATGTTTATCTGTTGGCGTGCGAGCACATTTGCACAGACCGACTCGGACTCTTGATACTTGCCTTGCTGGCACAGGATCTCTGCCATGAGACTCTCAGTCCTCATTGATAGTGCATGCTTGGCTCCCAGAACGCGCTGGACGTTATCCGTCACCCACTCACACCACTCACTTGCTTTATCGACATAGCCAGACTCCAGCTCGATCTCCGCCATGTTGTATCCGACGGAGAGAGTACTGACGTGGTCTGCGCCTAGCGTACGCAGGTGTTCTTGGAAGATCTCATAATCGCTCTTCCGCGCCTCGTCCCAATTACCTCGATTCTTATGTTTTGCCGATTGAATGGACCTTGGGTCAGTATCCAAGGGGTTAAAGATGGCTCCAACAACCCTCTCTACAGGGGCGGGTGACCTGCCTGGAGGCGAGAATGGCCTGCTACTATTAGAATGCATTCGTGGAGGCACTGGAGGAGGACTCTGTCCAGTTGCTAGATGCGGCTGTTGTTGTGGTATGAATCCGTGTTCAGATAAAACGGCCCGGTCGACCAGTTGCTTAATGTTCCCCTTAATGAGGCGGTACATGGGGCCTCGTGAACCAACTTTGCACATTTGCGAGTGATCTGCATCGAGTTTCAGTTGAGTCTCCCGAAGCCCCGATAAGCCGAGAACAGCCGATTCTTCGTTGACAACCAGCTATGCGAGTTAGTATAACCTGACTCGTCTCATTCCCGACTGGGCCACCAGGTCACCTACATGGCTGATAGACGCCGGCCCAGCACCTCCAAACTGCACCTCTTTCCCTTCGATAAAGCTGACTACATAGTAGTCCTCCAGCTGATGTCGAAATCGGTCGCTCATCTGTCTCGTGAAGAGTGAGTTGTGTTCAAGGCAATCGAGAAGGTCGTTACTGGCGTGTCCTTTGGAAACAAAGCGAGCAATTCCAGCGGCAATCTTGCCCAGCTCTACAGCTTTAGCACCTCTGTTTTTAGTGAAAAATTGTTAGCTCACTTGTCGAAGATTTTGAGAGTCCACCTGGAGACATACCTGTGAGGAGTTCCAAAAAACACCAGACCGGAGGTGGCACTGCGGATAGAACCGTATTTTGGATCCTCCTTTGCATTAAGAAGAGCCTGTAACCAGAAATCTTGTCAGACCAGATTCCACAAGCTACTTCCACAGGGCGGGTCCATCAAACCTGTTTAATGACTAGCCCTCCCAGACTATGCCCGATAAAGATGATATTCGGAGGTGGAGAATTCTGCCAAATAGATATTGATTAGGACCATTCTTTCTAATTCGGGTATCTTACTTACGAAATGTGGGCTTCGTTCCAAATCTAAGAGATTCAGTAATGTGTTCGCATGGTCCTTGATGCTCGCAGTGGACATCGTCTGCGGGTTCGTGACATTCGCATTGTAGCCATAGACGAAGACTCGAGCGTAGGATATGTCATCTGCAAGGAAGTCCTTGGGCCAAAATTTCCCGTTTGCGTGCGTCCATGTCTCAAACGGATGATCGTTGCGACCTCGAGGATTGAGACCGTGAACAAATATAATGCTGCGTAAAGAAGGTGAGTTGGGATCAATATGAACGGTCGCTTCCCTTACTCGATCTTGTGAGAGTCTCTTGGAGTATGAACTTCCTGTAGGAATGGAAACTCATGCTCTGTCGAATCCTATGCCAAGTGCCAGGTGAGTTTCATGACTATGCATTGTCATATTTCAGAGGAATAATCGTACCATCTCAATCCCAAAACTCACAGTGAGAGTATACAAATCAACGAGGCTTGACAAAAAGAACTTTTTTTTCTCGAGCCCTGGGCGAGGCTACCTGCACAAGAATACGAGCATGGTACACCCGGGCGTCTGACAGGGTCTTGGCAAGGAGACACGCGACGAAGGCACTGGAGATCAGCCAATAGTTGACACGGATTCGTAGGATTCGTCTCGCCAGGAATTGCCCTAAGACTACGGCTGGGGCGTTTGGAGCCCCGGTTGGCCGGAGATCCCGGTGGGCTGCCTTGGCAATGACCCTGCATGTCTCTTGATGCATTCATCGGCTACATTGGCAGATTGGAGTTAGACTGATGTTTCAGAAGCAATGATGATTTCTATGCTCGAAGCCGATCACTATCAGGGTTGGTTTCATCTTCCTTGAGAGTCAGGTTCTGAAGACATGGAGCAAAGAATAGATTGCCACGCCAGGCCCCCATCGCTGTTCGTGAAACGACCAGTGCCCACAGAAATAGAACAACCGTACTTAATAACTGCACTCGCCACACTGTCAGTAGTTGATGAATCAGTTTCAGTGATGCTGAACGTACCGTGCCAAAGACCTTGAAGAACATGAGATCTAGCTCAACGCCCAGCTCCATAGTATTGGCAGCGTAAACACCAAGTGGAAAGGTAAAGCCCCACCAGCCCATATTGAATGGAAAGGGAGAACTATATAGAACGGTTGCTAATGCAAAAACAAGCCAGATAAGGCCGAAGCTCCACATGAGTAGCGAAATGAAGACTCCTAGAACATAGGCCATAGGGCCTGCAATGGGATCGAGGATGTCGGAACCCTGAAAAAGATCCCGAGCGACCTTTCCTATATAGATGATACTGTGACTGGTCGGCATTGTTTCTTCAAAGACACTGAAGGATACACCTTACCCGAAGCCACCAAACCCCAATGGCCCCAGTGGCAGAAAACAGCTGACGATAGTCTCTCGTGGAGGCAATTTGTGGACCGCTAGTCGCTGGTAATATATGACAAGCACCATGATTGCCAGAGGGGTGCCCATGCCCCAGAGTATGAAAGACACAAGAAGCGTTCCTACTGCATGCTGCTTGTTGGGCAGGATGTTAGCTACCTCGGCGCCAGCCCCCGCCGCCACAATCGTGGCCGCAATGGGCAATAGCTGCAGGGCAGTAATCCGATCTAAAGAGGTGATGTAGCGCTGTGAGATTCTGATTTTCATTAGTTAACCCAGAATTTGCGTGTCGCGAGTGGTTTACTCACAAGATAAACGAGAGGGAAAGGGTCACTGAGGCGGCGGCCACAACGTCCACTATCCACAAAGCCCATACAAATGACGTCGCCCATTCTCCCCAGCGCGGAACACAGATGACCACCCACATCTCGATGAGTGTAGCGAGCCCCATAGGTACCGTTGCCAAGAATAATGAGTTTGTCGGATCCCGAATCATCACCCGCCAGATCTCGGGATATAATGTGTATCGCAGAATTGACGTAACAAAGGCTAGCGCGAAGACGACGACGTTTAGAACAAAAAAGACGATTGATAGATAATGAAGAACAGGCTTATGAAATGGAACCGAGTTCATTAGTACCGAGATGACACCGGTGCCCATGGTCACGGCGAACCATCTGTGATGTCCATCTTAGCGGAGAGTTCGACGCGTCATAAAGGGAGAGCCGCATACGAGGGACTGAAGTTGCGGACCACTCGTCGCCAGCCGACATTATATTTTACAGGTCCACTGACCGGGGATTGGTCTACTTGATTCGGTGCCATTTTTTGAAAAACATTGGTGAAAGTGATTTCGCAATGTTATAAATACGAAAAGACGCTGAGGCGGGGTGGGGTTTTAGGGAAAGTGACCCGCACTGCGGATGTCGCCGATCCCCTGAAAACGATTGCCCGTCAATTCCGTTGAGCTTGAATCCTGTGGAAAATCTTGTGCACAGATCCTAACCGTCTATGAGACAATGATAACGCCAAAAATGATATCCTCTGAATGATATCATCTAGTTCTACCACGCGCCAACGATACCCGCAATCGGAATGTCAATGCCCGTCGTGTAGGAGCTCGCGTCACTCAGCAAATACACATATGCACCACCAAGCTCTCGAGGATCTGCCAGACGCGGCATACCCCCATAATATTGCATCTTTATATCCCAATCGGGCGACTTTTCAACATAGTAAGTCATGGCCGTCCGTACGAAGCCTGGGCTGATGCTGTTAACGCGAATGCCGTGGTGACTCCATTCCATAGCGAGGGTATGGCACATATTGCGAACTTTCGTAAAGAACATGTCAGCTTAGTCTTCTGATTGGACTCGTAATGGTGCTTTCACATACCGGCAGCCTTGGTGGCACCGTACGGTGCAGATGGAGCGGCCTACAAAAACAATATCAGTCTGCTGTATGAGAACTGGGGCCATCAATACTAACCCTGTTAGGTCGATAAGAAGTCATGCTAGAAGTCATAACGATAGAGCCCTTAATGCCGAGTTCTATAAACTTGCGAGCGGCGATCTGAGCGCAAAAATAGGCACCGAAGACCTGAATTATGTAATTATGTGTGAGAAGTAATTCCACACTGAGAAATATAACCTGAGCCTACATTGAGATTGAAGAGCTTCTCCAACTCGGGCCGCTCGAATTTGAGGGCAGGTTGGTGCTTGGTCATGCCAGCATTGGCTACTAGACCGTCGATGCGGCCTGTCTCCTCAACGACCTGGTTAATGGCCTTCTCGACACTCTCCTCGGTGGTGACATCGGTCTGAACAAAGCGGAAATTGGGATATTGTTTCTGCAAAGTGAAGAAGTCTTCACCCGGTTCCATCAGGTCGAAAGAATATACCATCTTCGCCGAATTGGCTAGGCAGACTTCCGCGATACCCAGGCCAATGCCTCGGTTTGCCCCTGTGATAGCAACGACCTTCTTCGCAAGGGTAACTTGCCAATTGAAGTCAGATCCAGGCATTGTATTGAGGTAGGGAGCAGGTGCTGTTGAATTGGCGGCGTCGGACGCGACAGTCTCTGTGGCAGCGGGAGGCATACTTGCGGTGACTGAAGTAGAAATTTCCTTGAGGGACGAAAGATGATTAACGAACAGCACAAAGGGACCAGGCAGTTTTAAAAGCCACTGGCCGCTTAAACACCTCGCAGAATAATCCTTTGTACTCGTCTTCCCGCTATGACCACTATGATCCACTTCGGCCATGTTCGGATCGGCGTGGAGAGCATCGGCTCGAGGCACAACGCGAAGCGAGCTAAGTCAAACAGACGTCATCGAGCCCTCCTTGACACCTGAATACCCAAAGGTATTCTTGGGACTTCCTAAAACATTCAAGGACGACCGGATTTCGTGCAAAAGTAAACTATTAGCGTGTTCGAACATTCGAAGTGACATTAAGCAACTTTTTCACTTTGGTTAGATCATAATTTGTTCTAAAATGAGGCCACCGTTTTTTTCATCATATCATTAGTTCATGCGGGGAAGCTCTCATTATATTTTTACCTGAGGGTGTTTCGAGTGAGCTACAAGCACTTATAGAGCACCGATGCCTCGAGACGATGTCAAGTGGACCTTCACCCTTCCGAGTGCCACGGGCCGAGGCCATTCACCAATGACAGCGTGCAGCAAAACGCGGGGAGCATGGGGAGATGGACCGTTCATCCCCAGAGCTAGCATCAAACAGGCACTCGGGTTATGTCTGCGGTATGGGATGATGGATACTAGTCCCTCATTCCGTCATTTCAAAGTTGTCCATGGTGCGAGCGGCGGCGCAGGTGCGCAACCACACCCCGTGCCAGGAAACTAGAAAGGGGCACATAAATATCCGGCATTACAAGCAAGCAATGTGCTATCATTGCGATTGAACACATTTTGCCGCAGCCTCTCTATGTCGAAATTTATACCAACCATGGATTCCACTGATCTCGAGGATAATACCAAGAATGACATTTCCTCCAAGGAGATTGAACATGCCAGCATTCAAGAAACACTAACCTTTACCCCCGAGGAAGAACAGGCACTGGTCCGTAAGATTGATCTTACCCTTCTGCCGACAATATGGATCATGTACCTGCTGTCTTACTTGGATCGCACAAAGTATGCGGCCTCATCGTGCGCTCTCTCCAAGACTGGTCCACTAACAATCTACCAATGCAGCATCGGAAATGCAAAGATATCGGGCATGGAAACAGATCTCAAACTAAATTCCAACGATTATTCAATTGCTTTAGTAGTATTCTTTGTTGGTTATGTGGCTTTCGAAGTGCCAAGCAAGTTAGTCAGGATGCACTCTTTCCTATGCAAGACCTCTAACCATATCCAAAGTCTCATTCTAGGTCGCACACGGCCGTCGCTCTTCCTTCCGGGAATAATGGTCATTTGGGGGCTACTTACATGTCTTATGGCAGTAATCAAAGATTTCAAGCACCTCATTGTGCTTCGAGTCATCATTGGATGCGTTGAAGCCGGTTTCGCTCCCGGCGTTCTTCTCGTCCTCTCATCGTGGTACAAAAGAACCGAACAATCCAAAAGGTTTGGCGTATATATCTCAGCAGCAATTCTGTCAGGGGCATTTGGAGGGTTACTCGCTGCTGTTATTGTTGACAAACTCGAAGGTGCATATGGAATCAGAGGATGGCGATGGTTATTCATTGTGGAGGGTGCTGCAACAATTGGGGTTGCGTTGATTTCTCTTTTCATACTTCCTGACTTCCCTGCAACATCCAGGCGCCTCTCAGAACGAGAGAGACACATTGCAGTCGCTCGTCTAGTGACCGAGAACGTCACTGCCGTTACTAATGACAGTGAGCACCTGAGCAATTGGGAGGCCGTCAAGGTGTCTGTGAGGGACTGGCGTACCTGGGCCTTTGTTGTGGGCTACATGGTAATCACCACTCTTTCAACCAATCTGAATTTGCCTCTGACTACTTGGTAATATAGGTTATCGTTGGCTCAAGCACGCTAACCTATTTCTACCCGACCCTGATCAAGGGTCTCTTTGGCGATGCCTCAACGGAGAAGATCAACTATCTAACAATCCCAATTTATGGTGTAGCGTTTGTTTGCACTGCCATCACGGCTTACATCAGTGACAAGGTTCCAAGCTGGAGGGGGTTGATCATTGCTGCGTGGCTAGCCTTCTCACTGGCATGCTCCATTATCGTCTGTGCAGTATACAACTATACGGCTAGATATGTTCTACTCGTCCTGATGGCCACTGGTCTTTGGGCCACAAATGGAGGAACATTGGCCTATGCATCATCAGCCTTTGCTGGATTGCACCCACAGGCGAGAGGCGTGAGTTTGGCCTTGGTCAATGCCTTGGGAAATCTGGCCCAAATATATGGCTCGGTGAGTTCCTCTCAACGAAAATACTGGACTTTGGAAGATACTGATTAGGGTTTCAGTACCTGTTTCCGGATTCCGATACCCCCAAGTACATTATGGGATTTTCCGTGATATCGGCCATGCTGGCATTGGGCGTTATTGTCTTCCTATTATTGCACATCTGGTTTCGTCGTCGCGCTAGATTTTTACTGGATGAGTGATACCACCTCCACATTTGATGTACCTCCACATTGTAGAAGGTGGTGCCACGTTCGCACATGTGTATACCTTCCGACACAAATGAATCCCTCGCCATATGAGTCGAATCAATCGTCTTGGAAGTTTGAAAGGTTTTAGAGATCTTTACGCATCGTCAATAGATAATTGTTTGTCTCAGAGCCCAAAGACCAATCATTATGACTTCCATGGCTCCACAATGGTGAGTCCCAAGTGATATGAGGGTTGAGGATACCAGCATGCCTCACAGAACAATGAATGCAGATTCGGGCCTTGACTTTTAAACAAGGATGAAGACATAGTTGATGAACCAATGTGTCTATAACATAAATTTAGTATTATTTCTAGGATGCCTCAGTCGACTCGGGTGTACAATGAGAAATGACCTATCAGTGAAAATAAAGAAGTAAGCCTCCATTTATGATTGCCTAGAAACAGCTTCCGTCATAAATGCTTCCCAGATAACCTATGCTGAAAGATAGTTCTCAAAGTTTATGGTTAAATAGGAAAGAATATGCTTAAAGATGGTACAGGATCGTAGGGGTCTTCGACTTGCAGCTAGAAACACAATGGCGTTGGAATTGATGCAGCGTAGGGTCCCCACCCCTTTGCCATGATTCTGAGAAGAACAGTCCCTTATCTTAGCAACGGTAATCATTCCTTCGTACGAATCAGCAAGGACGAGAGCTAGATGCGAAGCGACAATTGGCTACCATGGTTATGCTTTGTCGCCTTCAGCTGTGGCATGCAGAAAATTCATCCCTGCCATATTCAATCTCAAGTTCCTTACGCAGAGATATTAGGGGCCAGTGTACTCGCTGCTGACAAGTATCAAGCAGATTCAGAAGACTCAGGCGTTCATGTGGAGTATAAACACACATGCCAGCTGGTATGAATTAGTGAATGAGCCCTAGTCATTTGTACGCACACTGACCTCCAAATAAGCATTGAAGGGAAACAATGCTTGCTGGATGATCTTGTTCATCAATTGTTCGAGCAATTCCACATATCGTATTGACGGACATAGTCAAAAGCTTTTGTGCAGCTCGGTAATCTTCAAAGCCACCAGTGGAAGGGCGATTGAGAATTACCAAAATGCGAGCAAGGCTGTAGATTTGTAAAGCCGCAGCGTAAGGCGAGGGATGAACCCAGATGGGGGGAAATGTGTCGGTGTGAGAAACTATAGGAAGAGAGTTATACTCAGAGGGCAGATGATCGTACCATTCCTGAAGCAAATAAAGCAGCTCACTGCCACGTCCAAGGCGCCGGGATAAGTCCGAGGTATCTTGCTCCTCTTTCGATGCATAATTGACACATTGCGCCAGTAGGAACGTGGCACGGCTTGCGAGCTCACTGGAAGTCAGTATTGATAGAGGTTTTTTTGGCTGCCAGAAGCTGAACACACGACGTCGCTCACGCATCGCAACCCAGACATCTTGTCGGAGCCAAGCCCACCAGACAGCTTGTCGCAGGCCACCCGATTCCCCATCATTGTCTTGGAACCGTTGTATCCAGAAAACACCTTTCAGATGTCGCTCCCAATCCTGATTGGACCCATCAATCATCTCGTAGGTGCTGATGAGAATGGAGGTTGCTATCACTTCATGGCTGCGAGCGTAGGAGGGATGACGCATAGCTTTGTTCAAGTAATGAAGAGTTTCAAAGTAGTATTGAACGGCCAGGTTGCGATCAACGGTGTATTTTTCGAATCCCTCAGAGCCATCTAGGTCAAGAGACATGTGACGTGCGGAGAGTGCAAGCAGCGCTCTCATTAATCCCAAATTTCTGAGAGCTAGATGCGGTACCACCGATGAGAAGTGTTTCACTTGATCATAGAAATCGAGCCACTGGCTAGAAACTCGCACAAAGTGCGTGAAAAGCCGATGTTCAAGATTGGACAAGGTTATTGGAGCATCGGTGGTCCACGATGACGGATCATCGCATATTGTGTTGTCTGTTGTCGTTTGTGAGACGAGTCGTTCTTCGGCTTCTGGGTCTCTCCGAAATGCAGCTGCATAAAAGCTTTCACGTTCCCTTGGATTTCGTGGTTGTAGATTGGAACTGTTTTGCGGATCTTCCTCTTTGACCTGGCTCTGCGGAAATTGCCGCGGTGGTGATAGTAAAAACCGATCATCGGCGTTGGCAGCGTCTTGTGCCAAGAGCTCGAACCAGCTGAGAGGTGCTACTCTCGTAGAAACGGAGCTTTCGGTCCCCGGCGAGGGAGCGTACCCATACGCTGATTGCGAGGAAGTGAGAAAGGGCGAAGCTACATTGGCCTTCTCTGATCTCGTTATTGCAGGAAGACGTCTGTTGTGAGATTCAACATCATGAAGAGGCTGCTCCTGGTCACAGGCATCAACTAGCACCCGCAGAGGCTCATGGATGGCCACTTGATCATTGTCCGGCGATTGAGACGCATTTATCGTGGAGGGACAGCTGCGCGAAGGGTCCTGAGATCCATAGACGCATGGACGCTGTCCCTTTGCACAGGGTCCACACTGGGGCTGGACCTGTAGATCTACTTAGCATCCTGTTTCTCATGTCTACCATCGGACTGGGAAGCAAGGGAGGTCCGCCTACCTCGTCACACTTGACATGTCTTCTCTTGCAGATAACGCTTATCTTGACTTCAGTGGAAATTCTCCAAAATTGAAAGCGCGCACATACCAGCCTGTAGTTGCCCGTAGGCCGCGTCCCCGTGATTTCCTTCTCGGTCGAACTGCTTGGGCTTTACCCATCGTCACGCGGGAAAAAAACCGGGGAGATTCGCATGGTGGGTTTGAGCGCGTCGCGAGGCGCACACGTTAGCGCCCCTTTCTCGACGAATGAGCGGGATACATTCATTCCAGTGGAGAACCCCCGCAGCGTGTAGCCGAGAGGCCGGTCGCAACACGACGCTGCAGCCATCTTGAAAGTAACGGAAGTGCTACCGAAGTGCTCATAGATGATGAGTCCATATGTAGAGCCCAACTTCCTCCCGAACAGTGAACATTTCTATTCTGAAAGTATGATGGCTCTGTCAAAAATCCAATATCCCCAAAGTTTCTCGTCAAGACATCTGGACCGTCTCGAGGCATGATCGCCCTGAACCCGGAGCAAATCTCCAAGGCTGGACCATGTGGGACTGCAACTCGACACGGGGTCAAATAACGGTTCTCCTCAATTAGAGAGTCTCGGCATATAAATCATGCATGATTGCGCTGCCACGTAGCTGCCAACACAGTTCAATTGTTTCAGTCGTGCGGTACTAGGAACCATGAGCTGGCGAAACAGTAATCAGACGCACCAGATCTTGACTGCGGCCGAAAAAGGCACCTACGGCGTCCTAGCAGCAATTGTGTAAGTGCTATGTATCGAAGTGGACTGGGTTTCATCCACTGACCTGGGTCAGATATAATGTCGAGCACATTACGGCGTTTGTGCAAGCTGCTGAGCAGCGGCGGTCCCCCTTGATCATTCAGCTCTTTCCATCCTCCCTCAAACAAACCCCTTCCCTTGTATTCGCTGCCGCGGCCGCGGCCAAGTCTGCATCCGTCCCTATATCCATTCATTTAGACCACGCACAGGACTATGATCAAATTAAATACGTGGCGGACAACCTTCCATTTGACTCGATTATGGTCGACATGAGCCACTATGAGAAGAAGGAAAATTTGGAAAAAACTCGAGTTCTGCGCGAGTATTGCCACACACGAAGGATCTCCGTCGAGGCCGAGACCGGCCGGATCGAAGGGGGAGAGGATGGAATAATGGATACAGGAGACCTTGGAGGTAAGGTCACAGACATGCAAAATGGGCTATGGCATCTAATGTTTTTCTAGGGATCCTGACCAACTCAGAGGATGTTGAGGAATTCATTGAAGCTGGTATTGATTTTCTGGCCCCAAGTGTCGGCAATCTTCACGGCGACTATGGGTCACGGGGGCCACAGTTAGATATGGAAAGGTTAGTAGGTAGACACTTGTGGGAATACAATGACGCTAAATTGGGCTTGTTCAGGTTAGAACGGATTTTTAGCACGATGAACGGTCGAGTTCGTCTTGTGCTGCATGGCACCAATGACTTTTCTCCCGAATTGACCCAGGAATGTATCAGGGCGGGAGTAACCAAGATCAACGTTAACAAGCTTGTTCTGGATCCATGGCTTGACAACCTGCGGGCTAATGCAACTAGGCCTTTTACCGAACTTATGAGCCAGGGTATTCTTCTTTTAGCTGAGGAGATGGAAAGGTGGATGGACATTGTTGGCAGTAGTGGAAAAGCATAGATGAGACGCCTTCCACCAGCGAAAGTTGAACCGAAGAAGGTTCGAGTAGATTTTGTATCCATTTATATATCACCTTAACAATATTTGCTGTGTCGAATTATTTTTGAAGAAATACATAGAAAGTTAGATTGAAGCGGCCCTTACGCGACAACTAAGCGAGTAACTAATTTGAAATATGCAGAAAAACACGTGTGCAATCACGCTCAAGAAAAAGGCATTTCCTCTTACTTAAACGACTGGCCATCCACTGGAAAAGTCAATCGCGTTCCATCCGAAGAGTTTATCGCCATCTGCATAGCCAACGGTTGTGTCAACGTAGTGGTAGTAAAGAACCGGACCGAGACTTGGGTCGTCATATACTCCTCTGGTTACAATCAGCTGATGCTCAAAATGGCATCCCAAAGAAAATAATTAGAGTATAGATTGACTTACTGCCCACCGGGACCATAGACCGTACTGTGGCTTGCCAGTACGGTTGTGCCTCCACTATTGGTGCAAGCAGTGCCATCGGCATCGACCTAATGAAAAGCGAGAGAGATGTGATTAGTGGAGCTATCTGAAACACGATAAGAGCGACTTACAAATGCGCCAGTTGCGGAAGTCGATCGACAGACTTTGATCTTATACTCCTCTCCAGTAGCAGGCCTCGATGTGTCGTAACCACAGCAAATACCAGAGGAAAAGAAGAGGTAGTAGTAGCTTCCATACTTATACATATAGGAACCTTCCTCAGAATGGGTACCGGTCGCGTTGTAGGCCAGATTGTATGAGGAAGAGGAGGTCTTTGTCGCGGCAGAGTTCATTGGCACCTGATAAATATCATGCCAGAAAGAACCAAAGTTCATGTAATAGGTGCCATCAACATCAATCAAGTTCCCGTCAATGGCGTTGTATGACTTTGAAGACGAGGAAACAATTCCAGTGGAACCGTGATCGGTCCAAGACCCTGACTCCATGGTCTCCGAGGTTGCCAAGCCGATGGCGGAGTCCTGCGACCCGAATGCAGATACCGAGTAATAGACATAGTAGAGATCATCGACGATATGTGCGTCTGGAGCCTGGTTTTTGGTCAACCGTTTTATTTTGGAAGCACTAACCTATTGGTAAATGGGGAAAAAGGATGTATCTCGGCTGAACTCACCCACAGGTCGGTATTGCCAGGTAAATCAATGGAAGACCCATCTGGCAACATAGATCCAATGGCCGTCCAGGGTCCCTTGATAGACGACGAGCTCGCGTAAGAGATCTCGTTGCCCGTAGAAAACCGAAAGTAAAGGTTGTCAGACGATCTCTGGATCAACGTTGGGTCATGAACATTGCAGGCCCCTGAACAACTGCCAGGGTTTGCATACCCGCGTACCAGAGCCGCGAAAAGGGCCACAGGTTTTATAAAACCCCGAGAAATAATTGCCGGCATGAAGAAAGCGTAGAAACGAGGCTAAGGAAAAGACTTGATGAAAAAGAGCGGACTCTTCATTGTAAATAAACGGCTCTTTATCTACAAAGCTCAGCTTTGAAGGACAAAGGCCCATTCGTGGAAATCCAAGTGTACGCTAGGTAGAATAGGGATGGATGTCCTTGTCGCAAAGGGGTCTATTCATCATTAACGAATGATATGATCGGGGTAAATGGCATGTGGGATGAAAATAGCCAGGTTTTGTAAGCACCGAGGAGTTAAGTGGATAGGTATGTGCGATGAAACAGGGCAAGAATCCTACACCGACTGGTGGGATTAGCGGCGCGCGTGGCGCAGCGCCCTCGGCTCTTGAGGAGCCTTCTGTTATGTTGAAATTGCGGGGGGATTTCTTCAGTCGGTTAATATGAGGATCAGCGGATATGGCTGGCTACATGTTCATTTTTAACCGATACGGTCATGGCTATATACGGAGGCGCTGAGGAAGTCAGCAGCAGAAGGATCCATCACAGTAAACCAGCCATGACTCGGGTCAACGCCTCATCCTCAGCCTGAAACGCATCTAGAACATTATGCCCCCGCCCGCCGTCAGAGTGAGACATCCCCATCTCCACTCCGGTCGCAAAGTCGGTGCCGGCTCGAGGGTCAAAGTAAAGCCCACCGGCAATCTCGAAGAAACTACTCAGATCCTCGCACCCGTTAGTATCGGGCTCACCAGCTGTACCGGGAGAAAGTGGCCAGAATGTTGCGGACGAGAATTGAGGAGTTGGAATGCCGGATGTTTGATAGAGGCTAGAGGCATTATGCGTAGATGGCGACTCCGTGGCAGACGATTGTGGCGTCGAGTCAAGAATATTGCGCGATGCGATCGTTTTGGGTTGAGAGGAGCCTTGAGGGTGGGCGTCAGAGGTTGAAAGAGGGTCAATCAACGCACACGAGGCGCGACCCTTATCAAGGGATGATTTCCGGCCTTGGTTGCTTTGCCATCGTACGTTAAGTTGGATTCGTTTGAGGCTGCGAATGATTTTCTGCAAACGACGAGAGGTGCGGGCACGAGTTGCCGAGCGGCGCACCATATCAACTGCCGTAAAGAACTCGGGTCGACAGGCATGGCTAAAACGCACCGGGGCATGTAGCACAGCCAGGAATAGGGCCGCGAGCGCTGAGATCAAGAAGTAATTGAAGGGTTCAGGCCGTTGGAAGTAAATGTCGGAGACACGGCTAAAGTAGTCTAGCATATGAACCGTGCTTTTCGCCGTCTCCACGGCTGTAGAGGCGCCAGTCAGATCCTCTGCGATGCGCTCGCTAGTAAGCAAATTCTGCCGATAGACGAGAATTCGAAGTTGGTTTGCCTGGAGAGCCAGTAGCACCTGAAGCATCATTGCACGATCGGTTTGCCCCGACCCAGCCGGAGATCTCCAGTGTGGATCAAAGCGCAATTCCCGTGGAATGGATTGCACCCATTCCTGAACCTGTGTATCTAGATAAGCGCATCCTTCTGAAATGGAATCGCGCGACCGATTTTGCCAACCAACAACAAGGCCCCATATTTTGGTGCTGAGACGGGCATATGAGATCATGCAAGTCAGATAGGGTGTTGAGTGCCCGGGTTCGGGCAGATTGGTGTCCATGTCTGAGTCTTGAAGGGCAAAAGGCAAGCCTGTTCCAAATGACCATTTCCTGTCCAGTACGTAAATGCACCAAAATAGTCGACTTGCCCACATCCATTCCAAAGCACCCGGAAACACGCCCCCGGTCTTCTGCCACGTCTCTTGACAATGTAGACCCAACTCCATACTGCCGCGGGCTGCCATGCCAGTCAGGCGCCAGGCTATAACCTCGTCATCGCGGTAGGAGTGGAAGATCGACTATATCCAATGCCGTCGTGTAAGCCAATTGTGAACCGGGATTGTTTGAGGCATACGTACTAATAACGTGAGGATGAGGATCTCCTTCATGTCCACCTCGGCAATTTTCAACCGACTGGCAAACCGGTCTTCGACACTATTAGCCAGCTGAGCCGCACGCTCACTCCGACCATGGGATTCGACCAGGAGAGCGGTGGCTAGGAGAATTTTGAGAACTTGAATGTCGCGGGCATGAAACCAGTCCTGATCCGAGTCTGGTCGCGTTAGATCCAAAGCGCTAACAAATGCTGGATCTTGAGAATGATAAAATTCGACCACGTAAGCACGCACGCTGGCCAAATCAACACAGGGATACATAATCCCAACAGTATCCTCGTAGACCTGCACCAGGCGCAAAGTCTCCAGCAGCCCGAGGCTGCTAAGCGGGTCTTCGCCATCTAGCGCCTCGTCTCGGTCCAAGGGAGCAGGGCTATGAGCGGCGGTTGATAAGTCAATGTCTTCATCATCTTCATCACCAACAGGAGCATCGTGACTCCGTGCGTGAGATAGAGGTCTGGCTCGCCGACTCAGCCCGAACTCGGCGCTTGTGGGGCCGACATAAATAGGGGATTTCGGAGGATTCAAAATACGATGAAGAGATCCGGGCGGCCCGCTCGCTGAAAGTCTTGACGATGGAGTAGGGCCAGCGGATTCGAGCTCAAACATACGCGCGGAAAGAGACCGCATCTCCTCCCTCAGAGTCTCGAGTTGAGAATCCACACTCTGAAAATGCGTCTCAACTCTAGAATAAAAATTAGTCACAGACAGTATGATCGAATAAGGAGTGCAGGGAAACGATCTCTGGGTCATCCTTGTGTTTGCGAGACACCACGTACCGATCATTCTGGACTCTAGTCTCTCGCGTTGGCCCTGCTGGGCGAGAGGCGGGATAAACACATTCAATCTGATCTCGCATACATCTTGCACAGGTCTCTCCTCCGCTGCATTTTAGCTTACGGCGTTTGCATTCGTTGCTTGGCTAGTTAGTATTCAGATCCAATAGTCACAGAGAAGCCGGAAATCGGACATACCAGGCGACTTGAGTATATTTCCCCCTTTTTCGTGGCCTTTGGGCAGAAGAATCATCATGATCTAGTCTGGGAGAGTCGGGGATCATCATTCAAACGTGATACCTCGAGGTAGGGATCTCGACGTGATTTCGGTGTAGAAGGAAGAGGGTGAGCGGAAAGAACTTTCCGAGGACGATAAGAAGCGATAAGAAGTACTCCACTTCCCATTTTCTCCACTTCGTTCGCTTCATCCACTGTGCACTCCAAAGTATTCTCACATTACTCTACCTCTTTTGCATCTCTAACTGACGGGGGGATTATCCAATTATGGGAGAGACAAGGTGCGATATAGGCATCTTCATTGAATATTATAGAACTTCGAAAATACTAGACATACACGACTCTTCTGAACTTGATGAATCAGACTGATTGCATGATTTCTCGCTAGAACGCCCATAAGGCAAGATAATAATGGTCGTTTTACTAAAATACAATTGGTATAGCTCTCCCCAGATGTCACTAAAGCATCGCAATCTAAATATGTGCTTTGCGGCAACATTCCGCGTCTGCCAGCCTCGACGAGCCATTCTTGTTGGACGGAACATCGATCGAAGGGTTGGCGGTGAAGAAATCCGCAGGACGAATCATCAGTTGGAAAATTTCCACCGGCATCACGGGCCAGTCTTCGACTCGAGGGTTGTGAGTGATACCGAATGAGTTCCAGACAACGACATCAGTATCGGCAACGGCGTCACCTCGACGAACGGCATCGGCTACCCCTTCGACTTCGTTCTGACTTTGCAGGGTATATCTACCTCCAGCGTATAGCTCGCCATCGCGGAATTTGGTCACCCAGACGTGATGCTGGGCAAACTGAGCCCGTCGTGCTTGAACCGACTCCGGATCTGCCAGCAACGTTTGAGTTGCCAGTGGGATGAACTTGTACCCCACAGGATTCCCGCTAATGGGGTTTGTCTTGTGCGGGTTGATCATTTTGATCGTCCGGTTCAATTGCGGAGCTGCATCGATCCAGGAAGCACGCTCCACCGTCTTCTTTGTCACCCGGTAGAAGTTTCCGTTGGGATTGGTCACCGCGTTCATGGGCACCGGGTGGGACTCTTCCACCACCACCGAATTCTTCTGACCGTCGACAGCAGGATCGATCCGGACGCAGAAAATGTGTTGGTGGTTCTGAGCCAGAACACCGCCACTCACCACGTTGCCGTACTCACTGACCTTGCCAGCATCGATGTTCACAACGTTCAGAATCCCACTTGCCCGGCACTCCACTATGATTCCACCAGCTAGGTCGAATTTGTGGGCGAAAACGTATTCGTAATTAGCCAAAGTAATAATGAACTGGACGACCAGTTCTCGGTGGCGTGTGACGACTGCACGGCCTGTGCGCCAGTTCGAATGTTTCCAACCGATGCCATTGTCCTGTTCATGAAGACAAATGGCATTGGGCAGAGCTTGAGCAGTGCCATCAGGCTGAGTGATCACGGCATCGAAGTATTTGATGACACCTAGACAGTCGCAACCCAGGGAGAGATTGTTGGCCATATTGCCACCGCCACCATCTCCAAAATCGAAGGCTTGTTTACGATGGAATGGTGGTCGTGGGTCTGCGTAGGGCACGGTCTAAAAGACGTCCATTAGCCTGAATCTGGGCGGATCCTAGTCAAAGGGAGAACGAGGGAAGACACATACCATTTCGCTGACCGCCAGACGATGCATGACACTGCGACCATCATACCAGATGTCGTGAATGGTGGCACCTTCACGAGGGTTAAATGCCACGCGGAATCGCCACTTCTGCCACTCTACAAGAGACTCGTTGGTGACCCGGAAAGATGGGCCCTCGGGCTGAACGACGTTCAACGGCTTGAGGTCCTTGCGAGTACCATCTAAGAGGAGTTCCGGCACGTACTCTGACGGCTTGCAGTGCCCGATGATATCCCGCTTGAAAGTCTGTTCCAACAGTCCGTCATCTTTGCCGCCAGTTGCAGGCCGATCAACGCGAATGATCTCTTGTGTGTGGGCATCCATCACCGGGATCATTGGCAAAGGATAGGAGTAAAAATTGGAATCTCCATTGCCCGATCGCTTATCCTGCGCAAAGCAAAGGGCCTGGAAAAATCGCCGGTTCTCATCGGTGTGATCGAGACCGCCATACGGCCACGGCTCAATAACAACCTCGAACCCTTCTGGCAGCTGGAACTCTGCGAGTGCCTGTTGGAACAACGGGGAACTCATGCACCGATCCACTAAGACATCGAATTCGTTCCTTTTGAAAGTCGTGAGTAGCAAGTTCCGGATATATTGGTGTTGTTACACTTACAGCGTAAGGCTGGCATGATGCTGCTTTCCGACGATTATGTGCTTGACTCGTGTCCGAGAGACCACATCGATCACGGATTCATGAAACTGAGGGATCCGGTCGGCACCAATCACGTCATACTGGCACAAAGCCAGACGAGGCGGACGAGGAGTTGTTGGGCTCAAGCGACCGGCATGCTCGAGAGCTAAGAATTCGACAAGATGCGCCTTGGGGGGTTCCTGCAGGAATATCTCTCGGAAATCAATGACGGTATCGGGGTGAGCGTCCTTGACAACGTCGCGGGCCAAATTAGTCTCCGCTGCGGAGAGGATAGCGAGTGGATGCGCCATTTTTGTATAGATGTGAAATGTGAAACTCTTGACCAAGAAAAGAAGTTGTTTTTAAATAACCTAGCCACGGGCTGCATCTCCAAATGCTCGGGATTAGTAAACCGTCCGTTCCGATTTCCGAGCAACAGTGTGGGTCAACTAAACTTAACAATCCGCGTTTCCGCATTTCCCCTCAAGTTACTTGTCGACCAAGTCCAGCAGTGGCGACCTATTTCCCTGGCAATACGTATCGAGGAGGCTTTTGCTATTTTATCTTCATACGATATCCTCAGAATACCGGTCGACCGTTGGGGAATGAGCTTGGATCTACGCCTTAGGACAGGGTCGAATGTGTAACGCTTTAACTCAGGTCTTATTCGTGAAATTGACCTCGTGTTCGGCAATCAAGCTACAGAGCTAGATCTCATCCATATCCGGTGACTCAATCAGAAATGACATCTTGTTAGATCTTAGCCCTATATTCTCTTCTGATCTCACGATTGTTAACCCTTCACCGTGATCTTCCCAAGCCAACGTGCTAGCGATAACACTCCATAATGAGATGTCTCCAATCAATATGCGAAGAATGATAAGAAATGATAGGAAAGTGCCCACCGCGTCTTTCCGGAACGGTTTCCGCGATAGAATGCGGGGAAGGACGATCGTCCAAAGAGAAAGGGCCAATGAGGGAGCCTGTCGAGTCGTTGAAAGAGTCCACTAAAGCCAAAGCTAGCAAATGCCTTGCGAGTTTTGTTATCTAACAGGCACCCTTTTTTCCGCTATGCTACGAAGAAAGTGCGGCCTTCAACCGTGCTAGAGAGACGGGCAGCCATATGACCCGCCACCCAGGTGCCCTGGAATATATAGCAGCGCTGCCCAGTTCCGTACATGTAATTTCTGCAATCGAATCTCTTGAAAATCAATCAGATTCACCTTTGTGTGCTGTGCGCATCAATGACTACTTTACTAGATTCGGATGTCAAAGTGGCCGCCCCAGAGAAACACATCAGCGATGAGGAGCAGTTGGCTTCCCTCGGGCATGTGCAAGAACTTCGTAGAGAGTTTTCTTTGTGGTCCATCGTATGCCTTCAAATCTCCTTGATGGCCACTTGGGAGGCCCTCTCTTCGGTGGTGTCCACTGCTCTGACCAACGGGGGAGCACCCTGTCTTTTCTATAATTAGTAAGTCCTGATGCTTGATGGCTCCTCAGCTTTGCAAGGGTCGATGTTGACCGACCTTTGTACTTAGTATCATTGCCTTGATCGGCACAATCTTTGTTGTTCTATCGCTCGGTGAGATTGCTTCATTATATCCAACAGCAGGAGGTATGGTGACCCTAGAGACTTGCACTTTCCCTTCGTCCGGTCAGGGGGAGCTGACAGGTTGTCAGGCCAATATCATTGGGTCTATTGTCTCACGCCCGAGTCATATCGGGCCACAGCATCTTGGTTCACCGGCTGGATCTCTATCGGAGGTCAAATCGTGTTCACTGCATCTGCAGCTTTTGCCGCCGGTCTCCAGTTGCAGGCCTTGGTGACTATGAATCACCTTGATACCTATGTTCCGGCTCGATGGCAGGGAATGCTCTTCTATTGGCTGATCTTAGCTTACTCGGCTGCTATCAATATCTTTGGATCCAAGATTCTGCCACATACCAACACCGCAGCTGGTAAACCTTGCCATTGATTCCCAGATCCGCGTATGGTGGCTGACAGACAAATAGGAATACTTCATATGTTAGGATTCATAGCAGTCGTGTGCGTGCTAGGAGCCATGTCATCAAAGCATTCTGCGACATATGTCTTCACGGAGTTTTCAAATACCAGTGGTTGGGGAAATGATGGGGTCTCTTGGCTGGTTGGGCTGTTGAGCGCGGTATATCCCTTTCTTGGGTATGAGACCTTCCCGGATTACGAGAGCCATCCACAGATGTAGCTGACCGCACATATCAGTTATGATGCAGCCTGTCATCTAAGTGAAGAGCTTCCCAAGCCGTCGCGAAATGTGCCTTTGGCTATGGTGGGAAGTGTTGCCATTAACGGCCTCATGGGTTTGGTATATGCAATCGTGCTGCTGTTTGGGCTAGGAGATCTCAAGACTCTTCTTGCGTCTAAAGTCGGATTTCCGTTCATGCAACTCTTCCTGAATGTCACCCACTCGTTGGCAGGGGCATCGATTCTTTCGTTAGTTGTTTCTCTGATCGCCATGGCGGCCAATGCCGCTGGCACAACTTCAACCAGTCGTACAGCATGGGCATTTGCACGCGACCGTGGCCTGCCGAGCTCCACATTCTTCTCGGTGGTTAACCCGACTCTGAAGGTGCCCGTTCGAATGGTGTTGGTTGTGGTATTTCTGCAGATGCTCCTGGGCCTAATTTACCTGGGCAGCTCAACGGCCTTCAATGCCGTGCTCTCCATGGCTATCCTAGGCATGTATGCGTCGTATTTCTCACCTATTCTGTTCATGTTTATGCATGGTCGACGGACCTCGGCCTCTATCGCACGTGCAATAGGAACTGGCGCATTTAATTTGGGACCACGATGGGGGCCTACGGTGAATTTGATAGCCATGATGTGGTTGATGCTGGCAATGGTATTTAGCACTTTTCCGACTGTGATGCCGGTGACACCAGAAAACATGAACTACTGCGTGGTGGTGACCATGGGCTGGGTCGCCATCGGTGCAGTGTATTATTATCTGTTCAGCGGGAAGAGACGGTTCACTGGTCCCGTGGTAGAACTAGCTGAAGAGATGTAAAACTCGAGATCGGTTCTTGATGACGGCAATTGCGGGTATCGAGAGTGCTTACCTAGATATTTTTCTTATTTCCCCGACAGCTTGAATACCGTAATGGCCTTTTCCCCTCACTTGACAAGTTTGCTCCCGCTCCACTGACCCTAACTCCGCGCGAAACTTTGAGCGCGGGGGCCCAGAAGCCCACATAAATATCGAACCTAATGCAACGGCGAGATGTGCAACTCGAATGAACGGAGTCACAATGCCTAATACCAAGACCATCCATGTCGCCCACTTGGGAGGGATCGATGCCGCCTACCAGATGTACCGAGAGTACGATCGCAACAAGCCAACGTTAGTACTGGTGAACGCCTTCACCACGTCATCCGAGCTGTATCGAGATCAGTTCGAAAGCCCGGAACTGACTGATCAATTCAACCTTGTGGCTATCGAGCTACTAGGTCATGGCCAGACGCGCACGGCTCGTGAACACTGGACCTACTGGGATACGGCGGAGATGAATCTGCAAGTTCTAGACGCCCTGGAAATTGATCGTGCATTCGTCCTAGGAACAAGCCAAGGCGGATGGATCACCGTGCAGATGGCGCTGCTACGGCCAGAAAAGGTACTATTCTCACTGACACCCATGCCCACTTGCAGCTAATGGTTTTAGATTGTGGGGATTATTCCTGTTGGTACATCCATGGACAGCGAGTCGGAGCGCAGCCGCCAGCTAAAGTGCTGGGATGGTCCAACAATTGTTGCTGGTTTCGTTAACCAATGGACAAGGAGCAAAGCAACCCCAGATTTTGAGCCCGACAATGAATATTGCGACGCACTCATTGATATCGGCTTCAACGAGTGTTCGTCCGGACAACGCGAGTTTTGGCGAACGACAATCAAAGACAATTACCGCGGCGATGATGGTCGTCGGCGACTTCGTATGGCGGCGATAAATCTGGCTGAACGGGGCACATTGCATCTTCGACTCTCCGATATTAGATGCCCAGTACTGTGGCTGCATGTATGTTCCTCTCTGTTCCGTTCAATCGTCCATATCTAACCAGGCCCAGGGTACCAAGGATGCTGTATACTCAGTGGCCAATGCCGAGGAAGAAATCAAGCTTTTTAATCAATCGCCAGATGCGTGTCTGTTGCCAGTAGACGGGGGTGCTCATTTCCTGAACTCCTCTCATCCCACAGAGGTGAATAAGGCAATTGCGGACTTCATCAATAAGTATATATGATTCTCCGTCATAGCATGTTTGTACTGAATACCAGCAGGGCATTGGAACGCCCTAGTCTGTAAAGTGTCGTCAGTGAATATTAAGCAAAGAGAATGAGAGAATATGAAAAGGAATCAAATTAGCAAATTTTGTGTGCCGAGTTATCTAGCTCAAGGGAATTGGGTAGGATATAACAGTGATGCAGAGGAATACCTAGGTATTTGCCAACGTATAAATTTTGGCTTCGGATGATTTTGAGGAGCTGGAAAGCACAAACTGGATGTTCACGGAAAGTAAGTATAACCTATTTCACCCCTTCACCGCCACCCCAAATCCCATTCAAATCCCCTTCAAACTAAAACTTTATAGCTCAACAACTATAGATTACTTACAGTTGAAAATTTACCTTCGATCTGGTACTACATTACCGACTATTATACTGTATTACCTGAAAATTACATTGGCTGTAGCGACAAAGATACATATTGGAATTGTAATTGCTCGATGGCTGTCTGGCAACGCAGACTGGGCGCCAGCAACACACATACACACTCCCAAGAACTCATGAAGGCGTAGTGGACATGCATACTACAGGATCCTCATCTCACGATCAACGCCCCCCGCGCAGCCCGATAGCCTTCACCGAACAATGTAGTGACAATTTGGAGCTAGTTTGTCCTTTGACTTTCAGCGTTACTCAATAGTTCGAAGAATCACGGCCAGTAAATAAACCACCACTTTTGCAGAGACGCAAATCACACGCCGCTTTTTTCTATGCAAATGAAAGGAAAGGCTCTTAGAAGATCAAGACACGTGATCGACACCAATTTAATAAAGCATAGATTCAGACCGGGTTAAGATCTTAAATGTCCCCACACATCTATTATTAACTCATCCGGGCTAAATCGTCGAACCCTGTGATAGAATGGCTATATGATATCATGTCTGGGTTCAAGTGACGACCAGGTTATCATAATAATTTTCTTGGCCGTCGAAGTCCGTCTTCCCGCTATATCACTACGACTACTATTATTCGTGCGGGGTACATAGTACAAAGTACCAGATAAGAAATCTTATGGCGCATCGCTAATCACATAACTACGTAAAGAAACTCGGCCCCTCTCCGTCAAAGTAACAAGACCCTTGAAAGAAGAAAGAAAATACATAAGGACTATCAAGGAGTTGGTGTACGGTCGGCATGAACGCACCTCAATGAGAGCACGTGCCCCGGCATTCGGATATTAGAACATGTCGCGCCGGAGAAATATTATCGAAGTATATTAGATATGTGAGTGACATCAAGGTCGCGGGAGAGCAGTAACAGACAGTTCCCTTGCGGCCCATACGCAATAATTATTAAAGACCCATCACGGCCAGGACACGATTTCGGCGCATGCCACTGGAGCCGATCAAGTTGAAGGATCGGGAAAAAGTTTTTTTTGGAATCTTTACAGCTTTGCCCATGACTACTATTTCGATTACTACAAGATCACTACACTCTCACTGAAGGCCCGGATGGGCAAAGCCGAAGATAAGCACGCGACTAATCTGTCGGCTCATTCTTATCCGCCCCCTTGATTTGTTCCCCCTCCCGGGAAAGACAAAAAGAAATCCTTACTACTTGCGGCTAGTCACAAAACGACTTTTCCCAGTATTTCTGGCCCTCTAATTGGCCTCCCAGAGTCGGCTCTGCCACGGGCCTCGCTGACATCCAATCAACGATCGGCGTGGCCGGCGATGTCTTCTTAGCCTGCCTCGCCGTGAAGAGGCGGGTGAAATGCTGAATGTAAAGGAGTCCGCACGAATGAAAACAGAGTAACTTGGCGCGAGAGAGATTCGCTAATCTTTCCAAGGATAAATAAATCAAGCGCGAGTCCCCCTCTTCCCCTCATTGAATCCAGCTGTCGTGCTGTTTCTTCATTTCAGTACAAGCTACATTGTCAACATTGACATTCCTCCGTTCAAGCAGCATGGACTTGGAGCAGTCTGCGGGAACACTCGCGCCGCCCAGTATCACGGACAAAGGCAAGAAGCCGATCGAGCCTTTACTGGAGGAGGATCGCTCCATTCGCCATGGAGAGAACGACCTACTGGGCGGAGAAAGCGTGGATGCAGTGTTGGCGGCAAAGATGGGCCTAGTGAATGATGTGAGTCTTGACAATTCCCATTTTATCCCTGCGCCGGAGAACCACTTCCTCGTTGATCGTGAACGTGAATTGGGTAAACTGACAGATCTTGTTCGCTTCAGACCATCGATGAGATTGGATTCACGCCCCACCACTGGAAGCTATTCTGCTTGAACGGGTTCGGCTACGCCGTTGATTCTCTTATTCTGCTGATCCAGTCTGTCATTTCTACCCAAGCTCGAAAAGAGTTTCAACCCAGCTACAAGACTGGCCTGACAATTGCCGTCTATGTCGGTATGCTCATCGGCGCCATTTTCTGGGGTTTCTCTGCCGATATAATCGGACGGCGCTTTGCCTTTAATGTCTCGCTTTTTGTCTCGGGCACTTTCACCGTTGTCGCGGGCGCTTCGCCATCCTGGATTACCCTGGGTCTGTTTACCTGCTTGAGCGCTTTCGGCGCCGGAGGAAATTTGGTACTCGATACCACCGTGTTTTTGGAATATCTGCCGAGCAAAAAGCAATGGCTCCTTACTCTTATGGCTGCTTGGTGGGGTAAGACACCCAATCCGATGAAAGTTCCTTGAATGATTTGTTAACCTTTATGTAGGCCTTGGCCAACTGATTGCCGGCCTATTTGCTTGGGCTTTCCTTCCGAACTTCTCCTGCGAAGATGCTGCGACGTGTACTAGAGCAAACAATCAAGGCTGGCGCTACGTCTGGTACACTTCTGGAGCCTTTGTCTTTGTTCTCTCCATCTTGCGCATTACCATAATCAGGTTACAGGAGACGCCCAAATTTCTCATTGCCGAAGGAAAAGATGCAGATGCGGTTCGTGTCCTTCAGAGCATTGCTACCCGATACAACCGCCCTTGCAGCCTTACTATCGAACGGCTGGAAGCCTATGGACCCTCTCAGACTCGCAAGACAAGTGCAGTTGGAATGTTCCAACGACTGATGTCACCAAAGGAACTGACTTTCCATTTCAAAGGGCTTTATGCGACTCGCAAGATGGGGCTGTCAACCTCTTTGGTCTGGTTTTCCTGGCTTCTCATCGGACTTGCCTACCCGTTATACAACGTGTTTTTGCCCACTTATCTCGCATCACGTGGTGCTAGCTTCGGAGTATCGAGCGATTACATAACCTGGAGAAACTATGCGATCAACAACACATGCAGTATTTTCGGTCCGGTTCTAGCGGGACTGATGTGTCGCTCCCCCTGGTTCTGGGGTCGCCGGGGCACTATGATTATAGGTGCTTTAGTGACCATGATTTTCTTTTTCTGCTACACTCAGGTACGCACTGAGAGTGAAAATGTCGGATTTTCATGCGCAATCTCGTTTTGCCTCAATATTTATTACGGTACGCTCTATGCGTACACACCAGAGGTATGGTTATCCCAGATACTATTTTTTGCCGTAGTTTGACGTCTAATGGTCTTTTACCAGGTCTTCCCATCAGCTCATCGCGGGACTGGCAATGGAGTTGCCATTGGATTAAATCGAATTATGGGCATTGTCAGTGCAGTGGTAGGGGAAGCCGCGGATGTGAGTTCCAATATCCGTTTCTTTGAAGCCCGTTTGTTATCATTTTACTAATGCTTCCAATAGACAAATACACCAGTCCCGATCTACATCTGTGCCGCTCTCTACATTGTCATGGCGGCTGTATCCGCTGTACTTCCATTCGAGCCCTACGGCCGGCGAAGCAGCTGAAAATGTATGGAACAGGCCAGTCAATCTATCTCGCGAATAAATCAGTTGGAGAAGACACTACCAAGATATCAATTCTAGCTGTTGGCTGGTTGAGAGTCGCCCTGTTGCCGCTCAGTAGGAAATGTGTTGTGTCTAGTGACTGACTTTCATTGGCTTTTTTGGCCGAGTTTGAGTGTCTCACTGTTGGGACTGTGGACAGATGAAGGTTTCCAGCAGCGCGAGGCTAGCCCTATCGCTTCAAGTAGAACAATTAAAACGGCAATTCAAAACCAGAACAAGAAATATGCAATCCTTCAGAGATTGCTCCAAAATAAGGACCATTTTCAACAATTTCAAACACCAGTTCGACATGAATCAAGTTACGTGAGATTTCGGACAAGCACTTATTGTAGGTAGCGGGGTCGACGTATGGCCCTCGACAGATTGATGCGGAGGTACTGCATAGTGCAGAGAGCGAACCCCGCATTTGACTTGCATTTTACACTATACGGTGTGCGAGACTCGGGGGCTTATATACACCGTATAACCACAGGTAAGCACAACTAGAAGAATCGCAAACCAATTCCGTGGATTTTGTATGTTCCTAGGAGACCCTGAATCTATAAATTGGAGTAAACGGGGTACTAGAATTCATGAAACACATGATTAAATACACCCAGAGCATCCGTGTTGACGACCTTTCGTTCCTGCAGATGACTGATCTCGTTAGCTATCAAGATATGCAAATTCTAGTAGTATTTGTTTGTAGCCTAGATAGCCTACTTCTCCTATAGCACTATTTCTTCACTCTTATATATACCTCCGTACTCAGTCATCCCTCTCTCAGTCATTCCTCTCTCAGTCATTTCTCTCTGACAGTACTTCACACTAAACGCAATCGACAGAATTTACAATGGGCGCATGTGTGGAAAACTTGCGGTTCTGCCATTTCCTGCCGTACTGGAGACACTTCCCGCGCCTCGGGGTTAATTTACCGGATGACCGTGGATTAATTTGGCCTGCAACCTGTTAGAAATTTTGTTCGTATTTGATTGGACATCCGTTTCCATTCCATCCAGCCCTTGACGTATCCTAGGCTAACGATCGTATTTTCCCTGCGAGAGTCTAACCAAATGCGATCCGATTGGTGACTAACTCGTGTCCAGATCAGGCTAGGCATCCTTGAGTCTGCGCCTCTTGGCTCATGGGCTTGACAAAATAATTAATTGACCAATGAAGTATACGAGAGAAGAGATAACGTGGCTTAGACCCGTAAGCCCTCCGCCTGTATTATGCGCCATATCTTTAGCCCCGCTGTTGCCCCGCTCTTGGCTCGAGCATTACGGTAAGTTAACGACCAGGGATGTCGCCATTGAAGTTTTACCTACCATGGTACCGCAAATTGCGTATAGCGCTTGAAATGCCGCCATTTGCCCCCTGTTCAACCACTCTCTTATTTTCTCGCACGTATACCCCGGCCAACCCGCGTTTAACAATTTTACACGCAACTGTTCGCAAATTTGGAGAATCTCCAGCCCCCAGCCACCCTGTGTTGTGAAGGTGACTCCTCAACTACTGGTTCGCTTTGATAAACATCAGCCAAACTTACGTTACCTAAAGGCTTACACCCGACGTCCTCACCTTGGTAATCTTGGTCAATCAAACCCAGTGAAGCATTTTAAGAGGCGCATGCCGCACAGCGAATCTTACTACTTTATCAACTCGATTATTCGACAACTTCGTTTTTCTGAGACCAGCCGATCCACATCTGCTAGAACAAAAAGCCGCGCGACTTCCCTACTACTATAGCAGCCCTTTACGATCCAAAGCAACAGATCTCCTGCCACAAAGCAACCGCCCAAGCACAAAAGCCAGCAAGCCCAAAAGCCCACGACCCAAGCCAACAGCCAGATTATACTTTACCGGCGCCCTAATCTTTAGGCCCCTTCCTTGAAGTTGGTATCGCCCATGCGCCCATGTACTGAACATCAATCTGCAACAACCTTCCATTTGTCTCCGACGCTCTCCTCACATTTATCTCGCTCTACAGTATCTACTTCATAGGCATTATTGATTGGTTAAATCCCCAAACAAAATGGCTTTCTCCAGTAAGGATAAAGGGGCCAGTACTGGTGTCTTGAACACACTTGGCTTGAAGCCCGAAGGTCTTCATGATGTCCAGGAGGGCGTGATGGCTGATAACGCCGATAACCTCCAGCGTCACCTTGGAAATCGTCAAATCCAACTTATCGCGATTGGAGGCTCTATTGGAACAGCCCTTTTCGTCAGCATTGGCACCGGTCTCTATCACGGTGGACCTGGCAGCTTGTTTCTTGCTTTTACTATTCAAAGTATAGTCTTGGCAATGGTGAACAACTGCATTGCCGAGATGAGTACTGCCTTCCCTGTCAGCGGTGGTTTCATTCGCCTTGCGGGCAAATGGGTCGATGAAGCCCTTGGTTTTATGGTTGGTTGGAACTTTTTGTCCGTACCTGAATTTTCCCGAGTCCTATGACCTTCGACAAAACTGACGACGTATAGCTTCTATGAGGCTCTTTTGATTCCATTTGAAATTTCGGCCTTCACTTTGGTGCTTTCATTCTGGAGCCCTACTGTCACCGAACCCGGCCCAGTCGCAGGGATTTGTGCTGGAATCATTCTGTGCTACGGGTGAGAGCTCCCCATAAGAAGGATCTTGACATGAATGACCAAAGCCTACGTTCACACTCTGGCTATTCAGGAGAGAGCAATAATCTCAGCTTCGAGAAATATGCACTGCACTTTAATACTAATCATTCGCCTAGATTTCTTAACATACTGGCTGTAAAGGCATACGGTGAAGCTGAATTCTGGTTATCAGGCGGCAAAGTCGTCTTGATCTTTTCATTATTTTTCTTCACGTTTGTCACCATGGTTGGCGGAAATCCAAGTCACGATGCATACGGATTTCGCTATTGGAATAACCCGGGATCATTCATGGAGTATCTCGATACCGGCGCCCTTGGCCGCTTCGAAGGATTTCTCGGTTCTCTTTGGTCTGCGTGCTTCGCTGTCGTTGGTCCTGAATACATCTCGATGGTTGCAGCCGAGGCCAGGCGCCCACGAATCTACATAAAGAATGCTTTCAAAACGGTTTACATGCGATTTGGTATCTTTTTCATTGGGGGCGCATTGGCGGTTGGCATCGTTTGCTCTGCCCGGGACCCGGCCTTGGTAGCGGTCGTCAACGGTGATTCTTCCGGTTCCACTGCTGCAGCGTCCCCATATGTTATTGGCATGCGAAACATGGGCATTACGATTTTCCCTTCGATTGTGAACGCGTCAGTATACCTCTGGTCACTCTCCAGATTTGACACTAACCCCGCTTATGAATTATAGTCTCCTGCTGACCTCAATCTTCTCCGCTGGCAATACCTACACTTACTGTGCTATCCGCACCCTGTACGGTCTCGCGCTTGAAGGACGGGCCCCAAGAGTCCTGACTTATACTACACGACAGGGTGTACCGATCTATTGCTTCGCCATTGTGATGATTTTCCCCATTCTCTCATTCCTACAGGTCTCGAATAGCTCTTCTATTGTGATCACCTGGTTTGCAAATCTCGTGACCGCTGGAGGTATGTGTCTTTCAAATTTAAAGATCAAATTACGTTTCTCACCTCTATGACCAGGCCTGATCAACTACGTTACAATCTCATTGACCTACATATTTTTCCATCGCGCTTGCAAGGCTCAAGGCATTGACCGCAGATCCTTCTCCTACTTCGCTCGGTTCCAGCCATACTGCGCTTACTTTGCCTTTATTTGGATGATTCTTGTTGCAATTCTCTACGGCTATCCTTCATACAAACCATGGTCATTGTCGACATTCTGGTCGGACTACACGATGCAAATCGTGATCCCTCCTCTTTTCATTATCTGGAAAGTCATCAAGCGCACCAAAATGGTTAAGCCCCATGAAGCTGACTTGGTCTGGGAGCGACCTCTGATCGATGCCTATGAAGCAAGCTTTACTGATCCCCCAGTTGGATTTTGGAGAGAAGTTGGCCAGATGTTCGGCGTCGGACGAGTTAAGGGTGGTAATGACAAGCGGCGCGGCTCAACGGCTGATCACTCCTTTGAAAATGAAGGAATCATAGCGTGATATATCTGCCCTGCCAAGCCTTCTGAGCCACATGTTACCTCTCATAACGGGAATATTTCTTTGTCTCACATGAAGTCAGAGGGAGTGGAAAGTTATTGATTCAAGGTCCTTATATTATTCCAAATTCTGTATTGTTCTTCATTCTCAGAGTTTCGAGTTTTTGTATTAGAATAGACCCTAGGAAACAAGCAGTTCCCAACCCCCTAATGTTGCTGTGGATGTCATTGAGCTCTAAACTAAAAAAAACTCGCGGATAATTTTTATGACGGTTTCTAGCCAAAAGCAGAGTTGCTGTCAATATGAGGAACTGCCTTGGATCCACTTATTCCCGTTCCGAAAGGATGGTCTACTACTACTAGTTAACCTGGAAAAGCTCGCTTCAAGCACATGCTGCTACGTGAAGTTTTCTAGAACAAGATTGAAGAGGAAAATATTGGCTCTCACTACTTCCTCTGTCTGTGTCAAGAAGCCCTAGAGTCATGTTTGCTCTCACATTCATATCTCTGGATTGATGGTGTATGCTATGAAATAATTAACAGGACACTGGGACTTGTAAGGCAACGCAAAGATCATCGGCGTCTTGGAGCGCCGTAAAGTAGCGCAGAGGTCTGGTCTAGAGTTATCAAGACGCTGTGCATTCACCAAAGAACATCAAGACCCACCACCGAGAATGGTCAGCACACTCAGCAAGTGCCATTTACTACGGATCGTGGTCAATTGGGAACCGAAGCGCTTAGAATTCTCTTACTTAGGAAATATGACCGACGAACGAGAGGGGGAGCATATCATAGGGACGAGGGCAAGCAGGGGGAGTGATTTACTGTGGGTGTTTTCATTTTGGGTTTGGTTTTGTGTGGGGTTTACTATGCATAAGCTTTGGGTTTGACACTGTTTGTAGCCTAGATAGCTTACTTCTCCCATTGCACTAATTCATCACTCTTACACATATCTCCGTATTCAGTCATCCCTCTGACAGACACAATCTTTTCTGTGCCGTCCTCCTGCGAGAAGGCCAGTTTTCCTTTGTATTACTGTTTACTGCAAGCCGCAAGTCTGGAGTAAAGGACACCAATTTCTGCTTTGGATTTGAACGAAGCGCCTGCATAGCCTCGACGTACCTAGTTAGGCTCCAATTGTCACAGGCCAGTACGTGATAATTTGTGTGCCATTCAGAAAAGTTCTAAACTGAGGAATAAAGAGAAGAGATAGGGAGAGAGCGAACAACTACAAAATAATACCCTGCACCGTATCCCAATCGGGACTAGCTCACTACACGTAACCTATCCTCGAATTATACATTATATTACCCTTTTTATTTAAAGGCCTAGCACCTAGGCCGAGGAAATCCGTCTTCGCGATCATCCTCGACAAACTGGTCTTCTTTAGCCGCCTTTAGCTATACTGGCAGTCTTTGTTAAGGGTGGCTTGGACTAGGTAAAGGACAAGATGGTGAGGAGCGATAACACCAATGGTATGACTGGTAGGCTGCGCCAAACCCCGCGCCATTCCGAACCCAACCCGCATAGCCTATATCCCATGAGCCCGTGGCGGCTATCGTCCGCCGTAGATTCGCCGCCTAGTGGGCCCACCTGGCGGCCCACCAAGACCCACATGGTGTTTGTCGATTTACGCCGACATCAGAACAGAGCGGTGTGGTGAACAATAACCGACCATCGTTGAAGATCAAAAGTCTAATTACTGCGACTTCCACGAAGCCATTGATGCAGCCAAAATCAAACGTTTCGATTTATATTGCTGTTTTTAGTAATTAGTGTTGCAGGTGGCTTCTTTATTGTAACCGACTGCTTAACCGGGCGCCCATGTAATTGCTGACAAATATTCTAACCTGAGGTGCTAAACAGGCCAACTATCAAGACCTTTTCATGTCTGTGAATGATTGAATACTAGTATAATTAGGTACCAGGCGTTTTAGACTCTCGGTGCCTTTGAACCTTGAAAGTATCACAGATGAAATTAAAGCATGTATTGTGAAATGATGGAAGAGTTTTGGATAATGAAACTTGGGAAAGAATGTAAGGAGTGTAGAGACCAAAAATGCCTCGAGAACGAAAAGAAAAGATCAAAGAACGAGAGTCTAAGAGCGCAGCGAGTCTATGAAAAGAACGGTGAAATGAACGAGTATAAACTGCGCATTATATACCTTTGCATGTACCAAATATACAAGAGGACGATGTCAACATTCTTCAGTATGGATGGATGGATGACGTTATTTACCCTAACCCCTCGCAAATGAAAGCAATACCTACTATATGCAGGGTATCATGTTCCGTTGAAACGAACCGCTGCCCTGGCTAGGTTTGAAGACCGTGTGCCTTTTAAGAACTTCCCTTGGTCTTATTTCCCTTGGGAACACGTGCCCACCAGTAGATTCCAAGGCCAGACGAGCCAGCATTCATCTTCTTCGAATCTGCGTACGTCTAATTTCGACCTCATATTGGAGATAGAGGCTAATTATAGTCTCATAGAATGTGTACAGTATCCGTTACGGCCCTCTGCATCGCACATCCGGGCTACTTATTCAAATAAATGAGCAGGAATTATGCGACAACAATCAGCGAGGACTTGTCTGTTCTCGAGTCGAAGCCGACACAGGGTATCTGATTGCAACCAAATACCAACCCAGAAGAGGTACGTTTCTGATTACCCTTGGTTTCATTATCAGTTAGTGTCTATTAATATGTATTCTCTACCCAATGCACCATACTACTAGCTACCTTTATTGTAATACCTTATTATAAAAATCATAGAAGTTATTAAAAAATCAGTAGGAGTATGATTCGCAACACCAAATATCCAAAACATGAGCGGATTTTATATAATTTCCTTAAAAAAGAATTAAAAGTGAAATTTTATTAATATAGTGACTAAAATAGCGGTTAAAAAATAGTAAAATTTTAAATATTCTGTCAATTTATCTATCTGAAAAAGGAAATTCTTAGCAAAATAATATATTTGCGGTTCTATACGGTTCAAACCGCAAGGAACTGCGGCGCCGTGCGGCTCTAAAATTTAGAGCTACGATAATAAGAGGTGTGGTGTGTGGTTCTAGTTGTTGGAACTGGAACCGTGCCATGCCGAGGCGTAGCAAACCATTTCTGTATCAAAACGTTCGAGCACCAGGTTGAGCCATCGCGTCGCAAAAGCCTTCCCTTGACCTCCAGGCTGTTCATTGGCACAGTGAGAGAATCGTTGGGTGCTTGAGGGCAGCCGGAGATTTGAACCGGCTCTTGCTGAGAAAACTAGTTACCTCAGGCAAACAGATGAACGAAAGCAACGATTCCGGACTGACCATGATATTACAACTCAAGCTTCTCTAAATAGTAGGTAAGACCATTAATTAGTTTCTCTACTTAATCTTTAGTTAAGTGTCAGTCTATATTAAAGATTTTAATAGATCCCGAAGATAAGTTATCCAAAGAGGATATTTATCTTCAGGCTTCTCTTTGGTCATTTGGCAGTCATCGCATAACCAAGGATATTTAGGTCGGCTCATCGTACTTTTCTGATTTTCTAAGAGAGTTTCGTCACTCAAAATCATCTTCGAGGTTGTTTATGTCACTGAGAATGTTCACTAGCCTATATTACTTAAGTTTGATTCACATTTCGATATATTCAGTTGGTCTTCGACTTCTTCGGAATTTCTCATTTAATCCTGTGTAGAGTCTTCATCAGAATTAGAATTATATTCAATTCCTAGTATTTTTCACTTGTCGTTAGATCTTAGTTCTATTTCTAAACAGATCTTCTAGTTAGTGTGAGCGTCGAAATCGTGTACTTTTGAGGGGGGGTGGGGGGCTAATACCACTGTTCTAGGCCATGTTTTTGCTTGTTCTACACTCAAAAAGCGTACCTCACTAGTCAAAAAAGGTGATATGCTGACTACGAATCAAGATTGATACAAAAAAAAAAAACTCTTTATCGTCCAACGAGTAGATAAATAGTAAAGGTTGATATCAGAAAACGTAAAAGTATATGGCAAAAGGATGAACGCTGTTACAGTACAATCTACAATAAGAGGCCATCCATAATCCATATCGGGATGCGGTAAAGAACACCCCCGTCCTCCGCCCGATAACCTGCAAATAATCTGCATGGAAGCGAGTGCCACGTGATCCCACAGATGTATAAAAGGGAGATGCATGTATTCAGTTCACTTTGCTCCTGCAAGGATTAGTTCAGCACTATTCATCATACAATTGGTGTTGTTGTACCTCATCATCTTGTCCTTTACCTAGTCCAACCTATCCTTAACAAAAGCAGTCTATCTTCTAGGACCCAGTAGAAGATAGGTATCGGTAATCGCTCTACTAAACAAGGGGTCGCTAGGCAAAATAGCCCTTAGCTAGGGCTGTAGTTGAATATATAGCTATAACCGTTGTATTCCTCTTACCTTGAAACACGATAGATAATTCTAGTACCTTCTGTCGTTCAAAGAATTCCCTTATTAAGCCCTATTTATTTTATATCTTGATATGGATATCTGTCAGGACCACTGACTGACGATACCAACTACGGCCTGAGGCATACTTAGATGCCATGGCAGTATCATGTTGTTGGGCTTCACCGCCCGCAGCCGGGCCAGTCTGTATTTAAGTGAAGCCCCGCTGGACCTGAGAAGGGCCAGCGTTCAGTTTATCTTACAATCCACTACATTGTATTACACGTATAAGAAGGTGTCTACCTCGCTTACCCATCCTGACCTAGAGACTACTGCGTGGTCTCACAGTAAGCGAGTGGCCGCCCGCAAAACACTATAGTTAAGGTCATATTTTACAACTTAATATTCTAACAAAAATGGCTTTAATTGGTTTTTTTTTATTATGAGTTACTCTCTATTATGTATTAAGGATATATATAGCGTCTTTGAATGTTTTAAAATCACGGTTAGCACCAGAAATATATATCAGTAGCCATCAGGGGGGGTTTTTTAGTAATTGAATCGAGCATTTATACTTTCAACCTCTAGTCAATATATGCTGTCTTAACTACCAAAAGACATCAATATACTAAAGGCCAGGCAAGGACAATGCATAGCTATTGACATATTGAAGTTGTAAAACATGGCCTTAACTATGGTGTTTCGCGGGTGGCCACGCTTACATGGGCCACTCGTTTACCGACCACAATACAATAACTAGTTTTAGACCGATCCTTCCCTCTCCGGGGAAGGACAATCAATTAATCCGTTTCATTCTTACACCGGCATGTAGATAGCTTAGTCCGCATTGGGCATATAGGGTTAGGTTCAGTTGCGTTTCAAGATTAATGCAACTGTATACGGATCGAGCCAGACGGATGACGTGATATGAAGGCCTTTTCAGTACAATGATAAATCAATATTGCCAAGTGAACTTTGTCAGACATGCGTTGAGGTTGGCAACGAACGAAAGGCTCAATTTATAGCAGAAGCCATGGTAAATAATTTAATTTAATTTGCCGTAGCAGACAGGCGAATATGGGCATCCATTTCTAATTGATCACTTCCTTTCGTCCATATACTTCGAGACCAAGATTGAGACCAGGTCGTTTGAATGGCTGTGAGTGCTCCGCCGGGCTTCGCAAAGCGGCCGAGGTTGGAAGAAAAAAAACTTAATGGCTTGTCCGGGCGAACTTGGTCGTTGTCTCGGCGCGCTGACGCTCAAGATCCACTAAATGTTATTATATTGTCAGCAACCGTTAGCCTTTTGAAGGCGACCGCTCAAATAATGGGCTTGTGTACAGGCCTCTTTCGACTTTTCTAAATCATCTTTACCGGGACCCCCTAGACTCTGGCCTGTCGGATCCTTCTCTACAGCTTCAAAAATCTTCTTCTTCGTATCACCATCAACCGGTGGTGGTGGGTCCGTCAGGTTACCAAACGAAACACCGACTATTAGGGCTTCAGCATAATCTTAAGTCGAGCGGGAATCATATAGGTGCATACTTGGATTATGAGAGGCGGAGTTCTGAGCCATCGTGCTGAGCGATAAAAAAATGTACTGCTGGAAGTCGAGTGAAGTAGCCTTTATATATGTCCTACTACGAAGACTTTTGGGGTGACAGTGACGTCATCTACAAACCTGATTTGAGGTTAAGCGGGCTTCGGCGGGAACCGCCATATATAGTATTTGCATCTGTCTTCATCTAGAAGGTTGTGCCGATTGGGAACGCAAAGAGATCGTATCACTAGTGAATAATCAGCCAGTCACGGTAATGTTACTATAGCTTTTTCTTTAAACCCTTTATGCTGAAGCAAAGAAAGCTAGAGATATTCCGAATCATCACGAAGCGCCCGACCGAAAGCTAAACGTCAGCGGCGAGAGCAGCCGATGACTAGGGCCGTGCGCTATACTAGTGCTTCCTACAGAATTTTATTAAAGCCAACTCTGCAAAGTTTATTTATTTGTCATTGATATTCCAAGAAGGTCTTGACTCCCTTATATTTCCTGAGGCTCACTTCGGGAACGCCGTTTACTAAGGCGAAAGGTTTACTATACCGTACCAGTTAATCGGTTGCATATATTACTAGGTGGGGGCATAATTCGAGTTTCCGCCCTAGGGGGTCGACCTTTTAGGTTTGATAGGCATCGTTATCACAAGGCTATTGGTTATCGTGAGAACGTTCTAGTAGGCTTGATCTGAGTAATACTGTAAGGCGATAGCCTATTATCCCTGGTATCTAATCAGGTCCGAAAACGCAGTATGATGATAAGCAAAAATGCAGACCCCAAAACTAAATAAGAATAAGAAATACCGATTGTGGTCCCTTAAAAACTTCGACTGATCTTTGTTGTGGTAACGATATCAAAAAGCACCCAATTTTTGATTTATGCTTAGCAATAGAAGCCGCTAGAAACGAAGTCTCACAAAATCCCATAAAATCTTCAACCCGATATTCTATAATGCCTTTCGAGCGGTGACGTATTAAAAAGAATAGGACTGAGATTTAAGATTCTTAACATATTTTATCAGTACGTGTCCATACGAACTATAAAGAGAGCCTTCCTCGGGCTGGTAGTCATTTCTTTTAAAGACTTATGTACACGCTTTTAGTGGGAACACTTCTTTTAATAATCAGACTGATAGTATAAGGAAATTTGTTGATATTATTATACGTAAGCATATTATTTGGTTGGTCAGTTGCAAACCATACTTCAAAAACTCTTTTAGGACGAGATAAGCGAGCTCAAATAAAGTATCGTACAAAATTTGAACTGAATCACATACTATTGTGGACTCCCCAGTCGGCCTTGAATGAGCAAATATTCGATCGTGAGTGGAGACCTAGGCCGGGGTGAGGCCGCGATAGAGGTATTGACTTTATGGGGAACAAGTGTTGGATTTTCACGAGCCCAGATAATCCAGACGTCCATTATCACGAGATACAACTAAAACTTTACGGAAACCTTTCATTCGCACTAAAATACGAGAATGGCGAAATATCATATACACGTAACGTATAGGACCCTTGTAAGACCACGCAGTAGTCTCTAGGTCAGGATGGGTAAGCGAGGTAGACACCTTCATATGCGTGTAATACAATGTAGTGGATTGTAAGATAAACTGAACGCTGGCCCTTCTAAGGTCCAGCGGGGCTTCACTTAAATACAGACTGGCCCTGCTGCGGGCGGTGAAGCCCAACAACATGATACTGCCATGGCATCTAAGTATGCCTCAGGCCGTAGTTGGTATCGTCAGTCAATCCCTTTACCTAATTTTAATATCTAGAGGCGTTCGTTAGGGCGTATTCTAAAGAGATTAAGGTATAATAAGGATTTTATATATAATTAGTAGAGACAAAGGATAATAAAAAAATATTTTCATTATATAATGTTGGAATTTGGACCAATGCTACATTAGGAGAAGGTATCCTCTTATTCAACATAAGAAGAAGAAGAAGAAAAGAAAGAGATGCGAACATGATTTACCCCTCCAAACCGCTTACCCCTCTTTACCCCACCAGATCGATGACATATCCCTCATCATGCCATCAGTTCTATCACATTTCCTTCCCTGATTCTATTCTGTTTATCTGATATAAAGCATGTGACTTTGACCACTTTCTGTCTATAAATACGCGCGAGACACTAAGTAGAAATGACAGACCTTTCACTCTCTTCAAATATTCTACTATCCCTTTCTATCTGCTTAGAAAGACCTTCTTCTTAGTCCTTTGTTTGAGGATTGTGGATTGTACTCATTTAGAGTGCATAAGCCCTTTGCACTCTATCTTATTCTTTTCTTTCTTTATCCGATCAACCCTTTCCTTGGTCGGATAGTTCAACGGTCCGTGGTAGGGAAGTATCTACAAAAGCGTACCCCGCGCCACGAAAAGCTTCGTGGTATCCGCCTCCCTTCACGGCCGACATATAATTTATCTATATAAGTGATTTCTGTAGAAGCCCTCGTCTATCCATTTAGTAGGTAATAGGTAAGACTATTCCTAATAAAGAATAAAAGTAGAATACTGAAAAATACCTATAGATTCTACATAAATTATGTATATCACGGAGTTTTCTATATTTGTCCTATTCACGGGACCGTAGGACCGGACCGGACCGCCTTGGTGCGGTCCTTAGAAAGTTGAGACCGTGCCGGTCCCTGAAAAGGTAGGACCGGGCCCTGCATAGTGTGGTCCGGTCCGCGGTCTAGTCATTTCTACTTAGTGTCTCGCGCGTATTTATAGACAGAAAGTGGTCAAAGTCATATGTTTGGGAAAAAGGGATAGAATTGAATCAATGACAAAAAGAACAGACTAGACCCCTGTCAATGATAAAATAACTGAGTCGATGACTCATTTATCTGGCGGGGTAGAGAGGGGTAAAATCATTTTTTTGATATCAAACGAAAAGAGGGTAAGCTTAACAACTTTCTTTAATTGACAACTTTCTCTTATCGTTGAAATAAGAGGATAGATTCACCTTATGTAGCATTGGACCAAATTCCACTACATACTAATCTATATTAGGAGCTTTCTGGAGTGCCCGTGTCAGTTAGACGTGTATTACTTCTTACGTAGGTAACATAGTACAAGGAGACAGTACGGCTTCCATTCTCTAAACCGACTGAGTAATTGCCTACTGTCTCTATAGCAGGAAAGTCGTTAAGAGCTCAGCAAATCTAGCGGGCTCCTCAAAAGCTGGCATATGACTCGACTTCTCAAGCACGGCCCATTTGACCCGTGGTATGGATTTGAACCAAGGGCCCATGATCACTTCATTATTCTTGTCGTATCGACCTGTTAGGAGCAGTACGGGCACTTCGATATCCCCTGCCGTCTTGATGGCATCATAGTCATGCATAAAGCCTAACTGTCGGATAAGGGAGATACCTTTCTTGCCGTTCCCCTTCCACATTCTCGTGCTGTTTTCCCGTGATGCTCCGGTGCCAGTGAGTGCTGCAGGCCACGGTTCGAGTATGCAAAAATGCTTTTCCATGAAACGAAGACCCGCCTCTCGATATACCGGGTTATCATAATCTCCGTCCGCATCCATCTGTATGATAGTATCGTCGACGGGTAGAAGCCGGAATAAGCGTTCACTCTCTTTGGCGGAGAGAGCTGCGCTCGGAATTGAATTGGCGATGACTAGTTTGCTAAGGCCACGCGGTTTTCGTCCAGCATATATACTGGCTAGCATGCCGCCCCAGCTATGGCCGTAGATAGAGAATCCGACTCTGCGCAGCTCAAAGTGGTCGACGAGATTGTCGAGCTCAGCACAGAACAAATCGAAGCCCCAGAAACTCTCATCTTCGGCTCTCTCGCGGATGAGTGACGAGCGTCCGCAGCCAACCTGGTCGTAGAATATGCAAGATATACCTGCAGCTTCGAGTGGTTTCGCAAGATGAAGATGGTAGTCGGAGCCAGTACCCGGACCTCCGTGTATCAAGATTAGCGGTGGTGTCTTGTTGATGTCGCCAATCGCTCTGTACCACGTGAAACATTGCTGTTGCACATTGGGAATGTCAAAGGGGATGGTTCCTTCTCTATTGGACATATTCGCGATGTTCGCGCCGTAGCAGTTCTGCGATGATGAGTGGCTGCTTTTCAATGTTTCCTCATTCCCAGGCAACAGAATTATTCGATGCGTTTTGGCCTCCGCTTTGGCGACATGGCTGTGCCGTGCTTACTAGATAGACAGACTTTCATAGGTTTACTGAGCGTTATACGGGCTGCGGCTTATATCCATACACAATCGACGTCCGTGCGGTCTGTCAGCGTAAGTGGGCGGTAATAGCTGTGCGTAGACGCCGAACACCGGATAAAAGCGGCAGAATCGAGAACCATCTGAGGCTACCGGGGATTACGTCTCTACAATAGTAGAAATAGATGGAAACGAGGGCTACAAAGGTAAGGGAGTGGGGGCATACGAGGGAGTCCGTCCCCAGAGATCAGGCAGTTCAGGTCACTAGGTATCATTATCATCATTGAAAGAAGTGTGAATCACCCATACCCCAATGCCTCGGCACAACATACCACCGAGGAGTCTAGCAATATGTAGGTACTCGGACCAGTTTCGGGGCGTACTGTACATCATTAGGTGATACTCTCTAGGCCGAAAGACATGGAGCTCCAAGTAATTGTATTTTAATTAGGTATCCCCTTTAACATCAATTCTCATACTGGGCTGCACCACCCATAGGTATCGCAGCGAAATCATAGCCGTCAGCCCCAATTTGCTTTTAGCAAGGAAGGTGGTTTCAAGAATTCGCTTGGTTCCGCTGCAGGCCGAACGTAGCGTGGGGAACAGTCCAGGTAGTAACATACCGAGAACTAGTGAAGGCCGTGCCACAGGCGCGGTTGTGCTTTAAGGTTTACAAACTCAAGAAATTCATTTTTCCGACTCTAACAAGGAATTTTTCAAGGGCAGTTGGCGGTTTTAACTTAAAAAAACCCCTGGACATTATTCGATCAAGGTAGACGGCGCCTCTACAATGGCTACGATGCACCGCCCGCCTCGCATGCGACGGCGTAGGGTGTGACCTCTCTTGACATCTTTAAATAATTATATTGTGTAAGAGTCAAATTTCTACGAAACGAACGAAGAAGCATAAGAACTAGAAATAGGTGAAAACGAGCAGTTTTAGTACGGGGGACTATGGTGGCCTTACCGCATCAGGGCCAATCAGAACCAGACTCAGCGACTCGGGCGATCCACAAACATGTGTTTGGGGAAAGGGGAAAAGAACTGGTCAGAAGCGGAGCCAGCGTCGCAGCACCATACTGGATGCATATGACAGTACACATTACTGTAGATCCACTCGAGCTTTCGTTTAGTGCCACGCGAACCATGTGGGGAAGAGTGGGTGCTTACCTGAATCTGTCAGCTTCTTCGGCGGGCGCACCCTCAGTGAAACAAGCATCAAACGTCTCATGACAGAAAGACACATGTTTTCGCCTATCCCATGGGGGTAAGTGGGATGCAGTTCATCCCAGTAGAGTAGGGTTTCGTTAAGTATGGGAGCCGGTTTGTTCATCCCAGTAGAAACGCCCGTCCAGATCCCAGTAGGCTTTTTTTGGTCGGATCCCTATCGAAGGTCCGTAAAATTTTAAACCCAGATCCCCCACGTATTTTGTGCGATTTTCAAGCCCGTCACCCAATATTAAAGGGTGGTTACAAGGATCCGAAATATGGTGAATTGTTTTGATGGGGTGCGACCGGGCGACATTTGGGGTTTCCATCACACCCCATCACACACACCCATACACCACCAGCCACCAGACCAAGCGATCCATCACAGTAGAACGAGCAGGGGTTTCGTATTACAAAGCGAGCGATAGTAGTCAGGGGGGATTTTCCAAGACCCGGTTTCATTTTAAACATCATTCCCGTCATTTCAAGAGGGCAACATTCCAGTCCATTCGCTGTGGATTTAGCGCGCCGACAATATATATTTTAGTCACACGATGGACAACCATATTAACGCCCACGATTATTTTATATACAATCCAACGTACTACGTTGCCATTTATAAGACATACGGGCACGCCGTGGTTCCCCGAGATATCATCGGCCATTTAAGTAAGCGACGCGGTGATCATTGTATCCCCGAGAGTGTTGCGCAGCGAGTGAAAGAGATCGTCATCGACGAGTGGGATGAGGTATATAACGAGCCCAGTATATTCCCCACGTAAGTGGAGCAGCCTATCCTATAGGGGGTGCTCTAGTCAGCCCGACTAGAGCTAACTAGGGTTTCTTAAGTATAAGGAAAAAAGTGGGTCTAAGAACTGACTAGAGCATACATAACCAGGTTGTAGAATTACTAAAATTGCATGACTTTTAGGATAGAGCTGAATCTATTCTGCATTTTAATTATAGCTCAATCGGGGCCAGTTAAGGGGGGTTTATGGTCGGCCAAAAACTGGGCGATTTTTTGATGGGGTGACCACTACCCACCGGTCGCGACGAGTCACCACCACCATCACAACTAACCACCCCATCTAGTTTAGCGACAGACTTTGATTAATCAGTTTCAAATTTCAGGGGTAGACTCAGTGATCCCCCATCAATAATCCATTTCATTTTGAACCCAATCCAGGCGCATTGCGATTGCTTATAACACCAACTACTATATATAGGGAATTGATACTCCCACCACCCCCTCGCTCCTCCCACCACCCCTGCCTTAGAGCCAAGGTATCAATTTATTCTGCCAGTAGATTCCGGCCTTATTTTTTGGGTGTCTACATAGTTATCTAATTCCAGTTTGCTTGGTAAATACACTTAATTTTTGCTGCATTAACTCGCTCTCTCTCCGCTCAATTACACTAGCCACATACATAAATATCCAGCGTCCAATCAGATACGTCTATCCTGATTATTCAGCATATCCTGATCTCCACGCTGACTACTACGCAGGACCCTCTGCCCGACGCCGGCGCGACGACCACTACCCCCTTGCGACCGCCCTGAACGACCTCCACGACCTCCACGACCTCCACGACCTCTACGGCCTCTACGGCCTCCACGGCCTCCTTCCTGCGGCGGTAGAACATACTCGAATGCTGATAGCTCTCGCTGGGTTGAGCGGTCGGATAATATCTCCTGTGTGCTCTGCTGTGTGCTCTGCTGTGTGCTCGACGCCTGTGAAGGCTGTACGAAGTTGGCCGCTCCACGTGGCCTTCCACGGCGTCGAATAGGTAGCGGATCCTGCACGAAGAGATAAGGATTAATAGGTGGCGCTTCACTAAGCTCGTATAAGTGCCACTATTGGTGGAAAAGCTCAGGCTCGAGGCTCTGATGTGCGTCTGAATATTGCTTGATAAGATGGATGCATAGGAAGCCTGTGGTTTCCTTTGATCTGCAAATGCAGATTAGTTGGATAGGTGGCTTGTCTTGCCCTTCTAGTAAGTAGTGGTGTCTAATACTCTCTATATGCTTGATCGCCCTCGAGGAGATAAGGTATGTGAGCTTTGTATATAGTGGTGATTGGTTAATAGCCCTACGGACTCGTTCTGTCGCAATTATATGCTAAATATTAGTATATTGACGTTTAATAGCGCGCTCGAAGTTTATTAACACAACTAGAAGATTATTAGCTAATATATGAAGGTCTTTCTTTAGTAGCCAATGTGCTACTTTAGTCCTTAACGTCGCCGTCTCACCTAGATAGAGATAGTACGCAGTGTAGAGATATAGGAACTGTTTAGGACAGTTATTAAGCTATTCGGACTGAATATACTATATAATAGGCTGGAAAACTGGGTCGTTATAGGCCTCTTAGAATGAATCCCACTACTTAGTGAATATATCTTCCGATTCCGCGTAGACGACCCGATTAAACCGCTGAAGTATCTTCTTCTATCTATTATTAATAATCTTCCGAAGTTCGTTCTATATCTTGTCTCTCGTCCGAGGCCTAGTTGACTGGATATGATTATCTGCTAGGTCGGGTATAAAGTAGACATTGACATGGGCCGTCCATGGACAAAAGGTCTGGCCCGTCTATGGACAGATGGGCCGGCCCATGGGCCGGCCCATCGACACCTAATGCTGCCTGATTCTAATATTTCTGCCTTTGTCGGTATGTTTTATATGCAACCAATCAACGATATCAAAAGCTCTGTCTTTGTATTACCCCTGATTCTGCCAATTTATAGGGGGATTCTAGATTACATAATGTTGGAATTTGGACCAATGCTACATTAGGTGAAGGTATCCTCTTATTCAACATAAGAAGAAGAAGAAGAAGAAGAAAAGAAATGCGAACATGCTTTACCCCTCCAAACCGCTTACCCCTCTTTACCCCACCAGATCGATGACATATCCCTCATCACGCCATCAGTTCTATCACATTTCCTTCCCTGATTCTATTCTGTTTATCTGATATAAAGCATGTGACTTTGACCACTTTCTGTCTATAAATACGCGCGAGACACCAAGTAGAAATGACAGACCTTTCACTCTCTTCAAATATCCTACTATCCCTTTCTATCTGCTTAGAAAGACTTTCTTCTTAGTCCTTTGTTTGAGGATTGTGGATTGTGCTCATTTAGAGTGCATAAGCCCTTTGCACTCTATCTTATTCTTTTTCTATCTTTATCCGATCAAGCCTTCCTTGGTCGGGTAGTCAACGGTCCGTGGTGGGGAAGCATCTACAAAAGCGTACCCCGCGCCACGAAAAGCTTCGTGGTATCCGCCTCCCTGCACGGCTGAAACATAAGTAATAAACATGAAGGATAATTATATCTCCGGTCCACCGCGGTATTCGTATTGACAGCCTTCTTTGGCCTTATTTGGCCTAATCCTGCCTGATTTTTTTGCATAACTCTTAGCTTATTTCCCGTTTTTTACCACTGTTTCAGTCGAAACGCTTATGAATATTATTTTCTACATCCTTCGCATATTTAATAACAAAATATAGTATTATTGATAGGTTTGCACAGTGTGGGTTTGTGGATAACATAGGTTATTAATATGATTGAGATCAATTTTGATATTAGATATAATATCTATATAATAGGTTTATGACTATAATCTATCTTATGTATTTATACTGAGATTCTGGAGGTGGAAAGGTGTGTATTGCTAAGTAAGTGTACGAAAGGATAGAAATATGCCTTAAGGGCGGTACCGTATGGCAGAAAAAGTAGGGTAACGTGACCGTTCGTATCCCTATATAAGGCCGTGTTATCACATCCTCCCCTACTAGATGGGATTATGTCCTTAGGATACCCGAATATAGAAGGTATCAGACACGAACATACCAAATAGTGGCTACGTACTAGTAATTGTTGGACAATAAGGACGGTGATACCACGAGGCCGTTCGTGGCGCCAACTAGGCTTTGCGTACCCCCTTAGTGTCTTATATCGCTTTATCCAACTGGTCGGTCCAAGTTGGACAAAGGAAGACTCTTAGGATATGTTGGAATTTGGACCAATGCTACATTAGGTGAAGGTATCCTCTTATTCAACATAAGAAGAAGAAGAAGAAAAGAAAGAGATGCGAACATGATTTACCCTTCCAAACCGCTTACCCCTCTTTACCCCACCAGATCGATGACATATCCCTCATTACGCCATCAGTTCTGTCACATTTCCTTCCCTGATTCTATTCTATTTATCTGATATAAAGCATGTGACTTTAACCACTTTTTGTCTATAAATACGCGCGAGACACCATGTAGAAATGACAGACCTTTCACTCTCTTCAAATATTCTACTATCCCTTTCTATCTGCTTAGAAAGACCTTCTTCTTAGTCCTTTGTTTGAGGATTGTGGATTGTACTCATTTAGAGTGCATAAGCCCTTTGCACTCTATCTTATTCTTATTATTCTTTCTTTATCCGATCAACCCTTTCCTTGGTCGGATAGTTCAACGGTCCGTGGTGGGGAAGCATCTACAAAAGCGTACCCCGCGCCACGAAAAGCTTCGTGGTATCCGCCTCCCTACACGGCCGACAATAACTTATCTATTCTAACCCCCTCGATCACCGAGGATAGGTATACGTTAGAGGTCTGAGACATAGTAGATTAATAGGTTATAGAGAGGAGGAATAAAAGGACTTACAGAGGTTTTAGATAAAATAAAAGCAATCGTATAGGGGGAATTCGTTTACCCTAGTCGCGCGAAGACACGCGTTTAATATATTAACTTATCCCTACTTTGGCTAAAATTCTCTCGTCTGATTAGTTCACGTATTAGGTCCTTCGGGTGTCCCTATAGGTTACCCGTGGGTGACCCGTAAGACCCGCCCCTTAAGACCTGACCCCCTAGTCATGTGGTCTTAAATTTTGCGATAGAAATCTCTAAGTCCAACAATCCAGATCTTTAAACTTATTTTGTATAATGACTAGAACACCTACGAGAAATCTAAATTAGTAATTATCTATATAAGACTCTAGCAATTTAATAACCGAAGGAAGCTTATAATTTAAAGCATTTTTGGTGTTAAAAGAAAAATATACATTTACTGTCGTACAAATATAGCACTTTCACTCTACCTTAAATATATATTTCCGTAACGAAACTCTTAACTTTCCATAACCCACTTAAAAACTAGCCACCCACTACGTAATTCAAGTCAAAATTCAGAACACTAGGGTGACGACGTATGAGTTATTTATTTACAGTTAAATTTCTTTAAATTTCGTAGTGTAGTGGTGGAACGCATGACATAATGAATACAGTTGCGGCCTGAGGTGTCACGAATACCTTAGGTGTAACGAATACCTTAGGTGTAAGCAGCAGCTTCTACATGAGGATAGAGAGAGAAGAGGCATCTACCCAATTCATTCCAGTTTTCACTACATTCTTTCATTCAACATGCTATATTAAGTACATTCCATACGGGCTCAGTCGGGAAAAACCGTACGGCCTCATTTAGGATTGCTGTGTCCAGGATTGCACGTACGACCTCACGGCCTCACCAAGGACATTCGCGACCTCCCCTAGGACGACCTCTACTACGTGCAGGTTGTGTGTGTGTTGTTCGTTGGTTGCTGTTGCCCAGTCTGTATTGTCAGACAGCCATCGAGCCATCCCCTTTTCAGTAGATATTAGTAGTGTAGTAGCAGTCGTGGGCTAAGAAAGCTAGGAACTGGATTTGTCTGAAAATACATCTTTATAACCTTCTCGCCTGGAGGGTATCGCAAACCAACCCCTATTCTTGCTCCCGGTAAGACTCAACTCCAACATAATCATTTACTTAGGATTCTATTGATAGCTCTTGACTCGGATCATATGGAATGCCGCTTTCTGCTAGTATTCACAGTGAGGCTTTCTCGATCATGATAGCGAGCAAACTCGCCGGTGTCGGGGGGTAGAGGATTTGGACCCGGGGGAACCTATGTACACGCACCACGGGCGCCGGGAACACGCAGAATGGACGAATCAGAAGGCGAAGAAATGGACTGGGGGCCGAGTTGCTTTTCCGCTAGGGTATTGCCCCCTCGGGAAACCCTAAGCCTATATAAAAAAATGCTGACTAAACTGTAATGAGCCTCATTACAGTTACCCCCATGGGATAGGGTAAATAACGTCATCCATCCATCCTTAGTTACTGTAAATTGTACTGACAACAATGATATTTAACGGCCAACTCCTTTTAGACAACTGCAACGCCGACCTTTCTCATAGCGTCTCCATCAAGTTTGGCCAAAAATACATTGAAGACTTCTTTATTCAATCCCTCTGACTCGTCGACATTTTCGATCATCTTTCTTGTAGTAGCAATTTTTTCGTCCTTCCATTCCTCGAACAAATCTTTCAGGTTGAGTTCATCAAAAATAGCGAGCACCTTGGCAACCTCCTGGTCATCTTGGCTTCCATAGAACTCCTCCAGGACCATTCTCTGCTTCTCGTTACACCGATCAAGGGCCTCGATGATGAGCCAAGTTAACTTATTCTCCTGAATATCGCTACCAGCTTTGCCCGTAACCTTAGGATCACCATAGACATCCAAGTAGTCATTGCGTACCTAATAGTACTGACCGAGGGATAATGCCACCTTGTATACCTCTTTCAAATTCTTTGGCGTGGCAAGCTGAAGATACACAAGGGGCAACGACATCGGGGTGTACGAAGTGTAGTATACAGTTTTTCGCTCGATGATGAACTCGTACTTCTCTTTGGTAAACTGGCTAAGTCCTCCGTAATGACGGGAGGCTGTGAGGAGGTCATATGACTGTCCGAACTCAATCTGAAGCGCAGTTTCTCGGAAGACTTCGACGAGATCGTGATACGCCGGGTGATCTTTAAAATGAGTTTTTAAGACGATGAATACGGTCGATGCAAGGAGGCAGCCGTCATTAATAGACATGAGCCCAATTTCTTCGCGGCGATACCAGCAGGGTTGTCCACGGCGAGTCTCTGAACCGTCCATAATGTCATCCCAGATTAGGTAGCCCGCGTTCTGTATCTCGACCAGCCATCCAAGAATCATCAGATCTTGTGTTTGTTCTGCGGTCAAGGCGTCATCCTTGAGGGCCTGCGCGGTATCGAGAACTGTCCAACAACGATAAAGCTTCCCGCCTTGTGTGTTGAGCAGAAGACACTAGAAGAGAGAAAGTTATCAGTTTTGAGCGCGCAACTGTATCTTTTATTGATCATACCCTTCTGTACATCTCGATAGCATCAGCAGGGAACCCTATACCGTGGAATTTATCGACAAGGGTTTGAGAGAGGGACGCCAAAGTGGCATCAAAATCAGGGCGCGCAATTTTTGTCATTGCGAAGGTGTTTGTTCTAGAGATACAGAGAACTGGATAAAATAATAATAATTTGAAAGTGCACTGAGCCAAAGCATTACCCTGTTTTCGCTCTCTACTTTTATATGTTACAGATTATGGAGTACCCAAAGGCCATTGGATGATCAGTTCTCCTTTTAGTTCACGATGTCTCAATCCTTCAGCTCACACCACTGTCGCATGAAACTCGACTCAGCCCATTAACGTATTGTAGTGGGGGCATGTTGGTATTGGAGCAGGGTCATAGAGTTAGATCCCCCAGGCGGGACGTACAAATATGATCGGTTCACTTGATGATACAGGCATAACCTTGGTCCATGGGACTCTATAGCGCTAAGAAAATAGCGGTGACAAGATCAACCTTCAACTTACCATAATGGATCCAAGAATGACCGGTACACGCGGTTACGGTAGTACCCAAAAAGTCCAATTGGAGGTCTGATCGCAAATTTTGGATATACTTGACTCAATCACATAGTATGACAAATATTGGCTCTTGATAGGTCTTGTTCAGCAAGTAATATTTCAGGATTTCTGTATCTACCTCATCAGTCAGCGGATGGGTGCTATGTATTCAAAGTTAAGCAAACTAGTAATACAAAAGTTTATTATATTTGAACGGTAGTGTTTGAATAAGACAAAGTACTTTGCATTATCCAGAAAAGGTATAGTGATAAAAAAAACGGCGAGGCATTAAAATATGAATGACGTGCCATGACTTCTATTAAATCCGGTATGTTTCTCAAGATATAAGTAGAGGGCCCCAAACTTTTTAACCATCTGCAATCCATAATTTTTTAGGGCTCTTACCACATCATGGATGACAAAGCCGCGCTTTCCAGTACCCCGTTCCTTGAAGTTGATAGAGCCTTTAATTTCCGTGGCATTAGGGGATACAGTAGCACTATTTTTCCCAATACAGTTATACGTGAAGGATTGATCTACCGTTCAGGTCACTTGAGTGATTTGACTAGTGCTAGATGGCGCACCGTGAAGAGCCTAGGAGTTTCGACAATTATCGACTTGACCAGTCTCGGAGAAGTGGAAGTCTTCACTGGAGCACCGGACAGAACGCTGAGCCCTATCGGCATTGAAACTTTACACTTGCCTTTCAAGCAAGGTGTGTTCTCTATGGCAAGACAAGTGTATAAGTATCAAGCATACCGGACTACAGGACCTGAGGTGAGTACTAGGCATACATTGGCGGCTGAAGAAGAGGTCAAGAGCTCAGTCTATCATAGGCCATCGTAGAAGGATACCTAAGCCTGTTAGAAGTGGGATCGGCCATTATCCAGCGGGTCCTCGAGCATTTTCGAGACAAGACCGGTGGCTGTCTTATCCACTGCGCGATGGGGAAAGATCGGACTGGTGTTATTGTCGGCCTGTTGCTTTCACTTGCTGGGGTTCCACATGAGACAATCGCAGATGAGTTCAGTCTAAGTGAGGCCCACCTTGAACATTTGCAACCGAAAATTGCCGATATTGTGAGATCGATCGACCCCAGCGAGAAAGACCCCTCGGGGATAGCAAAGATGGCGACGGAGTGTAGGTAAGGTGATGTCATCAACTTTAGGGCGAAAATTTCAAAAAAGCGAGGAAAGCAAGCTAACAGCCCTGCAGGAGGGAATATATGGCTTTGACCCTCCATTTTGTTCACGAAAGATATGGTGGAATTGGCCAATACGCGCAAGATCATTGCGGTTTCTCAGTTGAGGATATCGACCGTATCAGGTAAAACATGATCTGCCTATAAATAATGCGCAATAAAAGCTTCCATTGCCAGAAACTCGGCCCACGCAGATTAAGATCTATAGTATTCAAGCTAGACTACCGTGTATCTGGACCAAACACTGGGGATTGTGTAGGGCGGGGGTACATTACCCAGAAATTGGTCGAGATGTGGGTTAATCGGATTAGAGTAGTCATTTGATTACGGCAAAACAGCGTTTGGGGCCCCACATACACTCCGTACATATGACGAATAAAATAGCCTTGTGTTATCATACGATACCCGTCGATCTTTCACCGCATATCTCGACAAGGGGCTGGCCAGTAAGTGTACTTACGTATAAATGCCTGGGTTAAATTTATACATTGTTGTATTGTCTCTGGTTGGCTTCATTTTGAGTTGATTCTTCAGTTAGACTGTTCATCATTGGCGGTGGCCCAGTGGCCACGTCACTCCATGTACGTATGTCTAAGAACTAGGCTGGCTGAAAGGGAGAAATCAAGGAATGTGCAGGTGTACATACTTGATAGCTCACATACCGAACAAATGCTACTATGATACTGTAATAGCCCAAAACGTAGCAATAGTCGCCCTGTCCACTAAGATGCATATGTAAGGTGGAGTTGACAGCTGCAAAAAGTGGGCCCACTTATGCGCAGCCATGAAGATCGCCCGTTCGATAGCTCCTATGCAGAATCTTCGGTGAAGCGCCACAAAATTACAATGAACTCTGACAGACTTACATAAATCATGCGAGAGTGCTTGCACCCACTCTTAATTCCTTAGCTGTGCCGACTACGTAGGACTTTCTTGGAGTTTATTATCTCACGATTGAATATTAGTATTCACCGTAAATGCCGGGCTTCGTGTCTGGTGACTGGACAGCAGTTTCACACCACGTCAATTAATTTAAAAATAGTTATTTTGGCGTCCAATTGCAGCTTACTGTCTCTTGGTGAAATTCAAGAATAGCGGTGTAGCAGCAAGGGTAAACATGTCCTTCCCGTCGTCTAGAAACGTATCGCTGGCTTTACCCGGAGCAAAAGAAATGTCGTATCGGAGAAGGAGCTCTGCAGTCACCCGTCGAAGCTCCATTAGTGCAAGCCGTCTACCAACACAGGCCCACGGTCCTACAATTTGATTAGTATGTTTACTTTCATCCATACACCACCAAAACTGACCTGTATTGAATGGAATGAACACGGATCTATCCTTGACGAGTTCAGGACTGGTAGTCCAGCGTTCCGCAATGAACTCGGTTGGACGCTCAAACGCCCGTGGGTCTGGTAAATCAGGGTTAGAGCCTGATCAAAATTTGGGTCTCCAAATGAACTGACCTCTGAACATCGTGTACAGGGGCACTTGAACAATGGTGTTTCCGGGAATGTATGACTTGCCAATGGTCATACCCTCTGGTGGAGTGAGCCTCTGAAGACCAGAAGGAACCGCTGGGTGCAATCTAAGGGTCTCGTGGATTGTGGCATCAAGAAATCGATCTTGGAGGTCGTATCATCGCTCAGCTCATCAAGAGCATCAATGTCTCTCTGAAGCTTCTGAGTTAGAGCTTTGTCACTGGCAAGATGGTACCAAAGATGCGATAGAGTTGTAGAAGTTGTGTCACTGATTAAGGTAAACAACAGTGAACATTCAGAGCAATCAATATTTTATCACCTTCCCGCCATAACAATCAGATAGCTATCTCTATGGAGGTTGAGTGTATCTTAGGATGTCCGGGGGCCCTTCTTGTACGCGTCAAGAATCCAAGAAAAGATATCTCGCTGCTCTAGTTCCTTCTGTAAATAGCGATTAGCACGCCTTTTGTGCCCAATTATCCCGCTATCGTGCACCTACAGCACTCCTTTCCAGGAATTGGCTTTCAATCCACTTCCAGAAGTTCAGGTTGTTTGCGTTTATGAGTGGAATATTCATGAGTATAGGGAATATCCAGGGCATATGTTTGAGGTGGCCAATGTTTGTCATATCCGTCCGAATGGTCTTCAGGAAGTAAGCCTCTTTGCCTTCGGCAATCATGTTGAACGATTTTCCAAAAGCAAGGTTTCCCATCACATCAAACGCATAGTAGCTGAACCACCGCGTCATATCAATTGGACTGGCAAGGTCTCGATCCACGACTTCCACGAGTTACTATGCATATTTTGTAACGACTGGTTCATAGGCGCGGATTGCTAAGAGGGTTTTGATGTTAGTGTATACTTTTCGTTCAATAGTCCAAACAAAAGAAATTACCCTTGGTGCTGAATCCGTGATCCCAAACTTTGCGGCGGCGCGCATGTTCTTGCTTGTCTCTGGTGAAGGATAGACAAACTCGCGGGTCAAGCAATGTATACCAAGGACCTTTCCTAGCCTTGGACTGGTTACCGTAAATAGCCTGGACCGCTACTAGGTCCGCGACTGAGATTTCGGTAGGACCTAAATTCGAAGAGTACTTAGAAAATATACTCTGTCAAAAAAGAGTTATTATATTACCCGTTCGAACATAGTCTCCATATGTCTTATGAAGCTTGTCAACCTCCTTGTAGAGATGAAGCTTGGAAGACATTATTGTTAAATAGAGGTTGGACAAGCGAGCAAAAAAAGGACCCGGAAATTTGCCCAGTCTATGGAAGAATCCTCGGTAGACCAGCATACTGCTGTACACACCGAGGATGTGGTGAAGCCAAAACTTTTGGAATTCATCTGATGAGAATGGAACGATAACCTCTATTTGGCTGTTAAAAAACCAAATGCCGACGCTCCCAGCGACCAAGACAGAAATATGCGAAGCCAACAGAAATACAGATCTAGTATCCCACTCGCTCAAGCGGTAGAATAGGTGGTGGAGAGTAAAACCACTGCCTAAGGCTAAGAGAGCCTGGGAACTGTGAGCAAGATGCATCATAATACACTTCCTTTGCTGTAAAGCCTGAAAAATCGCGATGTGGACAGAAGGCCAGTAGTTGGAAAGTGACCTACTTGGGAGGGGCTAAAATATAGGCTTAGAATAATAAGTAGATAGTAAGCACAACGTGACCCTACCTGGAAGCTAAGTAGGATGATCAACAATAATCATTAAGATTGCGGTTGGTCGGGAGATTCTCCAATCAATGCAGAGATCAGTACGCTATGTGGCTAGACCCATAGACCCACACGCAAGGGGGTCTATCTTCGACGGGGATGCAAAACGCAAACTATTCCCGGCCAAAACTTCCCAAAACTTGGTTTGTACAGTAGTCTGTGGCTGGCTGGCATTGTGGATCTTGGCCACCTTCACCGCTATGTGCTCCCCACCTTGCGGACGCACCTGCGGGCTCATCGTGGTCTGGATCAATGATGAAGCTAAGCCGAAAAGTCGAAGTGTAAAAAGATCATTTACACTATAATATGCAATTCTAACCGTCAATGCTCTGCTGCCTCGAGCTGTATCTATGCTGCGAAATCGGATATATTGGGTGTGGGGATCGTGTCTCGATCGTACATGTAGATGTACACTGTAGTTGACGAGGGGCACCCAAACAGCGCTCAGCGTATGTATTTATTCACCGCAAGGTGGATCCTATTGGATTCACAGTACGGTATATTTAATATTTGCGAAGCTCATGTACTACCTTCCCTCTTGGCATTTACTCAATTGTAACAAGGAGAGAAGTTTAAACTGTCAAAGTGGCGATTTTATAGTAGGATTTCATTGGGCGTCACTTACCGACATATGGTCATCATCACACTATAAAAGATTCTTTACTATTATGGCTTAGAGCATGATCACATGCTCTTGTATCCTAATACTCTCTTATATAGCTCTGGGTACATTATCTTTTTTATTCCTCTCAATGCAATCATTCTGTTACTGACGAAACTAACAGAAAATCTGGGCTTCGCATTGGACACCATCTTCTGGTTGACCCCTAAGTTTTTATTCCCTTATAGCTGGCATTGCATTTTAAACCCTCACAATGACAGAAGGTATTGCGACCAATTCGTTTGAGACCAGACTCTTTGTCTAAGGAGCAGTATGGAATCCCTGACTGCGAGCGACAGAAAGATAGAACTGACTATATTTTAGTATGTCGACGCTCAAACGCTCGCCCGCTTGAGTTGTTATAGCACTGTCGATGGTTCCATTGTTACCTCAAATGTGCACGAAGCAGTTGATCAGGATGTTGACGCCGCAGTTACCGCGGCAAGCGCTGCATTCCCAAGCTGGGCCGCTTTTTCCCCTGAGAAGAGGGCGTGTATCTTACACAAATTTGCTGATCTCATGGAGCGAGATGCCGACAACCTCGCCTATTTGGAAGCAGTGTGCAACGTGAAGCCCGTTAAGCTGTTCCGTGGGTATGAGCTGCCACAAGCAGTCAGCATCTTTAGATGTAAGAATTATCCCCTGGCAAACTACGTCGAAGGCAGAAATTCTGATCCAAGCAGACTATGCTGGCTGGTGTGGCAAGGTTCATGGAGAGTCATTCCCTACTAGTAATGGTTTCCTCAAGATCGTCCAGCGGGAGCCATTGGGCGTATGTGCGGCGATCACGGCGTTCAACGCTCCTATTATGGGAATGGCCATGAAGGCTACACCATGCCTGGCTACTGGTAATACTCTGATTATGAAATCTAGCGAGAGGACTCCGCTTTCAACACTTTACCTTGGGAAGCTGGCGAATGAGGCAGGTTTCCCTCCAGGCGTTTTTAATATCATCTCTGGAGGAGCACTTGCCGGTAGTCTCCTTGCTAAGCATATGGATATTGATCAGGTTTCTTTCACGGGTAGTGCTTTTATTGGGAAGCAAATCGCTCAAGCTGCATTAAGAAGCAATTTGAAGCGAGTTGCGTTAGAATTGGGAGGCAAAAGTCCGAGCATTATTTTCCCAGATGCAAAACTAGATGTGGCCCTCTCCTGGTGCGTGAACGGTATTCTGGTACTATCTGGCCAGGTCTGTTTTGCTAGCTCTCGGGTATATGTCTATGAGAGCATCAAGAAGCAGGTGGTCGAACAGATGAAAGCATCGTTTGAAAGCGTGGAAGAATTATTTGGTGATCCACTTGACGAAGATGTTGAGTTCCCGCCTCTGTTCAACCAGGGCCACTTTGATAGGGTGAAGGGCTTCATTGATCGCGGCAAAGAGGAGGCGACCCTCGTCACTGGCGGGGAAGCTATGTTTGCTAAGGTATGTGCCATTAACACCCAAGGAGGGCGACCATGGGCTCACTGGATCAGGGTCATTGGATGCAACCAACAATATTTGTTGACCCGACTCCCGATGCTGAAATTAGCCGAGAGGAGGTCTTCGGCCCTATGGTTATCATCATCGGGTTCACTGACGAAGAGGAAGTCGTTGCCCAAGCCAACAATACGCAGTTTGGGTTAGCGGGTGCTATTTTCACCCAGGATATCAACCGCGCAGTTCGTATAGCCAGTGCGATCTCCTGTGGGACTGTTGGTATCAACTGCTGCGGCGTACTTGACGCAACTGTGCCATTTGGAGGATACAAGCAAAGTGGACTGGGACGAGAACTGGGCCAGGATGCTCTCGCAGAGTACACCTAGACGAAAACCATAGTGATCAAGTGAGTCTATCAGTTCATAGGCCCGATTTCTCCAGACGATTCTGACACAGCATTTCCTAGTATGACTTATTGAGGAACTTTAAGTTAAGTTTCCGTTTAAACTATATATAATTAAGGAGATAGCATGGCCAAGTAAACACCAGATACTCCATAATTGCAGACCCTCCTTGCGCCCGGTTAGTAGGGATCGAACCCTTGTTTCAACATTTTGTAGTGGGGTCAGGTATCAAACATTCCTCGCGCCTCTATCATTTAGATAGTCTACACACATGAATGTTACCTTTATCATCATTCCAACTCTCTCTCCCTTCAGACATAACCTGATATAAACTCGTTCGTCTCCAAGGTCAATTATCTTTCGTTTCAAAGTATCCAACCGCTTTAACTCATATCCCGCCGCCGCTACAATGCCAACTCCTCGGTTAGAATATGCTTTCACCCTTCACATCGACCTAGGTCCCGCCATTGACTACGGATGTGCCGTGAGTGGACGCAACCGGTTTATTCCCATCATGTATCTGGGCCTAAGCTTCAGGGCCACATCATCCCTCGGGTGGAGACTGGAACTACGTGCGTACTAATGGGGTGATGAATGCGAGTGCTCGCTATACTATCCAGGCCGAAGGTGGTACGATGATTGGCATCTGCAACGAAGGATACGGTCGGGCCAACCAAGAAACCATCAGAGCTGTCTTTGAGGACCCGAATCTGCCCCAGGCATCCATGGCCAACGGCGGCTCGGACTGGTATGCACGCACTATTCCGCAATTCGAAGTGGCCAACGACAACAAGAACTCCAGTGGCTGATCACATCGGCATTCTTGGGGGACTTTAAGCCAATACAGCAGCCTAATTATGTGGAGCTTGACGTTTTCCAAGCTATGTTGCTTTGAGGGTACTGTGAGGAAGGACCGGATCAGAAACCTGGGAATTAGGGAATCAGGCCGATCACGATTCCGCACGTACCTAAGCACCTAACCCTTTGAAAGGTGCCACGGCATATCATCATCTTGGCAATGATCTTGTCCGTACTGCAGTCCATCGTTTCCCGTATGGATCACCATCTTCATACATTGTACCCACTACCTAGAAAGTCTCCAGAATGAATCGCCCTCAGCTATACGCCACGCGAAGATTGCTGAAGCCCCATGAATGTATTTACTCCAACTTTGGGCGGTAGGTTCGGTCCTGCAGCATTGGGGGCATTCGTTTCTCATCAATGGCCCCATTGCAGTAGTCAATGTTTGCATCTGGTAGCCTTCGGCCCATTTCGAGGCACGCCGCTCCACAGCACCTATTTATTATTGGCCCAGTTGTCGGACAAAAACCGTTGAAGTATCGGAATTGCGTCGATGTGAGTCAAATATCGGCTGATTATCTTGACCAGAGTGCCTTCCGTCGACTCTTAGCTCTCAAAAAGGCCATCCTATCATGGCTCGGTTCAAACACATTTGGAGCTTCTCGAACATGGTAGAAAGGTTTTATATGCAACGTCTGCAGATAGCCGGGTATATAATGCAGCTGTGCTGACCTTATTCCATCCCGAAAATGAGGTGATTTGCCATGCTCCGGAAGGCGGCTCGATATTTGCGCTAGATCTGCAGGTAGCTAGCTGTCTGAGGCTTCCTGTCTGAGTTGAGTCAGCATCAAGTACAGTATGAATGTACAGTCTTGTTGGAAACGCTCACTGCATATGTATGCCTAAGATCCCATTTGTCTTAAGGCTCGCCTCATCTATGGTCTTTCTGCAGCTGGAAGTATTTCCCCCGCAGCGAATCTGGGCACCGACGGTGACCAGTCTATTTGTAGTACTCCTCAGACTTGGCCTTCCATGATAAGTGACGGTGTCGAGATAACCATTGTTGCAGATTGTCCTGCTCAGCGGGTGTCCAAGGTTTGTTCATTGTTGCGAGCATTATGGGAATTGAAAGGATCGAGATAGGGGCGAATAAGGTATGAGAGCGAAGCGGGGAAGGTCTGCAGGAAATGGAACGGCGGAGGAAGGTAAAAGAGATCAAAGATTATTTACTTTGACGGTAGCTCTGACCAGGCTCGCTTTAACTGGATGAGTTGCTCAGGTCTTTCTCAATTCACCACGCTCCTTCAATTCACCACTCCTCCAGCCCGATTCGGTACAGATCTTCCCCCGATTGACTCTTATCTGAATTCATCCAATTTTTGACGGATAATTAATGGCCATCGTCAAAAATACATAAATTAACATTATGTCCGGGGTTAATAGATGCCGGGACACTTCGTCGAGTGGGATCATGCAAACACTAGAAGCCAACGATCGAACATACTCACAGGGGCCAAATTAATCTTTACTCTTTTCCATTTTTTATACATGGGTAAGTGATGGCTTGGGGATGAGCGAATAATTGGAATTAAGCGATGACTTAGGGTGACTTTTGAATTGAGGGGCGAGTGATTAATTGGAATCGAGGAACCAAGGCGATGGATTAAGAATCAAGTGACTGTTGAAACAGTAAAGCGTTTCATGACGGAAAGACACGTTTTTGCCTTACCCGGGCCCTATTCGAAATTTCCGAAGCTGTGGCTCCTCGTAATATAGTGTGGCTGTGCCGGGAATAATATAAGGTCTATAAATAATTTTACATAGCGTACGGTCAAATTGCTCTCCCCATAACACAAGCAAAACATTACCGGTTAGCCGGTCGACTGTTCAATCTAATATCTCAGGCAGGTCTAAATTTACGCTAACATTTCTATTTCTTGAATATTTTCGGACAATTTGAGGGTTTCAAGGTGGACTGACAAGCCGTAATATAGGAAAAAGGGCCTATTGAAATTACAGTAACAAAAGCGATGAAGCGGCTCTTTTTGGAGGGCTTCCTTGACAGGCCCTCACCTGGAACAGATATTTCCCGGTGTCGATGGTCGGACTTATTCGAGCATAATAATGATATACATAGAGAACCTGCTAGCCTACATTGGTAAAACGACCTTGCTCAGTCAGCGGTCTCTGGGACATCATCAGCATAAACTATAGGAGCCGACGGAGCATCGCTATCATTATATAACCCATAAAACCTAGCTACTACGATTCCGTTAAAACTAATGACGCCGCTCCCGTAGGACTATTAAATCTCACCGGGCAAAACTCCGATAGCCTTCCTATCCGGCCTTAATTATTGGCCCTATCGTAGCCGACTAAACTCGGCCAGCAATCCATTAAAAAATTTTCGGTCTCGTTACATTGCTATGCCAGATCCTTTGACTTCGCAGGCGATACGTTCAGCCGCCCTTTCTTTGCGCTGATGTGTTTATTGGCTTTCGTTCGGTTTAATAATCGCTAAAAGTAAGGTATTCTCTTTCTTCAGTATAGAGTTCCACTCCTCATCGAAAATGTTTCTCGAGGCGGAAAAGGAAACCCTAATGATGTAACTCAGTAAGCTAATAGTTGCAAGAGCAGAGATATGCAACATACAATGCGGAGATTTCTATCGCCATGTGCATAGTTACCTTCAGTTGTCGTAGCCTCCCGCTAAGCATACACGATTGTATGTCCACGAAGGCACCAAAGGGATTCCAATTCGACTCGCGTAGAGAGTCTCCAATGAAATGACTTATCCATTGTTTGAACACCTCCTGGAATCTTGCGCAGGCCTGTTGGGTTGTCCGAGTTGCCATTTGAAGGTGAAGCTGGACTTTATGACTGAGATTGCAAGGATTCGACTTATTAAAGGTTAACACAAATCTCCCTAATGCTTTGTTGATGGACGACAGTAGATGAAAAAGCTCTTTAATAGTTTCGGTCCTATACTCAGCTACTTCGATAATTTCAAAAACGGCACTGACACTATACTATGCCGCTTTTACGGATTCTGCAGGGGAAGTGCTAGTGTTAGGTTCGGCCATTTCAAACAGGCTACGGTCAGGCTTAGTCGGCGTTTCTCAAAAACGATCTAAGAGAAAACTTACTATATTACCGGAGCGTGGCGTCTAAGAGATTCGTGATGAAAAGAATGCGACGACTATTTTGTATTGTTCAAGAGAGGGCGACGGCGTGCTTATTTATGTAGCAGTTTGAAAGAAAACCCCTTTTCTGACACGTTGGGCAGTTATCTAAGGGGTTGTAAAAGGCCTGAGTTCCTAGGAACCTAGTAGATCATGAGCGAATAAGAAAATAGTTGACAGACTAGATTACTTGTTTGAGAACTATGTTCGGTCTGGCAGGCTCCTAGGAGTTGGATGTTCGGAATCTCACAAAGTGATACGATTGCCTATAGATGCAGAAACTTATTGGTGCTAGAGGTGATTTTGCCGTCAAATCCCGTAAATGTTGTCACCAGTGAGTATGGCCCCAGAATAGGATACAAGCATCAGAGCAGACCCATCCAATTACCTTGGCACTATTAGTCTCCACGGCCCAATTAGGAGAACACGGTGGTACTAGGAACGTTCCCAGGAGCATGTAGAATGAAATGCCGAAATCAGCAGTCTTGCTAGGATGAATAGCCATATTGAAGACGCCCGTGCTATATTGATGGGGCAATTGGGGCAAATTTGTAAGTGAGGTGGCACGTGAACGGGGCTAGTGTAGTGCAATTCATTGAGGTCATATTCATCGGTTCCTCACCCCGTCACTCAGGCTCTACTCAGTGAGCAAATCAAATGGTTCAGAAAGCAGATCAGACCGCTCAGAGGCGTGCTCAGTTCTGTTCAGTAAGCAAAAAGCGGCAAAGTCTGAGCACTGAAACGGAAAGGGAACGATAAGAAGTGGCAGAGGAAATCCGGTATCTAGGCACAACTAGCGCGATTTTTTTTGAGTCAGTGCCTAGACACTTGAACTCAATCTGGGGTCTTGATCGCACCAGGTAATTGAGCTTCCGCCTACCGCTTAAAACCTAATTGAAAGCCAGACCCTAACGCTAGACAAGGTTGTTTTAGTCATGCTCCCCTCGTGCCTAGGCACCCTGGCCCTGTATCATCCAGAGTTTCGTAGCCTAACGGCATGAACTCATTTCGATACAAATCTTGTCCTTTCTTTTTCGTTTCACTTCAAGGAAAGTACTTCCCGTGAGAGATCGTCATGTTCCCTCTGAACGCCTCACGATGCCCCAAGAGGTCTGGCATTGGTAGCGTCTATCCACCCCAAGTAGAGGCTCAAGCTCATGCGACTCGTACACTATCTATCCTAATATCTAACCTCAGGGAACCGGACTTGATCCTCAGTGAAAGAAATGGCCTAGACTACGGGCGATAACGACACCAAACTTTCAGCTGGGCAATATCGAGACGGCGTCGAGTCACAAACCTGGCATATACAAGAACTTACGTTCAATTTCATGCGTTCAGATAACACCAAGAGGGCCCTGGCCACAGTATATGGGTAGCATATCCTCGGCTAGACCTCCGCAATAGGCCTGGTTAGGCCTGAGATCCTGGCCCACGCTCCAACCATCAATGGACTATGGGCCTGATCTCTAAGGCCCAACGTGAACAGTGGGACATTGGTGGGGGCCCAATGAGGGCCCCAATATAGCCCATTTCTATGCATAACTACTGTCTTGGCATTCATAAACCTGATGATTAATGCCTGTATTTTACATATGGTCTAGTCTAGAGTGCGCCAAAAACCGTAAAACCGCCAAACCAAACCAAACCAAACCAAACCGCAAATGGTTTGGGTTTTGGGGCCGGTTTCGGAAACCGCAATGGTTTTTGGTTTCTTGGTCAGAAACCGCAATGGTTCTTGGGGCCCCAATGGTTTGGTAAACAATGCAAACTGAGTGGGTCCTTGTCACTACATATTTTGTCGGTATGTTTTATATGCAACCAATCAACGATATCAAAAGCTCTGTCTTTGTATTACCCCTGATTCCGCCAATTTATAGGGGGATTCTAGATTACATAAGTAATAAACATGGAGGATAATTGTATCTCCGGTCCACCGCGGTATTCGTATTGACATATTTGCCTAGTATGCTGCGACGGCCAATAAGGTCAAGCGGAATCAATATAATGTGGATTGAAATGATTGATTGATTGAGGAAACTCCGGAGACTGCTGTTGAGAGTAGTCCCCTTGCCCTTACGGGTGGGCTTGGCGGTCCGTACGGGATTGTCAGTCCGTACAACCGATACTCGGCGGTTACCACGCTCGAGTCCATGAGTAAGCAGAATTACATACAAAGACATAGGAAATGTAATCTTCAATGTGACCACTTGTTAGCGGTAAGTTATCCCTCCATAGGCTGACAGTATCTCACCCGCGCGCGGCCCGCTACGCCACTGCGATAATATATCAAACTGGTCTCCTCGGTCAGTTCCGACACGTGGAAGAGCAGCCGGACACCGACGATCACCACGAACAGATCGGCCTTGCGGCCATGGGATAGGTTGTGAAGACGCTGTGCATTCACCAACGAACACCAAGACCGACCACCGAGAATGGTCGACACTCAACTACTACCGATTCACCACGCTAACATTATCAATTGAGAACCGAAGCTCTTAGAGAGGACTGACGAACGAGAGGCGGGAGCATACTACGGGGACGAGGGGACGCAGAAGAGTGGAATATTGTGGGCTTTGTACTTTTGGGTCTGATTTTATATAGGGTTTTCTATACTTAGGTTTTGGATTTAGTACACTCTTTTTTGTGCCGGCCTCCTGCAGGAGACCGGTTTTCCTATGTTTTACTGTTTATTGCAAGCCGCGAGTCTGGAGTTAAGGACACCAAGTTCTGCTTCGGATCTGGACGAAGCGCCTGTATAGCCTCGACGCATCTAGTTAGGCTCTATCAGGTTAATAGAACTTTGATTGATTGATTGATTGATTGAGACAACGATAATCTGGGACACTTGGACCTTTTGATGGGGTACGCCGCAAATAGACACGCACGTTGGTCCGCGGGAGCACGCACGTACGGCGAATCAGGGTGCGAAGAACTGTAGTGAGGTACTCTACAGTTAAGACTAGAGAAGAGGGTGAGCTGGGGTGAGCTGGAGTGACGACGTTGGGTGACAGCGATCCAATTTGTTTGCGAAAGGAGAAACGGGGTGGCAGACAGGCAATCTAAAAAGACATCATAGTCGTTTCTTACAATGATGGGATATGAGGGTGCTCTCTGCTTCGGCTAACACGGCACAAATGAGTGGAGATCAGGGATAAAGTACTTTACTAGTATCGGTCTCAAACGCCGGCGCACGGTGTACCAGTTCACGATCACCTATTTTATCCAAACATGTTACTGGCGTGCTCACCTAGGGTGAGCACGCAGCACGGGTGATCAGTGTTCCTGATAACCTACGAACACCAGTCGAGGGTTTTTAGCCAATGAGAGTCACCTGACTCTTGGCCCCTTAGCTGGGACCGTAGGCAGCCCAAAGTAAGATTAAGGCTTTCACATCTGATAGTTGTAAATAGCCACAATGTTTTTAATGTAACCAATCTCAACTAGGTGCGCGGAACGGCCGTACAATATGTGCCAAATATATACTCAGATACTCTACAGTAAGTATCAAAAGATCAGCAGTCAGCTTAGGCGTCCCACATCGCCAGTCAAGGAAGGCACCAGATAGGCCGGTGGTCGGCCTTATGCAGCGTATTAGAGGACAGCTATTTTTAGCTACGGGGTATTCAATAGCACAAACTGGAATTTGCCAAAGATAAGTATAAAGAGCCTCTTCGCCTTTTTATCTCAGGATATCATTCCACCATACTACTACCATTATCAAACATACCCCAACTCAATCAAACATCTTCCTTCCAGCTATAAACATGATATATAGCCAATCCCTCCTAGCCATCTCTAGCATTATTGCCTCAGCTGCGTCCATAACCACCTCGTTTCCTGCCAACTTCACCCTAATCTCCACCCTTGATAACTCAGTACTGACAACCGATGGTTGGGGTATCTACGACAGCACCACAGGAACTATATTAACGCGTAAGCTTCTACTTGTTCCTCCTGTACCAACTACCTACCTATTACGTACACCTATTGATCACTTTTCAAACTGGTAATTATAGTATCTCCCTACAGAGACGGCACCATCGGCTACGGGCCCTACGGTCAGGCACTGGCCGTGCTCGCCGATGAGACCTCGGTTGCTTGGATCATCCAACCCCAGGCAGAGCCCGAGGCTGTCGACACGGTGACAGGTTGGGGAGTCTCGGATGATGGGTTCTTCATGCTGAACGGAGAGCAGCTGTGGGCGGTTAATGAGAGCGCCGCGGAGCCAAGAAGACTGTATTGGGTCGGTGAGGGAAATGAGCAGGGGCTGGTCAGTACACAGCTATCCCATGGGGGTAAGTGGGATGCAGTTCATCCCAGTAGACTAGGGTTTCGTTAACTATCCCATGGGGGTAAGTGGGATGCAGTTCATCCCAGTAGACTAGGGTTTCGTTAACTATGGGAGCCCATTTGTACATACCAGTAGAAACGCCAATCCAGATACCAGTAGGCTTTTTTTGATCGGATCCCTATCGAAGCTATCCCATGGGGGTAAGTGGGATGCAGTTCATCCCAGTAGACTAGGGTTTCGTTAACTATGGGAGCCCATTTGTACATACCAGTAGAAACGCCAATCCAGATACCAGTAGGCTTTTTTTGATCGGATCCCTATCGAAGCTCGGGGAAATTTAATCCAGCGCGCCCCACGTATTTTGGCAGAATTTAAAGCCCATCAGCCATTGTTAAAGGGTCATTACAGGGATCGAAAAATTAGTTAATTATTTTGATGGGGTGCGACCGGACGGCATTTAGGGTTTCCATCACACACCATCACACACCAGTACACCACCAGCCACCAAACCACGCGATCCATCATATTCGAATAAGCAGGGTTTCATATTATAAGTAGAGGGGTAGTGTTCAGGGGGATTTCCCCAATATTTAATTTCAATTTTAGC